AATCACCCCTTCATCGCTACTACCGCGGTTACTGTTCCCGTGAACTTAATCGATTCCTCCACGTAAATGAGGACTCTCCGTCCAGTAGACTCTTCCGTATCACCCACACTCTTTGTTTTATTAAAACGCCACGTTTGCAGGTCGCATCAATTCTCTTTCCAGCTTCCCCCGGCACCGCTTGCTCCACATTGGAATTCCCTGAACATCGTCTCTCTCTCTCCCTCTCCGTCCCCCTGTAAGCTCGATTAACGAAAAGTGTTAACCTCATCTATTACAACTGATGGTGCTGTTTGTTGCCGGTCGCTTGCCATTTGGGGGGGGGGGGGGGGGGGCTGTGATCAGCAACTCTGGTTTTCAGTTTAAAAATAATAATAATCAGTTCCGAGGTCTAGAAACCCACACTAGGAACAGCAAGGAATTCGAACTAGCGCCAGAATTCACACCGCAGCTCCGACCGCCCGTAAGATGATGAACGAAAACGACGGAATTCGGAATTTCAATACAGTACGGAGAACGGAGGACGAAAATCAGCAACGACGAGTCGAATGTTCCAGGTGACAAAAGAGGATGGAGAGATCGGGCACGGTTTGCTGTAAACATCGAGAAGCTACTAGAAGCGGACTGCGAGTGCAGGCAATATCCGGGCGGTAGGCAGCCAGGCCAATGCACACACCCAGACGAAGGGGGGGTGGGTGGGTGGGTGGGGGGCCCTTGTCGCACGCAGCCCTGCACACTCACACGGCGGCCCGTGAGGGCCCCGTACCCCCCGACCGGAGCGGCAAGCACAGCGTTAGGCGGGTGCGGGGAGGGGGGATACGAAGGTTGGAGGACGAGTCGTACGTAGCCTCCCCGCTGCTTCCCCTCTCTCCCAACGTTATAATAATTCTCCTCAGCAAAATAATTACAACTTACCGCGCCGCCTTTAAACTGTAACGTTCACGCTGTAATTGGCAATCAAGAGTTCAAAAAGAGCAATAGCGGTGATCGCGCGATACTTGTTGTAAACAATGATCGCGATGACTTGTCAATAACAATGGAAGAATGGGGGACGAGGAGGAGGCGAAGGGATACGCACTGCAGGAGCGCGCCGAGTCGAATGAGCTCAGCCTCCCGGGCGCGCGCCCTTCGGGTCGTGCAAGCGCCTCGTCTCGCGTTCCCATTGGCTGATGCGGGCTGCGCGCGCGCGTAATCCCCCCTTCACATCCCCCCTTCACATCCCCCCCCCTTCACATCCCCCCCCCTTCACATCCCCCCCTTCACATCCCCCCCCTTCACATCCCCCCCCTTCACATCCCCCTCTTCACATCCCCCCCCTTCACATCCCCCCCTTTCACATCCCCCCCCCTTCACATCCCCCCCCCTTCACATCCCCCCTTCACATCCCCCCCCCCTTCACATCCCCCCTTCACATCCCCCCCCTTCACATCCCCCCCTTCACATCCCCCCCTTCACATCCCCCCCTACACATCCCCCCCCTTCACATCCCCCCCTACACATCCCCCCCCTTCACATCCCCCTCTTCACATCCCCCCCCCTTCACATCCCCCCCCCTTCACATCCCCCCCCTTCACATCCCCCCCTTTCACATCCCCCCCTTCACATCCCCCCCCCTTCACATCCCCCCCCCCTTCACATCCCCTAACGTGGTCGTTGGAAATCGAGCGCGGGGCGGGGGGGGTGTTTCCGATCCAGGAAAGTAACCCCCCCCCTCCCAACCTCCCCAAATGCGTACGTGTCTACCCACTGTCCAATGAGGAAGGTAGGAGAGAAAGGGGGCGGGGGGAGGTTAAATATGATCACGTGACCTCTCCCGAACGCGTGGCCCGTAAGAAAAACTCAGAGCCGGAAAGGCACGTGACGGAGAGCGGGCAGCCAATGGGATGGCGAGAATAAAGGGGGGGGGGGGGTGGAGACAAAAGGCGGCCGTATAAAGTGAGTGAGACGCGACTTTTGTGTCGCAGTCGTGTTGAGCGCATTCGTTATATTTTTTTATTAATTTGGTTTAGTTAGCAATAGGTTATTTTGTTGCGATAGAAAAGGGGTTGTCACCCAAAGACTACGACCGTTTTAGGAAATGGAATATGCCATGAGACGTACTTTTTTTAAGGTAGACTCCGTGGTATAAAATGCAATCTACAACTTATCCACTATAGAAACGCTTCAGCTTCTTGGTTTTTTCGGTAAAGTCACGTAGAATGAACCAAGAAGATGAATCCCTGCAGTCACGAAAGCTTTAAATCGAAAAATATATAGAAACGCTATTTGTTTAATGAAATGTAACGCATCAAAGCTAGGGGAGAATGGCAGTGTTAGGCAATGCTTTTTTCCCTCTGGCAAATAGTGAAGGCAACAGATAGGGCTCGAAAGAGATCAGGTATTAACTTTGAAAGTATTTTATACCATCCACTGCTGGAAGGTATCCGCAGCCCGGCGCCTTCACAATTCTGCAATGCCACAATCTCAGGAAGGGGTAACAAATGTCATATTTGCAGAATCTTAAAAAGGGTACCAGATGGTATTCCATTTTATGTACATAAACCTATATCAACATTCATATCGTATTACTGCATTGGTTCGATGTTTAATTGCATCGAATAAGTAATTTATAAATTGCATCTACAACTTTATAGCTTTCCCCTGAGCAAGATGGCGTTTAAATTGCATACTGAGGCCACGTGGTCGAGCTCTGGGATCACGTGATGCGTATTCATCGCCACGCCCCCAGCATGTTGGACGTGGGGGGGGAGACCTCGTATGTAACTTCCCCGCCGTCTATGCAGCCAATGGGGGGGCTGCGTGCGTCGTGTCTCGCGGGAGGGGGGGATAGGTGGGCTGGGGGGGGGGTGGTAGGTGGGCTGGGATAGGTGGGCTATGGGGAGGTTGGTAGGTGGGCTGGGCGGGGGTGGTAGGTGGGCTGTGGGGAGGTTGGTAGGTGGGCTGGGCGGGGGTGGTAGGTGGGCTGGGGGGGGTGGTAGGTGGGCTGGGCGGGGGTGGTAGGTGGGCTGGGGGGGGGTGGTAGGTGGGCTGGGCGGGGGTGGTAGGTGGGCTGGGGGGGGTGGTAGGTGGGCTGGGCGGGGGTGGTAGGTGGGCTGGGGGGGGTGGTAGGTGGGCTGTGGGCGGGTGGTAGGTGGGCTGTGGGCGGGTGGTAGGTGGGCTGGGGGGTGGTAGGTGGCCTGGGATAGGTGGGCTGGGATAGGTGGGCTGGGATAGGCGGGCTGTGATAGGTGGGCTAGTATGGGTGGGGATAGGCGGGGGGGGGGGTCGCGCCTTTTGGTTTCCCGTCATCGCCACTGCAGTGACGGGCGCCGCAGCGCTCAATGGCGCGCGCGCGCCCTGAGGCAAAAGTCACGAGAAACGCCCAACATTGCTAAACGTACAACACGCACACACACATATAACACAATGCTGACGTATCCCCTCATGACTGATGTCCCTCGTTACAATATACCTGATTGAAAAAAAAACAAAGCCACGGGGCAGGCAATACTTTTTTTAAAGAAAATTATAGTTGTGGCATAAATCACTGTAAAATGTGATCCCTCCCCTGTGCATGTTTTGGCAAGGGTTGGTGGATCACGAAGATATTAAAATGACAAGCCTAGCCTGCGAGATGGCCAGTGTGTGTTCGCGAACCCATCTGTGCAGACTTCGTGTGTCCAGCCCTCGTATGCCACTCCTAAATGTGGCATTACGTAAGACTGACAATGCTACAATATAATAGTGTATGACTATAGAATTACATTATTTCACAAGAAAGTACCTGAATAAATTAGTATTTTTTCCCAATTTTGAATTTCCAGTGTAAATATGCGGCGTTAATGTTGGCTTAACCAACACCGACATTATCTTAGGTGAAATAAGTAACACTTCGTGAGACGTTACACGAGTTAAACCCTATTGAATCGTCGGCAAATACTTGCGGGTTTAATGTTAAAATACTTTTTGTTAGCAAACCCATCGCTCGTGTAAAAAAAAAACCCAACAACCCATTGGTGCGTCCATCAGCAGTTGTGACAACCACTTAGAATTCTAGGCAATTCATAATCACGTACTTAAATTTAACCGGCTCGCAGAAAGTATCAATAAACTGGTATAACTGTTAATTGCCTTTTATCTCAACCATGGCGTGTGTGTGTGTAATGCTCACGACACACTCAATGAAATGCCAAGTAACAGATATGGTGCAGTTTTATGAAAGCCGTTAAAATCCAGCTTTTTGGGCGTTACACATCTCAGACGATTTAAAACGATAAATGACGATAGCAGGTATTATTATTTGTTGTTAAATGGGTCGTAAAGTATTTCAATATGCAGCACTAAATTTCTTCTCTGCCTTAAATAAAAGAATATATTTATTTGCTATGCTAGGGATCTGTGGTAACCAAAGTAGCTCCTAAAAATCCTTTTGAAGCTATTGGATTTCAGTATGTATACAGCAGTCGGAAGTGTTAACAGTATATTTTGAATATATGACTGTAATTCAATAATTTACAAAGTTATAAGTTACAGCTCTTTGTTAATCCGCTGCTGTATGAAGGCATGCCCATGCCATTTTGATTATGGAGGTTTTGACCACACTGAGAAGCGATGGAAAAAACGTAACATTGTGGATGGAGGTTAGATAGGTTTTAAATTATGAGCGGACAATTGTCACGCCAAAAGGGATAAGGTAATGTGAAATAAATAAATAAATACCACCTTTATATTGTAAAGCAACATCAACTGCATGGCTTCCCGTCCTCGCCCACATGACGCTGCTGATTATCTGCATAGATGCCCCAAAAAGTCTCTCCGAAATCTCTCACGTAAAACGAATTAAACCCGAGCCTTGCTCTTTCAGGAGGAGCTCAAGAACCCTCGGTGGCCCCATCTCAAGGCCCGAAAAAACACTCTTGAGACCGCACAAGGGCGCTCGACGAATCGACCCTTCTGTGTAGAAGAGTGCTGAGCTTTGCAACTAACACCTTGGTGTTGCAGACCCAACATGACAGCTGAAAGGATTCAGAATCAGAATCAATCTTTATTCATCCTGGAGAAATCCGATGAGCTATGAAGCTCTTTTTTCACAGATATCCTGCTCCGCCCGAAAAACTATGGTTCGCAACTCACCGATTCCGTACCGCAACCGGACGCTGCACCTCTTTACTTCACGGGTGGAAGATCACAGCTAATCCACAATGTGACGGTGGAGATAGTAGTAACCTAGCAATGGAACACATCATCATCGCTTGCCCAAAGCGACACTTCACAGGAACCCGCTGAGTGTATTAAAGAAACCACACCCGAAGCCGTCATGTGGCTCACGAACCTCGATATTCAAGTTAGTTTTTGAACAAATAATCTCGCCATGTACACCAGAAAGAAGAAAAATTATATAAGTACAAGTGGAATAAGAATTAAATTATAGGAGTTTAATTACAATGTTCACTTCATCACAATGCATCTCACTGTATTCACCTCATTAATTGAAACCATAGGCCACAAAAATTGTCAAACAACTTCTAGTTTATGGTGTTTTTCTATTTCACATCACAAGGGTATACTTGGATACAGTAAACACAAAGGGAGACTGAATAAAACAAACTGTAAATGCTTCATGCGCACAAACTACAAACAAATCTGAGTAATTGTGTTGTAACAATAAATTGTTCATGTGAGTGCCAGTGTATGTGTAGTGTATGCCAATATTGTTTATTGCTGCTACTAATGGTGGCCCCCAAGACTTATGCATGAAAGGCAAGCACACACGATGAGTACAATGCGTTGATGAGTACATTGTGCACTCTAAAACTTTTACAGTAGCGAGGGCTACGGTCACAACATTGATAAAGCTAATGCATTAAAACAAATATAATGATCCATAATTGCTGCATTTTAGCACTAACGCTGCAACAACAAAAAATCCTATCAAATACATCGTCACGACACAACACTTTGACAACTTTTTTTACGGGTTTTTTTTAAATAAAAGTGTACGGATTCCAGTCTTCAATTATTATACCACACCATGTGACAAATAGCGTATGAAGCTAATGTCACTTTAATTAGCTTAATTGTATTATTCAAACATTCCTTGCTCAAGGGGAAAACTTGTTTTAATCGTGCGTTTTTGCAAAAGTGTCATCGTGCTGGGGCGTTACACGATTTTGTGACAATGCCACCCTTTGACGGTGAGTAGTGTTTTGGCACATCCTCACAACAACCCTGCCTAGCTGGCCATACCCAGGGCCCTTCGGAAGCTCTCGACAGACACTTCTCTCCGTGGGTCCTGCACCGCGGCCGTGGTCCACGCATCTTCAAAAGCGCCATCACTAAGTTCCACGCCAGCGTTGCGCAGGATCTGCTGGATCTGCCAGGAGGGGAGACGGTTATAGCCAGTCGCTGTACCAAGACCATATTCTTCTGTGGCCAATTACCGTATCTATCCCGAGCCCAGACAGCATCATAGGTTTGACAGCAATTGTGCTAATTCGGAGAATATATATATATTTTTTGCTGTCATGCGAACCCTTAATTAACATCACGTGGATATGCACTTTGCTATCCTGTGACCAAATCACCCGGAATGCATCCAATTTCAGAAACTATTTTGGGTTGAGTCTGGATAGTGTTTGGGTGAGTGATCACCACGCACACACAGGTTGTCAAAAGTGGCTTGGAGTATATGTGGTGGATAGTAGATGGTAGTGCAGCAAAACCCAATACTCTCATATAAGCGCACAACTTTATTTATCTGTGATCAATGCGCACTGTCTGTCGTTTTCATGCAGGGGGCGCTGCAAGCATACGCACCCCCTGCATGAACGACGGAGGCGGAGGGACAGACGTTCGATTACATTGCAATCGATCTGCAGACGGCGGTCTTCTCGCACGGTCAGCAGCTCTATGTCGCCTTATCTCGATCCCGCAATCCCAAACAGGTGAACGTCCGCATCGAACCGAACGCCCAGCAAGGCCATCTTACTTAACGACGAGAGAACATTCACACGAAATGTCGTTTTAAATGAAGTCTTTAAGTTGTAAAATGATAAAAGCTTTTAATGAAGAAATACAATTATCTAATTCAAAACATCATACAATCCAACGATGTTTCATTTTAAAACTTCAAAAAGGAGCATCGGGTGCTTGCGTGAATGCGTCGTTCGTGTGCAATTTTTTTCGTGACTTTCCTGGCCGAAGGCCGTAAATGGTTCGGGGGGCCCTATGGCACCTATGGCGCCCCCGAACAACCCCTAGTGTACTTATATGCTCCTACTTCTATGCCCCCCCCCAACCTTCCAGCCAAATTCACAATAAAGTGGTGAAATGTGGTAAAATAACCCCTCACAAAGGAAGCCTTCATCTGGCAGTGTATTGACTAAAGGGCTGTGCGTGTATTGTACATGTATATAAAGTATTTTAAGAGCTGAGTGGTTATATTATAAATCATTCACAAGAGTGAAGGAGCTTGAGTGGCTGTGGATCGGTGCCAGGCAGCTGACCTGGCTGGGGCTGCGCGGGGTGAGGAAGTCAGCTTCGTAGACCCCGTGAAGGGCATACACAGATGGGTTAAGGAGCCCAGACACGTCCGACTCTTCACCGTAGTTGGTTCTGTCTCCAAAGTGGCGCACCCGTGGTGCTGGCAAGTCAGTGCGGACAGATGGAACGCCAAAAGTGTGCCAACCTTGGGGTATGGGGCAGAGAAGAACAGCAGGTGGGTGGGTAAGTAAACGTGGAGCCCTGCATTTGCTCACACCTTTGCTGGCGAAAATGGCATCCACTAGACGGCGCTCTAAATATCCACTCTAGAGAGCATTTTGGCCTACTCTTCCACACTGGCCAAATGTATTGCAAGTGGTGGGAGTACCCATACTTTACCACACACGGCCTACCGATCGACTACGGTGTACCAATTTATACTGCTAGGTGGACAGAGGTGGGAGAATTTAAGAATCTTGTGCCGTTCTTGGGAGAACCAGTGACCTCTGGATAGCAAGTCCAAAGTCATAACCATTGCACTATGGCAACTTTGCACCTCCGATTAGTACGGTTGGCTACATATGGTGCGAAATAAGTTCTACATACAGCTTCCCTGTGGTGGTAAGGAAACATCCCAAACAAGATTCATCAGTACAGTACTGTGCTCCATCACATGCTGGGTGTGATGACACCCTGATCTGGTAACTTATAAGTGCAACTGGTTAAGATCGTGTGAAACACTCATATACAGTATACAAAAAGTAGGTCAGTGAACTATGCGGAGTGTAAGTTTTCCTCCCTTGCATGCATTGGTTTTGAATGGGAACACCCAATTCTTTCCACATGCAATCAATGTAGGTGGCCAACATCCAAAGCAATATGCTCGTTAGTGTACAACCTTAAACACTCAACGAGGCTTGCTTGTGCAAATATACATTAATAATTAACATTCTACTAGTAAAATTTCATTTCTTTCAAGTAAAACATTTAGTCATCATGAATGTTTTTTTTTATTCCTATTTAACTTGCTGTTCTGCCAGAGAAGGCGTATATCTACGTGGCAGACACAGAATACTGTAGCATCGGCAGATGTCTTCACATACCCGCAGATGATGCCCTGCCTATGGCGGAATTCACGAGGGAGGACGAGGTGCAGTAACGCCCGTGCATCCTGTCCACCTGCTTCGTGAGATTGAAAGGAGTGAACGATGGGACGTTCGGGGCCCTGGGCACAAGGCCCTGTGGCTCAATCAGTCCCATGCTGCTCTTGCCCCTTTTGTCTCTTCCATGAGTAGACTCCATCGAGGCAGCTACGTTCCCCTCATCTGCTAAAGGTAAATAAATAAGTATTACTCAAACTGACATATCATTAGATTACCTCTGTCCAACATGTCTTGTCAGCAAGGAAGAGTAGCCCAAAAACCCTCTCAAGGGCCTCCCTAGGGCTTCGTCTAGTGGAGGCCTTTCTGCCAGTAGTGACATTAAGCATTGCACGTTTGCACCTTTATATTTTTTGTTACCTTTTATCATTAGATTAATTTATGAACGAAAAACATTTCATATAAAATGTTGACATGTTTCAGGAACTGCATTCGCAGTGGTGTCAAAACACAGGCCAAAACGCATATTCGTCATGAACACAAAACTTTGTTGGCAATGGCGTGAGAAACGCAGGCCATTTTTCAGCAGAAAAAAGATGTTTGGCCAAAAGCATAGATTAATTTTGTTATTGATCAAGATGGAAAAGTATTTCCAGCCTTTGTAAAATATTTTGACACAAGCCAAACAAAATAATTAGATTTTTCTGTGGTATTATTAAACAAATATGTTCCAAAATGAACAACTTGCTGCAGTATTTATATATCAGTACAACTCAAGCGATTCAATAAAGATCCTGCTACATCTTGTTTCATTTGTTCTTGTAGTTAGTGCAGCCAAAGCTGGATCGGCAGTTCCGCATGAAGATCAATCTGTGAATTCAATTTTAGCTGTGTCTGTCTGGGTCGTTGACTCAAAAAATATTTCGGCACACCACATCTGGCATATCTCTCGATATGGCTGTGACTGCTAGTCACGTGCCTATCCCAATCTACCAGTGATCTCGAAAATATTCAGTGAGAAATTAAGCCCTGGATGAAACCATGTGTGTGATGCTACCGTGTTTCATTATGATAAACAGTGGCAATGTAAAGTTGGGGACATGCACCACCGTTGACCGCTCTTTCCTCCTGTGGACTAAGCGGCAGCGCTTGCTTCCAGTTGAGGAAGTTTGCAAATTCCAGGTAGTTGATGAAACCATCCCGGTCCACATCGCAGTATCTGACAAGATCCTGGAGCAGCGCGGCCTCCACGGGGAGGTTAAGCTCCGAGCACGCAACCTGCAGCTCCTCCGAGTCAATTTTTCCGTCACCGTTCTGCACAGGGAAAAAAAACACATGCTCGGTTATGCGCGAGACTAATTTCTCATCGAATATTTCCCAGATCGCTGGTAGACGGCAGTAGGCGCGTGACAAGTAGTCACAGCTTTGGCGAAAGATAACAATGAATGTGGTGTGCCAGGTGTGGAAGTATTTTTTGGGTCAAAGACACAGACAGACATAGCTGAAATTAAGCCCTGGCTCTACTCCAAGAAGTTGTGGAAATTTGTGTCAGCTAGTGGCAGGCAAACAAGTGACAAATGTACGGCTGGTTACAGTATATTGTGGGTATGGTGATGATGCATGCCTGTAATCTGGCAACTCAGAGATGGGGTGCGGTTGATGGATTACACACACATGAATATATTGGTTTTCATCATTAGCCATAATCTATCCGATGGTGAAGGCTTTCCCAAGCAATTCCGTGTGTCCTGCAATTCATGTGTTCCTCTTCCTTTGTCCCAGTGTGATTATGGGTATAAAATATTCATCTTCAGGGTACCAAAGTGGGGCCTGTTGGAGGTCATATAATAAGTATGGCTGTGATTCAAATTTGGGAGTTTGAACATTATTTTGCCGTATGTATATATTAATTTTCTCTGACTCATTGCACATGGAAACAATCAAACAGAAACATCGTAATAATGAAACAGGCATTTCAAGAAGGGCTCTGATTAAAACAAGATTCTTGGACAATTAGGTGGGATTTTCTGGGTAAATAAAGAAAGTTATGAAAAATTACACATGCATGGTTTACGGAACACTTTCCAACATACTCAGAAGTCCTCAGAAATATATATATTAACAGGATGCAAGCCAACGCTTGCATCCTGTTAATATATATGGATGCAGTATTCGCGAATAGTAAAATTTTCTATAGCTCGTGTCTCCAAGTTTTGGGCACCCCCCCCCCCCCCCCCCCATTGATGAATGTGGTCAGTTTTCGATAGATAGGCTTAGCAACACAACTTGACATGACAATTTGGTTCACTTTGGATCGTCTCTATGACAGTTACAGTGTCATCTCACCATTACGGATGGAGAGACGTATTCTACCTTAGTTGGAAACCGTTAAAAAAGGAACCCATCACGGTGCGTCGTGGGACGAGGGAAAGCGCGCACACCCTGTCGTAGTGGCGGAAAGCATCCAGTAGGCTTGGGAAGCTGTTGTAGTTGGCCACCTTGAGGCAGTGCCGAACGGCGGCTAAGAGGGCACGCTGGCGCTCAGAGCCACGCAGCCACTCATGCCGGGGACGCCTGTGCACGAGGTCCCCGGCTCCTGGAGAACCAAAACAACTATGCGTCATGGTCAATGTGATCTACACAAGGTTGCCTCGTTTCTGGGAGGCTCAACTGGGCACATTTTCATTGCTGCACCCACTCAATCACTAGCCCCACCCGGTGAGTGGAATTCCCACTCTGACATCAGCCTCACTTGCTGCTCATAGGCACCACCTAACTTGTTTGATGACCTTACCCACTTACTCGGGTAGCCCCACCATTTTCCCGTATTAACCATGAAGCCAGAACATTTGAAACTGAGACAAAGACCCCAATGTCCACAAAAGAGAGGACACCAGGACAACTTTTCTAAAATTTGGACTGTCCTGGCTACACGGGGATATTTGATGTTCTTCTACAGCACTGGTGATTAAATAAAATCACTTCAATCTGTCTAGACCATTAAAAGAGAAACAGGATTTTTTTACTGAAATGCAATGATGAACTATGACACTAAACCAACATTACAGCTGGATGTTATTCAAGATCTGATGATGACAAAATTATATGAATGCATCTGTGCATCTGAAACGCCCCCTACTGTACACCTAGTGCACATACAGTTTTTCAGTTTATTTCAGTTGCATTTATTTGGTATAGCCCTGTGAGCCATTCGGCTCTTGAATCGGGTGTAACCGCAACAAACAAAAAACAAAAACATGAACAAGAAAACATCTTAAAGTGATTATGTGTGACTGTGCAAACAGAAAATCCAGTAAAAACAGCAAAATATTCCTGAAAAAGCACCGTACACCAACGCTGTGTGCAAAAATCCCAGTGGGATGCAAGTCAAACAACAACAACAACCACAAGACAACTTTGATTAAGGCCATCAGTCTAACTCCGTACTACAATAAACAAACATGGCCAAACCAAAAAACTTTTCGACATCACCAAAATAAAGCCATAAAAGCAATGTAACAGTGATCATAGGGACTGTGACCGAATTTTCACAATAAACGACATAAACAACATGTAACACCAAACCCTAGAGCCATAGCTGGCTGCATGAGTCACTCCACAACAACAGGAGCATCAGTCGGAGTATCAAATTTTTCAATGCACCTTTAAGATCAGCACACTAAATCAAAATACAGATAATACTTTGCAGCGGTCATTCGGAGCGAAACATTTTATTTTATTTTAGGCCACTGAATAGCAGTGGCGGCTAGGGGTGTACAACTCCTCTAGAGCAGTTTTGATTGAAGATCTCATAGGTAGTGATTCAAGTTGCAATTTATTGGCAATAGCATAAACTGCAACTTGAAACACTCCCTATGAGACTACAAAAACAGCCCAAGTACGACTACAAAAGCTGATTTTATGTTTAAAAAATAGTCTCCCATATACCGTATGGCCTAGCAATCTAAGTTATTTCAATGAAATATATATTTGTGGCAACTAAGAAATATATTTTAATATGTATTACCTATATAACTGATCAAAATGCTATATTTAACATCTGGCGATAAGGTGGCGCTACTTTCAATTTACCATATTTGTCAGGTTCAACCGGCAGGCCAAACGTGTGGTCTGGTGGCACATCCAAGGTGTCTGCGATTCTGTGAAGAAGAGACGTACATCTATAAGAGATAACATTCGATTGTGAGAGGTGGACTGTCAACGAATGTAGCACCTGCCGTGATGATGCAAATTCCAACAAATACGATTAATCAACAACCAACAGCCCTGGAGCAAACCCCTTCGTACGGATCGAGGACCTTCCCCAACTTTGGCCGAGTTCTCCTCCTGAAGTCCTCCAGTCGCTTCAGCTGCTTCGATGTATTTTGTCTAAGAAGCAAGACCAAAGCGCATCAGAAAAACACCACTCATTGCAATGAATTCTATTTTACCGCAATCTCAAATTCTTCTATCTTTTATCATTGGGCTACCCATTATGGTGGTGTCGTAACCCTCCACCACCCGACACGGCCAATCAGCAAAACAGTGTCACGTTGACAAAAGACAAATAGTTCACTACTTTAGCCCACCGGTGTGTTGAAGAGTGAATCCACAACATTTACAGTTTGAATACGATGTTTCGCTGGTAATTACATCCAGCATCATCGGTGGGCTAAAGTAGTGAACTGATTGTCTTTTTAAATTTTGATTTAAAGCTTTCGTGACTGCAGTAATTCATATTCTTAGTTTTTTCGGTAAAGTCACGTTGAAGAGAAACAACAAAATAACAAAATATATATAAAAAATTTATAAATTTATGCAAACCGACACACCTGATGATGACCGTTTGAGTTATGGTCGAAACGTCGTGAGAATTTTTTATTGTTTTATATATATTTTGTTATTTTGTTGTTTCTCTTCAACGTGACTTTACCGAAAAAACTAAGAATATGATTGTCTTTTGTCAACGTGACACTTTCTTGCTGATTGGCCGTGTCGGGTGGTGGAGGGTTACGACACATTTATAAATAACGTGATCTAACCCAAAAACCTTTATTATGAATAATATTGGTCGCGAAAGCCTACGTGTTAAATTCATTAGGGTGGTGTTATAAAATCACACTTTTATGACTACTCAGTAAAAGTCTAAACCTGCTCACAAGTGTATTTATCTGACAAATTTATATATTTGTTTACAGCCGTTTGTCAATCCACGATGGAATAAAGACATCATCACGCTATGTCAGTTATGGGGGTTTATTTGACCATACTTCAGCACAATAGGGTGGGACAGCACAGAGAAGCGGGTCAGATATCACTCACCACTGGAGTTAGATGTGGCCAGGAATCAAACTCATGTCACTGGATTCATAGCACAGTGTGCTAACCGCTGTGCTGCTTGTCCGCCTTGACATTTGCTACCAAGACAACATTAATTTGCAAGAAAATCTAATGAATGAACTACGTGCCTAATAATTATAATTTGCTGAAGCAGCATTAAAACCATTCACCCATATATTTTTTCTGAAACGCAAAAAATTGAGTGCAGCTTAAATTTCGATTTAAAGCTTTCGTGACTGCAATGATTCATCTTCTTTGGTTCTTTCGGTAAAGTCACGTAGAATGAGAATAAAATAATAAATTGATAAAATAAAATAACACAATAATATTCTCACGACGTTTCGGCCACAACACAAGCGGCCTTCATCAGGTGAAGGGATGAGACTGTCTGGTAGGACAGCGCTGTCCTACCAGACGGTTGTGTTGTGGCCGAAACGTCGTGAGAATATTATTGTGTTATTTTATTTTATCAATGTATTATTTTATTCTCATTCTACATGATTTTACCGAAAGAACCAAAGAAGATGAGTGCAGCTTTGTGTTCAGTCGTGATGAATTTCAGAGTGGGTGATTGGGGTTCATACATCCACGTCTGTGCGTGGGCCACACTCCTTCCATCTGCATGATGAGGCGTGGCTCTGCCGAATCTGCTGTCTCGGCCAAAGCAGCTCCAGTCATAGCCACGATCGATAACCTCGCCTGGGCACAAAGACGCATGACACTCGCGATCCCATTTCGGTCTTACATGGATAAATGTAGGGCTTCAGAAGCAAACAATGTTTAATACTAAGAGGTCACGTAAAATTAGTCACGACTACCCCACACAGGGTCCACACCAGTATTCCCCAACAAACTTGGCCGTAAATGGCTTCAAAACGTTAAATGTTGCTGCTTCACATTCAAGGCTCGGTGTTGTTTAAACCTGGTATACAATTTCATTACGCTATAATTTTTCTATTGAAATTAGAACTGGAATATACAATTATGGTTTGCATTTTTTTCCAGATTGCAAATAACAGCCAAAGTAAAGGTTCTTTTTGACACATTCTAGGCAAGCAAAATTCATAATAGAGGTTTTTTGGGTTAGATCGCGTAAATATATAAATGTGTCGTTAAAACCCGCCACCACCCGACACAGCCAACTAGTAAGGGTTGTGACGTAAATTGGCACTTTCTGTTTACGTGACAACCCTTACTAGTTGGCTGTGTCGGGTGGTGGCGGTTTTTAACGACATATTTATATATTTACGCGATCTAACACAAAAAACCTCTATTATGGATTATATTACTCTTTGGTTCTATTGGGTAAAGTCACGTAGGTGAAAATAAAATAACAAAAAATCACGACGTTTCGGCCACAACACAAGCGGCCTTCATCATGTTGTGGCCGAAACGTCGTGATTTTTTGTTATTTTATTTTCACCTACGTGACTTTACCCAATAGAACCAAAGAGTATGGATCCTAGCAGTCACGAAAACTTTAAATCTAGAATGGATGATATTGCTCGCGAAAGCCTACATGTTAAACCAAGCAAAATCAGACACAAAATGTATTTCCTGTTAGCCAAAAATGCTCCGTATTTTTTTGTGGACAGCTCACCGACGTGGTAGGAATTGTGAGACCGAACGTACAGGTCATGACCTTTCTGATATTCACTGTCCACCTTGTCCCAGGATTTTGGGGGGTTTATGACTTCGCCAGCTGAGAATTCTGAGGAAATATATATTTTAAAAAGACAAATTCAATGGAGATTGCTACACATGTCACCCCAACAGTGTTAGATGCAGGTCAGCTGTGTGTGTGATAAAACATCGTTAAGACTGACACTGCGCAATGGTGTGAAAGTATACAGTTCAAGTTTAAAAGATCTATTATACATCTCAGTTAACGCTTTGAGTGCAAAATGTTTTAACCAAAGTAAATGTTTAAGTATTAACACATCTTGGCAGACATAATCTCTAGCAGCAAAATTATAATGATCAATTGTAATAATGTACTGCTGTTTGTCAATCCACTGTTGAATTATGGCCTCCCCATGCCGTATTGGTCATTGGGTTATTTGACCATACATCATCAAGCTGGTCGGTGTGAGTTGGTGTGCGATTTGGAGGGGCCAGGGCTGATATCAAATATTTTTAGATATTGGTGTTAGCCGTGGCCGGATATCGAACAGTATCATGTACTAAGCACTGTGGCAGTGCTCCCACTATTCTACTCAAAGTGGCCCTAAATACTCAGGGCTTAATTTCAGCTAGGTCTGTCCGGGTTGGTGACCTGGAAAATATATCTACACCTCGCACGCCACGTTTAGTATACCTCTCGGTATGGCTGTGGCTATTAGTGCCTCCTCCGATCTATCAGCGACACCGAAACTATTCCTCAAAAATGTGAGACCCTTCTGATACTGCTTCACCGTACAGAACTTTGAAGGCTCAGGACTGACGGCAGTGAACTCCATCAAAGGCCAGGCCTGCTTTAGCATTACCAGAGGCAGTGGACCGCCCGAAGGTGGTGGTGTAGGGGTGCAAGCCGGTGGGCAGCCCTGGTCCTCTTTGTGAAGAGCGACCCAATGGGGCATGTGCGCCACCCCACCAGAAGCCTTCCCTCTGCTCCAGTGACCTCTGATGGAGGGCGCTACTCGGCCGCGGGCTCAGCAGCTCACCGACCTGGCACAGCGTGGAACGGCAAGGTGCCAGCGCACATGCTCACTCACTCGGGACTGATTCATACCGACGTTGCAGCCAAGACACACCCTCTCCCCTGCGCTAACCATGACCAAATCAATCACTAAGTTTGTGCCGGTTAATTGATAGCTGTGCAGGATGACATAGTTACTTGGCATCACCTGGTCAGTTGCTGGAGAGAGTTTATCTTACTTTCAATTCAAGATTTTAAAACACGATGCAATGCATAATGGAAACTTTTCCAGAGCCAATTCAAAACTGCTGAAAAGATTTTACCACGAATAATACTATTTTGAGAACAAAGGTCCGAGTTTAGAAGTTTCAGCATTTTTTCCCCAATTACTTGTGCTATAAATATCATAGTTTTGACACTATGAAACATGCAAAGTATAATGATGATGCTAAAAGCTTACTTTCCGATGGGTCTGAATTGGTTGGTGATCTGGAAAAAAATCTACACCCAGCACACCTCACCCAGGGTACCTCTTGTATGTATGTTGAACTTATTTCGCACCATACGTAGCCAACGGTGGTAATCAGAGGTGATAAATTAAACCCTGGTGATGCTATTTTTCAAATATCATTATCATCAGCCAGCCATGATTAATACACAACTTAAATATGGTTTTCCCTAGCCGACACCATCTTTCAAGATCCAGCGATGTAACAATCCACCTTGGACCTGCAAGTGGGCTGAATTCATTGCTCCATCTTCTCTCTCGATATGTTGTTATTCTTATTGACAGAATCGTTTTTAAAAAATTGGAGGCCAACCAACAAACAGAAGCGAGCAGAGTTTAAGAAATATTTCTCAACCATCGATCACATACAAACTATTATTCAGATTCTGGAAAAGTGTATTCGATTTCCAAATCCACATTGGGATTATTTAATTCAATCCACTGCCCTCACCAATAGGCTAAAGGGACACTTGTCACAAACCACACACCAACAAAAACTTGCCGCCAATCTTCCATTCTACAGACAGGGTCTGTATGCACCGCTGTAAAAAAAAAAACGGAACAAAAATAGTACTCACGCTCAGCGATGGCCTTGAGCGGACGCCGTGCACCAGTGAAGATGCCACGCTGGAATTTACACGAACCCTGACTGGCGTGCTTACCTTAGCCACGCAAACACGCACTTTCAGTGGTCAACCATGGCACCCGAAGGCATTCATTGCAGGTTTACATCATTTTATGCGGGCCCGGTTTGTGCGATTTCGCGTATACGCGGCGAATCTATTTCGACCCAAAATTCGCTCTATGCGGTTTGAATTCACTCGCGTGAGGTTATGCGGTCGAACGTGGAACAACATTGTGTATATGTACGCGCTGCTCAGCGGGCAGCTGTCTCTTGTGGTTTCGTTTTGTGCGCCGCCTTTCTTCGGAACGCATCTACCGCATAAAGCGACGGAAACCTGTACAGTAAAGTACATTCTTCACTTCACAAGATCACATGTGGTGGTATAGGTTTTTTTAAATATATGAAATGCTAGAAATTATGTTTGGCTTAATAATTTACTAATTAAGGTAATGCAATAAAAAATTTCAAATAATGCCATTTGTTATCCACAAGTGACTCATTGAGTCTCAAGCTCATTTCTCGGGATGGTCCTTCACTGGGATGTTTGGCAAATTACATTAATAAGTGTTCGACTTGTGGGAGTAAATTATGAAGTTCCAAAATCGGGGAACTTCAGATCTTATAGACCACAGACCATCGATCACTTAATGTCAACAAACACAATCCACACAATTAATCGTTTATGGAAATGCATTAATGCACTCGTATTTTACTGAGACACCTACTTGTGCATCCGAGTGGCTTAGGCACTGCGAGGCGCGGTCCCCTGCAGGACGAAACTTCCCTGCCTGTAACGCAAACCCAAATACGCATCGTATCCTTCCATGGGGGTAAATGCTGCAACAAATGAATGGGCATTTGCTCCCTGTCCTCAGCTGCCCTTGATGTCTGGAACTTTCCTCCTGCACTGCTGACTGTTCAAGTTCTTGCTCAAAAAACCTTTCTTCTTCCACTTTATTTGAATGTTGGATGTGCTATACACCTCCCTGTCCACCTCATCATCATCATCGTCGTCGTTTCATTCCTCTTTTTACACGCCAACTCATGTACAGCATCTTAAACTTGTATTAATTTTGATAAGTTACAAATTAAAATTAACCGAATAATGTATGCTGAACTGCTTTCGCAGTGTACGTAGCCAACCGTGCTAATCGGAGGTGCGGTCGACATACAGCCTCTTTGACCATACTTCACCACGTCGGTCAGTGAGGATTGATAAGGGAACGATTGAGAATATGTGCAGGACTCAGTTTAGATATGACTCTCGCTTCAGATGTTTGCCATCATTGGGAACCGATTCCCAGGTAGCAGGGTTCTTAACGCAGTGCATTCACCAATGAGCCACTGCCCCAACCCTGTTGATATTGCTGTTACCACTGAAGAGGAGAGACAAGGACCTATTTTCTAAACCACACCGCGTTGCATTTAAAGTGGAGTGGGGAGAAATCATATCTATCTAAATTTAAAAAAGCGTCTCATGGAGATAATGTATTCACTGGAGAAATTCCTCTGGGATTTTGTCACAGTCGTGAAATTGGCATCTGTGTTTGGGTGGCGGGATTTTATTTTGTACCGAGATCTGGCGGTATTTATTACAGTACACTGCGCAGTTTAGATAGACCTAGGCTGACTTAGAATTGTCTGAGAAATATATCTGGGTCCGTGGAAAAGGTGGCAGCCCTATATTCCTCTTCAAATCCTTGTAGACTGTGCAATACATGTTCCGCACGAATGTAGATATTATAGGGGCCACTAAATTAACGGTATTACATAGGGCATCAAACACTCATCTCCCTCTGCTGCCTATCTGCACCATGTTATCTGTCATAAATAAATGACTTGAGAATCTCCTAGCTCCCACTGATGCTGTGTTCCATTTAGCTTGCTCGTGTCAGTGACTGGGATGAGTTTTCCTTTGGTATGAGCCTTTCGATAACAATTCCCACAGGAGGCAAGTGCCTTTTAGTTCTTTCTACAAGTCCTTAATTCCGTACGTACAATCCCGGCGTATCCAAGACATAGACTGTAGACAGACTTTGGACTAGAGCCAGAACGTTTTTGTTTTTTTAAAATCACTATTCAAGTGGATAAAATATGTATTTGAACTGAGCAAGTTTATGAGTACAGTAGTGGGGAAATGAGACGATGCGAGGGAATTCCTCGGCCGAGCAATGCGAGGGACGAATGAGAAAGGTATGCGATTCGAGAGCCGAATGGCTCACAGGGTTATACCAAAATAAATAAAACTGAAATAAAATAAATAAATGTGTTGTGACTTGCAGTGTGGTGGTTGGAGGCAGTGTGATGGACGAGACGAAACAGTCAAATGTCCGGTGGACCGAGTCCTCGACACGAGTGGAGGAATCAATGAGTGAAGCTCACGGGAGCAGTCACCATTATAGCGATAAAAGTTATACGGTGTCTGAGTTACTTGAGTAAATCAGTGTTAATAGATGGTACACTATAACTGAAACGTTTGTTCTTGTTTATACAGGTCCAGTATGTGTGTTTACGGGTTTTTTTTACTCTACATAAATGTGCAGTCAAACTTGTTTTACTCACGCTCCTGATGCCTGGCGTCCGGTCAATGAACTCTCCTTGGTAAATGGGTCGAAGGTCAAACATTGTTGAGTCTATCATTCCGTAAAAATGCACACACGGAGCACATGCTGTAGGTGAGGTCAGTAGTAAAAAAAAGTTATTCATAACCAGTTAAGAGCCGTTTGAAACCAACATCATTTAAAGAGCCAATTCAGACAAAACATTTCTTAGGACAATCTGGGAATTTGGAACCCGTGAGCTGCTGATGTTAAAACGCAACCATGACCACGCAAAACAGTATTGTACAATAAATCCTTGTGGCCAAGAGGACTCAGCAACAGCAAAAAAAAAAACGGACAATTACAATCACGAGTAACTGAATTACTTTAGAGTATTGCTGGGAGTGGTGGGACGTTTGGCAGGCTTCTCTGTAGCAAGCAGCTTTGTGGACTGGTTGTGTGTGTGACTGTTTAAGAGTTTTCTCTGTTGCTCCAGCAACGAAGCAAACCCTGGGCTCCACTCACTCACTGTCACCTCTCTCTCTCTCTCAGTTGATGCGTGCGCTATTGGGCCGCATCGGGCCGCATGATTACATTTACAATTCAAATACGTATTGTGTAGACTCATACATCCATATATATTTTTAAGAATTGTCCCCATTGCTTAAACAAGCGTTGACCTGTAGTCATCTCTTTTTGGTTGCCCCGGGTCAGTCATATTCCTCACGGTACACCGACGACTTCCATTGCTCCATCTCCACGGTGGGCCTCCTCTCGGACGCGTTCCATCACTTGGCTGCCAATCCGCCATTCGTGATTTTTTTTTAAACAGTCAATATGATACCTCACCAACTTGAGTTTTTTCTCCTCGCCGTGTGTTTTTTTTTGTCTCACACTTAAATACATTGCCATCGGCCAATCGTTACAAATTGGTTATCTGTAAATGATCACAAGTTTGATTCGATGAACCGTGCGCGTATGGGTTCATGTTGTAGATACATAATTTACAATCCCCCTTCCCATCATAAATCAATGCATGTGAGTTATCACTTCCACGCAGTATCCATAAAGTATTCGATTAATTCTTCTTAACTATTTCCCATAAAACTATGTTAATACTCCTACGTTCAAGAACACTTGAATTAATCGAATAATCGTTGATACGCTTTGTTCCCAGGGTAATCGAATTACTGGCATAGGCGTGTCTCGCTTAATGAGCGTTCTGCCTCGGAGAATTCGCGATAACGAGCAAATTTGAATGTAGACCCATTTGTTCGCAAAACGAGCAAATGTTTGTTTTGCCTATCAATAAATTTGCCTCCCGTGGCGGCAGGGGGCGCACGTTGGCCCACAGCTGTTTGTTTGCCAGCTTTGCTTGCCTGCATGTCTCGTTGTGTGTTGGAGGAGGCCTTGTGGCACTGTGATGGGTGGGTGGCGGCGCTAATTGCAGAGGCTATGAACCAAGTAACCCGAGTTCAATTCCGAACCACGGCTAACATCAGTGGCGAGTGATATTTGAACCAGAGGTCCTGCATTGCTGCTCCCTCCACCCAATAACGTCTACCCTTCAAACTACATGCCAGGCACGTGCAAGCACTGTGGTTCTTCACGTGTGATAAGTGTTACATTTGATATTCATTTATTTTAAAATAAGAATTTTTATTTCTCACGTAAAAAAATGTTCGAGATTGAAAAATGTTGGGACAGAAACGTAGCCCAGCTTTTAACACGGGAGTCAATGGGGAAAACGATGATCGTTTCACAAGTTTTCGCTTACCGAGAAATTTGCGTACCAGTCAATCCCTTATCAGTGCCTACCTTATTACAGACCAATTCAGACTTCATTGATCACTCCATACCCTTATAAATCTCAACGTTCATCCTACAAAGTCCCATCACAAGGGAGAAACACACAAAAATAGACAACAAAACATAGTTTTGCCCGTATTGAAACGGCTGTACGCCGTAAGGATCTGAATACTCAATGTCCCTACAAGAATACGGGTAAAAGATATGGGTTGACAGGTATGAATTTGTTAGTGAGCGGAACGTAATCTCGCTCGTTAAGCGAGACACGCCAGTGGTCGATTAATCGTTTCACCCCCCCTTACCCCCTCCACCCCACTAGCCCCTCCTCCTCACGCCCCCTATCCCACTAGCCCCTCCTCCTCACGCCCCCTACCCCACTTGCCCCTCCTCCTCACGCCCCCTACGCCACTAGCCCCTCCTCCTCACGCCCCCTACCCCACTAGCCCCACCCTCTCACGCCCCTCCCCCTCCATAACCCACTAGCCCCTCCCACTCCTCGCCGCGGAGCCCGGGCCCAGGGTGAGTCGCAGCTTCGCGCACAACCGAAAACAAACACACACACAAACACACACACAAACACACACACACAAACAAACACACAAACAACAACAACGCTGACAGTCACACACCGAGACAATCAACCTTCACGTCGCGCCGCCGCAATCGCTGTCATCGTTGTGTTAAACGTAAATCGTTCGCTGTTTGTTTTACCACCCCACCCCCCCACTCGACGACCGACCCCGCGGGGCCTCTGGGTTCCGCCGGCCGAGGCGCCTCCTCTCCGGGCTGCTGAGTCAGGGGAGTCCGAGGCTCTGCGGGAAAGCGAAACGGCTTCGGGGGTGACCCCACCCGCCTCGCTCGTTCCCCGCTGTTGTTGTTGTTTGGGTGGGCAGTTATCCTTGTCGTTTCGATCGTTTGAGACGCCTGGGGTCGGTGTTCGAGTCGACAGTATCTTCGTCGTCCAACCGTGATCGGCTCTTCGTGCTTAAGCACCGGGACACGTCATCGGCCTGGGGAATGAACCGCGGCCGAGGGTCGGCCTCCCCCCCCTGCCGCCGGAGGAGACGGAGCGGTGAAATGATCCGCTCGTGTGCAGGTTGCTAGAGTGTGTTACATCGCAGCTATCGTGCGAGGTGGCGGTGACGGCTTTGGGTGGTGTGGGGGGGCGGCGTTCGTCCAGCAGTGGATTGAGCGTGACTGGCGACACGTACACGGCGGTGTAGTAACGTAGACAGGTGGCCGGCGAGGTTGTAGCGTATAGAAACATCGCATTATCGTGAGAGTTGGTGACGTCTTTGGGAGGCATTCATCCAGCAGCGGATTGAGTGTGGCTGACGATACGTCCACGGCATAGGAACGTGGACAAGTGTGGCTGCGAGTTTGGCCACAGTAGTATCGAGTTCGTGGGGGTATTTTGCGCGGAGGTTTGGGTGAATTTCCCCGTCATTGTTGGAGTGTTTTTTTTTCGTGTTGTCTTCCGGATGCTACCGTTTCCTCCTACATGGCAGACAAACTCGTCATGGAAATTGGCCGAACGTCCCTCCCCTTAATGCAGCGGAATCCTGAAAAATAAATCGACTCGCGAGGTTTTCTTCGGTGAATAGAAGACGTCGAGTTTCCAGTGCAGAATTGGGATCGCTTATATCGAGCTATCGCATTTTTGACGCTATTATACAACCTCTTCCTTCCAATAGAACATTGGTAAAATTCTTTGACTTGTGCGGCAGTGCCACGGTCATGTGAAGTGAATTTTGTCCGTCTTAGGAATGTGTGAATTCCCACCACTGACGAAGGGCTGTGAAAGGGATATAGTCTTACCACACTTGAGTCGAATACATTGTAAGGTCTACTGTTTGTGTGCGTTTAATATGTTTTCGTGACATGTATTGCTCGAATGATCAGCATGTGTTTGGGAGGAAAATAAAAACGCATTGGAAACCCAGCGAGGACGTATATTTAGAATGGACGGGCGGGGAATTTAAATGACCTAACGCGAGTCATCGCGTCTATTCGATACTAAAACTAAGGAACGTGCTTTGATAGTGATGTGCAAACACAGCCAGAAACACACCTTTGCTCATGAACATTGACTTACAACAAAATACTAGGTTAACGTTTTGGACAATAGCCCATAAGAGCAGGACGCCTCGTTAACGTACTGTTTAATTTTATTGTAGGACAATGGTAATGATCAAAGCAACTTGTTTTTTTTTCAGCCTGTTTCACTTCTGACATCTTTGCATCACATGTTCATGGCCATGTAGAATTTGCTTGATCGGTGGTATTTTGACCATGTTACTGGGAGACGTGATGAACCTTAAAATACAACTGAGCAACTCCTATACATATTCAGCGTGGAGCATGTTTTCTATTTGTTTTTCAGGATGCTACAACGTTGACTGATTGCAAAATCTTAATTTTCCACAATTAAGTGAGAATCATCTGATCCTCCTGCTCCTGGGACTCTACTTTCACTTTCTTTGGCTCCTCCCAGCCCACTGCTTCGCCTCTGCTCAAGTCATCGCTGTCATGGCAAACCGTGGCATGGCCAGCAGGCCCAACGGCCAGGTTGCTGGTAACAAGATGTGCCAGTTCAAGCTCGTGCTGCTCGGCGAGTCGGCTGTGGGGAAATCAAGCCTGGTGCTGCGGTTTGTGAAGGGTCAGTTCCACGAATTCCAGGAGAGCACTATCGGTGGTAAGTGTAATGAATCAATACCCACCCAGGCCAATTGTTTGGAAGGGGGCAAACTGTAAACATGACGTTAATTTTCTTCTAAAATTTAGCAACAGCTTATGGCATCTTTTGCAGCTGCCTTCCTGACGCAGACGGTCTGCCTGGAGGACACGACGGTGAAGTTTGAGATCTGGGACACGGCCGGGCAGGAGCGCTACCACAGCCTGGCGCCCATGTACTACCGCGGGGCACAGGCTGCCATCGTTGTGTACGACATAACTAACCAGGTCTGGACTAAAATCACCAACAGCCCCTGCTGTTAAAGCCCCACGGCTTCACGTATCAAGAACAGCTTTGAACAGATGCCCGTGCATGTACTGTGGCAGGGCACAAATGATTGTAGGAGCTGATATTCGGTTTTGTACACCCTTGAAGTTGTTTGGGATGTGTTCACCCAAAATTAGCTCCTGCACGTGCAGGTGGTAGATCGATTGAGCTGCAAAACCATAAGGTGATGACAAATTTGGGAGGCTGTCTTCCAGCAGTGGATTGATAATGGCAGATGGTGATGTTGATGATCCAACAAGAATGTTAACTGGAGACCTTACATACCAGGTTTTTGTAATATACATAATGCAGTATTTAAATTTTCAGGGAATTTACGAAGTGTGGCTGTGTTGCATCACCAATATTAACACTGTGTGTGTGCTTGTTTTGCAGGACTCGTTTGCAAGAGCAAAGAATTGGGTTAAAGAGTTACAGCGGCAGGCAAACCCGAACATTGTGATTGCTCTTGCAGGAAACAAGACAGACTTGGCCAACCAGAGGACAGTTGATTTTGAGGTAAAGGCTTGCAAGTAATGGGAGCCCATTCACAATATTAAAACACATTGGCTGTCATAATTTTTGCAGGTTTTCACAGTGCTTGTGTGGTGTTACAACAATCATGAGTTCTGAAATTGAATCGTTTTTTATGTTTTACCTTGCAGGAGGCACAGGGATATTCAGAAGACAATGGCCTTTTGTTTATGGAAACATCTGCAAAAACAGCCATGAATGTGAACGACGTATTTTTGGCTATAGGTGAGAAGTACAACAAAAAGTACACTTGCTTTTTGAAGCTGCTGCTCTATAGCTTGCATGTAATTTCACTGCAATAAGTGTAGTTGACAACGATGTATCAGAGCGATAATGTAAAGAGTACCCAGGGTTAAAATGTTTTGTCTCCTATGCCTCTTGGTAAATGAAAACCTCCACCCACGTTTGTTCTGTAATGCTGCCAGGGCTTCTCCTTTAAGGTTACCTAAGTGTTATACTACAATTCCTGCCTTTTATTTAGATTATAATAGCGGCAATTTGTTTTACGTGCAATTTTCCTTAAAAGCTTGCTGTGAGTCATATTTCAAATGCTTTATTTTAGTAGTAGAATCATATTAATTTGGTATATAAAATGTAATATATGTTGCAGTTTGTGCATCGTTTATTGCCAGACCTTTTACAATGTATTTTCCCTTGTATATTTTAGCCAAGAAGCTACCGAAAAACGACCAAAGTATGCAAAGCGGAAATGCCAATCTAACTGTCGAGCCTCCTCCTCCAAGCAGAAGCCAGTGCTGTGCATAATGACTTCTCCATGGCTGAATCCACCTGTGTACGCTACCCACAGTACCATCGCCCCCATCGAGCATCCTTCCTGCGTCTCATTACTTCCGGCCCCATATATTACCCCTCTGTTGCTGGTGTGCACACACGTGGGAGCATAAACATTTAATGGTGAATGAAACTAACTGAATATGATCTCATTTTTCCCCCCAAGTAGCATTACAGCTTCATCGCTTATAATTTTGAAAGTACTATGATACATTTTGGAAACACTGCTACATCACTAGACCACTTGGCATCTCAGACTTCTTTTAAATTCTTTTGAAATCTGAGATATGGACGTTGGCAATTCTGTAGTCCCTTTGTATTAAACGTGTTGCATTGTAACATCAATCTATTTGAATCTGTCTAGACACAGCATCCACTGTACATACCTGAACTCTTATGGATATCATACAATATAGATGACAGCAGTGATTCTCTGCTTTTTTTTATCAATAGTCCCTCAGTCACCATATAGACCCCATTATTTTGAGCAGTGATATATAGTTGGCGTTGTAGGCATTGGTTCGGTCTGATGCCACTACCGAACTGGAAGCCCTAATGATCCCTTGGCTGTTCAGACCCCTACTATGGGTTGTGGAGACCCTGGGTGTCCACTCCCAGAAAGGGATCCCTATTGTGTGTACAGTAATATACATTTTAAACCTCAGTGCCATGCAAAAAAAAAACAACACGATTGAGTAATCCACCAAAATATTGGAACATCTGCCGTCACGGAAGCATATCGCGGTGCCTGCAATTTCTGCATGCTACAGCTTTGGTTTTGCTTGCACAACCTTGGTGCTTCAAATTTCTAGTGGTGTTTGCCCACCTGTCTGCATAATGCCCACCAAGGAATGGCTCATGTGGACTTATTACCAGCTGTGTGAGGCTCCTCTTGACTGATACCCAGCTAATCTGTTAGTGTAACCTTTGTGATTGATTTTCCTCGGGAAGAGTGGGATTTGTTTTTTTTTTCTTTTAGTGGGGACAAACATTAAAATCGTGTTTTTTTTGTGCATTTGAATGTTTTAGGTTATGTTCGAAGATACCTTTAACTATAAAAAGTATATATAATTGTAAATAAAATATTGTCACCTTAACCGATTTGAATAAATCCTCTTAAAAGTACAGAATAAGATGTACTGTAATAAGAGAGCAATTTAAACAATATTGAGTGCAAACTGAATATCTTGTGTGCAAACAGCAGCAGCATGAAAAACTCTCTCAGATGTTAAGTATATCATTATGTAAAACTGATCATGTATTAAAATGTCCTGTGTTGCTTTGCTAATGTCATTTTGAATAAAAATAGGAAGTACCACTTCAGTTTTGCATTTCTTAAGATGCAAGTGCAGCATTATGCAAATATAAGCAGTTAAAACTTTTTAAATGTTAAAATTAATAATGAACATATTCAAATATTCTTTAATATAAATAAAGTACTGTATTATGGCTGTTACACAACAAACACATCGCATCAAACGTGCACACTATTTAGCGTTAAAGTGGTTCCATGTTTTCGGTTGCTGAGAATAATACATTTTTAATGATGTTGAAATAAAGTCCATTTATGAAAATAAATATTTCACCTGGTGGGTAAATCTTGTCTGCTGGCCATGTGGAAAGCTGTGAAATTTGTTTTTACCATGATGAAAATATATCCTGCGTTTAATCCTGCAATGAATAAAAACTGGAAGCACAACTGCAGTGCCATCTTTAAGATACAGGATTTTTTAAATGTTTCCAAATTTGTATCCTTATTAAATAATGAGACGAAGCATCCCCATTCAGAACGCTCAGAGCACTGCAGCCCTTGTTGAAGAACGTCCCTACAGACGTGGATATTACTGAGCTAGATCTGAACCCTTTCAGTAACATCCGGTCGACGCGGTAAGGGAGGAATAATGTTCGTTGCATGATAGTAAACTAATAATTTCATTATAGCTTGAATTGTCACATTAATGGCAGAACCAAATGTATATGATAGTATTTTCTCAATTATTGGTGACCGGGATAAAGTTGACGTGCTCCATTTGATAGCCCATATTAATCTCAAGCGGCTGCCTGGATTTACACCCAGGATATCGGCGATGTCGGCTGTGCGCTTGACGTCTGTGCCACCAGCCCAACTGTTAAGAGAATGCTTTTTCAAAGTTAAGGGAATGGTATAGTTTTTCAGAGTATGACTTACATTTCAACACGGCATCGTTGCAGAAAATATTTTTTCAAAGTACACAGCCCAAACTTCAAGGGGAGTACAGAAGAATGTTGTGAGACCGGATTTTTGGAAAAATAGATAACATGCTTTTTAGTTGCCTGTGTGGCTTGAGAATGCACTGTATAGCATTAAAGTAAGAAACCCATACTTTGTAATGTTACTGTTACATCTGTCTAATCCTTACGGGATTGTTTCTTCAACACTATACAAACTTTGGATTCAAGTTTGTTTTAAGTTCTACTTAAATTCTCATGGGCCTGAAAACACGGGGAAGTGGGGGTAATTTGCATTTCCAGGTTTTTCGCGTGACCATATTTACACTATGCGGTAACCAATATGCTATAACACAAAAAAGGAATCATGTAAATGTCGACAGGAAGGGCCATCACAATCCAGCACATACTTTTGAGCCTGCTGACAATGCGTAGTAGAATACTCGGGCTAAATAGTTCTGACGTGCATCCTTGTTAGGCTATGCGGTTAAAGCCCGCGTTACGAGTTAATGGAAATAAACGTACCCCACAAATAATAAACCTGCATCCAGGTAGTCTTTCCTAGTGACAGTTCACTGTTGGGCTGCAAAGTCGCAACACTTCCCTTTAAGTCAGCGTAATTGCACTACAGTACATGTTTGTAATGTGCCCGTAGCACATTACATTCCTGCAATACCTGGGGATGACGCAGACGACTTCGCATATATATTGTTCCGCAAAGCATGGATTGGCAATGTTTCTCAACTGCTAATCCGCACCTCCGATTCGCTGGGTCGGAAAGAAGTTAAACAAACATACACGTACATTGTCGTTTGGGCTGCAGCTAATAGTTTACAGGACACACCTGTTTTGTTGCCAGCACAGACACTTGATGTGCGACCACTTGCCCTAGGAAGGAGTTGAACGAGTCGCCAGATTCCTAAGCCATCATGTCCGCGAGGTCTCCGATTGACCATGGCCTGCGCGTCAAACTGGTGCTGATCGGAGAGTCGAACGTGGGCAAGACCAGCCTGCTGAGACGCCTCGCGCGGAACCAGTTCATTCCCAATGAGGTCGCGACCGTAGGAGGTAAGCAGGCTCAATGTACTTCGTAAAACATACGTTTTCATGTTATCCCCGTGGTCGCGTGGATTTTTCTGCGGGTCCTCCGCGTTTTTTTTTCCTCCACATTTAGAAACGTACGTTTAGAGTATTTGGCTGCTGCTATGAATGTTCCACGTGATAAGCCCACTTCGTTGGGCTGTCATTTGTGGCCAGGTCGCTGCTGAAAAAATAGCGATATTGCTCAGAGGGCCTTACCTGGTAAAATAACAAAAACAGTTTCGAATAATTCACAGACATCTGCCAATCCACTGCTGGATGACGGCCTTCCTACACCATGCAGAGTGCACTATGCAGTGCATCACTCCACCCAAACAATGTACAATGTAGTCCAGATGTCTTGTGACCTCCATTTAATTATCTTAAACGTGATATATGGGAATACCAAATTTGCATACCGATTAATTGGGGGTCACAAGACATCTGGACCACGCGGTATATTTGTAAATTTTTATTTAAAAAAATAGGATTATTCAGAAAACAAAAAAAATACGTGGAGCAGTGACAAGTACATTGTGCTATGGGCCCAGCGAACTGGGTTCGATTTCAGGCCGTGGCAAACATGACTGGTGACCGACACACGAACTGAACCTGGGAAACTGGTCCACCCAGCACCAACCTGCACGCACCCAGTAACCTCAACAGAGTGGGGTTGCCATCATCCAGCAGTGCCAATAGAGCCGTACGTGTACATAACGAATATATTGCACATTTTTTAAACGCCACGTACTTGCGCCCTCTCCGATTGGCTTCCTTTTGGCAGTCGCCTTTCAGAGCTACGTCGTGCACCTGGAGGAGGCGCCGGTGCGCCTGGAGATCTGGGACACGGCCGGGCAGGAGCGTCACCGTATGCTCACCCCCATCTTCTTCCGCAACGCCGAGGCAGCCGTGCTGACATACGACATCAGCAGCCAGGCACGTAGACGCACCACCAGCACTGACGCTGCACATATCTGTTAGCCCTCACCTCGGTTTTGTCACCTCTGCAGAACAAAAAAAAAATGAGGGCAATTCGTGAGAAGAATATCTCACGATAAATTCATTGGTTGAGTACCGCACTGGCAAGCAACTGACAAAAAAGCAGGACTTTTAACGTGGGTGGTCTTGAATGGAGTTATGATGCTGAAGAAGCTCCCAGCACGTGGAGCAAAAACGTCGGACATCATGCAGAACAACGCGCGGTACAACCGGAAAAAAAACACGCGGGGAGCTACACAGCACGCCCACAAAAACCCTACACAGTCGTGATACTTGCTTTTAAAACAAAAGAAAACAAAAACTGAAATCCACATCCGGTAAAAAATACAATTGAGAAATGTAACGTGTCAAATTGTCTCTCCAGGAGTCCTTTAACAAGCTCCAGTTCTGGATAAGCGAGCTGAAAGAGAAGTCGCATCCAAACGTGGTGATGGCTCTGGCTGGGAGCAAGTGTGACCTGGAGGTCTCACGACAGGTTCAGCACGAGGTACTGCAGCGTTCACCCCACGTCTGCTCACTCGCCAACATTTCCATGGTCTCTGACACTTCTTGCGATCTCTGTGTATGTTTCCGCGCTTGTACTCTATTGCTCTGAGAAATATTTTTTTTGGGTTGTACTGTGAATCTGAATTCATTTCCTGCAGATGGTCCCCCAGCAGGTGGAGGGAAATGTCAGACGTGTGAACAACGCGTGGTATTTCTCATCGTTTACAACTAAATTGTAGTATCAGTACATTACATTTTCATGGCAAATGCCTCGGCTGACCTATGTAGACCTTCGTATATCTGTAATTATTGAACCAATAGTCATGAAGAACATTTTGCTAATTGCCTATGACTACATTATCCTGAAAGCATCCAGTCTCATCAGCTATAATAGTTGGGCACATGTGAGTGTAGCAATATTATCTCATCACTCTGCTCTGTATTCTAGGAATCAACAGCGTCATCCTAAAAAATAGGTTTTCGTAGCCAATACGATGATTCATATTTGTTTTCGGGTTTAGCCACGTGGTGGTTTTATACCAAAATTGCCATTAACCTTTCACCACCTGACCGATTGTCACATTTACAAAAAACTACATCTTTACAGTCGTGACAACCTTGGCAGGTGGTGGAGGCTGAATGACAATAATTTTTTTCTGCATAAAACCACCACGTGGCCTAACCCAAAAACAAATATGGAAGAGCATCATCATCACTCCAACAATGCAAGGGTCCATTGTGAGTGGTTGTGGCCGTTGTTGTCACTGAATGTCCATGCAACAATTCTGACGTTTGCTCGCTGCAGGAGGGTGCGAGGTTTGCCAGGGAGCATGGCATGATCTTCATGGAGACGTCAGCCCAAGCGGCCATGAACGTAGTGGAGCTGTTTCACGCCATCGGTGAGTTTTGCCAGAACATGTGGTTATGACTGGGGTGGGGGGGGCAGGGACCCAGGAGCTTTCCAGAGATCATGAAAAGCACCCAAAATTCTTCTAATTGCAAAACACCCCGCTAATTTTAATGTTTTTTGCCACTTTGAAAAAAAGAGATTTACTAATTTTCTAAATTGCATAATGGCTGCGAGCGGCGACTGTCAAGAAAAATGCCATTATTCATTCATATTGCGCTTGTGCTGCATAATGTGCGCTCACCTCGGTGAACTTGCTAAAATGAAAGGACCAGGCATAATGTTCCATCGTTGGATGGAACATTCTTGTGTAAAAAGAAAAATACATGGCAAACAAAAAAGAGAATCCCAATTTTACAAATAAACCTGCTCCACTTATAAATGTAATGGCGTGTTATTTTCTCTGGTCTGGTGGCTCCAGAAGTCGAACAAGTGGCTCGCAATTGGAAAGTTGCGAGTTCAAATCCTGGTTGGGGTTTGACTCAGCCCGTCATTTCTCCGGGGTCAATAGTACGCAGTTCTGCCACAGGAAAGTGGAATTTTCACAACTAGCTTTCATGCTGTAAACGGGGGATGGTCACCTCAATGCATTATTGAGCAGGAAGACATTTGCTTCATTAGATTTTCTTTACACATTCATGAGCGACTGCTGTGATTCTATTTTGCAGTGTGGCTGAGAAAATATGAATTACTGCAGTCACGAAAGCTTTAAATCAAAATTTAATGTAATTGTTGTTGACAGCAGAGAGGGTGAGCAAGAACCATCAGCTGAACACACGGGGCGACTTGAAAAAGAAAAGGAGTAAGAGCATCACCCTACAGCCTCCAATACAGGCCGAGAGAAAATGTTATCATTTGTAGAATTGCACATTCATGAAAATCCAAAGGAAACATTTGGAAGATTTTTTCACGTTATATATCAATATCAGTCACGGTCAATCCACTGCTAGATGAATAATAAATTACATAAAGCACCCTTCTGCAAGGTATTCAAATCGCTGTATATCACGAAAATAAATACATTGCTTCCCAAGGAAAGGAAAAACTAAGTATAAAAGATCACGAATAATTTTATTGTTTTATATTTTTATTATTTTATTGTTTCCCTTCTACGTGACTTTACTGAAAGAACCAAGAATATGAATCCCTGCAGTCACGAAAGCTTTAAATCAAAATTCAATCAAAACATGTTGCTGACTTCACTCAATGCCCTTTCCAATTGACAATTTGTCTTTATCCTCTTAAAATATAAACCAGAGTTCATACGTAATAATTGCGCGCTGGTTTCGGGAGGCTCTCATCCAGCGGTAGATTGACACCTACAATTTCATAACGACAAATCTGTTGCTCTTATGTCACACCATCTATTTTTAAAATATTTGATTTTATACCTACGTGACTTTATCGAAAGAACCAAAGAGTATGAATCCCTGCAGTCACGAAAACTTCAAATCGAGATTTAAAAGATCATTTTGGAGAACCAAAAGAAGATAAATGAGTGTTGGGGCAGGTTTTAAACTCCGCACATTGTCTCTGAATCGCAAATGACATTGGGCAGGATGCTCTTTCCACCGCTGGGTAGCAGTGCATCAGAAGGCACAATCACCCACTGATAGGAGGAGCCACTTCAGAGGAATGCACAGAGTACACTGTCCCATCGAAGACCAAAGCCTTCATGATGGCACACAAAAAGGCCTCCCCAAACCGCCACAACCTCTTGTAATCCTGCGATGTAATAACATCGTGAACAGCAGTGGTTCCCAACATTTTTTTCTGGATCCCAGGGCCACTGGCAATCCTCAAAGTGTGCGGACCGCCACACAGTAAAAAATATATGGTTTTATGAAAAAAAATGTATCTGCGACATTTCGGCAGACCACTTGGTTATCCACCAGAGAATCAACGTCCAGTCGGCACTATTGAGTGTGGAGCGAAACCAGCTACGGTGGATGAGTCATCTACTAAGGATGCCGACAGAAAGACTCCCCCGGGAGACATTCGAAGTACAGCATCTAGGCAAAAGACCCAGAGGCCGCCCACAATCGCGCTGGAAAGATCGGGTGGTGTGCCTGGCCGAGGAAAGACTGGCGATCCGGGAGCCACAGTTGATGCCGCTGGCGTAGGACAGGGCAGGATGGAAGGCCCCCGCGGCCATGACGACCTTGTGGACAGATATGGCCTGCGGATCACAAATTGCGAATCACTGCTTTATCGCAAAATTAATTTGTAGGCATGCTTATATTGTAACTGTCAGAAATGTATTTCAATAAATTTGTAGATTAAACAACATTTTTACAAGTGCCGAATCATGTTTGTAAGAATTGGTAACGTACGGGTCATGAAAATATTCATACAAATTATGTGATTAGGTGCATTTGAGCTAATGGGCTCAAATTGACTCAAAATCAACATCTGCACCCGGAACACCACATCCAGTACACCTCTTGCTATGGTCACGTATATAGAGATAAATTATGGCCATGTTTTATGCACACAGTATATTTAGATGTAGTCAAATGTCTCCCCCCCTTTTCTTAAGCATGCCACTAAAACATGTTTCCTTCAAATGTTTTTTGGCCATGATTAGCACCATCTGGTTTTTACCATCATAATCAAATAACCACTTGGGCTCTTACTCAAGAGAATATGCTGCGAATAATTGTGTTTGGACCATATTCATGATTCTAAGTGCGTCAGATGCCATGTGGTGGGTAATTTGAGTCACGTAATTAAGGGCTCGTAATTCATAATAGTTAACAGTGGTTCATGTACATAGGTTGGTGTGTCATTCCATAATTACGAGGGCCTGTGTTTAAATGTAATTGACGGCATGATTGCGAGTGTTTCAAAAAAATGTCAGCTCTGGTGTGTATATAGCATATAGGAGTGTAAATACGCACATAAGGAATGTACACCCATATTTTGTATATTGCAAACACGTATATAGAGGATATTGTACACACATACAAAGATAATGCAGTGCAATTGAGCATTATGGACTCAAATCCATAAGTACCAAGTTCATTTCATCGTCAAAGTTAAACAACATTTTTTTTTAACTATTCTGGTTGGGTTAAACCAAATACGCTACTAAATTATAAACTAATAACATCAAAAATTAAATGGCTCTTCATATCTCCTACATCTATTTGCCGAAATTCACCTCTTAAATATTTTTCCTTTAACGGCATTGTCACTGACGAATGTATTGAATTTTGCTTGTGGTTATGCACCACTGCCAACGCAGTACAGCAGCACTCAGACTAAAAAGTGTAAACAAAAATTAAGTCCAGCATTAAGTTATTGTGATGGTTTTTTTCCCGAACCGATTGGTCAAAACTTTGTACTGACTTCGAATAGAACTGAAATAATCGTGATTTATTTTGGGACTTATTATCCAGTGGCCAAGAAAGCCACATGATCAAATAGGGCTTCAACGGTATTTCTGCCCGACACTACATTATTTAACTGGGATTTGGCCATAAAGGGTAAAGGTCAGAGGAAAGGAGTGGGTGACAATCTCAAGCTCGAGCTAAATAAGAACACCACTGTTGGCACTGCCCAATAGCCAATATTATATTTAATGACACGTTAATGCCATAATCCATGCAACCTTATAGGTAAAGCTCACCGATCTATTACTCATTAATGTTTCATATACGTGCATGCAAGAGATACTGTATTTGCTTAAGAGATATTTAATGCAAACATACGCCTGGTTGCTTATCTATGCTTGTCAAGCATACAATGTAAACAAAGTGTGATTTAAAGATAACATACTATTGTGTTTCGATTTAAAGCTTTCGTGACTGCAATGATTCATCTTCTTTGGTTCTTTCGGTAAAGTCACGTAGAATGAGAATAAAATAATAAATTGATAAAATAAAATAACACAATAATATTCTCACGACGTTTCGGCCACAACACAAGCGGCCTTCATCAGGTGAAGGGACGAGACTGTCTGGTAGGACAGCGCTGGAGTGAAAGAGCCACGTTCAGATCACGGCCTTTAAGCTGTGTGAGAGGAACAAAGCGCCTTGACAAAGGAATTAGCATATAATTTAGCATTGAAATGGCTGAATGATTAGCTTGTGACTGGTCAGAAATAGCTATGTTAAAAGTTAAAGCATACACATCCGCAGAGGCACCCCTTGATAAAGGAATTAGCATAGAATTTAGCATTGAAATAGCTAAGTTAAAGCATACACATCCGCAGAGGCACCCCTTGACAATGGAATTAGCATAGAATTTAGCATTGAAATAGCTGAGTGATTAGCTTGTAACGGCTCACAGAAATAGCTACGATAAAGTCAGAGCATACACATTCACCGAGGCACTTAGTACAAATCAAACAGGAGAATTTAGCATTGAAATAACTAGGCGAATTTAGCATTGAAATAACTGAGTGATTAGCTAGTGACTGGTCACAGAAATGACTATGTTGAAGTCAAGGCCTACACATCTGAGCTATTCACAGTACTATATAGTGAACCAATAAAAAACTAAAATATAAATTACCTTAATGTTATCAATAAACTCTATATTCTCCAATCAGCTAAGCTACCAACAATAAATGCTAAATTCGCCTAGTTATTTCAATGCTAAATTCTCCTGTTTGATTTGTACTAAGTGCCTCGGTGAATGTGTATGCTCTGACTTTAACGTAGCTATTTCTGTGAGCAGTTACAAGCTAATCACTCAGCTATTTCAATGCTAAATTCTATGCTAATTCCATTGTCAAGGGGTGCCTCTGCGGATGTGTATGCTTTAACTTAGCTATTTCAATGCTAAATTCTATGCTAATTCCTTTATCAAGGGGTGCCTCTGCGGATGTGTATGCTTTAACTTTTAACATAGCTATTTCTGTGACCAGTCACAAGCTAATCATTCAGCCATTTCAATGCTAAATTATATGCTAATTCCTTTGTCAAGGCGGTTTGTTCCTCTCACACAGCTTAAAGGCCGTGATCTGAACGTGGCTCTTTCACTCCAGCGCTGTCCTACCAAACAGTCTCGTCCCTTCACCTGATGAAGGCCGCTTGTGTTGTGGCCAAAACGTCGTGAGAATATTATTGTGTTATTTTATTTTATCAATTTATTATTTTATTCTCATTCTACGTGACTTTACCGAAAGAACCAAAGAAGATACTATTGTGTATTTCATTTAGGCAGTTTTAGTACTGAATTTTGTATGAAGGATCAATGTTAATTCACATTACTTTGAAATAACAGCCAAATGTCCAATTTCACAAAGGTGTAAATTTGTTTTACAACCATGGTATTATAATAACATACATACGCCACATTACATCTTAACTTCAATGCTCATTACATCATTACGTATGTAAACTTAAGAGATGAGTGGTGCACATCTGGAACCCAACACTTTGTGGGGGGTGAGGGCGAATACATTACAAGCATAAGTCAATCTCCAACACCCACTCAGGCTGCTGCAAGGTGGCCAGGAAATGGAAGTACAGGAATGACTACTTGTATCCATCGGTGTGAAACTTCTGAGTAGTATCCCCTCGTATGCATAGGGGTTTCTCTTGGGTTTCCCCTCACATGCCAAAGTACTCATCGATGGATTTCGTCAAAGTCTCAATGCAAAAGCCTCTTGAACAATGTAATCACAGGCAATGCGGCTTTCCGGTTATACAAGGGGCATTAAACAGTCCAAATGAACTTCTTGCAGCTGTGTTTCATGTAATTGCCTTGTGCCTGAGCAGTGCAGATGTCCATTGAACATCTTAAAGTAATGGAAACCAACGGTGAACTCACTTTGCAGAATATGAATTCTAATTGCTATATATGCAACAATTGCAGCAAAAGTCATCTAAATACATTGTACTTCTTGTTCTGGTGCTTGCTAATTGTAAGCTCTCCAGGTGTACCTCTGGGATTGATAAAATAATTCCATAGCAGATCACTCCCACCTACAAATATAGGCATAACACAGCTCTCGGAACAAAATAGCCTTTTCTTTTGTTGTATCCAGATTCTGCTATTGGTGCCATATCAAGCATTACAACCTCCCCATGTGAGAGAAGGGTCTGCAAAATCAGACTTCACAGAACAACTACTGCTGAGATCTAGTATCCACACTAACAGCACTCTCCCACCTGCTCTGTAAGAGATAAATTGCATGACAATCAAACCGACACTTTTTTTTCCAAGAGCTGGAATTGATCCACATTAAGTTTCAACATGTTTAATTTAAAGTGACGGCTTATATGTGCGGTCATTGGTGACCACATTGGACGATCAACTCACTCCACCAGAGAAGCCGGATTAATCACAGGAAACCTGCCTGGACTCAAACCCAGGATCTCAGCGGAGCCAGCCCCACACACTCCGACCCCCTAAGCCTCTGGGTTATCTCTTCTTAAAGGTTAAATAATTCTCAGCCCCACACTCAAGACACGGTATTGCTTGAATTTGGTTTAAATGTTGTACGCTGCCACTTTTAAACTGGATATACAACTGGGAGTAGATTTATCGCATTAGTTGTGTCATTCCAGATTACAGTAAAAAAAGGCAACGCAAACATTAATTTTTAAATGTTGGTGGCGAACATAAATCAGACTCAGTATTTGTTACCTGTTGGCAAGAATTTTATTTTTTGTGGGGATAGCATCAATTTGGTACGAACTGTGATTTAGAAGATACCTTGCTGATATCCAGTGCCCACCTTCACCTGTGATTTTATGGGGCTTTAAGACTTTGCTCATTTAGACTTAGACCAGAGGACGCCAAAAGGCGTGTCCTTTTGGCCTCTGCTATTTTGGCGTCCTCTGGTCTAACACCGTTTTGAGACGAGGTTCAAAAGAAAGCTGTCTCTGGTGTGGACCAATCCGTTTCGAAGACAATGCATATATGATCAGAGTATGTTTTTTGTTTGAATTCTGACCACAAGTATTGTGGTTAATGCAGACATGATTCCTTGTAAAAGGTTTAAGTTTGGTGTTTTAACATCTTAACACCTGTTTCTTGCCAGAAAAAAGGGGAAAACCTTTTTCATAAACGACAACCACGACAATAAAAATACACTGAGCAAAACGAAATTTCCCTTTCAGTAACAATACAGATGCCGTAAAATTATAACGTTGTTCGTCGCAGATTCATCGGCAGTGGTGCACTCACACAAAATAACAAAAAAAACGAAACACAAATGTCGATAGCACTGCTTTAAAAGGGAAAATATATCAGGCGACTCTTTTTGGCCAATGGTCTTTCTTCATAGCATATTTTTAAAAATTCAATTGTGTGCTATGAAGAAGTGCCACTGCAAAAAACGTCACCTGTTGTGTCGAGTTTATCAGTAAATTGATCAAAGCTCACCATCTACAGACGCATCTTACACAGACCTTCTTCCACTGCGAGTCACCGATGCACTTTTCTCAGGTGCCACGCAGTTGTGGGTAGGGAAGAGGGTGTATTTTGCATTTTCATAGCCACAGCTGCGGAGACAGCAGAGAATTATTCTGCTGCTGCTAAAGTTGCAATTTTTTTCATTGGTCCTCAAAATGTGCAGCGCTGTAGCTGGTGAGACGGAATGCGCAGGTCGTCACGGTGGTTTGTTTTAATTTCATCCGCACCAAGCAATCATCTCCCTTGTGCGACCAGGTGGGCCTCCCTTGGTTCGCACACTGAGCTCACCGACACAGCTCCTGTAAAGGAATATTCGGTTAAACTTCAAACAAATACAATAATAATAATAATTTGTGTGATGGCTTTAACCTTCCCATCCATCATGTCCACGGTAGCGGACTGGTATTTAATTATACGAAACATTCTCAACACCTTTGGAAGGTGGGGGGGTCTTTTAAATATTAAAAGAGCATTAAAGTATTTTTTCGGGTTTTGCTTTTAATAATTCATGGATCAGGAGATTTGGTATGAGGCCACGTAGGTTATATTACGTATATTTGTCCTTTAAACCCAAAACTGATTACAAGTTCACGGTTCACCAAATTAGTGTGTATGACTACACAACGTACGTACATGCAAATGCTAAATGTAATTTCCATGATAGGAGTGGCACGCACACTGCACTATGAACCCAGCCACCCGAGTTTGATTCCTGGCAGAGGCCAACATCAGTAGCGGGTGAAATCTCAACAAGTCCTGGCTCCCTCGTCACTAAACCGCGCTGACCAAAGTATATTCAATCAATCCCCGACAACGCACAAGGACGCCTTCATCCAACAATAGGTTAACAAAGAGGCATAAATTATTATATTATTTTTATGTGTTTCATATGTACATATTTTTTGCGCAGCATATCCCATCTCTGATGGTTGAGTACGATGGCAACCTCATTTTGTAATGTCATGTGTGGTTACTTTTTAACCATTGTGTGCATACAAACATTATGCAATTCACAATTTGAAGTATGGCTCTACTAGTAAGACTGGTGTTTATTTTTAAAATAATAATTAATAACACGTCAATACACAAAAACCTGGGTTCATTTTCTGCATCACGAAGCAAATGTACAGTCTCAGATTTAGTAACATACTTTAGCTAAAGTAAGTCCTCTTTGTTTCGCATTTGTTACGAGGGCTATTACACAATAACCAGGAAGCGTTTATCACAATCGGTTAGCGGTTCCAAAGTTGAGAACAGGTAATCGTTTCCCGTGGAATTTTAGGAATGGACGCACCCATTGGCACGCGCGGGGGAGTACAAACGATAAGGTGGCGTAGGCCACCGAGTGGTTAATTTGCCCTCGTTTCTCAGTTAAAGTTAAGCGGTAAAGATGCAACCCTTCAATCGATCACTTACGCCACTGATGGCGGAGGTGCCTCCAATAGAGGGAACACTAGAAGTGATATAGTGGTCTAATAATCCAAACTGACCAGATGTCTTGGAAGAGATTGGCATACCCACACTTTTTCCCACCACACGTGACCTACCCAAGGACTAACTGTGGTGTATACGCACAATTATACTGCTGGGTGGACAGAGGCAGAGATTGTTTAAGACATTTTCAATTGCCTTGTCAGGAGATCAAATCGAACCGGCGACTTCTAAAATGCTGACCGTGACACCACAACATCTCTCTTCGTTTCCAGTTAAAAACGTGAATTTCTTTAACATGTGACAAAGTGATAAACATTTGATTTTCATCCGGTTACAGGCAAAGCATGCAATACCAATTTTAACAACCATAATTCACACAAAGATCACAATTCATGAATGTGCTTCGATTTAGAGGTCTCCCTGCGAATTTCTGCTTCCGCCGTTAATGTGTTTGCGTTAAATTTAGGCGGTTAAGTAAGTGCGCGGCATGAGGAGCGACACTCCGGCCACTGCGGAGTGGGCGTCGGGATTGGGAATGAGCAGGGAGGGACGGTTGGATGCCACTCCACGTCGCGCGGAGGCCGTCCCTCGCCCACGCACCTCGGCCCGATCTCAACGGCGGGGGGGGCGAGCGGGACGATAAAAACCCAAGCGGCGCACACAGGGGACCCCGAAGCTCCCTGCCGCTCGCACCGCTCGTCGCCTGCTCCTCCTCCTCCTCCTCTTCTCGCAGCACCGGTGGCAGTGGCCAGCCCGCACCCATCCCTTCCGCCATCCCTCGCTGCCGCCCCACGGTTACCCACCGAGCAGTCCCCCTGTAGCTTCCTGCAGCCCGTCGCCCATGGCCACGATGGGGGCTGCCTGCGTGGCGGCATGGATGGCGATGCTGGCGCTGTTAGCGTGCGGCTCACCGCAGCGTGGCTCGATGGCCGTGGCGGACGAGCTCAAGTCCCTGGACAAGCCGTTCAACCAGGAACTGGTGAGAAATCTGCGTACTCCACCTAGGGTTGCCACCTGTCCTGGTTTTTTTTTAGCCAGGAATGTCCTCTTTTTGAGTTAACCACGCTCAAACCCAACAACTTTACTCTTTGCTTCTTTCGGTAAAGTCGCGTAGGTATAAAATAAAATAAATCAAGATCCAACTACTTTACTTATGGATGATTTGTGTTGTCAACATGAGAGCTACGGTCGCCAAATATCCTTCCTGGTTTTCCCAGGATCTTCATCATTTTGCAGTAGCGTTCCTGGGAAATTTGTTAAATCTTCCGAGGACACATGGGGTGCTCCAGTGGCGAGGTATTAATCACTTCGCCTGATATACAGGAGGTCATGGGTTTGATCCGAACCCTGACACCTGTATATTTGTAGTTTTCGTGTTCTCCCCGTGGCCGCATGGATTTTTCCCCGGGTCCTCCGGTTTTTCCCTCCACTTTTAGAAACATGCGTTTAGAGGGTTTGGATGCTATAAATTTCCACGTGATAAGCCACTTCGTTGAGCTATCATTTGTGGCCAGGTCGCTTATGAAAAAGATCTATACAGCTCAGTTGGCCTTACCTGGTAAATATAAAAGTTTAGTTTTTTAGTTAATTAAAAGTCCCAGTTTTTATTATCAGTCGTGAAATAATACCCCCACTCAAGACAATGCTATGAACGTGTAGTTCCGCCCTCGTCGGTTACGGCGAGACATTCTTCTTCCTGTGACACGTCCCAGTTATCCGTACCCCAAGACGTGGCAACCCTATCTGCACTGCGGTGTGGCTCCGGCGGAGATGAGTCTCCGCAGAGCGGGTGGCGCGCACTGGCTCTGTGGCATACACGCACAGCGGCAACACCCAGCGATGTTGTCCTTCCCCCTGCACCTCTGATTAGCTACGTGCAGTGCTACGTGCAGTGCGACAGAAGTTCAACGTACATGCATAAATAATATCAAGAAACAAACTGGACGGACTAAACGTAAATTAAGTTTTCATTATGCAATGTTTCATGTTAAATAATTTTATGTCAATATTTCTTAGTTACTTAATTTTACATTTATGTTAGGATGGCCTCTGACATGCAAATCCCCCATCCAGCGTGCACCTCTGTACGTGCGTATACGGGCGTGTTTTTTAGCGTGTGACTGTATGAAAGGTTGATTTTGAGTTCTACCGTTATACTTGGATACATTTGTGATGCATTTCCATTCCCACGACCACATAAAGCTCATAAAGGCACACACCATTGTGGATTGTACAGGTTGGTTTTCGCGTTTAATGCTCACGCATACTCACGAGATAGACCAGTAGTAAAATGTGTCCTCATTTTAGTTTTATAATTTTTAACTTTATTACATTCCTTTCAAGAAAATATAGATTTTAATATTTTCTGATCACGTTTATGCGAGTTCGCTACATACAGCATTAGGAACTGCATACATTATTAATTGTTACCATTCACTTTGCACTCGGTTTTCTGTAAAAACGCAATGTTTCCTTTGCAGCCCAGATGCACGGAGTTATGCCTCTTCGTGTAAAACAACTGAACGGTGCTCACGGTTATCCTGATCCAATTTCCGAACTAATGGGACTTAACAGAATCAGAATCTTCATTTATCCTGAGACTTAACATTTCCTTAGTGTGGGCAGAATGAACCCAAACCCTGCTTGCACTACACTGGTTCCTCGCTGCCGCCTTGCGTGATCCTCAGCTGCCCCCAATGTCGTGGTGCCCCGCACCGCGCCACGGTTCCCGTAACGACCCTCTCAGCACTGACCAGTCGCACAGTGTCGTGGTGACATGCATTGGTTGACATTCAGAAACAAAACATTATAAGAGTGCAGTCTTATCGCCCTTCCAAAACACGAAATTCCTAAATACATCAGCAATTTCATCACTGGCCACTGGTGTTTAAACACGTCCTTGGCTTCGGGATTAAACGAGCACTTAATGCGCCGTGGGAACATCAGCACAGCGAAGGCAAAGTCTACCGGACGTGATGCCGGCCGCAACACCCCCTCGTGCGCCGTGCCGGCCTTCATTTTGAAGTTCCCGACAAAGCGACGACTGCACTTGTCCCAACCCGTCCCTATGGCTACACAACGATCTTCACCTCTGTTCCGTGTCCGTGTATGCGCACGCGTGTGCGCCGCGACAGTTTTTGCAGTTGCTAAACGACTACTTCTCTCGGAGGAAACCCGACAATACGATGCCTCCCATGCCACTACCTCACGTGGCACTTTCGCGCATGCCACTGTCCCGCTGTGGGCGACCCGTGCTCGGTGCCACGGATCGCTGCTGACGGAGAGAGGCTCCCGGTGAGCCCCCCACGCATGAGCAGGCCGTGATGGGTAAGTGGGCCACCTGCCGCCACCCAACACCTCCGGTCAGATGCATCGAGAATCAGAATCTTTATTTATCCCGGGGAAAATCCCATGTGCTATGAAACTCTTTTTTTTTACACGTCCATTCGGGGCAGGTCAGAAAGTTAGAAGAAAAAAAAAACCGCCCAGTGTGTAAAGTATAATTGAGAAAAAGTAAATGCGTAAAATAGATTGACTATATATGTTAAAAAAATTTATAAGTACACCAATTTTCAAGCTTGGGCTAGGTAGCAAAATAATAGTAAGATCAGTCCCAGAACACACCAAGACAGCGATACTGTCACTCAATAAAAATAGCAGATTAAAATTTACTACAGCTTGAGTGGCATTTTCCCTAGTTTGTCATTTACATAATTATAAATGGAAGAAGAGACGTAACCACCACGGGCACTACGGTATGGGGAAGGCTTTCATTATCTGATTTCCCAATTGGGTCAAAGCAACATAGCAACATCCCCTTCGCCTGGGAGACTATACCCGTCTCGGAAACATAACGCCACAGTGAGTGGAGCAAATGACCCAATTTACTAATCATGATAATTCACTATGTAACGCAATTATTGTTCCTGGGTACTAAGTGTTATTTTGTAATTGCTTATGCCTAAAAAGTATAGAAAATGGTTATTATTCCCCACAAACTTTGCTTTTGTGACCAGGACTTTATGTGAAGGAAAGACACAAATGCACACCACGTTTTCTCATTGAAAATAGGTACATTTCAAAATATCACTGTCCTGGTCACAAAAGCAAAGTTTGTGGGGAATAATAGCCAGTTTCTGTATTTTTGATGCATAAGCAATTAGGAAATAACACTTACTACCCAGGAACAACATTTTTTGTTTTGTTACAGAGCCATTCAGCAGCCCTGGATTGACTAGGGCTGTCAAAGAGGGATAACAACAAAAAGTCAACACATTTTTACACGAACAATAACCTAGTGTCCAATTCATTTACACGTAGCTCACGGTATTTTATTCTTGTTTGTGCTTTGTCTTGATGGATTTTAGGTGGCAGTAAATTCGGAAACAGATACGGATGGATCTGTTGCACCACCAAAACAAAAACAATTATGTCCATCTGTTTTGGATCAATATTCACCCAGCAGCATTTGTTTAAGCAGTAAGATTCAGTACCAGTTTTGACTTTGAGTGTCATTGGGAGTTTGCATGCTAAAACAAATGCCGCTGAAAACCCCTAATAAAGAAAGTATATTAATCATGTGATGGAATTGCAATTATTGCATTCACGTTAATTTCACAAAAGCAATATTATTCCCACTTAGACTGAGCATAATATACTGCTTTGTACAACCTTATATTTATATACTAATATATAGCATATGCATACATGTTAATGTGTGTTTGCATATTAAGTAAAATGTACTGACAACTTCCCTCTAGCGTGGAAGAGATCGTGAATATCAACAGGTGCCCACTTGGTTAAAGGGCATGCAATAAAGTTAACACACAACATAGACATCATCCCGAATTTTCATTGTTGTTACAATTATGGTAGGTTTGCAACTTACACGAGCCGATTATGAAAACAAAATAAGAAAATAAGGAAAACAAAATAAGGGGTTCATAATCTAACTGCTGGGGTTAGACATTCATCTTTGTGTTTAACTTCATAAATAAACGGGTGACGGACTTCTCTCTACTCATTAACGATGGCTTTGGGGTCTGTGACAAGTCGGTTTTTTGAAGTGTCGAAAAATTACACAATGGTTAACATGTAATTTGTATGTAGAATATGGTACGTGCTGTTGTTTACATGCTCCGGTGCTTAATGTGTGATGAGATATGTTTTATAGCACATTCCAAAATGTTATGCAATATCATCATCAGCCATGGTTAATCAACGGCTGGATGAAGGCCTCCCACCAAATCACTATCTCGTGATCCTGCAATGTAATAATAATACTTGCATTTTATGTAGCGTCATTCATCCTAACAGCATCCCATAATGCTGTACATTAATTATATAAGGACCAAATCCCATAGAAATCCACTACAAAGCAAATGAAAACCCCCTACTACCAAGCAAAATCAAAAATGAATAAACAAATGAAGAAATTGAACCAAAACAAGAAGCACAAACAACAAAAAAGCGTATCATTAGGTCAACACATCCCAGATCACAATCCCAACTTCCTAACCAAGGCAGGAAACCTTCGCTGGTGGGGCAGTGGTGGAGTGCCAAAATCGATCCAATGTCCAAAGAGTGATTACCTATTTTTCAGCGTATGCCTGGAGTAACAAGAAGGCCTTTAGTTCAGATTTGAATAATACTGGTGGAGTTAATTTGTCAGATGTGGAGTGGGAAGGTATTCCAGACTGCAGGGGCTGCGGATGAGAAAGCTCATCCACCAATGTTTTCAAGTTTCATTTTTGGTTGCACACCTGCACAAAAACCGATTTCATTGCTCCATCTCCTCGGTGGCCACACCCTCTGGGATGCCTTCCATCCCTCGGCTGCAATAGTACACGTGCCAATTTGTATTTTGATGATGATGACGATGAATTAAAGTGCCATTTAGACTTAGGTTCTTGCTTTAAACAACGTGTTTTTATTTATTTTGCAGCTGCAGCAGAGGCCGCGCATGAAGCATCACTCATCGGAGATAATTTATTGAGAAGCGGTGTGAAGCTCCCGCGAAGGCAGATCATCCTCCCGTTTTTGACAAGTGTTGTTTTATATTTAAGAAAGCGTTAAGACCTCACCTAAACGAACCCTGTACCAGTACGATTCAAATGAAAGGAAAAATAATTGCATGTTTGTTTCCGTTTCAACAAAAATACGCAATTTTTAAAAATCACGTTCGTTAATTTCTCTTCCTATTCATCCGTCTCGAGGCTTCCGCATGCTGTCCCCTTCTCGACACGTTCGTAAAAGCGAGTTAAATTGTGTTTTCATGATATATTTGGTTTGCTATCACAAACCATACTTTGCTGTCTTGATACCACTCTACCCCTGTATAATATCTTGCCATCAAGAACGATCATGTCCTGCATTGTATAACTTATTAATACACAGTACTGCAAGTTACAATCTCATGGAATGGAAGTGCATGATTATAGGGACATTACAATTACAGCATTATAGGTAGATAATAGACGTAGCAATGTAATAACAGCTTGTACAATAAACCTTAAGACTTTTCCTTCTGCGTTAAGAGACAAGGAACAACATTGGCCCGCCACACACTGCAGAATTGTACAAAGAAGCTACGAACAGATATCACATACATATTGTGCCTGCAATACGTACAACCACAACACTTGAAAATAAAACACTACATCTGTAAAGGACCCAAGTCTGACGTTTGATAATTACCTACAACTTGATGTGGTACTGATGCCGTCTGTTATGATCGATTTTTAATGCATTCTTTACACGCGTAACACAAGATCAGGACGTGATGTGTATTTATTTCGCCTCGAATGTTTATTTAGCACTGTAATATAGGTCATGCTTTAAATCGTATATTCATAATGTCCATTGGTTTAACGTTCTGCGACGTCGACTTGCGTAGGCTGCGATCAAATCCACTGGAATAAAATTTCATGGGGACCTCAGAAACCCAAAGTCGCACAGAGCCTAAATAACGCTTTGATGGATGATCACGTGCATAACAGTTGCTATAGGCTACTGAACCGCATTGTGGGAAACAAAGGACAGAGCAGCAACATCCTTTGTTGTACTGCACTTCTATGATCCCACAGCTACGCAACACTGCCTTCAACCCGCACTGACCGGCACGATGAATTATGGGCAAATGACCCCCCCACCACCCCGCGCCCCTTCCCCACAAACACACACGAAGTGGGAAGGCTCTCATCCAGCAGTGGATTGCGAAATGTCTTTGTATGTACTGTATATGTAAACACATGATGAGGTGTGGTTTCATTAACATGTGACGCGCATGCACGGATTAGTTTGTTTAAAAAGCACATAATATACGAGATGTACTAAATGTATAAATGGCAGCGAAACCACATGCTTTACCGTGACCATTCTTTGAAACGCAGTGCGTGCCACCAAAACGCGAAATAAAACGTGCAAACATATATATACGAAGTACGCTGTGTATATTATTGGGCTGTGTATCAGAGGTCAGTTCCTTACTTACAATAACTCGCACCAATTCCACTCAAAGGATGACTAAGGTTCACCTTTGAAAAAGTTGAAATAAATCAATTCCACTGGAGGTATCGTGACTGCCCGTCTCTGAAGGTCTCATTAAACGTTGGTGAAATGTGGCAATAAATAATATTGATGAGGCACAGGAAAACCACTCCAGGTGCAGGGGGGGGGGCTGATGATCGTGGCCCACCCCGTGACATTTTGACAAGAAACCTGTCCAAGTATAGGTCAACTGCTTGACTCACACTCATATTTATAGCTAGTGGCATGGCAAAACAACAAAAGGGAACACAAATGTTTAGGTTTCATCAGAATGTCAGCCTGCTGGCCTTCCAGATCAAAGTTTTTCAGCGGCATTTGTACGAGCAGGCCACCTATCCAATGGCTTCACATTTCTGAGTCTCATCAGCAGTCTGGCCCGTGAGGGTGATGGATCTTAATGTGTGTTTTTTTTTTAATCGGGTTTCCCATATCCCCCCCACTCCACCCCACCCAGCAGTATGAATGAGTACACCACAAGGTGGATAGATAGCATGTGGTGGGGTAAAACGAGTGGGTACACCCACCCCGTCCAAGGCGTCTGGCCTGGATTGAAGAGCAGGCCAAATACCAAATAGAGAAGCTCTTTCGAGTTCCCTTTAGTGGATGACCTTCCGCCAACAGTGACGTGAACAACATATTGCAGGTCGACACCTTTACTGCTTCTTCTTTTGTATGGCTGATGTAGATGCAGAGCAACAACTCCAATTTCACTATTACCCACAATACAGACGTATATGTATACAAATCCTCTTTTTCCGCGGTGATATGAGGGAACTATATTGCGGACCCTATGATCCGTGGAATTATCCGCGATTTTCCTCATCTCATTCGTGGGGTAAAATGTTTTTAATTTCACAGCAAAAATATATATAATAAATAAGATGCCATTCCGCGAAGAGTATTGGTAAAAGTCGCAGATAATCGCGAATAATAGGGCCTGTATATTCTTGGTTCTTTTGGTAAAGTCACGTAGAAGGGAAACAATAAAATAATAAAAATATAAAACAATAAAATTCTCACGACGTTTCGACTGCAACACAAGCAATCATCATCAGGTGTGAAAACACATCAGGTGTGAAAACACATGGTTTTCACACCTGATGATGATTGCTTGTGTTGCAGTCGAAACGTCGTGAGAATTTTATTGTTTTATATTTTTATTATTTTATTGTTTCCCTTCTACGTGACTTGACCGTAAGAACCAAGAATATGAATCCCTGCAGTCATGAAAGCTTTAAATCAAAATTGAATAGGGCCTGTGTATAAGGTTTGTGGACCCTACAGTTGCTGTGGATAATGAATGGTGGATAATAGTGCCACAGATAAGAGGGGTTCTTCTGTAATACCTTTTGTACAATTTATAGCGGTGTTTATGCAGTTTTCAGGTGAACTCAGGTCACTGAATCGTGTGCTTTCAGATGCACTTTTATGGCGGTCTGGAATGCTCTTCCTCTTTATATTAGGAAGCCATTGGCGCTATGCACTATTAAGTCTAAATTGAAAACTCAGTTCTTTACAACTGCTTTTTGTGTTTAGTTTGTGTTACTTCCCACGCATTTCTGATTAGCACGGTTGGCTACGTATGGTCTGAAAGAAGTTTCACCGTGCATACATAAAACTCATATCAGAGAAGAACATGGAACACATGCAGAACTGAATTTCGGCTGAGTCTATGGGAAAACATTTCTCCACTCGGCAGACCACATCCAGTATACATATTTCTATGGCTGCTAGTCTCATCCAATCTCGAGGCTTACTCCAGTCTATCAGAGAGCCACACAACTTTTCAGTAAGATATTAAGCCCAGCACACAAATAAAGTATCCATTAGGAACGGTGGCGATTCCAGGATATAATAAACAAGGAGCAACAATGGAGGCACGGATACGATGAACACCTATATCTAAATCTACAATGTAAAACCCCATGAGATCAAAACTGTATTTTTATTTATGGGATGTTAGAAGCATTGTTCTGAAGATGTATACGGATGAAGCATTTGAGATTTTAATTTTGGATATTTTTAAGGCAAATGTCAGAATTTTTTTCCTTCCTGAAGTTGTTTTAATACATCTCATTGGTAAACCTTTGCAATATTTTTAAATTATTTGTATGCAAAGTTAATCAGGAAAGTTTAACGTTACATCATATTTAAATAATTTATTTTTTTTCTAATTCGAAATCTTTATAATTACACTTTAATGCTTGAAAAGTAATTTTCATGTTAATAATTTAAACCACACGCTATTTTAATCATTTTCAAATGCATTCATCGATCTGGCCTGGCGCCACGGCTCTGCAACAAGCGGTGGCGCGCGAGTTCAAATACAGGTTTAGGCTGACTTGGGTCATCATCTCTCTGGGGCCAATGTGGGCAAGTCAATGGCCATTGCTCTATAGACTTTCACCCACCGTAGGAATGAGGAATTTCCACCGACTCAAAACAATACGCAGATCAACACCACCCCAATGCTCATTTCAGTAGGAAATTACTTTTGACTTTTGTCATTACATTTTAATTGAGGTTATCCAATAATGTTGCTGTTATAAATTTAAATTCAATTATGCTTTTCATTCATGAGAAATCTGACCGAGTCTCAAGACTCTTTTTGAAGGTCCTTGTATTCTGATGTTTTATTAATTTCCTTTTAGAAATGTCACCTTTTTTTAGCTGAACAGGTGTCTCAAAGGTCGGAACGCTGAGCTGGCACCACCGAGATACTGGGTTCTCAAGTGAAGCGAGATGATGATCTCAGCCTAGTCACCACTGACTGTACCAGAAAAAAACATTCAATTTGGTTCAGTACTTCATCTGGCTACATTTCATCTCTGAGAACTACAAATATCAGTTTGCCTCTTATGCGATCAATATTATTCCCAGTTGTTTGAAGGCATTTCCGAGGAAATTCTGTGATATTCATAGACTACAGTGTTTGCTTATATGAAATGTTGCACTGTGAGATTAGAATGGAAACTTCATCTCGTGACAGACAGCCCAATCAGGAAAAAAAATGAGGAAAAAAGACGAATATTAAAAGTATTTTATTTTGTGTGATAATAACACAAACTTCCGTACCTGGAGAAAATAAATTTTACGACAGGAAAATATTACTTATCTATGTTCGAGGCTTTCATGACTGCAGGAATTACTCTTTGGTTCTTTTGGTAAAGTCACGTATAAATAAAATAAAATAATAATAATAAAATACGACATTTCGATTGCAACACAAGTAACCATCATCAGGTACAAATGAATGAGAAAACAAACCTCAAACTTGGAAATATAATGCAATACAACACAGAGAGTCGGCCAACACAACAGTCAACACTCCACCTGGTTGATTACATTCTTCCAAAGATTGCTCAATTTGCGAGAGAGACAAAACATAGATACAGAAAGACAACGTCTCTGTGTCGAGGCCTTACATAGAGAGAGAGAGGGTGGGCAGAGGGGAAGTTGTGTGGAATTCCTGCCCATGGCGGACAGACGAGCTGGAACACTGGACTTCTAAAGAAACAAGCATTGAGCGTTGTGTGGAATTCCCGCACGGAACAAGCACGGTAGAAATAAAATTTAGTAAAATAAGGAAGTGTAATGCAATGCAACACAGAGTCGGTTAGCACACAGTTAACGCATAGCCTGGTTGATTACGTTCTTCCAAAGATTGCTAAGCCTCGAATCTAGTTTGAACCACCTCTACGGGGAGGGTTTGCCATGTTTGTTTGTTTCACACTTAACTTCTAATTTCTCATTCATTTGTTCCCGATGATGGTTGCTTGTGTTGCAGTCAAAACATCGTATTCTATTTTTTTATTTCTACGTGACTTTACCGAAAGAACCAAAGAGTAACCATCTATGTGTTCCACCAAACCTCGTCTCCAAAAGCGCTGGATCACTGGCACGCGGTGGGGAAAAGCTGGCTGCTTCAGTGACCACAGACTGTGACACGAAGCTCTGACGTAAATAAAGATCCCCCAATGTAGCCTTCAACAGCCTATTGGTGCACATGAATGGTAGCCAACACGGTGCAGTGCCCACCACTACACCCCAGTGTTGATGTTTACACACCACACCAGGTGGTGATTCTTAGGCTGAATCGACCCAGGGGACACCGAGAAACCGATTCAGATAATACTCCACGGATGTCAGCCGTGGCTGAGAAACTAAATCAAGTAACTGGACTCGCAGCGCAAGGAGGCCAACCACTCCACCACCGCTCCACCTTCAGTCTCGAACAACCTCACACAGCAGATGACTGCGAGCGTTGTGTGCCCGAGAGGAAGGTGATGATGTTTACCGCTTGGCAAGGGTGGACACCGAGGTGAATGGGCTTTGTCCAACAGAAGCAGCCGTCTCAAGAGTCAGCAGCCCCGAGCACGGCCGTCTCTCTGGGCCAGCAGAGCCTACGGCGGCATCAGCAGTAACATCAGCAGTGGAAGCATGAGCAGAAAAATAAGTATCAAGAGAAATATCAGGAACATCAGAAGGGGGCCGTCCATAAATGACGTCACGCGATTTTGGACGAATTTTGACTCCCCCCCCCCCTCCTCGTCACACGGCGTCACAAGAAGTTAGACCCCGCCTCAAATATGACGTCACAAAGCTCTGCCCCCCCCCCCACCCCAAAAAAAACATGCTTCAAATCGCTTTAAACTATTGTCATTGTAGTGCGTTTTTAATGTGGCGCTGCACTTTGATGTTGTAGGAGAAAACATTTATTAAAAAGTATATTTAATTAAGTAGAACCTGTTGTCTATATTTAAAGTTGCGCATTTTGATGTGACGTCACATTTCTCAAACTTCCCCCCCCCCTCGTCACAAATGTCTGACCCCCTCCCCTCCCTAGGTGCGTGACGTCATTTATGGACGGCCCCATGGGCCATGATCATCAGCAGAAAGAGTACACTTAATCAATATGACGTCAAGTCACTCTCTCACTCATTAATTAATACAAACGCCGTTCACCACTGAGTGGCGGTGACGTCACCACGGAACTTGTGCCACGCTAGGTGCACTTTGACTGAGATGGCTGGCAGATTGAACCAACTGTGTTGCTCCTCATGCCAACTTGCTTGGTTTTATCCACCGGGCACTCTGCTCATAGTGTCACGCCTCTGCTTCGCTGTTGCTGGAGGGTGACCGACTGCCTCCAACTCCCAAGCAACGTCCTTCACGAACCTACTCCACAAGAGCCCGATCTTGACACGCTGGTACCAGTCATAGGAAAGTCCGATCAGCTCCGCATCCTTCTGTACCGCATCACTCCATCTCTTCTCTAGCCCGTACCGCGCCCGTTCGGCCCCTTCTGACCCAGCCAACGCAGTCTCGCTCACCGATGGGAACTGTGTCCAGATCTTTCAAGGATCTGTGAACTCCTCGCACAATGTAGCCCGACGATTTCAAACCGGTGCAGAAGTTCCATTAGAGAGGGCTCCACGTCTCGCAAGCAATGGAGAAGGGATGGCGTGACTTTTGGCCGAGAAGACCCGGAGCTTCGCGTGGAGCGACAGACCAGGTAGCTTCCACACGACGTTACGGATCTGATGAAAAGTTAATGCCGCTCGACTGATTCGGAGCGAGACCTCGGCTGCCAAATCGGAGCCGGTTAAATGCAACACTGCCCAGGTGCGGAAAACTTCTCCACTCTCTCCACAACTGCCCCATCGCTCACACAGGGAGTTGATGAATGGCGAGCATTTCATGACAAAAAGATACTGGGGCACGTATTTCAGTTTTCAGTTTCATTTATTTTGGTATAGCCCTGTGAGCCATTCGGCTCTTGAATCGGGTGCAACCGCAACAAACAAAAAAAACATCTTAAAGGACACATGATAATAAATAAATATAAACTCCTGCCATAAAACCGCTTGACCTCCCCGATTAATAATAACAGTTTAACAGAAGTAAAACAATGCGGTGGGCGTTGCTACATGCAGATGGGTACTTACATTATTTATTGAGCGCTGCCCTTGGGCTGACGCACAGGAAAAGTTTTCTGATGTTCTAAATGAATGGGCAGAGCTGGCAGGATCACAAGCCAACACTCACGCGTGTACCTGGAGCACATCCGTCTGCGAATAAAAGTGGTCAGACCACCGGGGCGATGGTTGAGCCGCTGCAAATTATGTCACAAACCACCCCACCCCTATTCGGTAGGAATTAACATTGTTTTAATTTAAATTTACGTGACTTGCTTGTGGCTTTCCTTTCAAGTACTTTGAAGGCCGGCGCGGCACACGTAGGGGGTGGGTGGACAGCACCACATCTGGCCGACTTTGTCTCCCTAAACATTTCTGTATTGTTTGTTGTTGTAATTTTCTGTTCCTCCCCGACTGGACATCTGTGAAAACGATCTTCATAAATCATAGGATTCTTCCACTCTCAAATTAAGATTCTGACTCTTGACAATTTATCCCCCTTCACGGCTCCCAAATCTCTCCATGGTCTCACCCCAACCTCTCGCTTCCCTCACCTCGTTATCGAGTGAATTATTAAGAACGGGCGAATTATTAATTTAATTATTCAGAACGAGTGAATTATTAATTCAATTAATAATTCACTCGTTCTTAATGGTGCCTACCATCTATCTCGCTTTTTCACCGACACGTTTCATTGCTCCATCTCCTCGGTAGACGATTTCTCGGCCGCGTTCCCTCCGCATCTTAATCTCTTACAACCGATCTCTGAATAACGTTCCCCTGCCCCCATACCCATGCCCCCATACCCGTGCCCCCATACCCATGACCCCATACCCATGACCCCATACCCCTGCCCCCATATCCATGACCCCATACCCATGCCCCAATACCCATGCCCCCATACCCATGACCCCATACCCATGCCCCAATACCCATGACCCCATACCCATGACCCCATACCCATGACCCCATACCCATGCCCCCATACCCATGACCCCATACCCATGCCCCAATACCCATGACCCCATTCCCATGACCCCATACCCATGACCCCATACCCATGCCCCAACACCCATGACCCCATACCCATGACCCCATACCCATGACCCCATACCCATGCCCCAATACCCATGACCCCATATCCATGCCCCCATACCCATGACCCCATACCCATGACCCCATACCCATGACCCCATACCCATGACCCAATACCCATGACCCCATATCCATGCCCCCATACCCATGACCCCATACCCATGACCCCATACCCATGACCCCATACCAATGCACCCCCCCTCAACTGCCCGCCCGGTACCCCGCTACTCAATGTGCCCCCCACCCCCAACCGTGCCCCTCACAGCCCACGTGTTCGCCGTGCGCCACGTGACAACCCAGTTCCCGCCAATCGCACGCTCTCCGCTGATTGGCCGCGGTCTTCACCAACAGCGAAGAGGGTTACTGGTAAGAAAAAAAAGGTCATCCGGGCGTCGCTTTTTATTTCCCAGACTGCACCGGCAAGCGCCGAGAGGATCCCGCGATCCGATTCGTCCGTGCGCGCCGGTGAGAGGCGGGACCCGCTAGGCGCGTGGGCCAATGGTGCTCCTCGTTAGAGAGAGCACCTGCCTATGCGCTCTAGGGAATATAATCAGTGACGGGCAGCACTGGGATCGGATCCGGAAGTCGTCCGCGCTGCCCGGGTAACGGCGCGTGGATGGAGGTAACCACACTCCTACACACGTGGGGTAACCACGTGTGTAGGAGGGTAACCACGTGTATAGGAGGGTAACCACACACGTGGGGTAACCACGTGTATAGGAGGGTAACCACACACGTGGGGTAACCACGTGTATAGGAGGGTAACCACGTGTATAGGAGGGTAACCACCCGGGGTAACCACTAACATTAACATTATGAGACCTCCTTTGCCAGAAACAAAGGAGGTCTCATAATGTTAATGCTCACCCCGAGCCCTCAATACTCTGATAGTGCGCTGTTTTTGAGTTGTACGCCTTTTGGCGTCTTCTGGTCCAACACCAGTGGAGACTAGGCTCTAAGAAAAGCCGTCTCGGGTGTGGACCAATCAAATTCAAGGACAGTGCCAATATTATTATCAGAGTTGTCTTTTTTGTTTGCATTTTGACTGCTTGTGTTGTGGTTATTGCAAACATGATGCCTTGAATAAAGGTGTCAGTTTTTGTGCCAGTTAAAAGGGTGAGACCTATTCCTACAACATACCTATCAACCCATACGGTTTACCCATATTCTTGTACAGGGAAATAGGAGTTTTCAGGACTATACGGCGTACAACCATTTCAATACGGGCAAAATGTTTTTTGTCTATTTGTATTTTAGGATTAACTTTTAGATTTGTAAGGGCACAGGGTGACCAATAAGATCTGAATTGGTCTATAATGAGGTAGGCATCGATCAGGGGTTGACAGGTATGAGTACATTGCAGTTGTGTAACTATTGTCTGTGTGAATAAACGCGACATTAAATTGTCAGGAAAGCCTTTTGGCGATGTAATTAGATAAAAGCATTTCTTAAAACATTGGACGTTCACGTTTTGCAGATGAAGAAACACAAGGAGAAATGCCAACGGAAAAGAGATGCGCGTGGAAATGAATCGTCACGCCTGGAAGAAGCTCCGAATGACGTGGACTTGGACCAAGTCAAGATTTGTCAAAAGAAAAGATGTGTAAAGCACAGAGCGGAATCCAGGAGTGACGATGCCCAAACGAAAACGTCTGATGGTGGTTCGCGGTGCGATTCTTCTCGGGTTGCGCGGGACGGCGGCGAGCACCATTGCAAGCACGGTGAGCGGAGGGAAGGCAAATCTCGACGACGAAGTGAGGAGGAGGCGACAGTTGCACCTCAGCGGAGAGAAGACGTGCGTGCCTGTTCCAGAAGCGGCGACGCCGAGAGCAAGGGAGTGAAAAGGAAGAAGAAAATGAAAAACGCTGACGATAATTTGACGCCAACTTGGCAACGAGAAGAAGGGGCTTTGCAGTCGGACCGTGAAGAGGAAACTGCGAAGAGTGAGAAGAAATCGAGCAGGAAAAGGAAACAAACTGCAGCTGATGGAGGAAGTCATTTAGAAGACATTGAGCCTCCTCCTGTGGAGGAAAGACCTCGCAAAAAGAGAAAACGCAGGGAAATGAGCATTGCGGTGCCTGACGGACATGCTTCTTCTGAAGGGACAGTTGTGTCAGAAAGTTGTCCGATGGAATCGCCCGTGAATCCCGAGCCATCCTCAAGCTCCAACAGGAAGAAGAAGAAGAAGAAAAAGAAGAAGATGGCAAAGGCGTACCAATCTGGAGGTGACCAGGGTGGTGTAATAGCACAGAATACTGCGGGCACAAGGAGCAAGAAGCATGGCAAGAAGAAAAAACGGCGTGACCTTGAGGAGGGCTTCCCCATTGAGCCACTTCCCACATTGAGAACCGAGAACACTGTCACCAATGAACATCGCCAGATAAACGTGTCCCACACTGAAGAGGTTGTTGATGAAGTAGATCAAGAAATGGGGGATGAGGAGGAAGAGGAGGAAGAGGTTAGGCATCTCGAGAATTATGATTACCAGGTCAAGTTCATGAGTAAATTAATTCCTGGCTTTGCACGTAGAGTGCAAGTGCATATTAATCGTGCCCTCAAATATGACTATCATCGTTTTAAGGAGTTTGAAAAGAGAGGTCAGTAGTGCAATACACAAATATTAGTATTTTTTTGCTACTGAACTTTATAAGGTGCATGTACATTTCAGACAATTCTAATATACAGTATGAAAATGTACTTCTACGCAGACCGATTTTGTTATGTTCATTCCTTACAAATTCACCACGCCTTCAACTTGCCCATCTGTCCTGCACTTTACCCCTTGAATTCCCAACCCCCTTCATCCCCTAGGAATATGACTGTATGCTCGTACGATATCGGTCAACGTACGACACCCAAACCGATAACTCGTAAACAAGTCTTACACAAAGTGTGTTTTATTGTGCTGTTCTTTAATTGAAGTAGAAAATAACCCGCATTAATGGAACCGTGTGTGTGTGCGCGTGTGTGGCTCTTGCTGGCTTGCAGGAATCAAGGTCCGGTTTGGGCGTTTCAGCAAGGCAGAGGTGGAACAGCTGCACATGAACGTGCGCGACTTTATTCGTGACCACGGTGCCTTCACGGATCCACAGAAACTATTCATGCCCTCGTACTTCCCTGCGGAGAAGAAATTAATCTTAAAATACCGATTGCAGAACAACTTCTTCTATTACCTGCGTGCGTTACAATGCATTACAAAGCTAATCACTACCCAAGACAGTATCCACTCTTAATTTATGTTGAACTTCTTTTGCACTGTACGTAGTCAACCGTGCAAACTGGAGATGCGGGTGCTAACCATTTCAGGAAGGTACTACGTTGGGATGTTTCGATAAAACCAGTAGTGTTCGGCATACGGGAGAAAGCTGAAGGACACTCTATTGTCATATATGATGGTTAATAGAGGGTAGTGCAGAAAAATCTATTCTTGTACAATGCTTCCGAGTCTTTGCTCGCCCACCTTTACCAATCCGTACTGATCAGTGTGGTAAGTGCGGTCATCTTAACGATGACCCACATGGTGTGGGGCAGCCTTCATCCTTGAATTGACAAAGGGTGCTGTAATTGTACACTGGCACAACACATCACCTACTTCAGTTTTACAGGTATTTAAATATCCACTTTACAGCAGAGGCAACTATAATTAAGATATTTCCAGTACAGCATTGGCTTGTGTTTGCTCAAGTGACATACGAGGTAAGATTGTTCTCTCTTCGTTTTGCAGTTCGGGGTATTTCAAGACCACTGAAGCAGATATTAGAACGAGGGATGACTTTATATGAATGCGAAGACCTTAAATCTGGAAGGTAAATACGAGAACTGCTCTTCTTACGAACACACTCCGATCCTGGGCCCCGTTTGTAAGTCGGAACACAATGTGCTGTATTAGTTAAATGCACGTACGCTCTTGTTTTGAAATTTGTTACGGTTCAACAAAAAAGGGAAGCATCGTTAAACTCAGAAATATTGTAAATGTGCATGCAACACTGCAAAAACATACTGTACAGTAACAGGAATAAAAAAAATAATAATTTTCACTCACCTTGAATCCTGATGCTGGCCTTATTGTCGAAAGGGGGAACAATTAGTCACCACAATTGCATACAAGCACGCGGAGACACCAACGATAATCGCCTGTATGACCTGAACAGCAAATGTTGTTAAGTGAGCAATGCCTATGAAGGCCGGCACGGCACACGAGGGGGTGAGTGGTCAGTACCCAACCCAGCTGCCTGGCGTTGGCAGTGAGCGGGAATCGAACTCGGGTCACCGCTTTAGTAGCACAGCGTGCTAATCGTTACCCACACTCAATTTCACTCACAAACTCACTCCCAGCGCGAGCCCGACTCATTACATCTTACAGAGGATCGTTCCGCTGAACAAAATACTTCCGCAGTTCAGTTTGCGATTGCGAGTTCGTGTTTTGAATTCAATATATATTTATATATTTCATGGAAGCTGGTTCCTAAGTGCGAGTATATGTAAGTTCGGTGTTTGTAAATTGAGGACTGCGTGTCCACATTTTCTTGCCCATGAACTTCTTTACAAAATAGTTGTTCTTTTTTCTCGTGACTAAGTCTATGGCAATGTGCAACACTTCTCTTGGAAAAGGTACTCGGAAGAAGAGTTGAAGCAGCTGACACAGCTCACCCGGGAGTTAGGTCCACATTGGACTCCCATTTCACGAATCATGCAGCGCAGGAAGAAGAACCTGCTCATCAAATTCAATTTGATGACCGATGGTAAGGACTTCTGGTGCCTGCATTGTCTGGTTCATGCACAATCTGGGTAAAGCCAATTGCCAATTGCATTGTATTATAAATATGTGCAGACCTTTTTGTCAATACATTGCTGGATGAGGTCCCCCATCCACGCCGTATGAGCTGTGGGGGTTACTTGACAATAATTCACGCTTTTCAATGTGGGTGGGTACAGGCGGAGTATAGACGTTGGGAGTTTAGTACAGTGGATTTCACGACACTGCCTTCTACTGACATGTTCAGAGATATGGGAAAAGTCTCCAATGGTGGTTTGTTGGTCACTAGTTCTTGAAACTTCAGATTGTCTTGTGTGTGGTTTGAGGTTCGGCCAAGGGCGTTTGGAGTGATGGGGAGGTTGAGAGTCTGCTGCAGGCAATGAAGGACTACCTGCAAGCTCAGCAGCAGCAGCAGCACAATGGGGTGGACCAACTCAACACAGATTCCGAACATACGATCCGTATCCTGCAGAGATTTCTCTACTCCGACATTCCCTGGAGACACGTTTCCGCCAAAGTGAACAACAGAAATTCTTACCAGTGCAGGGCAAAATGGTACTTAATATGAAATTCAGCTGATCTCTTTCCTTATTCTTCAGATTGACAGTTCACCCGTATTTTAAATCAAATGTTGCCAATGCTTCTTGTAATCCAGTGTGCGGGCAGATTTGTATAACCTTATTGCCATAAGTTTAGGGTACATCTTTGTGGAGCATGAGTCTTATCTATTGCCATAGAGCCGTGTGTATAAACTATATAGTCTTTGTACATTACATATATTTGTTTAAACTGAACTATATTTTTTTAGGATGGCCGTTCTTTGCAATCGGTTGACAAAGATCACACCACTGGTGTATGGATGGCAAGGCGATACATCCAGAATACAACTCATTCAGAGGTATTTGTCGATACTGGAGAACTGTAGAAACGAATTGCACGTGTTTTTTTTGTTAGTACTAACGTTTATTGGAAATTGTCCTTGTTCACGAGCAGTTTGTACAACTTGGAAGTTGAAGACAGTGCGGATATTGACTGGGATGGAATCGGCCAAAAAATGAAGTGAGTAATGCACCATTCGTCTTGTAGTAAGCAATGAAATCTGATTGAAATATACTCGTGATGCACCTTTGTAAAGCTTTCCGTTTGTTTGGCGAGGGCACATTCACACAAAACAAACATCAAGATGAGCTTGTGCAGTTATCAAGACTTAATCTCATTTGCTACACAAGAGCACGTTAAAATACTACTGCATAGGTGTTCATGGGTGTGCTGCATTGTTATGTTTTCATGTTTTACCGCGTATTCGGCATGTCTCACATTTCCCTCCATATGCTGGGATATTGTTCAGGAACTGAAACGGCAAACATCATGCTGAACCACGTGGGCTGGAACCCAAATCCTCAGGTGCTGGCCTAGAATCGTGACAATCAATATCTTATGAAGTCGCTTTAAACTTTGTCCCTAGGATACCACCATGGTTGCTACAAAGGAAGTTGTTCGGACTGAAATTTTTCCACGTTCCCAACTGGAGAAATAAGACCTTTGGAGGTATGTAACCCTTCGATGCTATTTTGCTATTTGATAAACCTAATGCAAAAAAAATTCAATCCGTAAAAAAAAAATCTTGTCAAATGTATTAATTTTCAAGAGACCAATAAAATTGATATGCAAAGTGTGTGTTATCAATGTCCGTGTCCTGCAGAGATAATTGATGTCCTGCACGACATCTATCTACCTCAGCTTCTGAAGAAACATGACATTGGGCAGTTAAGCGCAGAAGTGGAACCAACAGAAGTTCTCCTCAAACAACTTTTTAATTAAATTTTGATTTGAAGCTTTCGTGACTGCAGGGATTCATATTCCTGATTCTTTCGGTAAAGTCACCACGTTAGAAGGGAAACAGTAAAATAATAAAAATATAAAACCATAAAATTATCACGACGTTTCGACTGCAACACAAGCAATCATCATCAGGTGTGAAAACCAACTGCCCCCCCCCAACTGCCCCCCCTCAACTGCCCCCCCTCAACTGCCCCCCCTCAACTGCCCCCCCCTCAACTGCCCCCCCCCAACTGCCCGCCCCCCAACTGCCCCCCCCCCAACTGCCCCCCCCCAACTGCCCCCCCCCAACTGCCCGCCCGGTACCCCGCTACTCAATGCGCCCCCCACCTCCAACCGTGCCCCTCACTGCTCACGTGCTCGCCGCGCGCCACGTGACAACCCAGTTCCCGCCAATCGCACGCTCTCCGATGATTGGCCGCGGTCTTCACCAATAGCGAAGAGTGCTACTGGGAAGAATAAAAAGGTCATCCGGGCGTCGCTTTTTATTTCCCAGACTGCACCGGCAAGCACTGAGAGGATCCCGCGATCCGATTCGTTCCCGCCCCGGCGAGAGGCGGGACCCGCTAGGCGCATGGGCCAATGGTGCTCCTCGTTAGAGAGAGCACCTGCCTATGCGCGCTAGGGAATATAATCAGTGACGGGCAGCACTGGGATCGGACCCGGAAGTCGTCCGCGCTGCCCGGGTAACGGCGCGTGGATGGAGGTAACCACACACGTGGGGTAACCACGTGTATAGGAGGGTAACCACACACGTGGGGTAACCACGTGTATAGGAGGGTAACCACGTGTATAGGAGGGTAACCACGTGTATAGGAGGGGAGGGTAACCACACACGTGGGGTAACCACGTGTATAGGAGGGTAACCACGTGTATAGGAGGGTAACCACGTGTATAGGAGGGTAACCACGTGTATAGGAGGGTAACCACACACGTGGGGTAACCACGTGTATAGGAGGGTAACCACGTGTATAGGAGGGTAACCACGTGTATAGGAGGGTAACCACACACGTGGGGTAACCACGTGTATAGGAGGGTAACCACACACGTGGGGTAACCGCGTGTGTAGGAGGGTAACCACGTGTATAGGAGGGGAGGGTAACCACACACGTGGGGTAACCACGTGTATAGGAGGGTAACCACACACGTGGGGTAACCACGTGTATAGGAGGGTAACCACGTGTATAGGAGGGTAACCACGTGTATAGGAGGGTAACCACGTGTATAGGAGGGTAACCACACACGTGGGGTAACCGCGTGTATAGGAGGGTAACCACGTGTATAGGAGGGTAACCACGTGTATAGGAGGGGAGGGTAACCACACACGTGGGGTAACCACGTGTATAGGAGGGTAACCACACACGTGGGGTAACCACGTGTATAGGAGGGTAACCACACGTGGGGTAACCACGTGTATAGGAGGGTAACCACGTGTATAGGAGGGGAGGGTAACCACACACGTGGGGTAACCACGTGTATAGGAGGGTAACCACACACGTGGGGTAACCACGTGTATAGGAGGGTAGCCATGTGTATAGGAGGGTAACCACACGTGGAGTAACCACACGCGTAGAGGAGGGTAACCACACATGGAGTAACCACACGTAGAGGGGGGTAACCACACGGGGTAACCACACGCGAAGAGGGGGGTAACCACACGCGCGGCAAGCGCGTGTAGAGGGTAACCACACGTATAGAGGGTAACCACAAGTGTAGAGGGTAACCACACGTGGAATAAACACGTGTAGGAGAGTAAACACGAGTGTAGCGGGGCCACTGCAATGAAAGCGGATAATCACGCGTTTGAAGATGCTGTCAGCAGAGGGCAGTGCAGGAACAACCAGAGTCCTAGACTTGAAGCTTTCGTGACTGCAAGGATCCATACTCTTTGGTTCTATTTTACCTACGTGACTTTACCGAATAGAACCAAAGAGTAGCAACCAGAGTATTTTTCTGTACTTCCAGAACTGTCATTTGCACCCAAGTCTGCTCGTTGTCACCGACCCTCACTGGCCAACGTGATGTATTTGTAGTGGGTTACATTCAGGCGCACACTGGACTCTGGAGGCAACACTATTTATTAGCTAACACACCAGGTAACACTCACCATAACGACTTAAGGTGATAGCCACCTTTCATAACTTAGCTAACCCACGGGGGTACGACATCACTGGCCCAGGACAGCCCAACACGTTGCCTGGTCCACTAGCGGAGAGCGGAGAGCTTCATCCCAGAGAGATGACCCAGCAGCAGAAGAGCACAGAACAGCCCCCTGCTCTCCGTACACACCCCGCTTATAACCACTCCGGCGTGGCCGCCTTCGCCCCAGGCCACGCCCCCCTTCCCGATCCTTCGGGAAGGCCCGAACCCCAACCACGTGACCCCCCCCCCCTGGGGCCCCTGGCTCAGCTTTATCCGGTCACGTGTCCTGCTGGGTTCACGCAGAGTGTCACGGCCTGACACGACCCCCGTGACACCTCCCTACAGCCCCCATACCGAGTCTACACAGTAGTGTCGTTCTGCTACACTACATGTTTGTCAAATAATCCAGCAGCGAATCGTCAAAGGGGAAGTACAACATACCTGTCAACCCATACGGTTTACCCGTATTCTTGTACAGGGAAATAGGAGTTTTCAGGACTATACGGCGTACAACCATTTCAATACGGGCAAAATGTTTTTTGTCTATTTGTTTGTATTTTAGGATTAACTTTTAGATTTGTAAGGGCACGGGGTGACCAATAAGATCTGAATTGGTCTATAATGAGGTAGGCATCGATCAGGGGTTGACAGGTATGAGTACATTGCAGTTGTGTAACTATTGTCTGTGTGAATAAACGCGACATTCAATTGTCAGGAAAGCCTTTTGGCGATGTAATTAGATAAAAGCATTTCTTAAAACATTGGACGTTCACGTTTTGCAGATGAAGAAACACAAGGAGAAATGCCAACGGAAAAGAGATGCGCGTGGAAATGAATCGTCACGCCTGGAAGAAGCTCCGAATGACGTGGACTTGGACCAAGTCAAGATTTGTCAAAAGAAAAGATGTGTAAAGCACAGAGCGGAATCCAGGAGTGACGATGCCCAAACGAAAACGTCTGATGGTGGTTCGCGGTGCGATTCTTCTCGGGTTGCGCGGGACGGCGGCGAGCACCATTGCAAGCACGGTGAGCGGAGGGAAGGCAAATCTCGACGACGAAGTGAGGAGGAGGCGACAGTTGCACCTCAGCGGAGAGAAGACGTGCGTGCCTGTTCCAGAAGCGGCGATGCCGAGAGCAAGGTAATGAAAAGGAAGAAGAAAATGAAAAACGCTGACGACAATTTGACGCCAACTTGGCAACGAGAAGAAGGGGCTTTGCAGTCGGACCGTGAAGAGGAAACTGCGAAGAGTGAGAAGAAATCGAGCAGGAAAAGGAAACAAACTGCAGCTGATGGAGGAAGTAATTTAGAAGACATTGAGCCTCCTCCTGTGCAGGAGAGACCTCGCAAAAAGAGAAAACGCAGGGAAATGAGCATTGCGGTGCCTGACGGACATGCTTCTTCTGAAGGGACAGTTGTGTCAGAAAGTTGTCCGATGGAATCGCCCGTGAATCCCGAGCCATCCTCAAGCTCCAACAGGAAGAAGAAGAAGAAGAAAAAGAAGAAGATGGCAAAGTCGTGCCAATCTGGAGGTGACCAGGGTGGTGTAATAGCACAGAATACTTCGGGCACAAGGAGCAAGAAGCATGGCAAGAAGAAAAAACGGCGTGACCTTGAGGAGGGCTTCCCCATTGAGCCACATCCCACATTGAGAACTGAGAACTCTGTCACCAATGAACATCGCCAGATAAATGTGTCCCACACTGAAGAGGTTGTTGATGAAGTAGATCAAGAAATGGGGGATGAGGAGGAGGAAGAGGAGGAGGTTAGGCATCTTGAGAATTATGATTACCAGGTCAAGTTCATGAGTAAATTCATTCCTGGATTTGCACGTAGATCGCAAATGTATATTGCTCACGCCCTCAAATATGACTATCATCGTTTTAAGGAGTTTGAAAAGAAAGGTCAGTAGTGCAAAACACAAATATTAGTATTTTTTTGCTACTGAACTTTATAAGGTGCATGTACATTTCAGACAATTATAATATACAGTATGAAAATTAACTTCTAGGTAGACCGATTTTGCTATGTTCATTCCTTACAAATTCACCACGCCTTCAACTTGCCCATCTGTCCTGCACTTTACCCCTTGAATTCCCAACCCCCTTCATCCCCTAGGAATATGACTGTATCCTCGTACGATATCGGTCAATGTACGATACCCAAACCGATAACTCGTAAACAAGTCTTACACAAAGTGTGTTTTATTGTGCTGTTCTTTAATTGAAGTAGAAAATAACCCGCAATAATGGAACCGTGTGTGTGTGTGCGTGTGTGGCTCTTGCTGGCTTGCAGGAATCAAGGTCCGGTTTGGGCGTTTCAGCAAGGCAGAGGTGGAACAGCTGCACATGAACGTGCGGGACTTTATTCGTGACCACGGTGCCTTCACGGATCCACAGAAACTATTCATGCCCTCGTACTTCCCCGCGGAGAAGAAATTAATCTCAAAGTACCGATTGCAGAACAACTTCTTCAATTACCTGCGTGCGTTACAATGCATTATAAAGCTAATCACCCCCCAAGACAGTATCCACTCTTAATTTATGTTGAACTTCTTTTGCACTGTACGTAGCCAACCGTGCAAATTGGAGATGCGGGTGCTAACCATTTCAGGAAGGTACTACGTTGGGATGTTTCGATAAACCAGGAGTGTTCGGCATATGGGAGAAAGCTGAAGGACACTCTATTGTCATATATGATGGTTAATAGAGGGTAGTGCAGAAAAAAATCTATTCTTGTACAATGCTTCCGAGTCTTTGCTCGCCCACCTTTACCAATCTGTACTGATCAGTGTGGTAAGTACGGTCATCTTAACGATGCCCCACATGGTGTGGGGAGGCCTTCATCCTTGAATTGACAAAAGGTGCTGTACGTGTACACTGGCACAACACATCACCTACTTCAGTTTGACAGGTATTTAAATATCCACTTTACAGCAGGGGAAACTATAATTAAGATATTTCGAGTACAGCATTGGCTTGTGTTTGCTCAAGTGACATACGAGGTAAGGTCGTTCTCTCTTCGTTTTGCAGTTCGGGGTATTTCAAGACCAATGAAACAGATATTCCAACGTGGGATTACTTTATATGAAGGCCAAGACCTGAAATCTGGAAGGTAAGTACGAGAAGTGCTCTTCTTACGAAACATACTGTACAGTAACAAAGTAACAGGAATATAATTGTTCTTAATTTTCACCCGCCTTGAATCCTGATGCTGGCCTTATTGTCGAAAGGGGGAACTATGACTCACCAATGACAATCCCCCGTATGACCTGAACAGCAAATGTTGTTAAGTGAGCAATGCCTATGAAGGCCGGCACGGCACACGAGGGGGTGAGTGGTCAGTACCCAACCCTTTGTCTCTCCAGTGGCGATGTTTACACACCGCACCAGATACTCGTTTGAGGCTGAGTCGACCAGGGGGAGACCCATGACCGGTTCAGGTAATCGTCAGTGGCGTTGGCAGTGAGCGGGAATCGAACTCGGGTCACCGCTTTAGTAGCACAGCGCGCTAACCGTTACCCACACTCAATTTCACGCAGAAACTCACTCCCAGCGCGAGCCCGACTCATTACATCTTACAGAGGATCGTTCCGCTGAACAAAATACTTCCGCAGTTCAGTTTGCGATTGCGAGTTCGTGTTTTGAATTCAATATAATATATTTACATATTTCATGGAAGCTGGTTCCTAAGTGCGAGTATATGTAAGTTCGGTGTTTGTAAATTGAGGACTGAGTGTCCACATTTTCTTGCTTATGAACTTGTTTGCAAAATAGTTCTGTTTTTTTCTCGTGGCTAAGTCTATGGCAATGTGCAACACTTCTCTTGGAAAAGGTACTCGGAAGAAGAGTTGAAGCAGCTGACACAGCTCACCCGGGAGTTGGGTCCAAATTGGACTCGCATTTCACAAATCATGCAGCGCGGGCAGAAGAACCTGTCCGTCAAATTCAATTTGATTAACGATGGTAAGGACTTCTGGTGCCTGCATTGTCTGGTTCATGCACAATCTGGGTAAAGCCAATTGCTAATTACATTGTATTCTAAATATGTGCAGACCTTTTTGTCAATACATTGCTGGATGAGGTCCCCCATCCACGCCGTATGGGCTGTGGGGGTTACTTGACCATAATTCACGCTTTTCAATGTGGGTGGGTACAGGCGGAGTATAGACGTTGGAAGTATAGTTCAGTGGATTTCACGACACTGCCTTCTATTGACATGTTCAGAGATATGGGAAAAGTCTCCAATGGTGGTTTGTTGGTCACTAGTTCTTGAAACTTCAGATTGTCTTGGTTGTGTGTGGTTTGAGGTTCGGCCAAGGGCGTTTGGAGTGATGGGGAGGTTGAGAGTCTGCTGCAGGCAATGAAGGACTACCTGCAAGCTCAGCAGCAGCAGCACAATGGGGTGGACCAACTCAACACAGATTCCGAACATACGATCCGTATCCTGCAGAGATTTCTCTACTCCGACATTCCCTGGAGACACGTTTCCGCCAAAGTGAACAACAGAAATTCTCACCAGTGCAGGGCAAAATGGTACTCAATATGAAATTCAACTGATCTTTTCCTTATTCTCCAGATTGACAGTTCACCCGTATTTTAATTCAAATGTTAAGGATGCATCTTGTAATCCAGTGTGCGGGCAGATTTGTATAACCTTATTGCCACAAGTTTAAGGTACATCTTTGTGGAGCATGAGTCTTATCTATTGCCATATAGCCGTGTGTATAAACTATATAGTCTTTGTACATTACATATATTTGTTTAAACTGAACTATATTTTTTAGGATGGCCGTTCTTTGCGATCGGTTGACAAAGATCACACCACTGGCGTATGGATGGCAAGGCGATACATCCAGAATACAACTCATTCAGAGGTATTTGTCGATACTGGACAACTGGAGAAACGATTTGCACGTGTTTTTTTGTTAGTACTAACGTTTATTGGAAATTGTCCTTGTTCACGAGCAGTTTGTACAACTTGGAAGTTGAAGACAGTGCGGATATTGACTGGGATGGAATCGGCCAAAAAATGAAGTGAGTAATGCACCATTCGTCTTGTAGTAAGCAATGAAATCTGATTGAAATATACTCGTGATGCACCTTTGTAAAGCTTTCCGTTTGTTTGGCGAGGGCACATTCACACAAAACAAACATCAAGATGAGCTTGTGCAGTTATCAAGACTTAATCTCATTCGCTACACAAGAGCACATTAAAATACTACTGCATAGGTGTTCATGGGTGTGCTGCATTGTTATGTTTTCATGTTTTACCGCGTATTCGGCATGTCTGACACTTCCCTCCATATGCTGGGATATTGTTCAGGAACTGAAACGGCAAACATGCTTAAACGGCAAACATCATGCTGAACCACGTGGGCTGGAACCCAAATCCTCAGGTGCTGGCCTAGAATCGTGACAATCAATATCTCATTAAGTCGCTTTAAACTTTGTCCCTAGGATGCCACCATGGTTGCTACAAAGGAAGTTGTACGAACTGAAACTTTTCCACGTTCCCAACTGGAAAAATAAGACCTTTGGAGGTATGTAACCCTTCGATGCTATTTTGCTATTTGATAAACCTAATGCAAAAAAAAATTCAATCCGTAAAAAAATCTTGTCAGATGTATTAATTTTCGAGACCAATAATTGATATGCAAAGTGTGTGCATTTCTCAATGTCCGTGTCCTGCAGAGATAATTGATGTCCTGCACGACATCTATCTGCCTCAGCTTCTGAAGAAACATGACATTGGGCAGTTAAGCGCAGAAGTGCAACCCACAGAAGTTCTCCTCAAACACCTTTTGAATGCCATTGACTAATTGAGGGCCTGGACCCCTTTCTACAGATTGTGCCTCAGGCTCTCAAGGCAAATCAGAATCTTTATCCTGGAGAAATCCGATGAGCTATGAAGCGCTTTATCACAGATGTGCAGTGACGGACAAGGAGAATCCAGCGAGTTGGCGAATCGTGCTGCCATGGAGGCACTACGTGCGAGAAACCCACCTGCAGGGCACCAATGTGCCTACAGAATGCTGTACAGCAAGTAGGTTTCTGACCCATATTTAGCATTTGGATGTGCATCTTCTTCAAGCATATATTGTCCTCTTAACAGTGACAGATATGGCCAATTATCCAAAGAAGCTGAAAACGTTGTTCCTGGATAAAGGAAGATACCATCACTGAGAGGGAGTCTCTGGACAGAGGACTTGTTCCACTGTTTTAGACACCTGTAACCCCCTTCCTGACTGCATATTGCCGCACAGCAAAGATGCAATGCCAGTCTTGGGATATATACCAGTGATATACTAGTGATACCTTGTACACAAACACCTTGGTATTCGTCACCCTCTGCAATGCATACCAATTCTGTAGAATGTTAATAGTTTTATTCATTGGAAATTACAGGCCTTTTTTACTGTTTAATTATATCATTTGTAGATAATGGCTATGAAAACACGGGCACATTCTGAATACAAAAAACTAACCTTACAAAAGTTAATTGTTCTTTACATATATACATTACATTTGTAACACGCAATGTCACCAACAAAAATGTATTACACTTCACTCCACTTCACTCCATAATAAATAGGCATCTGTGGACACAGCATCTGTTACATTATTGCCAAGGAGTATTTTTTTTCGCAGCACATTACTAGATACACAAGTGTCATGGTGACCATTAAGAGTAACATGGAATCGCCTTTTCTATGCCTGAAAACATTTTACCAGTGAACTCAATGTACTTTTAATACAATTGTAAATAAAATAAACATTGCTGCACATGTTTTTCGTCGTATACAAAAAACTATCTTAAACTCGCTTTTATCCGTGGTAAGTGTAGGAGGAAGAAGTGGTCTGCTAAAAATAGGGACAATGCAAACCATGTGAATTGCCATGTGTTTGTGGACATGTGGCTACTGAGGCACTGGCCCTCAACAAGTGAGGAACAGCTAAATGAACCGGCCTGCATAAATCTTTTTTTTGCAAGCACTTAATCTTCCAATGGACAATCACGAATTAACAATTTTCACACTTGTCACTACCATGATCTGCAAGACAATCATTGCGCTTGCCAGTCACAGGGCTAGTGTCACAGCCGCCACCCCCTTGGCTGCAACGCGTCGGCCCAGTGGCAAGCTGAGGTCCGTGATGGCCAAGATGAGCTTGGGATTGTTCATGCCAGGCAGCTTCATGAGCTCTGACACCTGTGACAAAAGCAGTGGTAAGCATGCACATTAAACGTTTACAGACAACTCCCAATGCCGTTTGCACAGCCAGGTCCTCGAAAAGGATCTCATCTGCTAATGAGCTCGTCACTGCTTTAACGTGAAAGCTGATGTACTTCAATCGTGATGGCCAGCATTCTAAAGGACTGAAAAAAGCTCAACTCGATCACTTTAAAGCAGGGGTGAGGAACCTAGGGCCTGCAGCCGCAAGAGGCCTACCGATTCAAAAATGCCCACGAATTATATCCATCTCTGCAGGTATCTTAGCCATTCTAAATGTGTACCTGAACATTATTTTTCTGACTTGGAAATAATTTAGTACACTTTTTTGCACAATTCAGTCCTGGAACTGCAACTGCTTTATATATGAATATGAAAAATAACGTTATATCAATTGAATATATCCAATAACGTTCTATCAATTGAATATATTTTTAATATTCATGGATAATTCCAAGGTGTATGAGAATGTGAGACTCCGCTCGTATTTACAATATACAGAGCGCGGTCCTAAAATTATTCCTGCCCTTGATCGCATACTGTATAATTGTACGTACCATTTTACAGAATTACCTAAAAACTATATTCTTAGCTCTTTCGGTAAAGTCACGTTGAAGGGAAACAATAAAATAAAATATATATAAAACAATAAAAATTCTCACGACGTTTCGACCATAACACAAACGGTCATCATCAGCTGTGTTATGTGTTATGGTCGAAACGTCGTGAGAATTTTTATTGTTTTATATATATTTTATTGTTTCCCTTCAAGGTGACTTTACCGAAAGAGCTAAGAATATGAATTACTGCAGTCACGAAAGCTTTAAATCAAAATACCTAACAACTGTCTTAAATCTGTGTGGGGAACTAACCATGGTGAAGGGCATGAAGTGGAGGATGCTGGTACAACTGCCCTGCTCACACTGCACACACTCTTCCACGAACCACTGCACAAACTGAGTCTGAGGTCCAGCCACCTTGGATGTGAGGCTCCACGAAAACAGTAGAAATAGGTTCGCTGTAAAAACGAGACAAAAAAGATTGTTGTGAGAATTATTGCACGTTTAAGTGGTAATGAATGAAGCACAAGCTGAATGTTGTCCACCACAATGAATGATAACAGATGCAGCCTACACAATGTGCTAGTGCATTGCGCGATGAGTCGGCAAACCAAGTTCGGTTCCCGGGCACGACTCATATCAGTGGCATATGACATCTAAAAACCAGTCTTGTTTCCCCCAATTCAACCAATGTGAAGATCAACACACTCCCATCACTGAGACAGCATGGGGTGGCCTTCACCCACCAATCGATTGAGAAAAAGGCTGAACATTTTAACTTTTACTGTACACACTGAAACTCAAATCCAGATGGTTGGATGCTGTAAGGACACATTGGAGGTAATTTTTAACTATAGAATCTCGCAGAAGGAACTGATGGCATTGGCTGCGATGACATGTTGACCTCCACGAAACATACGTTATAAATAATGGCCGCTCAAGAATGTCATCATGTGTGTGGAAGCCATTATGGAATTGAAAATGGTACCATTTGTGGGCCACAGGGTTGTCGGAGTAGGAAATCTTAAATATTTTTGGACTTGAAGCATTTCAAAAGGATGCGAGATGAATTTGTCCCATTATTGCTTTACCCTAAGCATCACTTTGGCGTCACTCACCCAGCACACGGTTCAGAGGCTCCTTCATGTTGATGTTGTGGAGCTGAGCAGCTGAGAGAGAACTACTCATGGATCGGTCACCTTTAGGATAGAATGCAGACACGCACAACTATGAGGATAACCACAAGTCTACTGCAATAAAATATATAATACAGCTGATCTCATTTTTTTTACTCAAAAATGGCAGTGCATAGTAGGGCAGTGCATCGTAGGTCACCTGGGCTGGACAAAATGCTGGGGTCTTCCTCATTGGAGCTCAGCAGCCTCAGGAGTTTGGACGGCTGCGTGTCATCCAACGGAAAGAGGCTGACATAATCCTGTTGAAAATGTCAAAATGCAACTTCATATAAATTATTTAATCCAGCAATAGTTATGGCAGTGGCTTTGAACTCTAGGACTTCGCAGCCAAACAGTACCAAATTAACAAGTACAATTGCACAAATTAAGAAAAACTCAGCCATTTGTGGATTAAAATACCACTCTTTAAGAATCGTTAAGTATACTGTGGAATAACTGAAAAAAAACTTTCGTATAAGACTGCTCATATAGGTCGGTACTTTACCTCGATGTCCTCCCGGGGTCTCTTTCTGTAGCGAGCAGACGTCTGACTGCGGTTGTACACGGAGTATGAGGTTATGGCACACCAGACTGCCAGCCTGCCAAGTCACACAGTAGGCCGTTAATTGAATGCTCACCGCACTCCCAACCATTAAACCCAACACCAAAACAACGACCACTGGTTAACCAACAGGTAAAGTGAAACCTTGGATTGCGAGCATAATTCGTTCCGGAAACGTGCTCGTAATCCAAAGCACTCGTATATCAAAGCGAATTTCCCCATAAGAAATAATGGAAACTCAGATGATTCGTTCCACAACCCAAAAATACTGTATTCATATAAAAAATGATTAATACAAAATACCTTTTTTATATTTTTATTATTTAAATTTAATATAAAGTAATCAAATGTATTAATTACATTTAATCGTGGCTGGTGTGAGAGAGACGAGAGAGAGGAGGAGGGTTATTGTGTAGGACGACTTTCACTTGCAGTACAGTTACTAAAGAACAGTCACTACACTTGGACACAATAAAAAAAATGCTTTATGCACACACACGTGGTCACAACACTATAGTAAACAGTATACTGTACGCTCGCACGAATGTTGACTATACGAGTGAGGCACGCCGACTGAGACCGAGCATGGGAGTGATTACCCACAATCCCGCAGCGAGAGAGAAAAACCATTGGCTCAGTTGTGATCACGTGACGCTCGGCAGACAAAGCGTATACTGTACGTACTGCTCGTATTGAAAGACATCGCTCGTTTATCAAATTATTATTTATTTAAAAAATGTGCTCGTCTTGCAAAACACTCGCAGACCAAGTTACTCGCAATCCAAGGTTTCACTGTAACGAACAAAAATTCAGAGAGACCAATAAATCAACAACCTTCATACACTTGAGGAAGTGAAGTATTTTATGGCAAAAAAATTACATATTTCGAACATGAATGACAATTGTTAAGTGGCGGCAAAACAAGTGGACAAATGAGTGGTTATGGTATGAGTGTCGTGGACGTCTGCAAGCAGGCAAACCTGGCGAGAGCCCGGCCTGGCGGGTCAGTGAGTAATGGCCACTTGGCGGGGCTGGTGAGCAGGGGTGGCAGAACATGGCCAAGGAGCGAGAGCGTTAGCTGGTGCATGTCCAGTGAAAAGATGCTGTACAGGAGCTCAACCGCTGTCTCCGCACTCTCCTTGCGAGTCTCCTGCAGCAGTTCCTGTGCATTGTGAGAGGCCACGGTGAGTTGTGTGCCCCAATTAGCAAGCCTTAATATTTTAAAATAATTATGTAATTGATGCATTTATTACAGCGAGAATACTCAAATGGAAATGGGAAAGCCAAGTGTAAAGAGTAACTTATGACTGTTGGACGATATCCACAACAGACTGGACACTACAATATTGGAAAAGGAACAGGATTCCAGAAATATAGATGGAGAGACAACATTGACAAGTATACTGGAGGGAATGGTTGGAAAGAACAGTTTGGCAGCAATGAGTGGGAAACGTTTTGTGAGACCTCTGCTCAGCAGTGGGCCGATACATGCAGATTAAAACATTTTTAATAACTTTTAAAAAAATACAGGCATCTTTGGATCTACATTGGCAGGCCTTCAGTAACATCATAGTTTTATTTGCACTAGTTTTAATCATATTAATCTGAAATTGTGCGGTGATTACTGTCAACAATGTGTGATGGACAGAAACATCAATGTCATGTAAATACAACCCCTGACCTTTAGAATATTTCGCATTCTTTAAAGCACAACTAAAACAAGACAAAAGAAAAACACATTCCCAAAGGCGGCACCCCGTTGGGCTCCCACCTTGACAAGGTTGTTGGTGAACCAGTGCAGGCCGCCCATGTGCAGGCTGGCCTCCAGCGCGTGCAGGGCGCGCGTGTGCAGCAGCCCCCGCGCCATGGAGGCCGAGAACGTAGAAGAGAGCAGCTCGCGAACGGGCCGCGCCCCGGGTAGCAGTTCCCGCGTCACCGGTGCCGGAGATCCTTCGCTGGGGGCCCCGCCGGGGAAGCGCACCGTCATGCCGGTCTGCTGCAGCACGTCGGCGCACATCCTCTCCAGGATGGAGCTCATGATGATCACCCTGCGGGCACGAGGGAGGGTAGAGGTGGGGCGGCGGAGCAGCTTTAGCTGACGCTAGGCAGACACGTGAACAATTCCAAACCTTAAAACGACCGAAACAGCTGATGTTAGTGCAATAGTTGTTAAATAGTTTACTACTAAGTGGTAGCGAACGGAGGGAAAAACGAAGGAATGACACTCTGGATAATGAGCACAGCACCAGTCAGTTGAAGCACGACAAGGTAGCACAGTGGGGAGTGCAGATAGTACATCTGCCACCATCTCAAGCAGTTAACCTCATAACAGACCTCGTTCTGTCCTGTGACCTCTTGCTAGCGATCCTTTGGCACTTCACGTGGCCGCAGAGTGCACCGAGTCTGGCACAAGATGTCATAGTGATGCCACTGCCACTGAGTGAGTGGCGAGCAGCGTCTAGTGTTGCTGTAGGTGTGCGCGTCTCACCTCTCCGAATAGAACTGCAGGGTGCTCTCTCCCTGGATGGGCGACACCAGCAGCTGGATGAGCTGCAGTGGCTTCTCCCGCTCCTCCAGCCCCAGGAGCCGGATGTGAGTCACGAGCCACGCCACCGAGCACACGGCCATGCTGCACATTTTACCCTTCAGGTTGTCAGTGATTTTCTGGGGTGGGGGAGGCAGAAAAAAAACCCACCTCTTCCAGATCGAGAATAGAGAACCATAATTTGCATTTCCAGTGGTGATACGACCACAACAACTGAAAAAAACACAGGTATGATAGCTTTAAGCAAAACAAAACAGCAATGTGAACATTTCTTATTTGGTACATTAGTAAAACAAAAAACGATCTTGATATAAAATTAGCTGTGGTGCTCAAATAACCTACACACAAATATAACAGGTGATGTTTCAGTTAATGGCCCTTATTCATGGCAAAATCATTTTTGGTAAACGTTATTACGTTGTAATTACAAACATGTAAACAATTATTCCAATGTGTAAACATAACCTTATAAATAACGTTTTAACACAAAGCAAAGCAATACCTGGACATTGGCAATACCTGGACATTCTCCATGGTGAGCAGTCCATGCTCCCAGGCATTCAGGACCTCATTCACAACCCCCGGCAGACTGGCACACACCTCGTGCCACTTCACTTGCCTGCCGAAAGACACAGACTCAGAATAAATAATCAAGTCAACCCGACTTAACCTGGAGTCGGGCTAAATACAGGTCAATCAGTCCACGCTTCAATACGGTCCTAATATAAAGCACACTCACACTAGCTTCATCTCGCCCGAAGAGTTGAGGTGATTGATGAGTGCCTCCACTTTGCTGGGATCAATGCGGAGCCCATGCTCTGGGTTCAGGCTCTTGCCTTCTTCCGGCATGCACAGCTGCATCCACGACTCGAAGAAAGTTAGCTCACCTCCCGCCGATGGGTCTGACGTGATCACCTGCAAAGTGACCACATCCGGCACTCAGTATGCACATTCAGTGCCAGACTTCTTGTGCTGCATTGTTATACACAGTGTGAGGTTGTGGTATTCCAGGCTGTTATATGTTGGCTTACCTCTGAGCCATAGATCTGAGTAACATGGCACAGCATCAGGAACGAGATGTCGAAGAGTAACGCTCGGACCTGGGAGGCCTTGGCTTTGAAAGGCAAACAACAGCTTACAATTAGCAAATTAGCCACACGTATGCAACTTAATATATAAAACATAAATAATATGCTTCATTTAGTAGAGCACGAGTATACCGTACATTATATTTTGGAATTCAGATATACCGGGACATTTTCATGAGCAGATTAGCCTCAGTATCCTTGTCTTGGAGTTTATTTTGTGCATCATTATTCCAGAATATTCACGGGTGCATACTCCAACACGTATGTTGGTACATATGATGACGTCTGAACTTACTTCCTTCTCCACTCATATGCTTGGCAAACTCGTTCAGCCTATGCAGCCAAAAGTGCGGAAGAAAACAAAAATACAAATAAGCCATGGTATAAATGTCAAACCAGTCCTTTGGGGATCGTCGTTTCAATTCCGGGTGTAAAGTCAAACATATGAACATAAAACACACCAAACCAGGTGCACGACAGTGAAAAGGCAATAATGAAAAAACTATTTACTAGAGCGAGCCGTTTCTGTGCAGATAAGTGCCATACTTGATAAACTTGCGTGCAAATGACTTGAGCTTGCCAGTGGCAGCAGCTGCGGCCAGCAGCAGGTCTAGGCTCTTGCCTGACAGCATGTGACCCAGCACTCCCAGCAGGCCTTCAGGAGACTTGGAGTGGTCTGCGTCCATGGTCTGTGAAAGAAGGTACGTGACACCTATTTACAAACACGTGTAATTGTGATAAAGCTGTTATATTGCTGAACCAAGATACAATTTATTCGGAAGAAATGTGGTGGGTTAAAATAAAAATGTGTTACATTAGATGGAATATTTAAAAGCATGACAAAGGTTTATATAAGAGGTGAAATTAAGCAACGCGTAGAATAGTGATGGTCTGTGGCTCCAGGAAAACCGCTCGTTCTCACTTTAAGGATGTTGGTGACGGTGGGCTCAGCTCGGAGGATGAGTCCTGGGTTGGGCTGCACGTTGGAGTTCTCCGGAGATTTGGACTGAGGTACTTGTTCACGATCTGTAGTTCTGTACACACAAATGCCATCCTATGCTTACACACACGTTACCTTGTATCCTCCCTGTGTAAAAAAATATTTTACGATGTAATACATTTTAAATAAGTATTGCTTAATTTATAATTTGTTTTATATTCATGTACCTGACTCCAATCAATTTCTTCATGTGAATGTCAGAAAGGAGTTCCAGTTTGTTGCACTCTTGCAGTATCAGCTGCAGGCAGTCACAGCTGAAGTACATACAAGGATAAATAAGGTACACGCAATGGGGACAATTAGAAAATACGATGCAAGTCATTGAATCATTTCTTCATGGTTTTGTTACAATGAGGGATTCCGTGAAGTACATACTTGCATCTGTGGTCTGCTTTGTCCAGCAGTGGGGTTAGTTTCACCAAATGCTCAAAGGCAAGGTTGAGTTCCTCGCAAAAATCCTGTGGATAAAAGTCAGCATTTTAATATCCGTCACTGCTATCTTTTCACACACCAGAGGAATTAAAAAAGATGAAAAAATAATGTTGGAATGTGGGTTTCACAATCACACGATTACCTTTTCTCCATTATAGCATTTCTTTAATTTAAGCAGCACTTGTGGAATCTGGAAATAAAAATAACACGTAATAATTTGACATTAAATCATCAGAGATGGAGTGATGGGATTAACGCATGCACAGGAGTGAGATGGAATGCGGCATCACTGGACCATGACGGACGATGATGACATGGGGAGGACTTCATCCAGCGGTGGACAGAACATGGCCGATATCATTATTAAGTAAGTATTAAATGTGCATGACAAAAACTAATTTGCACACTCAAAGGCAGGGATGCACCTAATATATATTTGCCTTCATATTTGGTCAAATACCGACAATTTTATTTGTATATTCGGAAAAAACGCCGAAAATGATTTTTGCAGTCACTTGACCACCAAGGCCTGCAGTGTGGGTGGGGTGGGAAGGGACGATAGGAATATGCAAAGGAACAGTAGCTACTATGCAACAACTCCGATCACAGTGAGGGAGAGATAAGAGACACACGTAGAGACAGGGTGTGAGGGACAAGGAGATACTAGAGGCAGACATAAACGAAGAGAGACCGAGACAAAAAATGATAGGGAGAAAGACAGGGAAACAAAGACCAGCCATTTTATTATATATATACACATTTTGAAAAAATATATACTATTTGGCTTTCAATTGGATTGGCAGAATATCTAAACAAAATATTTGACAGAATAGGAAATATTCAGTGCACCCCCTACCTAAAGACATAAAAGCATATTTTAGCATGTTCACTCTTTTAATGATATAGTTTCTGTTTTTTCAAAACGTAGTTTCAATTGATGGCGAGTTAACCAATGAGGCCTATGTTAACTTGCACATCAGTCTGGATCCAGATTAAAATCCAAATCCAGAAAACGTTTAGTAAACAATGAAACCTTGAGGAAGGTGAATGCCGTCCACTTTAGCTCCTCGATTCCCTCCTGAGCCTCTATGAGCCCCACCATGCAGGCCTTCCACACCTCCAGCAAAAGGTACTGCATGGGTATCCGCTGGCATAGAGCAAAGAGTAAACACAGTCAGCAAGGATAACAGCGGACAAGTCACGCAGAACGACGCACTGATGAGCTAACAAGCAATGCTTCAATGCTTTGGTGTGGAAGGCAGCTGGTGCAGCATGTTGTAAAACATCAGAAATTCACAACACATCTCACACCGATTAGCACGGTTAGCTACGTACGGTGCGAAATAAGTACAATTGAAGTCAACTCGAATGTATAATACAGCGTCAATTGGTACCTGCATCTTCTTGACAAGCAGTAAGTGCTCCATGAGAGGTTGGCCGTCAGCAGTGAGGTTCATGGTTCCCTCTAGTGTGACCAGAGCGTGGACCGTGGGGTATTCTGTTTTGTAGGAGTGCTCTTCGTGTATGGTCAACAGCGAAGGAATTCTGCAAAAGCAATAAACACGATCAGTCACGAATGCACCCAGGTAAAATGTATCTGAGAATGTAATAACCAGCAAAGGTAATGGTGCTTTTTTTTAAGAATCACAACCTGTTGTTAATCCACTGCTGTATGAGGGCCTCTCCATGCCATGCCAGCCATGGGGTTTGTTTGACCATACTCTAACACGCTGCTGAGTGCGATTTGGTGAAGGCGGAAAATATGCAAGTAGTGCGACAGTGCATTTTGCTGCACTGTCCTCAAAAACCTATGCATCTCAGCCCTATAGATCCATGACAACCCAGCATGCAAAGTGGTCACCCATCCAAGCACTATCCCGGCTTTCGGAATCTGACGAGATCAGATCATTCCAGGTGATATGGTCATAAGTAAGCAACGTCATGTAGGAAACTAATACTGGCATGATGTAATTCTAAAATAAAAATCGGGGTAGTCAGGAACAGGCAAGCTATCTTCATTTGCCTTAAATAGTTTATTCCAATATTCTGGATTGTCTGCTACACCCTAGTTTTACCCTTTTATTATGAGGATGCTGTCCTCCAGGTGGGTACGGACTTCATCCTGGATGTTCACGCCAATCAAGCACTCGGGAACCTTCCACGCGGTCTGCTCCACCACCGACCAGATGCCTGCGTGCCAATCACACCAACAATCAAGGGCCTGTACAACCACATTGGCTACATCCACAGGCTATGATAGTGTAACAACACTTTGCATTGGCAACACTGCACAGACGACCTGATAGTAACAAGCACACTTAAAAATACAGAATTTGAAAACGAAAATATATTTGTAAAAAACCTTGGCAAAGATATTCATAAAAGGTGCTGGGGATGTAATATATTGAAATTGTCAGCCATTTAAATTCTCAAGTATAGTTAAACAAATTGTCATTGTGGCTTAAACATGCATCAATGTGCCCACTGATTTGAATATAAGGTGGCGTGCCCATACTCTGCTCCTCTAGACGTGCGATGTGCAGAAGTGCACGGTTCTTTGTGGTGCCCAGCAGCTTTTCCAGTGCCCCGGCGATGGGGCCCAGCAGATTGTCGACGCCGGCGCTCGAACTGGCACCACCGGGATTGGCGGCGTTGGCGGCGTTGGCTCTGAGCCTCTCCAAGCAGTGCGACAGACACTGCAGCAGCCACAGTAGGCAGCTGAGCAGGGCACGGCACAGACCCATGCACTCCTCTGCCTTTCCATGACAGCTGTGCATGAAGAGAATACATCAATATGAGCTACAGACCTATCAGTAAACAGGGAATTGTTTTTTTTTACATAGTAGGCGATTATTATGGATTACTCACCTCAATTTTGGGCAAATGTTGTTAATGAGATCCAGCAGGGTCTTCATGCAGAGCTCCTTTGAAGTGTCTTCAAACTTAAATAAAAACAAACATTGTTTTATTACCAAATATGCCCCTAAATCAATTAAAACCGAACATATTTCCTGCAACAACAATATTTAAATAATTCCTATAACATTTCAGATCGTAAAATAATGTTCTTTTAAAGTGACTACAGTTTCAGCTAATTTTGTTAACTAGATATGAACTCAAGAGACAAGGATCAGTCTAATTTGCAAGTGACATGGGTGACACCAAATAAAGTTTTTAAAAGGTCACAATGACGTAACATTTGATATTAATGGTCCAAAATATGCGAGTATATGTAATAGCAAATTATCAATACAAAATTAAACATCAGTTTTACCTTTGTGATGGCAAGAAGAATGCTTGAATATGACACCATCTAGAGGCAATAAAGATTTAAAATTTGACAATTACTATGTGGAATATAATTATTTCAATTTCAGGAAATGTATTACGCAAAATTGCATTCACTGTTGTATATTCATTATTTATGCAGATGGTGCCAGAAATACACGATGAGTATAAATACATCAAATTGTAGGTAAAGGAAGGTACCTGTGAGTTGATGGCATACTTTAGATATGAGAAAATAAGCGCATTCGGAGCTGGGCCAACCATAGCCTGCTCCAAAAGATGATCTAAGAAAAAAATGTAACCGATTATCCAAATAAATCACCAACATCATGAATTACAAGTTGAACACGTAGGCTTTCGTGACCAATATTATTCATAATAAACGTTTTTGGCGAATTGCCCGATGATGCTGGATGTAATGACCAGCAAAACATCATACTAAAAAACTGTTAATGTTGTGGATTCACTCAACACACCGGTGGGCTAAAGTAGTGAACTATTTGCCTTTTGTCAACGTGACACTTTTTTGCTGATTGGACGTGTCGGGTGGCGGAGGGTTACGACACATTTATAAATAACGCGATCTAACCCAAAAAACGTTTATTATGAATCACGAATTACAGTTTTCATGACCATCTCTGGTATTGTCAAATGCATTTAACACTGCATGGTATGCACATGACCCTAAAAGTTATAAACGACCTCTCAAGCAAATCGTACCCGCCAAGCCCTGCACATCCCAGGAAGTGGTCCTGGGGAACAGCTTCTTGAGGTTGATGGCCCACTGATAGTCAGGCCAGCGTTCTCTCCAGGCCTGGAGGATGGCCTGCCTAAGGCTGACCCCCTTCATCTGGAACAGATTAAACCTTCGATTAGCACGGTGAGCAGCGTGCGGTACTAAAATAAGATCAACATACATACATACAAACGAATGTCGGCATGTTTTCATTCTACATTTTTCTATTTCAGGTATCCCCTTAAAGCGAGACGATTAAATCGTAATGCCTTCTTGCACAGTCCTTTTCTAACCCACAACTGCATGAAGGCATCTCCACACTGTTTGAGTGTGGGGGGGGATTGTTTTACCATACTTCAGCACGCTGGTCAGTGTAGGTTCACGAAGGTGGGGTCCAGAATCAGTTCAGATATCACTCGCCACTGATATTAGCTCTGGCCGGAAATCAAATCCAGGTGACTGAGTTCCGAATACAGTGTGGAAACCAACCCGCCACTGCTCAACTGTTAACTTGGTTATACATGAAAAAGCAAATGTACTTATATTTATATGTTTTGTATCTCAATGTGTTCAGCTGCGCTTTAATACTGGTAAGTCGTTTAATACGTGGTTCAGGGCCATACGCTTCAGGTTTAGGCTGTCCTGCAAACCTAACCCAACTCCAGTCAAGATACCAGGAAAGCTGACTCTCACACCACAAGTTCCCCCCTGGTTATTAATTGCGTGGCTTTAACACACGGCAACAAAGTCGCTCTTATAACAATGGAATTGGCCACACATTTGAGAGACGACAAGACACATTGACACCAGCTGGCAGGGCACTCCGAACAAGTCTCAAAACTCACGATTTTATGGATAAATGCATGGCAGTATTAACGTTAAAAAAAACAACTGCATGCACGTAGTTAGATTGCATTAAGGGGCCTTCAAATGTCCTCACTACAACAATGTTTATTTGCAGACCTGTTCACAAATTAACGGTGAAACTTTGCGTCTGTTCACACTTCACCCAAAGCCACCTACAATTAAACGTTCCGAGTCCACAAATCTTTCCGAAGTCAAAACACAACATACGTGTGCGAATCGGACACCATTACAATTCTAATACCACATATATTTAAACAAAAAAGGACTTCCACAATTAAGCACGGTACGGTGCTCATATGTTGCGGGCATTCAACAGCGAAGATGGAGCGACACCACCAAATCATTTGCAAAGTGGATCCTTGTTAACATCGCAGGACCGTGAGGGTTGGCGATGGACAACCGGGAGCGAGGGCTTCATCTAGCAGTGGACTGATCACGGTTGATGATTCCAATGACGAAGTAAACGCAAACTGTGTCTGTAAAGTGTAGAACCCACCGAAGCCTACGGCTTTCCTAGCCTCGCCGCCCGAACCGATGCGCCTAAGCCGGCGGGATCGGGGCTGGGGCTAGCCGGTCCGGCCGTGGTCCCGAGGGGGGAGGAGGAGGAGGATGGCGGATGTCTCTTTAAGTCACACTCGAAATCATAGGAAACAAACACGATACGGTTGTCGGACTGCTCGCGCTCGCTTCAACGAGCGAGAGAAGTGCTGACGAGAGCGATAGGCGAGCGAGGCAGCGGAGGTAAACGCGCCGGGGCCGAGGCGACCGCTCCCTGCACCTTGCACATGGCCCGCAGGAAGATGGCGACAGCGTCCCGGTGTCTTTAAAGGGGCAACGTGCGGTGCTGAGTGCTCCGGATACCCCCCACACACACACCCCCACCACACACCCCCCCCACCACACACACACACCCCCACCACAACCCCCCACACACACCCAGCCCTCCCCCACCACAACCCCCCACACCCCCAGTCCCCCCCACACACCCCCACCACAACCCCCCACACCCCCCGTCCCCCCACACAACCCCCCACCACAACCCCCCACACCCCCAGTCCCCCCACACAACCCCCCACCACAACCCCCCACACACCCAGTCCCCCACACACACCCCCACAACCCCCCAGTCCCCCCCACACACCCCCACAACCCCCCAGTCCCCCAGCCCTCCCCCACCACAACCCCCCACACCCCCAGTCCCCCCACACAACCCCCCACACACCCCCAGTCCTCCCCCACCACAACCCCCCACACACCCCCAACCCTCCCCCACCACAACCCCCCACACCCCCAGCCCCCCTACACCCCCCACAACCCCAAAACGCCCAGCCCCCCACACCCCCAGTCCCCTATCCCCCCGTAACCCCCAGTCCCCTCCCACACCCCCCGCGCCCCCCCCCCCTCCAAAAAACTGTATTTGTGTATGTGGAGGGGCAGCTGTAGCATGTCCAAGCAATACAATTAGGTCAAACACTGCGAGTGCTGCCCGCTGATTGCGCGACCCACTGGATAGGACGCGCTGCTTCGTTTGTCTCGCGCTACCATTGCAGCCCCGTGCTCCTCTATACAAACCATGTCAATAAAAGACTGACTGTAACCGTGATGTTGTTTAATGTCTCGGATTTATTTCACCGTGAAACACAAAACAATTAATAAAATCACATCATACATTTTACTTGTGGTTTTCTTTGTGATAAAATGTCCTGTAAAAGCCTAGTACTTTATTGGCTTCCCTTAGTGCGATCAGAGTTTTTTGCTCTCAGCCTTGTACAGTAAAGTATAATGCAATGACTCTTGGTAATTCTTTCTTAGTGACGTGTGCTGCTCAAGCCGATTTTATGTTGCGTTCGCTCTCTGATCCATAGTTCGGTGATGAGGAAAAGATCAAAGGGATGTTTAATCGGCCGAATGTGATGCCTGCCGTGCAGGGTAGTGGTTGTCATGATTGTGGTGAGGAAATGGTTTTGAAGAGGCGGCGGGGAAAGCAGTGAGAAGGCTAGGAGTTACTGGCTGTAATCCTGCTACCTCTGCAGCCACGTTTATGGTTTCAGCGAAAGAGGCAAAGCTGGCAAGTATTGCCGAGTGAAGAAAGATCGGGGTGAAGAGAAAAGTAAATGCAGTAGGAATGACCCAAAGGTAGGGGAACTGGCATGAGGATGGATGCCGATCAGGAGCAGTGGATGAGTAGGATAGGTAGCCTTCAAGTAGGCAGCTGGAGGTGGCAAGACACTGCAGCAGGTGATGCATTGCTTGGAGAAGCCGGAGCTGGTAGCTGGCGGCGGAAAAAAAAAAAAAACCTGCTGGCGATGGTGGGACACAGCGGCGGGATGATGGCAGAGCTCTGCTCGTGGTCGCCGTAGGCGTCGACCAGCGACCACCAAAGGCAGCCCAATGTGCAGGCATGGCGCCCAGACGGCCGCAGTGCGCAGTCCAGTGTCGGCCAAGGCAACCGAAGACGACGAGCCCAAGATGTAAAGAGGGAAGCAAACCGCAGTCAAGAGCAAGCACCAGGCACGGCCCTGAAAGGAGAGCTCAGAAACTGGCACTAAGTACCCAGAGACAGCAGAGCGCCAATGAGCATAGGTGCCGGCAGGCAGGGATGGAGGCCCAAGATGGATGAGCAATGGTGGCCGGCGGTAGTGGTGGCATGCTGGCAGGAATAGGAGATGCCCGCCTGTAGCACAGATGGTTGGAGGCCATGGAGTGTGACCTGGGTAGACACGACGGACCGCCAGAAGTGGCGGAGGCCCGAGAAGGGTTGGTGGAGCTTCCCTGTGAGCAGAGGCCGTGGAATGTGACCGCGGGAAGGGGTGGGCCGCCAGAGGCTGCAGAGGCCTTGGCGGGGTTGGTCGAGCCTCGCTGTATGCAGACACCATCGAAACCGACAACGTATAATCAGAGATTGTGCTAATTAGTGTTCATTTTATGCCAATACACCATACATAACATGCTAAGAATAGGTGTCAGAATGCATCGATTCATCAATATTAAATAATATGATCTTATGAATGATCTCCATATTTCCAGCCTCCATCCCTGGCATTAAAGTCACCTCAAGGTCATGTATGGGATGGATATATTTTTTTCTAACAATTTATTTTAAGTCTTGAAGAAGACACACATCCACAAATCACATCATTATCCCACTAAACCATATAATCTTAAACCCTCCGGGCATCATAGTATAATTTTAAACCTTAAATGCATTGCCTCGTATCACATTCCCATCATCACATAATCATCATCCAGATGCATCACATCCTGATATTTTAACGCATTGAATTGTATCATCTCCATGCATCATTATCTCTCCAAATCGTGATATAACCTGTTCAAATCATCATTACAAATTAAATGTCATATACACAAAGTTATTGTAGCTGTCGCCTTATATCAGCAGTCTCAGCCACCTTTAGTTTATGCCCTCCAAAATATAAATACAGTATAGAGCAGTACCCATCTCCCTGCATTAGTTATTAACTATATCACTAAAGTACACTGCCTAACATGTTAAGTTTGATTTTTTTACATTTTTTTATTATTGTGGTTACACAGTGCTTACTTATTTCGTATTAGTTTGACCCTTCCCAGGCTTGTGTTTATATAACTGTATTGGTTATCATCTTTGAATACGTCATTCATCAAGTGGATGACTACTGCCTGCCCTAAGGTGAGCTGAACTCAAGGATGCTTGCCAGAGTGGTGGGTTGAGACCCATTTAACATCATCATGATGACCCAACATTACCATTACCATCGTGCATCTCATCATCCCTATGACATCACCATAACGCTGATCACGGATCTTATCAGCATTGACTTCACCTTCATGCATGTCATTCTCACATTATTTAATTATCATAACACCTGTAATGTTATAATAATTTCAATGGTACATGGGGATACATATCATCATTCACATCACATCTTCATCTCGCATAATTTCATAATAATTGACATCATCATCCCCATGCTTCACATCATCTATATATATAAAAGGGAAACTTGTGAAAATGTGTGTCTGTTCGAAATGTTTAGCATACTTGCCAACATGCAACAAACTTGAAATTTGGCATGTGGGTAGCTTCCAGACAATACACAATGCAAAACGTATAAAAATAGACTTTTGTTTTTTGGGGGGGGTGCAATAATGGATATATTTTGCACGGCAAGTGAGCATCTGTGATATCACCCGCATGCGGCAGCGTCACGCAGTGTGCCTGCTGACGTCACACATCCCCACCAAACGCGTAGGCTGTGTATTAATCCAACACAAGAATCAAAGTATCGGGCGAAGCTGGGTAGTAAAGCTAGTAAATATATATAAAAAAGTAAAAACACTTTGAATGCACTGGATGTTTTAATATACATCATTAGCTAAGAATGATACAGAATTTCAGCACTTGCAAATGCCATACTGCACATGACACGAACCAATTAGCAAATATATTTTCAGATTTTAATAAACTAAACATTTACAGTAAGTTTTGTGTTGAAATAACACTTGGAATGCCCTTATTCGTACAATGCAAAGGATATGAATGTGCAACGAATTTTAAAATTTTCAAAATGTCTGTAGTGTTGCACACACAACACACCCAGTCTCCTCCACTTACTGTTGTGACTTCAGATGCAGCTGATAAATCACTTCCCCAGCCACTGTCCTCACACTGCTGCTATCTGTGCTTTTGCTCTTCTTTTCTGCAGTTCATCGAGGCCCTTTCTGACCTCTTGAGCAGTGATCGCATCCTTTTGCTTCTGCGCCAACTGCAATGCCTTCATGTACATGGCCTTGGCCAGGCTGTAGTTTTCTGAAGTCAGAAAAATAGGAAAATAACTTCAAAAACATACCAATATTGACATTGCTTATCGCCATTAGATATTAATGAGATGCAATTCTTTTTTGTAAACTATAGGAATGGAATTTTTCCAAAATGGAGCCTTAACTAAGTCTCAGTTGTATGGTAAAATCACAATGAATGTGCCCAATCTCGTCTGATCTTGGAATTTTAGCAGGCTTGAGCATGAATAGTGCTTGGATTGGCGACCGCCGTGCAAAAAAAAGTTGTAGGACTACATGGTCGGCAGTAGAGAAAAGGCTACCAAAATCCATTTTACTGTACTATATTCAAACATCTATGCTCCCCGCCTTGACTAACACCAACCAGCATGGTGAGGTATGATTAAACAACCCCTTTGACTGACAAGGCATGGGAAAGCCTTAATCCAACAGTGAATTGACAAATAGCTGTCAAATAAATGAATCTGTCAACCATCATCTGGCTATCTTTGAAACATCCCCCATTCCTACCCTGTTGTGCCACCCTTTTGCGTCATGTCTCGTCATGCCCTGTTACCGCGCCTTGGTGAAGAAGGACTCCGGCGTGGTTCAGGAAAACAGTGGGCTGCTCCGGATGCTCGGTCTCCTCGGCGATGATGCATGCACGCCCTGACAACTCCTCGGCCTCGGCGAAGCGTCCCAGTGCATCCAAGGTGGTGGCTAGGTCACTCATCAGCACCACTGTCTGAGTAGGAGCAGCAGAAGTAACATCCAAGTGTCTTAGCTGTGGACAGCATTGCTTTACAGATTTTAACAAATGCGTATTATCAGGGGTAATACATAACCCAACGTGAATATATTAGAACAGAATAAGAACATTCGTAGCATATTTAAATAACTAATTAGAAAATGTTACTTATGGTGAACAATTGTACTGCACATTCCCATATATGTTATCTCCCTTCCTTAACCAGCACTAACCAGTATTGTTCAGTCTGGTTAAATCACCTGCATGACTCACACGGCATGGGGAGGCCCTCATCCAGCAGTGGATTGACAAAAAAGCTGTACTGTACACAGAATAATAATTTTTAAAGATCCTCCACACCAAAACTGGTCACCTGTGGGTGCTGATCCCCTTGCACCTCATGTGAAATGGCCAGGGCCTTGACGTACTGCTGGCGCGCCAACTCCCAGTGTCCGTTGGCTCGGAGGTAACGCCCAAATGAGTCGAGCGTCATCCCCAGCAGCAGCCGTGTGTTGGCCTTGTACTCCTCTGTACACACACACAAGCCAAGGCACAGGTATGAGCACATCAGTGGCAAGCCTGGAAGATGGGTGTGGGCGGTCAAAATCCACTTAATATTTAGTCACCAACTGCTGCTATTCACAACGTGCCTGATAAACTCCCATCGGTCACTTCTTTCAGTCGCACAAGCTTTTCCTCCATCAACTTCACGCACCACTCATATCCAAGTACTGCAAGCTCATTCCTGCAGTAACAAAGACATCAGAGATGTAAACCCATTGACACTGGTGGTACTTAAATGTCACATAAGCCTGTGTTTTCAGAAATCATACTCACTTGCCCTGCATAGCGTAGATGGCTGCAAGCTTCAGCGATATCTCAATGGCGGCATTACTGTCCTAAGTGCAGAATAACAACATTCACTTTCTTACCATGTGTAGTGGATGAGAATAGTAAATACATCGCCCAATATCAATGCAAATGAATGCCATCATTGTGGTGTGTGTGTGTGGTCTAAGGTAATCCAACTTGATACCTTCTCAACACCAGAGCTCAGCATCAAACCCAATGTGGCTTTAAACAAGGTCTCAGCCTAAAAATAACAAAAACGTGTGTTTCAGTTTTTTATATTGTTTAAACATTCCAGTCATTCAATCCAACTTTCTTTTATAAACAACCTTATCATACATTAATATAGGGGTGGGAAATATCCCAGAGTAAGGGACAATTAGTAAGAATACAGTAAAATATATGAACACCTACCTGAAAATGTATCATAATTTACACAAAATAAGTAACTAAGCAAAACAGATTTCTAAAGAAACTAGAAGCGATTTAAAGTAAAATACTGATCCCTAGGGAGCAATATACGAATTTAACAGGTCCCTGCAGGGTGGGCTGGTAGGACAAGTCTCTGCGCTGTCTATTGCTGATTTTACACCCAACAGCACGAGATTTCAATTCGTTAAAGTATTGAAAGGGGACAGACGGACGGACACATTAATCTATTGCAGGCTGGTACACTCAGTTTACAACTTCGTTCCTACCAGTATAAAGTCTACTCCGCTTAATTAACAACACACAAACCCCTCAGTATTTCCTGCTTTTTTAATTTTCACAGAGGCTATGCTTTTACATTTTTGTACTTGAAAATCATGGTTTTCCAACCTGCACTTATGTTATAGGTTTATTTTTGAATTATAGATTTGCTTACAAATGTCATTTGAGCTTCTTTCAGACTGTACTTAGCCCGCCATGCTAATCGGAGGTGCGGAATAGTGGATTATGAAAAGGTATAGAGATTATGGATAAATAATAAAATATTACATTCGCAGTCGTTGACCACAAATTAAAGGAAGGATAGAGAGAAAAGTTGTATCTTTAGTTTAGACCTAAAATCGGGAGAAGATAGCGGCTGATAGAAGAGTTGCTTGAAGCACGTTCCAGAGGAGTGCATTGCAGCTGAAATAACGTTCCCACGTGAAAATATTTTTATGGATAAAAGGAACAACCAAATAAAAATCTGCGGATCTCAAATGCCACGGGGCATATGGGGCTTCCTTAATTCGTGAGGTATGCAGGGACCAAGGTTGTGATGTGCTCAGTATGTTGAAAGCAGAATTTTGCATATTATTTATATGAAAGGGAAATTTGTGAATATGTTTGTCTGTTCGAAATGTTTAGCATACTTCCCGACATGCAACAAGTTTGAAATTTGGCATGTGGGTAGCTTCCAGACTGTACACAATGCAAAAAGTATAAAAATAGACTTTGTATTTGGAGGGAGGGGGGGGCGTAATAGTGCATATATTTTGCACGGCAAGTGAGCGGTGACATCACCCGCATGCGGCAGCGTCACGGAGTGTGCCTGCTGACGTCACGCATCCCCCCCACCCTCCATGTCGGCCGTGTATTAATCCAAGACAAGAATCCAAGTCTCGGGCGAAGCCGGGTAGTAAAGCTAGTTATATATAAATTAAGCATTGAAGCATTATACATATTTAAGAATGTGTACTTAATTAACTTAATTGACACGATGTTCTAGTGCAATGGCAAAATCGTGTACTCACAGAGTCCAGCTTTCCTGCGAGGAAAGCTACATTGGCCATCTGCACACAAAACACAAAAATCATATTTCTTTATCCAGAAAATGTTCACTGAGTCTGAAGAACTTTTTCTCAGATGAGTCCTGCATTGAGATGTTGGACTTCTAAAGAGTTGTTTGTGGGAAAAAAACTGGATTTTCTGGAGGAAACCCACACAAATAAGGGAATAACACTAAAAAATCAAGAAACAAGATCACGGACCCCACTCGTTCCACCATAATCTCTTGGCAACCTTGCAGGTTTTTGAGTTTCTCATCTGTGTGATCTATCAACCTCTAACTTTAAAATAATTGATCACAGGCATGTGCTACCATACTCAGCATAACAATCATGAAGTGTTAATTGTGATCATGATAAAATAACCAAGGTGCATACACATGGGACATGTGTGGGCTACACACCTTGGGTCAATTATAATTGTAATTGTGTTTTTCATAATGAACTGGATTTATAATGTAATTGCTATTTTAGCTAACGGTGTTAATGTACTTGACTCTAGGTCTGTGTGCTTTAAGTGGGTTTTACAGTCTGGAGCTGGTCAAATCCAACCATGATAGGGCTGTGGTTAAAGCTGAAGTCAGCTTACCAGGTCATAGGTGTAGATTATTGCATTCGTGTGCTTCTCCTCCTCAGCCATAAACAGTGCCTCGTGCAGCTTCTTCTCTGCACCCTTTAAATCCTTTTTCAGCACACAAAGCTGAGGCAGCACAAACACAAGTACACACATATACAGAATGGTAAAAGTGCAGCCCTGAAATGCTACTGCTCACGTCACTGCTGGCAGAAAGGCCTCCACGTGGAGTAGCGCGAGAAAGCCTAAAGCAGCATTCCCAACCTGTGGTCCGTGCACCCCTGGTAGTCCGAGAGGCTACTTCAGGGGGACCACGGAAAATTAAAAAAATAACATCCTCAATGGAGAGGTGAATGAGGACCTCTTTTACAAATTGTTCCCTATGCGTGCAACTGCAGAGGCTATTTTTGAAGTAATGAAATATAATGGATATCGATTTATCAACATGTATTGGAATAAGCACTTGTGCTTTGAAAGGCCAATGCAGTGGGGTTGTTACCCGTGTTAAAACTTTGATACCATTCACAAATCCATCCACTGCAGCATCCACAGGGTGACTCTAGCTAAAAAGAAAATACCTGCTGACCTGCAGACGGTTTTGGAGGAATCAGTATATTTCATCAAGGCTCGACCTTTGAATTCAAGAACATTTTCCTTCTCTCTGTGACGAGATGGGTAGTGATCACTGTCAACTCCATATTTCTTCATCCTGAAGTCCGCTGGTTTTCTCGAGAAAAAAGGTACTTGCACACCTACTTGAGTTGGCTGGCTAAATGAGGATTTTTCTACTTGACTAAGTTTGAGTTTTCACATTGCTTCAGTGATTTTCCTTGGTTAGCTAAGTTGGCATACTTGACAGATGTTTTCAGCCAACTAAATGGGCTCAACCTATGACTGTAGAGAAAAGCCCCGACTGTTCCAAGTTTAGGACAAAATAGAAGCTATAATTAGGAAATTATATCTGTGGTCCCGTCGACTTGATCAATCAAACTACGATTCATTTCCAAATTTTCAGATGTTGTTTGGCCACATCGGCAATTAGATCTTCCAGACAAAGTTAAATGTGACCTTAGGGAACACTTGCCAAGCCACAAAGTACAGCTTCACGAGCATTTTGCTGTCCCCCCCGAGTAAAAAAAAATACTGAATTATAACTGCTTTGTGAGCGCTGATAATGACGTGCTCACACATCTGACATCGAAAGAGCAAGACAGCCCGACATAATTTTAATATGACAACTATTTAAAGGTGGTCTTCACACAAAAGTACCCGACTTCTGTCTATTAAGTGAGCGAAAACAGCACCAGCCATCTCATTAAGTTACTCAATATAAATACGTTCTCGCACATGTACAGCTATGCTTCGAAAATATATTAGGTAATGAACAAGATTTTCACAATTTAAGGTGTTTACATTATAAATGATTTCCTAGTGCATATTATTTGTCTGTGATTACCGTAGATTTAGATATCTAACGGAGTGTAAAAACAACAACTCGTAGCATGTGGTGGTCCGCGAAATGTTTGGAAGTTCAAGAGGGGTCCGCACAATCGCAAAGGTTGGGGAACCGCTGCTCTAGAGTGTATTTTTGTCCTTCTCTTCCATACCGACGAGACGTCGTTGAAGAGGTGGGAGAACTGGCACTTCACTCCCAACCAATACGCAACATGCCGATCTACACGCTGTGTGGTTGTACCCTTTCGTAGCTCCATGGCTGCACGGAGGCAGGGATATTTTAGAAACTTGCCGATTATTTTAACTGCGACACCGGGAGATAAAACCGGGGTGAAGCGGTGGCAAATTGCTTAGAAACCGGGCCACCCGAGTTCGATTCCGGCCACGGATATTGTCAGCGACGAGGCATGTTCATGTATTGTATGTTGACATTCTTTCGCACCGTACGTAGCCAACCGTGCTAATCGGAGGTGCGATAACAGATCTCCTTCTTGGGCCTCCCCCTTCGAGCCACACCAACATGGTGAAGTATGGCGAACTAAAATCCTATGATGTCAACACGGCGTGGGGAATTTTTTTTATCCAGCAGTGGATTGACAACGTGCTGTTTTTTTGTGTGTGACCGCAAAACATCAACACAGCCATTAAACATACTCTTTGGTTCTATCGGTAAAGTCACGTAGGTAGAACAAACAATCGATCACTACGTTTCGATCGCAACACAAGCAATCGTCTCCTCTTTCTTACGCCTGATGACGGACGCTTGCGTTGCGACCGAAACGTCGTGATTTACTTTATACTCTACGTGACTTTACCGAAAGAACCAAAGAGTATGGATTCCTGCAGTCACGATAGCCTCAAATCAAGCCATTAAACAGTAAAACGCGACTGGATAGTATCTCTCCATTTATAAACATTTATAAACGCCTTTTATAAACCCAAAATGTGGCCACGTATTACTTAATCCATTGCCACCATAAATGGAAACGGCACACCAAAGTGTACTGTATCAAGGTTTAAGTTGCGCAAACCGGTGCGGTTATTGTACCTTTGCTTGTTTAAGCAAATGAATGATTTTCTCCTCGGGCGTCTTCTCTTCGTCGTCTTCGTTGCCCCAGAACTTTGACAAGAATGACAGACCTGTGAGAAGTGTAAGGATTAACACCAGCAGCACAGTGCAAATTACGCCTTGCGTATTTAACATTGTATTCTTGGTTCTTTCTAACTTGTATAACCCCTTACCACAGCATCTCTCCCACTTCAGTTAAAAAAAATGTTCTTGCTGTAGTTTTCACACCTGATGACGATTGCTTTGTGTTGCAATGGAAACGTCGTGAGAAATTTTGTTTGATTTTTATTGTATTATTTCCCTTCTACGTGACTTTACCGAAAGATCCAAGAGAATGAATCTCTGCAGTCACGAAAGCTTTACATCGATATTTAACATTGCTTTTTTCGTCTTCTTCTTCTAAACGTGGACGTTTGCATAACACGACGTCTACATTATAATTTGCATCGACGTTACTGTAACAGTGTCTCGACGCAGTGCGGTCAAAGCAAGCGGTCATGACCGGCAACCGGTCACGAAGGGGGGGGAGTTGTTTGACCACACTTCATCGGTGCAGGTTGGTGAACGAAAAGTAATAGTGCAACTTAAATCACGAAGCTTTTCTACAAAAAGTATCCCACGAAAGTTGTCTCTTACCGAACGCAGCAGCGACGGGCAGTGGCGCATTAAAGACCTTGCCATCATCATCACCACCACCATCAAATCTCCACCTATTGTTATTAGTGTGACCAATTAACCAGAACCCATTATTCCTCACATTCTCTTGAGCTCCACCACTGGAAGAAGCTTTCAAGTCAAACGTTCCCTGCGACTCCCCAGCGCAGACGACGACGCGACCCGGGGTCCGAGTTCGTCGCGGGGGCGGCTTTGAACGAGCGCCGCTGCAGCTGCCGGGCAGGGCGCTCAGGAAAGTTCGTAGGCTCCCGCTCAGGCCTACTCGATCGGCCAAAACCAAAAGGGAGCGCGGCCTCCCGCACTCGGCGATGGAGGCCAGACTTACTAAAACTCTCGTCGTGAACATTGCGTCAATGACATGTACGTTAAATTTTCATTATTAAATCCGGTAGAGACGATTTCGTAAGGTCAACGGAGGTTCGAACCAGCGAGTATGTATATTGTATTTGGTAGCGCGCATAGGTAACGCTCAGGATATTTTGAGAATGTGATTGGCTAAGTCACCGAGGGGCGGGGCTAAATGGCCAGATTGTATTTGGTAGAGCGCATGAGCAGCTCCAAGGTATCTCTTGACAAGTTTCAAGTTTAAATTTTGATTTAAAACTTTCGTGACTGCAGGGATTAATATTCTTGGTTCTTTCGGTAAAGTCACCACGTAGAAGGGAAACAATAAAAGAATAAAAATATAAAACAACATTTATTTTTTATATTTGTATTGTTTTAAAATTTATTGTTTTATATTTTTATTATTTAATTGTTTCCCTTTTACGTGACTTTACCATAAAGAACCAAGAATATAAATTTCAAGTTTCATTTATTAGGTATAGCCCTGTGAGCCATGCGGCTCTTAAGTCGGGTGCAACCGCAACCTGGTGTGAAATCTAGATCTGAAGTTTTCGTGACTGCAGGGATTCATACTCTTTGGTTCTTTCGGTAAAGTCACGTAGAGTATAAAATCAAATATTTTAAAAATAGATGGTGTGACATAAGAGCAACAGATTTGTCGTTATGAAATTGTAGGTGTCAATCTACCGCTGGATGAGAGCCTCCCGAAACCAGCGCGCAATTATTACGTATGAACTCTGGTTTATATTTTAAGAGGATAAAGACAAATTGTCAATTGGAGAGGGCATTGAGTGAAGTCAGCAACATTTTGATTGCTTGCGTTGCAGTCGAAACGTCGTGAGAATTTTTATTGTTTTATATATTTTTTTATTGTTTCCCTTCTACGTGACTTTACCGAAAGAACCAAGAATGTTTTGACAAGTTTACATTACCGACTCATTGTAGAATGTATTTTTCACTACTATACACTAAATGTACTGTCAGCATCTTGATAGGATACAAATAAATGCATACGAGGAAATCACAGAGAGCGGTGCATTACTCTGTCCGAGAATGGCCTCTGAAGATGACATCACATAACTACTTACAGAGGTCTCTTCAATTACCTCTTATTCACACAACTCCTCACATGTACCTGCTATGCAGGTGTTCGTATTCTGCAAATAAATACAAAAATATTTAGTCCTGGGAGCAGGAAAAAGCCAAAGTAAAAAAAACTAAAGTTCGGGCAGTTTTTGGGGAACAGACTGAAAACGTCAACTAACTCCACTCGAGATTCTGCTTTAAATAGCCCACACCAAATTTGTATCCGAATCTTGATATATCCTGGAAGAATCCTATGAGGTATAAAGCTCTTTTTCACAGATGCCTATTTAAACCCAGGAGCTCAACCGTGCTGGCTCAGTGCTCTGAAATGGTATTCGCCCACTGAGCCACCTGGCCACCTCAATAAAATACATTTCCGAGGCAAATTATAAAATACACAGTAGTCGTGGATATCGCGGCAACATTTTTATTTTCATCAACTAAGTTATTATCGCAGTAAAAAAATAATTCAAACAGTCTTAGTTATTAAATATTGGTTTGAGGGGTGCGCAAATACCTCCCCGATGTTATGTCAATCAGTGAACTCTATAAATATTTTTCCACACATAGCCAATTACAATTGTTTTGCTATCCTCAATCCTTAATGCACTGCAGTCTCAACTAAAGTTTCTAAATTATCTTAGTCTTCATTTTCAGACTAGTTAATTTCATATTTTCATGTTCAGTCATATTTTGGTCTTTAGATCACAAGTCAGTCATGCTGAATGATATTTGCCCACTTATAATCATCGTTGAGCAACGTAAAACACACTTTATTGATGGGTATTTTCATCACTATATTCATAAACAAAATTATCCCTGCGGGTGCCTCCCCATGGCAATGGCCCACGGCACCACAACCGTGGGGATGTTGCTGGAAACTTGTCATCACCAGGGGCTGAATGGGAAGAGCACGGGCGTGCGCTTCACATAGGCGCGGTATGCGGGATCGAGACCCCAACGCCGCATCGCCTGCCGCTCCAGGATGGGCACGCCGCTCACGTGCGACAACAGCAGCCACACGAGCAGCGGCGATGCGGCACTCAACCACTCCCAGCCGGAGAGCACCGACGAGGCTGACACGAAGAGGCCCAGCCACTGCAGGATCTCACCCACGTAGTTGGGGTGTCGGCTGTATGCCCACAGTCCGCTTTGGATGAACTTTCCCTGCATGGAATTTACAAATTAAAGTTGTAGGTTAACAACATGCGATAAGGTGATGTGGCTTTTGAAGCATCAAGATTGAATAATTATGGGGTGGAGTGGTGGTGAAGTGGTTAGCACATTGTGCTATGATGCCAGTGATCTTAATTCAATTGCTGGCCACAGCTAAAAGTCTTGGGTCTCCTACATCACCCTGCATTGGCCAATGTGGTGAAGTAAGGTTAAAAATAACTGCCATGCCCAACACAGTTTGGGGAGGCCATCATCCCAGTAGTAGATTGAAAAAGCGCTGAATTGGTCTGTAATAGCTGACAGGTATAGGTAACCTAATAACTTTGAAGCGGTGGTTTACCCAAACAAAAAAAAGACTCGTGCACGGACTACAAATATAATTCCCCGGAACAAAGCATTCTTGTCTGTAAAACAAAGCAAAGTTTTAAGCATTATCATCTCACCTGCGGCATCAAAGAAGACTTCTGTGCGCAATGCGATTGCCACCAGACCCAGGGCCCATTGGACCCCAAGGTCCACCCCGGCGCAGCGCAGCAGCAGAACGCCGTAAGCAGGTCCCATGTCTGGGGCCCTCAAGTCTCTCAGGGTTCACCCAAACTCAGATTAGTCACAAACTAAAAAGCTTGTCGATGTTAATTAAACTTCCTGCTGCTGAAGCTGCTGTTGTTGTTGTTGCTGTTGGTGTGTGAGCGGCCGATGGCAGCGAGCTGTCCTCGGTGGCTTGGCTTGGGCGAGTGTGCGAGCCCGTGTTATATTGATTTAAAAAAACACAAAACAAAACAACGTTCCATCGCGTTAATTATGGTTATGTAACGCGTGTTGTTATAGTGTGACCGGAGTTGCGTGCGTTCCCACGAGACTGTTTTGTCGCCACCGAGCGACGGGGTCTGTTAAAGAGTTTCCCGATGTCACGTTTTGTATTATTATAAAAGTGGTGGTGCAGAAACTATGTTCACACACAGACACACACACACGAATGTTGCGGGGAACGTGTGGTGTTCTCGTGCCCCCTAGAGGTCAACAACTATACATGTCTGTATTCGTGTCTTGTTGAGCATCATCACTCGTTATCACGACGCCGCGCGGCAATCAGTGCGGCAAGCTGTCACCAGACGAAGAGCGACAATCCAATTGATTGCTTCTGCCCCGTCATGGAAATGTGGAATTACCACGGCTGGTTGTGAACACATATGTGTGTGCACTGCCCTATACTTGTTCCGACTCTCGAACCACGGAAAAGATCAGAACAGAACAGTGACGATTTCAATTCATGTTGGATTCCTCCATGTAACGAGGGCGTTATGGTTCAGCACTATAATCACACGCCACTTTATGGAACGTACTTGTATCATGTAGTGGTCGTCAGTAATCATAATTGACAACCCTTTGTCAATCAATAATGTTCAGGCCTCCACACGCTATAATTTATCAAGGGGGTTGTTTTGACTATGTGTGTGTTGGTGTAGTGGGGGCAAGGCCGCTTCTCCATCACAAAACCCCCTTCCTAACCCCCACACACCCTCTATGTAGATGTAACAAAATATGTAAATTAATATTGCATGTATTTGTTACACAAGTGAACATGCACACATTAGTGTATGATTAATAGTTGATAGGGCGTAAAGCCTGGGTGGTCTGTACCAGGGACGTGCGGTCATAGCCGTTACGAAAAGTAAATAATAAAATAAATATTAAGATTTTTCCACTGATCTTGTTATAAATGTAATTTCTATGATTCCAATATTTTTTTTCTAGTCAAAATTTCCCAATTTGCGGAGCTTCGCCGCAAATACAGGGAGAGACGAGAGGTGAGGCAGCGACGCGCTCAGCCTCCCCCCTCTGATTGCGCCTGTTACGATCTCTCTCTGTCACCAATGTAATGTTTGTAGACCCCTTCATTGCATGTCCTCGCCTTCCATAGTCCAGGTAACTTATTTCACGTATGTATATTTAGGCTCGCTGGTCTCGTCATAACACTGCAATGAAAAAGCACCAGGGGAGGCAGCGATCACATCTGCCTCACTGAGGGGGCCGTCTTACACGCCCCCTTCAGTGAGGACACGCCCCCTACGTGAGGACACGCCCCCTCAGTGAGGCAGCTATCACATCTGCCTCACTGAGGGGGGCGTGTTCTTAACAAGTGCCTCCCCAGCCATTGACCGCACCGCACGGCACTGGTCTGTAACAAGCTTCAAGAAAGCACGTGGCTGCGAACTTGACACCATGTGCGACCGCATATCGGGTGTGGTGGCACATTCCTGTGGTCCACCTCTTTGGAATTAAGTTTGTGGAGCATGCTGAGATTTCTGAAACCTCCAAATGCCCTCGGGCTTGGAAGTGGCCAGATAGCAGTACAAAAAAATGGGAGGTGAACCGGTCTGCGCAGACCTTTCAATGCTGTCCCGAAGTATGCGTGGAGTTTCTTTGGGAACTCTTGTTTCTTTGCCCCATGTAAACCACTCCTTGAGAACTGGCACTCCCATTGCCTTTTAGAAGGCATTGCTGACAGGTAAGACTGCTTTCTAAAATCTCACAAATTCAATGTTCTTGTGCTATTCCTCAGTTTCCATCCACAATGCTCCATAATTAATAAACATGCAGAAACCCTCTCCTAAAAATAATGTAGAGGTACTGAGGATTTCCCAAATAAATGACAGAACAGTGTAGTATTACTAACCACAGGAACTAAAATTACTCACTCAATTAAAAATACGGCAGACATGTCCAGAACTAACCTTAAATGACGAGCTGTAAATTGCTTTAGCTTCAACAAAATGTCACTTTAATCACTTCAGTAAGAGTATGTTTTTGTTGCTTTTCAAAAACATGTGCTTAACTCATCAACAGCATGTAATTTATAACATACCATTAGTACATATTCTTGATTCTTTCAGTAAAGTCACGTAGAAGAGAAACAATAAAATATTTTTATTATTGTTTCCCTTCTACGTGACTTTACCGAAAGAACCAATCATATGAATCCCTGCAGTCACGAAAGCTTTAAATCAAAATATACCATTGGTACATTTATGCAAAACACGTTTTTGCCAGCACGTTGTACTGACGTTGCCAAGTACAGTACTGTAGTACATTTTTGTGTGGGAAGCTTTCTTAGATCGAGTGAAATGCAATATGATAGTCATGCTTTAGAAAGTTTCTTCATTCATCTGCTGTGACTTGTGAAGCACCTCAACATGACAGGTGACACCATAGACATTAATAAACGTGGACATGCTTTATAGAATATTGACTATAACGCCAACAAATGTATATTCCTGGTATTGCTGCTGTAACAAATGACAAAACTGATCATGTTCATCAAGTGTGTATGATCTTCAAATACAAGCTCAAACGAAGGAAAATAAAGTAATAAGTGACATAAACAGCATTGAAAGTACACAGTATGTGTCTGTCTGAGCATTTGTTAAAGAATCAGTCTCCTGCCATGACTGTTAATCAAATGACATTGGTCTTGGCAAGTATAACAAACACAGCATTTTTTGTAATGCAAATTGAAAAATGCTAAATATATAAGGAGAAGCATATCCACAGACAGCACTTTTCAATCTTCATTGAGAGCACTTTTCAAGTTTCGTGATTTTGTAGGCACTGGGTCTTCTTACACTGCATTGTCAGAAATCTGCAAACGCATCCTCTGGAAGATCTTCCAGAAAGCTGTCCAGATTATCTGTTCTCACACGCACATACGCACACATACACTTGAGTTGCACCTTTTTTGTGGCCACAAAATCATTGTAGCTCAAAGGGAGGTCTAATGTGGCATTTGTTGCAATGCATTACCCGAGCCCGAAAGATTGTCATCCGTTTGTCGTGAGCCTCCTTTCATCACTGTTCCTCCTCGCTCCGTGACTGCTGAGCTCTCAGCCTGATTTTCCACTACCCCAGCTGTCACCTTGTGGATGCTTTCTTGAGCAATCTTGAGACAGGAGACAAAATCTAAAAATTATGCTACTTTGTAAACAATCTTAGATCCAAACACACTACCAGTATATATACTGCTAGATCACCTTCTATGGACAATGTACGTTATGTAGGTCAAAAAATAATTTGAACAACAGTTTACATATGATGCATACACACAATGTTCCACATCTCTTGATTTGTGTCGTGCAAGTGCACTTTATGTTATTCTCTTTACCTGGGCTACTTCACTGGCTGTTTGGCTGCAGCTTGAATTGGTCTCGGTACAGCCTTCTGACATAAATATCCGCACCACATTCCGAGGAGTGATGTTCAGGTAGTGGTTTCTGCAGCTCGGGGACAGCACTCCCACCTGTCCGTTCACACATACACACACAAGTAGTTGTTACTGCAAGCCAGGAGGTCCACTTGACAGCAACGTCACTGAAAGAAACCCTTATGGGATGTATTCAAATGACAGCAGTAGTTTCAAAGGACACATTTCACCATTCTTTGCAAATTCAGAGCCATTAAGATATCCTGAGGTCTGAATGTGACAGTCTAGCAAGTGTGCTTTGTAAATACATTTATTTTCCTTACTATTTAGTCAGTTTAATCATGTGCATGTGGTATTTGAAATTGTAAAAGTAACATTAGCATTTGTGAACTCCTCAAGCTGGAGTCACAAGTGATGACTGCCATGACCTGTTCACAGCTTGGCCTACTCCTCAAATACATTCATATTCACGTATGTTAGACACGTATGTCATATCCCCACGTAGCATTCCTATTTGTTCAAATGCATTATTACCTGCTGCAAGTGCAACACCACACCAGCCCTCAGTTGTGACTGATGCTGCTCAACCAGCTGCCTGTGGATGGTGCCCTGCATCTCCCCTGCATGCACAAAATACATCTTAAACTAAAAAAACGCACAACTCGCTCAATGGAGCAGACGGTGGACTTGATTTTGCAATGCCTTAGTATATGGAAAAGGTTGCTAGTTCCATTATTACTCTTTGTACAATGCCTCATAAGCACATTGTCCCTAAGTACTTAATAACTACATGTTCTGCAATATGCACAGTGGCATCACAATAAAGACACGTTTCATGTTTTCAATGTGATTACCAGTGGGGTCTTTGAAGACGGCCTTTGCATCACTGCCGGTTTGGACGAGAGATTTCAGTAGGATGCACATGATCGGCACCTTTCCCTTTGGCAGCTGCTTGAGGCTGGCCTGAACAAAAACCAATGAAAATAATTGTGTGCCCTGACATTGCTCACACAAGTGCAGGCAGATGGCCACCTTCAAGATAAATGTAGGTCAAATCGTGTTGTGAAATGGGTGAGAACAGATTACCAGAATCCACATTTTATCCCACAAAATGACGGATCACTTGAGTTAATACAGTGCCTAGGTTACTGCTGGATGGACACACACAATGGTAGCTGAATAATCTGTGGCCAAAGGTTTCACTGAACTTCATAGGAAACCAATATCAGCACCGTGAGATTTTAACGGCTTCTATAACATCAAAAAAAATTGAAAAGTCAGTGACTTTCTATTTCATACCCTGATGAATGAGTATTTTGTTCAATCGTGGTCATTGCAGGTTATGGACATAACAGAAAACTCATGCCACACAACAAGTATTTTCTCCAGAAGCCGCAGTACCTTGCGGAGCACCATGATGATGCTGTGCGTGCACAAAAAAGAGGAAGGGTTCCTCTCATCGACACCCAGTGCTGCTTTCATGGCAACCCACGGCCCCCGGCCAAAGTCTTCCTCAAATGATGACTGCTGTGAAGAGGGCTACAGAACATGTATGGGAGAGTTGAGAGACACATGGGTCCAGCAAATCATGTTGGGAGCAATGAACTGCACATGAGAAAAGTAACAGCATGTGCGGTGGTTCTGCAAAGGGACATTACCAATGAGCTAAGCTTTGCGACGGCTCCATGAGCTGGGGTTTGTGGAGCAGAAATCATGATGTCATCCATTTTTCTGCTCAGCTGTTGGAAATGTTTGGATGAAACAAAAGGATTTTTTAAAGTACATATTTTCTGAAAACTCTAAGGCACTAAAATTATTATACACAAAAACAAATTCTGCTTCCATAATGGCAAAGAAAATACCTGTTGAGGCAGGAGGCCAGCAGGGCCAGGGAACCGGCGTGCCTTTGGCACTGCAGAGGGAGCAGCAGGCGAGGGCCGGGGAGTCACATTGTTGGAGGCCGAGACGAGTTGCACGAGCCGGTTTGTCATGAGCCACGTTGGAGTAGTGGCTGCCGAGCGCTGTCCCGATGCACTCGGGTTGTGGAGCCTTATTGTGGGTGTGGTGGGCAAGCACGGATTTTCTCCATGGCCCTGAAATAGATGGCCTCTCATTTGACCAGGGGTGCGCATGGGGGGGCTGCAGAAGGCGGGGCCCCGAGATGATTGCACAAGTGGAGATTTTGTCATGGGAGTTAACGGCCTGTGACTTGCGATTCCTACATGCGGCCTGGAAGTTCTGTTCTGCAGTCCAATGTGAGATGGTGCAATCTGCGCTGAAGATGGCCTTGGCTGCTGAAGGGAATTCGTCCAAGCGGCACCCTGCATCGTGCCAGAGTGGCCAATTTTTTCTGAATCAGCAACTGGAACAGGGTTTAACCGTGCAGATGCCATAAACATAACCGATTTCTCACTGCTCTCATTAGCAGGTCCTCTTAACCTCTGAACCGACACCTTGCCTGACCCATTATGTCCAATGCTTACCGTGCTCTGTCCAGAACGTATCTGAACACTCTCCAAATTTGATGCCATCCGCAGCTTCTTTGCAGGTGGGACAGTGATAGTCCTAACACTCAGACCAAAGTCAGAAGCTTCACAGGAACCCACAGTTGGGCATTTCGTGGTTTCATCTGTTCCTGCCGTTTCTTTCGCACCTGAGTTTTCTCTACCGTTAACATCTAGTTCCTGAGTGAAGTTCAACCAAACTTCATCATCCAGGTCTGAAAAGTCCGCATCGCCGAAAGGATCTCGTGGTGCCACACCCTGGGCCACATCATCAGCATGGATTGCGGAAGCTGCAGGGCCTTGGTGGTTGCTCGTGGATGGTGTCACGGTCTGCACAATGGGTGGATGCATGGCTCCACCAGTTGAATTGCACATCGGCCGCCCTCCACCAGCAATCCTCTCTTCCACGTCCACCAGCATCGACATGAACTCCTGTGACAAAATGGGATTGTGACTTTAAAAACAAATAATTTTATCAAAGCACCTCATTCAGCATCCTAAAGCAAGTTAATTATACTGTTAATGCATGTGGGCTTGGAACAGTGAAAAACCGACACCAAGTCACATGAATGTTTTGACGAAGCAAGAAGGGAGTTATTTTGGTTGTCAGATAAAATTGCCTATTTTTGTGTTAGGCCTGTCAGCAAGAACATTTAACCCTTTTTTTATCCCCATCAGAAACACACTGCTGGCTGATTTTTTAAATAACATTTCCAAGCTTTGCAGTTTTGCAAACAGTCTGCTGAACATGTGAGGAGATGAATACCTCATCTTCAAGGTCGAAGTCCTCAACCCCCGTGCTGAACATGTTTTTTGTGTCCAGAGCCTACGAAATAAAACATCGTTAATAATACAATATACAGTGCTCGAAATGTCCAAACAAAAACTGTATTACGGCAGCGCATTATCAAAATTAAGATTAACTCTTTTCTTACTTTAATTAATACTAACACATGCATTGGAGAACATACACAAGTTAAATACCTAATTTAAACTTAAAAGAAAAGTGAACATTGGTACATTTAACTAGAAGGGAAAAAAGCCAATGGACCAAAACAATTGTATTTTATTTCACCAGGTAAGGTCCACTGAGTTATATAGCTATTTTTCATAAGCGACAAATGCTAACTCAAAGTGGCTTATCACGTGAAAATCGCACCCAAATAATCTAAACATATGTTTATAAAACTTTCCTCAATTACTGTCAATGTGAGCGAACGGCTTTTGCTATGCATCTATTGGGACTGTAATTCAAGAATTCATGTGGGAAGGCTTTCCCCGTCGAGTTTATTCGGTTGACACAGGGTACGGTGCATCTTAAAATTAGCACATTTAGAGGAAGTGGCCAAGCAACGAACACATGGAAATTTGACGGGAGCGTGGAGATGAAACGGCTGGCCTAGTGGTTAGGGCATTGCGCTGCAAGCCCGGGAAACCTAAGCTCGGCTGAGTAATGTTTTAATCACTCCTGGCGTTAATCACCTTCACCAACTTGCAGGGACCAGCGTGGTACAAGGTCAATCGTCGTATTGAAATGCATCGGGAAGCCTTCATCTGGCTGTGGATTGATAAGGATTGTAATGGGTGGTGGTGACGGTGTCGGACCTTACCATCGTATTCAGCCTCGACTCCCCGTTTCCTTCTGCTCCTCCTACCTCCTCTTCCTCCGGATATCATTCATTCACTTAATCATGTATTCACCGATTCAAACTATCATGCAATCATGTATCCACTCACCTAACTATTCGATTGTATGCATTTGTTCATTTATTCAATCGGAGATTCGCGTACTCATGAAGAGATTAATCGATTCTCTTCTCCCGCACCTCCGATGAGCACGGTTGACTACGTGCGGTGCGAAAGAAGTTCGGCGTACAGTACATTCATCAAAGCTCTGTGCAATGATCGGCGATTCCACTTAAATTGAGAATTATTTACGGGGCAAACGCGTTCAAACTGCGGCCCAAGTCAAATATGGACAAGAGCAACAATAATAATAAGCACACAAAGAACAATACGTTCGCTTTAAAACTTAACACACGAACGTTCGGCCTATGTTTACTGTGCAGTACAGTATAACACCCAAGTACAGTAGAACACACCAACTTACTTCATCACATTTATATACAAACTATTCATCACCGGCCGCCACTTAGCTTTTTCAAATCACCGCCGCTGCGCATTAGAGCGGCCCTTTAGCACGGTCTGCGACGACAGTTAAACAACACTTTAATTCGCTCAACAATAGCAACGTTGTAAAGTCGCTGTAAGCTGCACGCACTTCGGGTTCGTAACCTCCCGCCATGCGAACGCCGCCGCTACCTTTGACCCCCCCATGACATCACTTCTGGCCACGCCTCTCCACTTCTGGCCACGCCTCCCCTCCCGCTGTGCAGTCAAAGCCACTTAAAACACTTTAGCTCAGCAATATTTCGACTTTTTCTTTCCCATACACCGCAATGTTCATATTCTTGTTTGCAGCTCGTACGAGGCATAATTATGCTTTGTCTCTAAACTCCAAATTTAGACTTTTTAGTCCATGGGGTCAATAGCTCAGCAATATTTTGACTTTTCCCCCCACTGCAATGTCCAGATTATTGTTTACATCTCATATGAGACAAAGTTTTATCTCTCGAGTCCAAAATTATAACGTTTTAGTCCATGGGGTCAAATCAGAAATTGGTACCACTTTAAGGGAGTACATTGTTTGCCATACCAGATTGTAATTATGGGGTATACGAGTGAATAACTTTATAATCGACTCCAAATTGGAACCGCTAAAGTTATGCCCACATCAGGTGGTATTGGCAAGTGCAATATCTGGTCTGGGCTCATGGACTATTTGAAATGCTCACGGAAATTTGTTTTATTTTATCATTAAAAATACCATGCTTTCCCACCTGACGGACGCTTGTGTTGCGCCCGAAACGTCGTGATTTATTTTATTTTATACCTACGTGACTTCACCGAAAGAACCAAAGAGTATGGATTCCTGCAGTCAAGAAAGCTTAAAATCAAGATAAGAAATACTATTGTTTGGCACCATAGAACGTTATATTGCCTATCCACACGAGGCGGCGACTGCACCTTCTCACATGTCCTGTTGGAGCGATCGTTGTATGGCAGTTAAACTGAACTTTTAATTATTTTTTGAATAAATTAAAACGAAATGCTAAATGTAATGTTATTTCGAATAGTAATTGGTAACTGGGTTCAGACCAAGTACTTCAAATGAAGAACCTGGATTAATGGCAGGTGGCTGACACCCAAATTCGAAACTAGAATCTCAGCAGTGGCAGCTCAGTTTTATCACCTGCCCAAATCTAGTTAATTTCAATATGCCATTCCCTGTGTTTCAAAGAGATTATTGGTCAAAAATAAGTCCCATATGACTTTGTACTGCATAGTAAATGTCATACATGTATGTCTGAATGCAATCCTTCAAAAAATACCACCGTTCTCTGCTACTCAATATACATTCATTGATGTGCTTTGTATTTTGGAAAATGTTACATACCGTAGTACATTTCATACAGTAATGTAATTACACTGTCACTTATGCGACAAAATCAGAAAAGAGAATGTTTTAACAAGACTTTATTATGCGTGTAGACATGTCAGCAGATATTTAACGTCTAAATCTGTTGGCTTAATAACCAATGTAGATGTTATATTGTATTTACACATTTACTGTAAGCATTAAATCAAATATACAGTATATTACCATGTTTGTCCAGTAACCCCAAGGTATAAATTGTACATTGGCCAGATGGTGGAAAGAGGCAACAATCAATTGCAGATGGGTTACAGCCCACATTCCACGTGCTTTCTGAAATGTGGCCAATAAAAATCTTGAATAATGGATCTTCTGAATACAGGAGTTTGCATTGTGAACATTTGGCCAAAAAGTAATGAATTTCACCAAAATAAGAATAAAGGCTTTGCATCTTTTGGAAATATACACCTGTACATCATGTAAGTACTGTATCGTATTACATTTCACTCCCGTAGGCCTACTTTTACTGTATTTCCTAAAAGATGATGTGGAATTAGATTTTCAACTAAACAAATGGTTGAATGTACAGTAGAGTATATAACATGCATGTAAAATTACATCAGCAATTGGCCTGAGTCAACTACAGAATGTTTATGTACTCCCTGAATTATGTGAATTGTTTCAATTGTAAAAAAAAATAGTAAGCGGGCCTATTGTTGAGTTATGGGGGGAAACAAGTGCATTAGAGCATTGTGTTGTAATTGTAAACAGGCGCAGTCATTTTGTAAGAATTGCTTTGGCAGCAGCTAATGCGTGGATGCTAAGCAACAACCCCATCCCCTGGTGATGCGGCAGCAGTGGCGTCGGTGGTGGACTGAGGGGTGGGAGGGCTGCGAGTGCTGGGAATGTCGCGGTCCAGTGCCGAGAAGGAGGCGAAGTAGGGCGCGGCGCAGGCCACAGGGTCAGCCGGCTTGCGGAGCAGCAGGTACTGCAGGAAATCGCCGAGCAAAGCCCGCAGCTCAGGGTGGGCCCTTGCATACTCCGCATGCTCTGAGAGCAACTCCTCCTGCCACGAGGCACAGATGCGTACAACGGTGTGTATTCCACCATCACAAGTTTGTCCCAGCAAATTAAATCTAAATTTTTTTACTAGGTAAGGCCCACTGAGCTATATAGCTCTTTTCAGTAGCGATTTGGCCGCAAATGATAGCTCAACGAAGTGGTTTATCATGTGCAAATGTATAGTAGCCAAATACTCGAAAGGCATGTTTCTAAATGTGGAGGAAAAAACCAGAGGACCCGGACAAAAATCCACGCAATTGCGAGAACACGCAAACTCCAAATATGCAGGCATCAGGGTCGGGATCGAACCCACGACTTCATGTTTACCAGGCGAGGTAGTTCACATTTCGCTACCGTGGCACTCTTTATCTGCCCCCACCCAGTGTGGTAGTTTCCCATGGTGCAAATGTAATTTTCCATAACTGTTCACTTAATCTGACATTTTCATACGCAGCAATGTTTGTTTTTATATCTTGTACATCGCCTACTTTTAAAGTAGAGTGGTCTTTCCGTACGTTAAAAGTAAGCGATTTGTTTTTGTCTGGTAAACTTACAGATTTGTGCATGATGTAACTGTCATTTTATATAAATGCTCACATATTTGACCTTTTCACATATCCCTCAATATCTGAGTCCCCAGGGAGTTGGATATGTACACTGAGGGAAAAAGATTTGATCCCCTGCTGATTTTGTACATTTGCCCAATGACAAAGAAATGATCAGTCTATAATTTTAACGGTAGGTTTATTTGAACAGTGAGAGACAGAATAACAACAAAACAATCCAGAAAAACGCATTTCAAAAATGTTATAAATTGATTTGCATTTTAATGAGGGAAATAAGTATTTGACCCCTCTGCAAAACATGACTTAGTACTTGGTGGCAAAACCCTTGTTGGCAATCACAGAGGTCAAACGTTTATTGTAGTTGGCCACCAGGTTTGCACACATCTCAGGAGGGATTTTGTCCCACTCCTCTTTGCAGATCTTCTCCAAGTCATTAAGGTTTCGAGGCTGACGTTTGGCAACTCGAACCTTCAGCTCCCTCCACAGATTTTCTATGGGATTAAGGTCTGGAGACTGACTAGGCCACTCCAGGACCTTAATGTGCTTCTTCTTGAGCCACTCCTTTGTTGCCTTGGCCATGTGTTTTGGGTTATTGTCATGCTGGAATACCCATCCACGACCCATTTTCAATGCCCTGGCTGAGGGAAGGAGGTTCTCACCCAAGATTTGACGGTACATGGCCCCGTCCATCGTCCCTTTGATTTGGTGAAGTTGTCATGTCCCCTTAGCAGAAAAACACCCCCAAAGCATAATGTTTCCACCTCCATGTTTGACGGTGGGGATGGTGTTCTTGGGGTCATAGGCAGCATTCCTCCTCCTCCAAACACGGTAAGTTGAGTTGATGCCAAAGAGCTCCATTTTGGTCTCATCTGACCACAACACTTTCACCCAGTTGTCCTCTGAATCATTCAGATGTTCATTGGCAAACTTCAGACGGGCATGTATATGTGCTTTCTTGAGCAGGGGGACCTTGCGGGCGCTGCAGAATTTCAGTCCTTCACGGCGTAGTGTGTTACCAAATGTTTTCTTGGTGACTATGGTCTCAGCTGCCTTGAGATCATTGACAAGATCCTCCCGTGTAGTTCTAGGCTGATTCCTCACCGTTCTCATGATCATTGCAACTCCACGAGGTGAGATCTTGCATGGAGCCCCAGGCCGAGGGAGATTGACAGTTCTTTTGTGTTTCTTCCATTTGCGAATAATCACACCAACTGTTGTCACCTTCTGACCAAGCTGCTTGGCAATGGTCTTGTAGCCCATTCCAACCTTGTGTAGGTCTACAATTTTGTCCCTGACATCCTTGGAGAGCTCTTTGGTCTTGGCCATGGTGGAGAGTTTGGAATCTGATTAATTGATTGCTTCTGTGGACAAGTGCCTTTTATACAGGTAACAAGCTGAGATTAGGAGCACTCCCTTTAAGAGTGTGCTCCTAATCTCAGCTCGTTACCTGTATAAAAGACACCTGGGAGCCAGAAATCTTTCTGATTGAGAGGGGGTCAAATACTTATATCCCGCATTAAAATGCAAATCAATTTATAACATTTTTGACATGCGTTTTTCTGCATTTTCTTGTTGTTATTCTGTCTCTCACTGTTCAAATAAACCTACCATTAAAATTAAGGACTGATCGTTTCTCTGTCAGTGGGCAAACGTACAAAATCAGCAGGGGATCAAATACTTTTTTCCCTCACTGTACATCACGCAAGGAGATACATGTACAGGTAAGTGCCGTGGATTCCACAAAGGAAGATGCTCTTGTAAAGTTTCCAGCCAGGGCATTCTCCACTCCCCACCCCTGAAAAACTGACCCCTTTAAAATGGGTTCCAAACATCCATGAGGAAGTTGCATCACTTAGTAAATACTGTATGAGGCAATAATTGCTTACAATTTAAAGTCCATAATTAATCAGCAGCCAGCTTACAAATTACAGCAGTGGCGTTTCAGTCCAACTACACCAGGGCCCACGCACAGGAAGGGCCCAGGCTCCCAGCTATAAAGGTGGGAAATTGGACATGGGCCCCAAATCATTCATTGTGCCAGGAGCCATGCCAGCCACGCTAGCCTCCCGAATTACTACGGTCTGCAGCAAGATACCAACAGCGTCTCATGTTGCCAAAGTAATTTCCTGCTCAAATGAGTAATGAGGCAGTCTTCATCTTCTATTTACAGCCTTGAGTCAACGGTGAAAGTTTTACATTCATATGACAGAGGGCAATCTCTCCATAGGACAACTACTATTGACTTCCCCATAAAGTGGTACTCAATCGACAAAGCAGCGATTATGGACTGAGTCATAGGTACAGCAGTGATTGCATTCGGAAAATATTTTGCTATATCTGTCCCACCACGATAATCCCAATGGATGTAAAATACACATAATATACATACATATACAAAATTTACTCGACAAAAAAAAACGGAAAGCTGACAAGTATGCAAAGTAGCATGAAGAGGTGCAATCTTGGAATTAAATTGTGAGACGTGAAGAGGATCAAATGGATTTGAGAGCAAACCCAAGTTAAAGACATAATTATTGTTTTCCCGCAAGCAGCTTAAAGAAGGAACATTCACCACAGAGATAGAGTGATGAAAGCAGCTCGTGCAGTCGATTAATTATTGTATCGCAAAGCCATTCGCAATGGTGATAGCATGTTGGCCTTCATCCAGCAGTGAATAGATCATGACTAATACGATATTTACATACATTCTGTGTATTTTTTACGCTTATTAAATGGTATAGCATCAATGAATACAGGTTCTGTACCTTGTTCACAAGGTCATTCCTTTGGTATGATAAATGGGAAGCAAAGCTAACATCACACAGATGATTGGATGTTGTTTATGTTAATAAATACAACATTGTATTTACAAATCATCACAAAAAGACAATGCAGTTCGTATAAAACTACACAGTATACAAACTAACCCTGAATAAGCTAAGAAACATCTAGTCTTAATACAAATAAAAGTTATACGTTGTACAGGCATCCAACGGAAATGGGTGTATTTTTCCAAAAGTCATGGAAATGTTTCCAGTTTGCAGTTTTCCTATCTGTAAAATAATGAAGAGTATCTAGTTTTTCCGTGAACTGTAAGTGCAATACCATATTTTAATCCACATGAACTAAGTTTGATAAAACAGTGTATGGTCTTTTTAGTCAATAAAAAAATTACATCAACGTGCCTACGTAGGGTATCTCCACCGTAGTCCAAGAAGCTAATTTGCTATAATATGCTTCTTACGGTGTTCATTTCACAACTGTGGAAATAATTATCATACAATTTACATTTATATATCAGATACTTCACGTCCAGGTGAGAGGCCATAAAATGTGCTATAGTCTATAATGAGTTAATTGTGTCTAATTACACTATGATCGAAGCAGACAAGAATGAAATGGGAGCAGTGTCATGTTTGGGGTTACAACCTTTCTGTCGAGGAAACGGGAGTACATCTGCATGTCTTCCTCCCAATTCAGTGTCTGCTGCTCCACCCCTGAATCAGTGTCACCCTCCTCCTCAGCCTCCTCTGTATTATGAAATGAAGACAATAATAATCATGTGCAGAACAACAATACATCAAGACTCAAATAGCATAACTACAATTTGTTCATGTGTAAAATATTGGACTCGACGAGGGTGATTATGACCATCATCATTTTGTTCTTGTAATTTTCTGACCGGCCCCTACTGGACATCTGTGAAAAAAGCTTCATAGCTCATTGGATTTCTCCGGGATAAATATTGTGATTCTGATCATTATCATCAATATATTTTTTAAAAGCATGACTGTACCTGCTGCAGGTGTTTGTGCGGGCAGGCGTACAATCATCATGGTGGTAGGTGAGCCCACTTGCTCACGCCTCACCAGGTGCCTGTAAAGCAGAGGTGTCGTAAGTTCACACGTGAGCGCACACACAAATTCTGAGCAGCACCTCCATGGGCAAAACCATTCTGTCCGAGAGGAGTGTTAAGAGTATTTCTCATGTTGGTACATGCAGGTACATTTAGAAGTATTTTATTTCAAATTAACACAAGTGATATTAGTCCAAATGATGTTGGTGACAATAAAAAAAAACAACTCACCCATCTAATAAATAATAGCTATGCCACGTGGTTGGTGGAGCTGTCTGAGAGTAGAGTGTCCTTTCGATTCCAAACACTTCTACCTTTTTCTCGCCAATGCTCAGCTCTTCTGTACCCAAGGATCTCTAGGCAAGACAGTTTTGTTTAATTATTTATGTCATTCAAATGTGCCTCCAAAATATTGCTACCATTACCTGTGAACTATCAAGCATGACGCTTGTCAATGTGTTGTTCTGAGCTTTAAATTTTGCTCGTGCAGTTGCTTTAGAAAACCTGGAAAGTGACACCAAATCAAATGGAGTTATTTGCTATTAGCAATTAAATATTAACATTTCAAACCCAAAATTATATTTTTGTTTGACAAAAATAGCAGTGGTTAATGCCAGTGAGATTCTTTACCGCTTCATTCTAGATTTGTGTGTATATTGATTATTATCACTATTAGGAAGTATAAACACAGGCTTAGACGAGTGGCTCAAGAAGCTGGTGGAAAACTTCAATATAATGATGTAATTGAAGCCACTTGAGTGGTGTGCACGCACGTACGAAAGTGCAGGTCGCAAGGCAGGACTCGGAGTCGAGGCACAGGAAGGTGAGGTCATGGGGTACGTGTGCGCGCCGTGTCAACAGCCTGGTTAGGAGAAGGCACGATGCCTCCGAGAGAAAGCCGGCCAGATGGCTCATCTCCAGGCGCACAGACTCCCGTAGTACCTCCTGCATGCAAGTGTTCATAAACAAGAAACCATATGTTAAAAAGACGCCAATGTCATCATTCAAGTTTGTTAAAACAAAATGCTTTCATGTTGGGTTCGAATCCGCCAAGGTGCTTTGTGATGAAACTGGATTTTCAAGTATCACCAAATACCACCTATAATTCTTCAAATAAATAAATAAATTTGGTTTTCAGTCAATCTGGCTAACTTCAGCTCTGACAGTTAACATATGGTCTGACTGTCATGTGAAAAAAAATATCTGTCACAGCGTAGGCGGAAAAGTGCTGCCGACTTATTGTCTCAGAAGCTATTCTATGCTATCACCTTCTGCAATCTATTCTCTATCACGGGGTAATGCAGTGTTCTGCGCGAGTTCTGAATAGATTCCCGCTGAAAGCACAAATGGAATACATTTTGGGAAAAAAGACAAGTTTGATAAAAGTACGTTAAAACTTTAAACTCATACTCACTTTTTCAACGGTGTAATGACACTGCAATCCAGCTGCTCGGCAATATATGACTAAGAGGAGTCTAAATTAAGCCAGTATGTTATTATCCATGCCAAATTGGTTAGGTCAAAGCATTCAAATGTTTCCATTAATGTAGTGTAACGGTATTGTTTATCATTTGAATGAATCGATAAAATAGCAAATGTCATAGAAAAATAATGCACCATTGTCAAAAGCAGTGTCAATGACACAGAAATGGATGATGTATCATGGAAAACTGTGATAACTTCCATTTTTAGAGCAATTAAGCATTTCATTAAAATATACATTCTCACCTCTCCCTCAGTCACGACCTTGTTCACAAGTAGTGACTCTTCTTGCCACACCAGTTCCACCTTCCTGTCCAGGGCTTGCTCATTCAGCTACAGTATATGGGGAACACATTGCATAACTACCAGAGGCACATACTAAAACTAGGCACGTGCAATAAATTAAAAAGCATATTTGTTGAAACTCTTAAAGCCTTTATGCAATGTTATACATTTACAATCCACTGATGAAGACCTCCCCATGGGACGTGGGTCATGACGGTTATTCGACTATATGCGGGTTTGGGTTAAGCAATTGAATGGGAGTAGAGTAGTGTACAACAATGCACTTTTTTGCATTGCCCTCTGCTGTCCACAACATACAGTAGTTTCAGAGGAGCCTGTAACACCTGCTTTATGGTGGTTACTCATCCAAGCACTATTCATCCTCAACCCCATGTACTTTATGAGATCTGAGGAGCTCAGAAGTACATAGGCTTGCTCAATATAAAGGAGAAGTAAAACCTGATTGGTCTTCATAAAAGAATCTCACTCGAGAAAACGGTTGTATTTTCACATTTAAAGATGATATGTTAATGCCGCTGCCATTGGCAATGAGTCGTCATTATGACTGACGATGTTGCAACTTTCTTCAGAGCTTCAGATATCAAAATTGAATTAACAATAAACCCTTCAGTTTTCTTAAATGACTTTCCATACCTCAAGATATTCATGATGGTGTTGTTCCAGTGTCGCAAGATTGGTGGTGACATATGCTGAAAAACAATATTGCCATAATAATTAGGTAAATATATTTCCTCTAATGTAGATATTTATAGCAGCTTGTTATATCCATTGGCAGGAATACCGTTTAGCTATACAAGTTTCAAGAAGGTTTTGATTTAAAGCTTTCGTGACTGCAGGGATTCATATTCTTGGTTCATTCGGTAAAGTCACGTAGAAGGGAAACAATAAAATAATAAAAATATTAAACAATAAAATTCTCACAATGTTTCGACTGCAACACAAGCACTCATCATCAGGTGTGAACCCCACAGCAAGAAAATTTACACTCGAAACGTCGTGAGAATTTCATTGTTTTATGTTTTTTATTATTTGATTGTTTCCCTTCTACGTGACTTTACCGAAAGAACCAAGAATATACATTTCAAGAAGGTTGTTACATTACATTGGTTTCTTGTTCTTATTTCCATTTTAGGCAAACCCCCTACATTTTGCTTTTGGAGCTGTCACAACTACTGTATAATTAATGCTCATGTAATTTACTTATCCAAAAAATACATTTATCAATAACACTGCCCTAATATAAAGATATATAATTGGTGACAAAAGGATAATGGTCCTTCTTAATAGCACATGTGCTATGAACACCAGCTATTGTGTTCCATCACGTACTATGTAGAAAGGGCATTACCTGAAATGTCATCCATTCGTTTTTTGGAACTTGTGCACCACTGACAATGCGGTATCACCAAATAATCTATTTATTTAATCAGTAAAGAGTATGACAATTCTTATTCAGGTGGGTTCTGCACTGGGTTGCTTGGCCAATCCGCTCATGAGTATTTGGCAAGTGTGATGAAAGTGGAGTACCCGGAGAAAACCCTCACACATTAGGGAGTAACTTTCAAAGTTCCACACAGATTCAATAATCCTTTGGTGTCCTACTATCTGCTGGCTACCTTTCAGCCTAACCTTACACACACCTGGTATACCCATGAAATATTCCATCCAAGTACTAATCAAGCTCATCCCTGTTGAGCTTCAGAGATCTGACGAGCTCTGGCGTATTCTGCGTGATAAAAAAAAATAGGTGAAAAGTGGCACACCACGTGAAAACCCACCACACACGGTTGTGCCGCATGGAATGTCGTTGATGGCTCCCTTGCTGGTGGCGTGCACGAGGAAGCGCGTGCCTCCACCACTGTCGGGGTGTTCGCGGTATGGCGCAGAATAAACCCGCATCCTGAATTCGCCCAGGTGCGTGCCATCCCGTGACATGGTCATCAGCTCATCCCCAAACAGGCAGTGGCTCAGTTCCTGTGGGTCTGCACTCACAAGGGAGAACATAGGCTCACCTTCACCACAGTGCTCTGCTGCTGTGTTTGTTTTGCTGTGATGCTATTCATAAGGGTGGACCACTATAGGTTAGTGTTATCTGCATGGCAATACATGGACTTTTTTCATTAATGTAAATACAATAGATTTCATGAAACAATTATGTAAATCTAAATAAAACTATTCCCAATTTACAACACAACTTAAATAGTGTATCCTATTTAAAGTTGTGGCCCACACAGTTCTGATAAGGTTATTATTTGATGAACAAGTCAGGAAAAATAATAAATACGCATGCTTTATTGCTTTATGCATTGCGTTTCAACGTGCATTGATTATTTTTGTTTCATCAGCAGCATGGAAGCCAACTGGTAGCTGTCAAGGAAAAATTCATTCGTATATTTACAAATATGATTTTTTTTATGTAACTGGGTCTCCAAGTTTTGAGCAAACTTCTTTTCATCAATTTGGCCAGTTTTCAAAAAAGTAAGTCCCAAATTTAGTTAACATTTGATTATTTATATAAGTGTCATAGTGCCAGCCCATTACGGACAGATGGGTGGGCAGAGCTAATGCATAAACGTTTCCAACCTTAGTCGTAAAGTGTTAAAACAGGTTCATGATCACTATATAAGGAGCTTATACCCAGTGTTCGTACCGATGGAGGCGAGGAAGTTGATGGCCTCTTCACTCGCACGAAGATGGGAGAGGGCACCTTCACTTTCCTGATCCATTATAACTGGTGCAGCCTGCACAGACAGCGATGTTATTAAGCTGCATAGGGCAACCATAACATTCACATAATCAAATGTCAAAATTGCACATCAAAGAACATTTTAAAAATAAAATTACTTCATGTGATCTGAACATGTTTATGCATAAAAATATATATGTATTCTGTACATTACAAGTTGAGAATTGGAAATATGATGGTGTCATATTCCCACACAGAATTTGAAAGTTATCTGAAATTACAGTGCTGTAAATAGTAAGCTAAAGTCTGTAAATAATTACAGCTCTCCAGATGTCTCAATGGATTTAGTGTAGTGGTCAGTCGCACAAAGCACCTGAAGTAGAATGTTACCCTAAGTTGCACTGATTTATATGGTAAAACTGAGGGTATGTTTCTTTCGAGTTATTTTATCCAACCGGCCATTGGTTTTGAACATTACATGTGTTTACTGCATCAACAAGTCGACATTAAGAAAGTCATCAAACCACTGAATCTTCATAAAATATTTGTGGAGCAGTGCTTAGCACAGTGGTTAGCAATATGATCCTGATGAATTCGATTCCCAGCACCGTGTAGCATCAGTGGTGAGTGATTTCTGAACGAGTCCTACCCACACCTCTCCCATTCCTACCATCCGCACTGACCAGCCGTGGTGAAGTATGGTCAAACAACCCCCATGACCAACATGGCGTAGATAGGGCCTTTATCCAGCAGTAGGTTGGTAAAGGGCTGTTATATTTTAATCTAGATTAGCTTACCTTTTGAATCTTTTCAGATATATGTTAACATCATATATTCAAATATCCTGTGCTGTACACGTAAACCATGCATCCTTTGTGCTGTGATAAACAAAAAATCCAAAGTGGTTTCCCAATCAAAAGAACATGGGAACGGCGCTCTTGTTTTTATTTTAAAAAATCAGAGGCAATTTTATACATTCCACATTACAATGACGGGGGAAGTCCTTCCATAGAACAACCCTGCCACTATAGTACCTGCAGTCCAGCATGTTGCATAAGCTGGTACACTGCACCCAAATGCAGTACCATGTAGCTTAGTTGTGTGTATACTGTTACACACACAGCTCACCTGTCAACCCATAAAGGTTTACCCCGTATTCTTGTACAGGGAAATTGAGTTTTCAGGTCTATACGGCTTACAGCCGTTTGAATACGGGCAAATTTTGTTAAGTCTATTTGTGTTTCTCTCTTGTGATGGGACTTTGTATGATGAACGGTGAGATGTATGAGCGCACGGGGTGACCAATACGGCCTGAATTTGTCTGTAAAAAGGTAGGCACTGATAAGGGGTTGACAGGTTTGTAGTGGTGAGTGTACTAGTGGTGAGTGTACCAGTGGTGAGTGTACTAGTGGTGAGTGTCTAGTTTGTGTTTCTCCCTTGCGATGGGAGCTCGTAGGATGAACGTTGAGCTTTAATAAGGGTCTGAATTGGTTCTGTAATAAGATAGGCACCACGCCAGGTCGCCTTTATCTCCCCACAAATGCTGCTTCTTCCCCCCACAACCCCTCCCGCAACATCGCACCAGGTACTCGTTTTTTTTAAGGCTCAGTCGACCTAGGGGAGAGAGACCCAAGATCAGCTACTGGTTCAGTTGATCGTCAGCGGTGAGCGGGGGACTCGAACTCGGGTTGCCGTGTTTGTGGAGGGATGTATGCAAAGCGTTGAAAGAATAAGAATGAACGTACCGGAGCACGCGCGAGTCGGTCCACTGAATGCTGCCGAGTTGATCACGACGGAGCAGGCCTCGCGCCTTCAGCAAAGCGCGGCGCGTCCGTCACCTAGGCGACGGTGTTGTTGTTGTTGTTACCACGGCGACGGTGTTGTCGTCGTCGTCGTTGTTACCATGGCGACGGTGTGGCGTGCACCAAGAGGGCTGTCGCTCGACGACTCGGGATGATTCCAAAAGTCACCGCTCTGAAACTGGACGGTCTGGCTATAGCCCAAAACACACACGACACACAACACACACGACACACACACACAAAAAACATTTTTATATTCTTGGTTCTTTGTCGGTAAAGTCACGTAGAAAGGGAAACAATGAAATAATATTAAAAAATATCTAAAACAATAAAACCCCGTTATCAAGATGCGGCTTGTGTGCAGCAAACACTCTGTGGCACGCCGAACTTGCAGTCGGCTTAAACATCGATTTAAAGCTTTCGTGACTGCAGCCTGCAAGGGGGCGGAGCCAGGATTTGTCCATCCCCGGGGTGACATTAAACAAATGTTAATGTCAGTAATGATTCAGACAAAAGAGAGTCAGGCTGTTGAGCCAGTAGAAGCCATCGGTTTTGGTGGACACACGCTCTCTGACAATGCAGCAGTCCGCCAGACCGAGTGTCGCCCACTTGAACGCAGAGTGTCACCCACCCCTCAACCTGGCCACGCACCTCCAAGCTGCAGGGGGATTCTTATTCTTGGTTATTTGTTTGGTAAAGTCACGTAGAAGGGAAATGGTAGAATAATAATAACAGATGAAACAATAAAATTCTCACGACGTTTCGATTGCAACACAAAGCGATCATCATCATCATCAGGTGTGAAAACCAAACATGTTCTTGGTTAAATTTTGATTTAAAGCTTTCGTGACTGCAGTGATTCATATTCTTAGCTCTTTCGGTAAAGTCACGTAGAAGGGAAATAGTAAAATAATAAAAAAATAAAACAATAAAATTCTCACGACGTTTCGATTGCAACACAGAGCGATCGTCATCATCATCATCATCAGGTGTGAAAACCAAACATTCTTGGTTCTTTGTCCGTAAAATCACGTAGAAGGGAAACAACAAAATAATAATCTATATATAAAATAATAAAATTCTCACGACGTTTCGACTGCAACACAAGCAGTCATCATCAGGTGTGAAAACCAACTGCAAGAACATTTTTAAAATTATTTTATTGTTTCCCTTCTACGTGGTGACTTTACCGAAAGAACCAAGAATATGAATCCCTGCAGTCACGAGAACTTTAAATCAAAACCAAACATGTTCTCGCATCGGCTTCTTGGTTGCTGAGCGAATGCGTTAAATATAGTGGTCGCGCTCGTTACAACACCTAGTGCTCGCTACAAATCAACCACGGTTCATTGATTGATTGATTACCTTGCCGATGATCTCGTCGAGGAGCATAAACCATCAATCGCGTGAACTTTGGTCGTCGTCATGATCACCATCAGCAGCAGCAGCAGCAGCGGATTTTGGCAGCCCATCGAACAAAGACGGTCGCCGTCTCATCGCGCGCTTTCAGATGCGCTTCTGCGGGCCGTCTGGAACGTTCTTCCGTCCCGACATTCAGACGCCACTGTGGAGCTGTGCACTTTTGTTGTTGTTGTAAATCGTCGAGATTGAAAATTGTATTTTGTTCAGCACCGGGTTTTTTGTGTGTGTGTGTGTGCGCGCGCGTGTTTAGTTTGGTGTCCTTCCGCCGCACCTCCCGATTCTCGCGCGGTCAACTACGTACGGTGCGAAAGAAGTTCAACGGTACAGGTGGCCGGGAGAAAAAAAGAAAGAACCCACGACTCACGCGTCCATCTCCATAGATAGACGACACCGCACAAAGATACCCTCCCCCCGTACAGCCGTCAAGGGACTGATGGGGGCAAGTGGAGTGAGATGAGCACCTTAATTGGAGGCCTTCGGCATAGTACAAATATGTAACAGCAGCTCCCCCCCCCTGCACCCCCAAAACAACAACAGTGTAGTCAACGTTGGGTGAACGTTGGAGTGTGGTCGAAAGCTTTGGGGTCCAACGTTTCATGTTTACTGGGAACGTGTGTTTGTGGTGTTGTGTATAGGGTGGGCGGAAATCCATTAACAGTATACCCCCCTGGTGCTGGCCACCGATCCCCTTGTGTACCGTTCCGGCCTTCATAGGTGCTCGCTAACAGCACTTGCCCCTACAGTCTGTTAAGGCTATATGGGGGATCTTTGTCTTTATATTTTTCTGTCTGTGTGTCTGTGTGTGTCTGTCTGTGTGTCTGTGTGTGTGTCTGTCTGTGTCTGTCTGTGTGTATGTGTGTGTGTCTGTGTGTGTGTATGTGTCTGTGTGTGTCTGTGCATGTGTCAGTGTGTGTGTCTGTGTGTTTGTCTGTCTGTGTGTCTGTGTGTGTGTCTGTGTATGTGTCTGTGTGTGTGTCTGTGTGTGTGTCTGTCTGTATCTGTGTGTATGTGTGTGTGTCTGTGTGTGTGTCTGTGTATGGAACATCTTCGCCGGTTAGAAACATTTAGGCCGGCCTACCTATGATCCATCCTGGGTTTAACCAGGCTGGATTGTGTGAGGAGCTCACAAATCCTTGAAAGATCTGGGCAATGTCCCATCGGTGAGCTCCTCCGGCGGGGAAGGCTGCGTTGGCTGGGTCATGTAGCCCGCATGCCCAACCACCGCATGCCGAAACAGCTTTTGTTCGGCCGGATCGAGGGGGCTAGACGGGCGCGGCACTGGCTAGAGAAGAGATTGAGTGATGTGGTACAGGAGGACGTGGAGCTGAGTGGACTTGCCGATGACTGGTACCAGCGGTGTCAAGATCGGCCTCTGTGGAGGAGGCTCGTGAAGGACGCTACTGGACAGTTGGAGGCAGTCGCCCTCCAACAACAACGGAGGGCGGAGGAGCGACGCTCACAACAACGAGCGGAGCGCCGGGTGGCTAAAGCACAGCAGGTTGGCACAGTAGGGGGCACAGGTGGTGCATCAGCCAGTCATCTCAGTCAGTCGACCCGTGGCACCTGGGTCTGCCCTGTGACCTCTTGCCAGCGGGCGTTCGACACTTCACGTGGCCTCAAGGTGCACATGGCCTGGCACAAGCGTCGTGGTGACGTCACCGCCGCTTAGTGGCGAATGGCGGTTGTTGTTGTTGTTGTCTGTGTATGTGTCTGTGTGTATGTGTGTCTGTGTGTGTCTGTGTATCTGTGTGTGTCTGTGTGTATGTGTCTGTGTCTGTCTGTGTGTCTGTGTGTGTGTCTGTGTATGTGTCTGTGTGTATGTGTCTGTGTGTGTGTCTGTGTATGTGTGTGTGTGTCTGTGTATGTGTGTATGTGTCTGTGTGTGTCTGTGTATCTGTGTGTGTGTCTATGTGTATGTGTCTGTGTGTGTCTGTGTCTGTCTGTGTATGTCTGTCTGTGTCTGTGCCGGAGGCCCCGGGGGGACAGGCGTCTATGACGTCTCCTGGCAAAACCCCAATTGGCCGAGCCAGGAGATTGAATCTCTACCCTCGGGGCTCCTCCAGAAACAATGAAAAGCCACTTCGTGTGGTCACGTGGAATGTTCGAACGCTCACTGCGGAGGAGAGGCTGCCACTCCTCTGTCGGGAGCTGAACCGGTACCGCCTGGATCTCTGTGGCATTCAGGAGGTCCGGTGGACCGGTTCTGGCTCCTGCCACCATGAGGGGTGGACAGTCCTCTACTCGGGGCAGCAGACTGCCAAACAACAGGGTGTGGTTCTTCTTTTGAACAAAATAATGAAGGGGGCGTGGGAGCGTGGCGGTGAGGTGTGGGAAGCTGTAAGCCCCAGGCTACTTTGGGCTCGCCTTCCCATCAACCGGAGGCGAGGAGTGGTGGTCGTGGTTACTTATGCCCCCACTGAAGACGAACATCCGTGGAGGGATGCAGGCAAAGCCGATGAGTCAGATGCCTTCTATGACCTCCTGTCACAGGTGCTGGCTAAAGTGGCCCCTCGGAATAGAGTCATCTTGTTGGGTGACTTCAATGCCCGAGTTGGTCATGATGCTGGCACCTGGTCTGGAGTAATTGGAGGGCATGGGCCAGATCAGCTCAATAACAACGGAAGGAGGCTGCTAGATTTTTGTGCAGCCCATGGGCTTGTAATTACCAACACGCTGTTCCGGCATCGGCGCATCCACACAACATCATGGATGCATGCCGGGTCCAAGCAAAAACATCTGCTGGACTACATAGTGACGGACCAGCGGATGCGAGCCCATGTCCTTGACACCAGGACCTACCGTGGAGCTGATCTGCCCTCTGACCATCAATCTGTAAGATGCGCCTGCCATTCTTCCACTCCGGTGGTGGGTGTACACCCAGGACCCCATTCCAACCTAAAGTGGCCTGGTCTCAGTTATCTGATGAAAGTTGCAAGCGAGAATTTCATCATCGCTTGCGGCTGGGGTTGGCATCGTTCCCCACTCCTCCTGATGTCGAGGGTAAATGGGCGAGGTTTAGGACTGTGACTCATGCAGCTGCAATGGCTGCTTTGGGTACACGGTCCAGACTCCCCAGAGACCCTGGCTGACAGAGGTGTTCAAGATGGTTGAGAAAAAGCGACAGGCCCACTGTCATCGGCTACAGAATCCCACGTCAGAGAATGAGGAGGCTTACCGCAGCCTTCGCTCGGAGGTTCGGAGAGCCGTGAGGTGCTGCAAGGATGAGTGGTGGTCACGGGTTGCTAAGGAGATGGAGTCTGCCTTAGTGGCCCGCGATCACAAATCTCTATTTAACTCCATCAAAAAAGTAACCTGCAGCGCCACACCTATTACCATCATTAGGGGAAAAAACGGTGATCCAATCTCCGACCCCCAGGAACAGGTTTGCAGATTTGCTGAGCATTTCTGTGAGGTCCTGGGGGAGGGGAAATCCCTCAGCCAGGAAAACATCGTGGCACAAAGTGGGGATGACCCTGCTGAGGCTGGAGTGCCTCAAATATTGGAAGAAGTCACCCCCTGTGAGTGGCTGGCTGAGGTGCCATCTGTTGAGGAAGTACTGAAGGCGATCTGGAGTCTGAGTCCAGGAAAGGCATCGGGTAGAGATGATCTCCCAAGCGAAATGTTGAGGGAGGGTGGCGTTTGTGCACAGACTGCCCTATATGACATCATAACAAGTCTGGACCACTGGACGGGTTCCGCAGGATTGAAAGGATGCCCTGGTGGTCCCCCTCTTTAAGAAGGGGGACCGTACAGACTGTAACAACTACAGAGGCATCTCACTCCTCAGTGTGCACGGGAAAGGTCCTGGCAAGGATTATTCAACATCGCCTTGCCAGGCACGCTGAGGAGTGGCTTGCGGAGCCCCAATGCGGTTTCAGGAAAGGGCGGTCCTGCACAGACGCCATATTTTCTGTCCGTCTGCTACAGCAGAGGTGTAGGGAATTCCAACAAGACCTACATCTCTGCTTTATTGACCTGGTCAAGGCCTATGATACCATTAGTAGGCCTGGGCTCTGGGTTCTTCATGCTTTGGAGTCCCTGACCCTCTGCTCTCGATCATTAGGGACTTTCATGATGGTGAGCGGGCCCAGGTAAAACTACGTGGCCGGGAGTCAGAGCCATTCCCTGTACACCTTTGGGTGCGACAGGGATGTCCTCTGGCTCCCGCATTATTTAACATCTATTTTGACCACGTAGTTCGTGAAGCCTTCAATAGCTGTACCGGGGGAATCTCCATTTGGGACAGATATAATGGGAGGCTGATCGATGCCCGGGTGCGGTCAAGGGATGGCTCCCTATTGCTCAACCAAGTTATGTATGTCGATGATTTGGTAATAGCTGCTCATTCAGAGGAGGAGTTGGAGACGATGCTGCTGAGACTGGAGCGTGCCACTAAGAGATGGGGCATTACCATCAGTCCCACTAAAACTAAGCACCTGCCTGGGTATTTTGTACCATCGGACACTCCACCCCCACAACTCCCAATCGGTGATGGGGCAGTTGTGGAGAGGGTGGAGAGTTTCCCATACCTGGGCAGTGTGCTTATGACCGGCTCCAGTTTAACAGCAGAGGTCTCACTCCGAATCAGTCGAGCGGCAATATATTTTCATCGGTTGCGTAACGCTGTGTGGAAGCTACCTGGTCTGTCGCTCCGCACTAAGCTTCAGGTCTTCTCGGCCACGGTCATTCCCTCCCTTCTCTACGCTTGCGAAACGTGGACCCTCCTAATGGAACATCTTCGCCAGTTAGATACATTTAGGCTAGCCTGCCTATGATCCATCCTGTGTTTAACCAGGCTGGATTGTGTGAGGAGCTCACAAATCTTTGAAAGATCTGGGCAAGGTCCCATCGGTGAGCTCCTCCGGCAGGCAAGGCTGCGTTGGCTGGGTCATGTAGCCCGCATGCCCAGCCACCGCATGCCGAAACAGCTTTTGTTCGGCCGGATCAAGGGGGCTAAACGGCCGCAGGACGGGCTATAGAAGAGATGGAGTGATGTGGTACAGGAGGACGTGGGGCTGAGTGTGTGTGTCTGTGTGTGTGTCTGTGTATGTGTCTGTGTGTGTGTCTGTGTATGTGTGTGTCTGTGTGTGTGTCTGTCTGTGTGTATGTGTGTCTGTCTGTGTATGTGTCTGTGTGTGTGTCTGTGTGTATGTGTGTCTGTGTATGTGTCTGTGTGTGTCTGTGTGTCTGTGTGTGTCTGTGTGTGTCTGTGTGTTTCGGGGACCCGGGTTCGATTCCCGTTCACAGCCAACACCAGTGACGATTATCTGAACCGGTCCTGGGCCTCCCCTAGGTCGACTCAGCCTCAAATGAGTACCTGGTGCGGTGTTTAAACATCGTCACTAGGGAGACAAAGGCGGCCGGGCGTGGTGTTGGTCACCAACCCCCTCGTGTGCCGTGCCGGCCTTTATAGGTGCTCGCTAACAGCACTTGCCCCTACAGTCTGTTAAGGCTTTACTTGTGTTTACGTGCGTCTCTGTCTTTGTTCGTGTGTTCATAGATGCTACTCGCTAACAGTACTTGCCCCAACACTCAACAAGTCTATACGCGGGATTTGTGTTCGTGTGTGTTCACGGTGTGTATGTGTGTGCATGTTGTACCCCAAACGTTTCAGGCTATAAAGGGTGTGTGTGTTCATGTGTGTGTGTTCATGTGTGTGTGTGTGTTCACGGTGTGTATGTGTGTGCATATTGTACCCCCAAACGTTTAAGGCTATAAAGGGTGTGTGTGTTCATGTGTGTGTGTTCATGTGTGTGTGTTCACGGTGTGTATGTGTGTGCATGGTGTACCCCCAAACGTTTAAGGCTATAAAGGGTGTGTGTTGTTCATGTGTGTGTGTTCATGTGTGTGTGTTCACGGTGTGTATGTGTGTACATGTTGTACCCCCAAACGTTTAAGGCTATAAAGAGTGTGTGTTGTTCATGTGTGTGTGTTCACGGTGTGTGTGTGTGCATGTTGTACCCCCAAACGTTTAAGGCTATAAAGGAGATCTTTGTCTTTGTGAGAGGGTGGGGAGCGGTGGCGCAGCGGTTAGGGCGGCACCCCTCTACAAACCCGGCAATCCGCGAACACCACTGACGATCAACTGAACCGGTTCTGATCTTGGGTCTCTCCCCTAGGTCGACTCAGCCTTAAAAAACGAGCACTTGGTGCGATGTGGAAAGAAAAAAAAGACCCAGCAGCATTTGTGGGGAGCCAAAAGCGACCCGGCGTGGTGCCGCCCACACCAACATCCTCACCGGCACGAGCCGAGTTGACCTTCATATTGGGGCCGTCCATAAATGACGTCACGCGATTTTGTACGATTTTTTTACCCCCCCCCCCCCTTCGTCACGCGGCGTCACAAAAAGTCAGATCCCCCCCCCACCTCAAATATGACGTCACAAAGCTCTGCCCCCCCCCTCCCCCCCAAAAATAAAACATGCTTCAAATCGCTTTAAACTATTGTCAATGTATTCTTAGTTTTTTCGGTAAAGTCACGTTGAAGAGAAACAACAAAATAACAAAATATATATAAAACAATAAAAAAATTCTCACGACGTTTCGACCATAACTCAAACGGTCGAAACGTCGTGAGAATTTTTTTATTGTTTTATATATATTTTGTTATTTTGTTGTTTCTCTTCAACGTGACTTTACCGAAAAAACTAAGAATATGAATTACTGCAGTCACGAAAGCTTTAAATCAAAATTTATTGTCAATGTAGTTGCGTATTTAACGTGTCGCTGCACTCTGATGTCGTAGGAGAAAACATTTATTAAAAAGTCTATTTAATTAAGTAGAACGTGTTTATATTTATTTAAAGTTGCGCATTTTGATGTGACGTCACATTTCTCAACCCCCCTCCCCCTAAAAATAAAACATACTTCAAATCGCTTTAAACTATTGTCATTGTATTCTTGGTTCTTTCGGTAAAGTCATCACGTAGAAGGGAAACAATAAAATAATAAATATATAAAGCAATAAAATTATCACGACGTTTTGAAACGTTTCGAAACGTCGTGATAAATTTATTGTTTTCCTTCTACGTGACTTTACCGAAAGAACCAAGAATATGAATCCTTGCAGTCACGAAAGCTTTCAATCAAAATATTGTCACTGTAGTGCGTATTTAACGTGTCGCTGCACTCTGATGTCGTAGGAGAAAACATTTATTAAAAAGTCTACTTAATTAAGTAGCACGTGTTGTCTATATTTGAAGCAATTGGCCCGGGGTGGGAAAACCCGCGTAGCGACACTAGTCTTGTCGCCTTACCGACAACAAAGCTAGTGTTCAATCGATCGGCCTCGTCGAGAGCTACTTTCGTAAAAAGTTAAATTCACTGCCCCCCGGGGCTCGCGTCTGGCCGGTGGGGTGGCGCCCGTCGTGTCGATCGCCGCCTGCTGGTGGCGCTTGGTGGTGCCGGTCTGGGCGGGCTGGCGGCGCGTTGCTGGCGGGATCATGAGTGGGCGGACAATAATAATAATAATTATTATAATTATTATTATTGTTGACCTGATTTTTGCGGGACCTCGGGGTCCCGTAAAAATGATTCAAATGTCTGACCCCCCACCCCGCACCCCTAGGTGCGTGACGTCATTTATGGACGGCCCCTAAACCCCGCATCAGTCGGCAGTAAATAAGACGACGACCTCGTGGTGTCTTTGATGTAGGAGCGAGGGGGAGGTGGTGGGTGGTGGATGGTGGTGGTGGGGTGGTGGTGGATGGTGGTGGGTGGTGGTGGGTGGATGGTGGTGGGTGGATGGTGGTGGTGGGTGGTGGTGGGTGGTGGTGGGTGGTGATGGATGGTGGTGGGTGGTGGTGATGGATGGTGGTGGGTGGTGGTGGTGGATGGTGGTGGGTGGTGGTGGGTGGATGGTGGTGGGTGGATGGTGGTGGTGGGTGGTGGTGGGTGGTGATGGATGGTGGTGGGTGGTGGTGGTGGGGTGGTGGTGGATGGTGGTGGTGGGTGGTGGTGGTGGTGGATGGTGGTGGTGGTGGATGGTGGTGGTGGAGTGGTGGTGGATGGTGGTGGTGGATGGTGGTGGATGGTGGTGGGTAGTGGTGGTGAGTGGTGGATGGTGGTGGGTGGTGGATGGTGGTGGGTGGTGGATGGTGGTGGTGGGGTGGTGGTGGATGGTGGTGGATGGTGGTGGTGGGTGGATGGTGGTGGGTGGTGGTGGGTGGATGGTGGTGGGTGGTGATTTATGGTGGTGGGTGGTGGTGGTGGGGTGGTGGTGGGTGGTGGTAGTGGATGGTGGTGGTGGAGTGGTGGTGGATGGTGGTGGTGGATGGTGGTGGGTAGTGGTGGTGAGTGGTGGATGGTGGTGGGTGGTGGATGGTGGTGGGTGGTGGTGGATGGTGATGGTGGTGGGTGGTGGTGGATGGTGGGTGGTGGTAGATGGTGGGTGGTGGTGGGTGGTGGATGGTGGTAGATGGTGGGTGGTGGTGTATGGGTGGTGGTGGGTGGGTGGTGAGTGGTGGGTGGTGGTAGATGGTGGTGGGTGGTGGTGGTGGGTGGGTGGTGGTTGTGGGTGGGTGGTGAGTGGTGGTAGATGGTGGATGGTGGTGGGTGGTGGTGGTGGGTGTGCGGAATTCGTCATTGGCAAGACGTGACGAGGGTGCCGGGGTGGGGCGGACACGCCGCTTCCATTCCACTTCCCACCACGAGCTCGCGCGCAGCACAACGCAAGAGTCGACAGCACCACCACCAGTCCAAAAACATCAACACCACCACCCCAACAACATCAACACCACCAAGACCACAACATCAACTCCACCCACTCCCTGCCTGACTCACCCTGCCCAGGCCAGGATAGAAAGGAGGACCCCCCCCCCCGTCTCCTCATCCTCCTCCAGGGGAGCTTCAGATCAGAAGACATCATCACCACCATCACCACTACCATCACGTGCGGTTTTAGTTGCTGTTGTCGTTGAAGAGAGTTTCCTGGCGCTTCCAGATCGAAAAGCCATTTTCGAAGGTACGTTGCTGAACAAACAAATAAACACCCATCACACTATTACTCACACTGTTCATCACACTGTTAACCACACTGTTGATCACACTGTTACCCACAGGCATACACTGTCGTGCTTGTTCGTACGGTGTGCTACAACATTACTGCGCTCGCCGCCTTCCCCACCCGGCACTGACCGGCGTGGTGAAGTATGGCTCCAATAACTTGACACCGCAAACCCGCACGGCGTTGCGGAAGGCCCTCATCCAGCAGTGGATCGAGACACACGGCGCTGTAGCCACGTACACACACATACGCACCACATGGCGATGTTACATCTTGATCTGGTTACGAACGAACGTGCCCACGACGATGATGATGCTGATGATGGAGACGTTTTAGTGTGACGAGTAAGTGCCACGCACCCCGTAGTTCATCGAATGAAAGCAACAATTGTTGTTCGCGTTGATCGGTCGTAATCGTCGTGGTGGTGGTGGTAGTCACTTTAAGATGTTTGTTTTCTTGTTCATGTTTTTGTTTGTTTGTTGCGGTTGCACCCGATTTAAAAAAAGAGCCGAACGGCTCACAGGGCTAGAGCAAATAAATGAAAACTGAAAACTGAAACTGGGTTGGCGGTGGGAATTTGTGCAACGCGGATCCTGAATCATTGCGAGCGGGGCGAGAGACCCAAGTGACGACGACTTGAAGCTACTTTGTGTGCCTGTACTGACGCAGACCCGTCTTTGTTGTTGCCAATTCCACTGCTGAAATGAGAGCCTCCCTTTTGCGTGGTGATTGTTTGACCATACTTCACCACCACGCGTGTCTTCGCGGCTTGTTGTTGAAAAAGGCAGTGAGAATAGCGAATTGGACGCGGGAGCAAAGGAGGTAGGATACAACGATGTTGTGTTTGGTGCATGCACGGTGCCCTCTGTGCCAGCCACCACGTGGAGCAGCCAACATCTCTCCTGTCGATCCATGGCAAGGCTCACAGCAGGCAGGCTCGGACCTGCTTAGCCTTGCGAGATGAGAGAGAAGATCGGTCACGCAGACAATAATAATAGTCTTGCAGAAAGTTGCATTTGCAGGACACTACAGTGTAATATGCACAGAGTACGGTACAACGTGAAGGTAATTTGGCTGACCTAGATAACGCGAGGTAATATACTTTAATATAATGAAGTGTAATTGCTGTCTCGAGTACAGTACATTGAAAAGACCTCCCTTTCACGGTTAAGTGAACGTTCCCTTTTGCCCTAATTTAGTTAACAAAGCGGTACACCGTGCTAATTGACAGCACTGTTGGATGAAGGATTTCCCCCCCCCACACACACACACATACCGTGTCAGTCATGGAATGTTTCAGCATACTTCACCACCCTGGTCAGTGCTAGTTGGTTAAGGGCAGGGTAAATCCCCACCAGCATACTTCACCACCCTGGTCAGTGCTAGTTGGTTAAGGGCAGGGTAAATCCCCACCACTGTTGTTTTCCGTGGACAGGAATTGATTGCCGGTTCCACAGCGAAACACAAGCCTATGTTTTCTAACACCGGCTGCATACGTTTGTTTATACATTACTTGTGCACGGTTCATGTCTGTGTCCAAAGCATCTGAAAGGTTTCGCACAGTCATCACCAGCAGAGCTTTGCGTGGTTTAATGAAATGAAAGATGTTCAGCGGTGGCACCGCCCTGCCCAACAGTGATGACTCATGTGGACTTCTGCCACACGTGGCTCTCACTAAGAGACGGTGGCGGGGTTGGTTATGGTGGTTTAAAGATTTGTTTATCTGGTTTGTTCTGTTAATAATGCACGTTTCGTATTATATGTACGACTATTCATGCCACCAACGATTGTGGGTTATTAATGTTGATTAGATATATTTTTTTTGCAGGTGAAATGGTGGATGTGTTAAGTAATCTACACCAGGTGTTGTTGCCATTGAAACCTGTGATTATCAACACTTCACACAATCTGTTGGATTTCCCTGGATGTTTAACTTTGTCAGGCGTGATTATCTTAATTGGCATAAAGACTTGACGACCTGGAATCTATTCTAGATTTAAAGCTTTCGTGACTGCTAGGATCCATACTCTTTGGTTCTATGGGTTAAAGTCACGTAGGTGAAAATAAAATAACAAAAAATCACGACGTTTCGGCCACAACACAAGCGGCCTTCATCAGATGAAGGGACGAGACTGTCTTCCACTCCAGCGCTGTCCTCCAGACAGTCTCGTCCCTTCATCTGATGAAGGCCGCTTGTGTTGTGGCCGAAACGTCGTGATTTTTTGTTATTTTATTTTCACCTACGTGACTTTACCCAATAGAACCAAAGAGTATGGACCTGGAATCTACTTTAATATTGTTAGACAATTTAATTTCCAGCCCTTTTTAAAATCCACTTCTGGATCAAGTCCCCACGCCGTGTCAGTCATGAGTGTTGTTTGACCATACTTCACCACGCTGGTCAGTCCAATTGGTGATGGTTTGGTTGGCTCCCCGGGGCCTGTTCAGTTATCACTCACCACAGATGTGAGCTGTGGCTGGGTATCAAACTTAGGTCATCAGGTTAAAAGTGTAATCAGCTAACCACTGTACCCCCCCACTCCACCCACGTAATGAACGTACAGAGGTTGTGTTTCCTCGAATAAAAAAGATGAAATAATTCTCCATTCAGTCATTAGTTCTGTAACAATTGCTGTGGTTGCCACATGTTGACTCACACGAGCAAGATTTAGTATGATACAGTTGTTGTATGTATCCTTGTACTGCAGCGTATACAAAAGCAGGAATTAATTTCCTAGCGAGGTTTATGGGGCATTCCCATCCCACTCGACTATTTTCTGGAGCTCAGCGCCGGACAGCTCCGACTGAAACGTCAGTTTTATATAAACCTGTTGCTCAATATTCTTCCGTCTCTGGTGTAGTAATTCCTTTGCAAAAACAACTAAAAGCGCGCCAGCCTTGCCACTGTCGCCACTGGCTGTGAGACAAGCTGTCCCGAGTTACACAACATGCAATAAAGTGCAGTAAAAAAAAGGGCCGTACTACCAATGCAGCGTGAGACGTGAATTGCGGCTTTTGGTGGAAACGAGGTGAGGGGCATGGGTAGCTGTTTTACGGATGATTTTTAACTTTTACAACAAACGGTGCACCACTTTGTCTGAAAATGGCCGCAGAAGATGTCACATCGCATTTCAACTGTTATACTCTAGTACTCTAAGAATAGTCGGGACACGCCTTTTACATGCCCTGCAGAGAGGGTATGGCATATTTCAATTAAAAGAAATGCTTCTTTCTTTTGGATGGAATTTGCTGAATGAAATATAAAATCATATTGAATGTGACTTTTTTTTGCTTCTTACATATGCAGCCTTCGGTGAATGGAATGAGACCATGAATATTTGAGAACCCAGATTAATCACAGCTGGTCACCAAGATGTGAACTCGGGATCAGTAGTGCCACCTACATTCTCTGACATAGTATTTTAAAACTAAGCCACCTCATACCGTCACAGTTAACTTGGGCCACAGTGATGTCATCGCATCTAAAACAAACTAGCGCAACATTACGTATGGTCTGTACGGAACCTTTACATAGTATTTGCATACATACTATGGTGAGCACAAATTTTGTATATCCGATCCTCTAACTCAATAAGGGGGAGCTTTCCCGGAGGTTAACTATAGCGTATAAGGTCAAAGAAGAACATGTGCAGTCCTACAACTACTTGCTCACGTCACTGCTGGAAGAAGGGCCTCTAGAGACCACCGTTTGAGGGAATTTTGGCCTACTCTTCCTTGCTGGCCGGATGTGAGATTACCCACATTTTATCCTATAATGAAGGATGGTAAGTGGACCGTGGTAAAAATTTGGACAGTTAAATCATGGAAAAAAATATTAGTTTTCTGCGCTCCTTTGCACATTTGTATATTCCACGGTCCCTTTCATTCATTTGAGTACATAACGTCTCCTAGGCTTTGGTCGTCTTGATATGGTGCACACCCAACATATCTGACATACAGACTATGCAGGAATTCTTATTATAATAGCTGTCTTGCAAAGCATGCATGTGAGCAGCCCTCGGAGGTAGGGCATGTATTGTACATTGTTCAGTAACTAGGTGTGTCCACAGTGCAATATGCGACACACACGGACATGTGCCCCTGGCATGGTTCAACATCTTCCCCGGTGGACTGTTGACTCCTGTTGAATCTGTTGCTTGGTAAATTGCATTACTTTATTATTATTGATACAGTGATCATCATGGGGTATGTCCTTGCCAGTCTTGTAGAGCATGAAGGCAGCATTGCAGGGTCGAGTTTGAATAAAGTTTGATCAAAATGCCATGGATGGTTTGTGATGACAGTCATAATTTCCCAAATAGCAGCTTTTATGCATGGCAGTCGGTTAGATCAATTCAATGAGCTTTCATTCATATTCGGTACTTCCAGTAAACATGCAACGTTGGCATGTGGTTGGCACCGTTGGACCAACGTTGGATTGCCCAACGTTGCATCTTTACTTGGCAATACACTTTACTATAATCAGTCAAAATAAAGTATTAAAGCTTTCGTGACTGCATAAAATTACTCATTGGTTTTTTTTCTTCCGGTAAAGTCACGTATGTAGAAATACAATAAAATTATATTAAAACAAAAAAACAATCACGACGTTTCGATCACAACGCAAGTGATCTTCATCAGGTGTTAAGAACAAATCACGGAGGTAAACACAACAAAAAGATGAGAGACGAGAATTCAACAAACCTGAAAAAACATTATGTGAAGCACATCCAGTCAGGCCAACAACAGTTAGACACTTCCTGGCGGACCACGAATTTCAGAAGAGTGTTAAATTTCGTGTTCAAAAGGACCACCTCTTGTAATATATAATATATAAACTGTGTTGTTGGCCTGACTGGATGTGCTTCACGTAATGTTTTTTCAGGTTTGTTGAATTCTCGTCTCTCATCTTTTTGTTGTATTTACCTCCGTGATTTGTTCTTGACACCTGATGAAGATCGCTTGCGTTGTGATCGAAACGTCGTGATTGTTTTTTGTTTTAATAAAATTTTATTGTATTTCTACATACGTGACTTTACCAAAAAAATGAGTATAATCAGTCAACTTAACGTACATCTCCAATCCCACGGTCTGAGTATTTGAGAGTTGAGCACTGTACAGATTGGAGGCAGTCTGAATTCAAAACAAAGCAGACCCTTTATTTGGTATACCAAAAAAAGAATATATATATTTTTTAAAGTGAAATTCCAAGCGTAACTGTTATCTGGGCCAGGAGACTATAGCTGCTTCCTCTGGACTGTGTTTGCATACACCATTTGATGTGCAGAAGCGAACATCTGCTTAGCCTCACTGTTTAACAGATTACAGTGAACCCAATGCAAATGTGGGTGGAGCGGTGGCACTGTAATACGATAAAAGCAGAGTTGGTTTTTCTTTTGATTTAAAGATTTCGTGACTGCATGGATTCATATTCTTGGTTCTTTCGGTAAAGTCCCGTAGAAGGGACACAATAAAATAATACAAATATAAAACAATAAAATTCTCACGACGTTTCGACTGCAACACAAGCAATCATCATCAGGTGATGTTTTATATTTGTATTATTTTATTGTTTCCCTTCTACGTGACTTTACCGAAAGAACCAAGAATATTGTTTTTTCTTGTGCTGCCCCACCGTGAACCCTGCCACCTAAGGTCAATTTCCGGGTACGGGCAAATATCCTTGTTGCCTGTGGATTTGCGATATCTCGATAACTGAAGCTGGCCCTGGGCCATGCCCCATCCCCACCTTCTGCCCTAAATCAACCCGTACTCACCCAGTGTGGCCAAGTATGGGCAAACAACCCCGACAAAGCAACACTGCATGGAGACGCCATCATCCAGCAGTGGATTGGCAAAGGGCTTTACATTTTTTAATTATAATTAATACTGTACAGTGTTGTACAGTAATTAGGTTTTTCCCCTAAAGTGGTGTAATATCACTGTGAATATAATCAATCTATAACTGCCTGACATTTGGGAATGGTACACGTATACAATGGGTTCAATAATAAGGTACAGTAAAGATATCCTTTCAGCATTTTCTATACTTTAACCTAGTATACAGTACATGTGTTTACCAAAGTATAAGTGTGGATATTACTTCTGGACTAGGCCACCCTGGTAGTGAGTTCATGAACTGGTATGCAGTCAGGCCTCATTTGCTTTAATTCTCAATTGCCTCATTTGCACAGTTTTGTCTGCTCCCGTCGGTTAAAATTTTATATTAGAATATCATTTACATTTAATTTACCTAAACCATAAATGCATTCGATTCTCTTGCCCATCACAGAGAGAGGTGGGGGAGGGTGGGGGTGTTAACATACCTGTCAACCCCCTATCAGTGCCTACCTTATAACAGTCCAATTCAGACCTTATTGGTCACCTTATAAATCTCAACGTTCATCCTACAAAGTCCCATCACAAGGGAGAAACACAAACAAATAGACAAAACTTTTTTTGCTCAATTTCCCTGCACAGGAATACGGGTAAACTGTATGGGTTGACAAGTATGTGTTAATGTACGGAAAAAACGTGTCGCTCATATCGTTGGATCTATAATCCAATCCACTGATCATCAGTTTCCTGTCTTTCATCAATTTGCTCCTTTTGCATTTCCAGGCTCCTGTACAGACGCACGGACAGACGCAGGCAACACACCCACAAGCGGAGCAGCGTGTGACGCCCCTCGTACTACACGACCATGTCGGAACCAAGCGCTCCCCCCGGATACTATGGCACGAACCAACCTGGATACCCTCCCCCCTACCAGCCCTACCCAAACCCGGGCCAAGGTCCCCCTGGCGGTTACCCACCATCATATGGGGGGCAGCCCGGGGGGTACCCTCCGTCTGGAGGGTACCCCCCGTCTGGAGGGTATCCTCCTGCTGGGGGATACCCACCACCTGGGGGTCAGCCAGCGGGGGGCTACCCGGGAGAGAATCCACCCCCTAATGCATCGCAGCCGCAGAGAGGGGGTACTGCGCCACCGCCCTTCATGATGCCGACCATTCCCCTGCACCCGTCCTTCGGGGGCGTTGGCCCTAGTCCTGGAGGGCCCGGTGAGTGATTTTCTTTTTTAATCTTAGATGGCGGAAATGAAACCGCCTCTACTAAAAACAACAATGAGCTTTCTGCAGATGAAAAGCGGAAAAGAGGTGACAATGAAGTCGTGTCACTTTTTATTTTCAGGCAAGCGATACACTTTGCTTAGGCGGGGTGGGGGCAGTAGACTTATTGTCTGGGACACCCTAACAATGATACAGCAGTAGAGTGAACTCGGGGGGCCAAAGGGACATTTGGTGGTGCATGGAATATTGAAACTTGTTTTGTGAGCCTCGCCTGGAGTTCTGCAAATAGTGTTGTCGGAAATGGCCCAGCCACGTAATTCAGTAAACGCAGACACCACTCATATTATGCTGGTTTTGTTGTTGACTGTTAACAGTTCGAGACTAAAAACAAGCCCAATATAACATGAGGGGCGCCTGCGCTCACTAAATAACTTGACTGGGCAACATTCTACAGCAGCGCTTGCAACGATAAGTGGCCCACGATACGTACACAGAAATGTGCACATAAATGCGTAGTTACATTTTAGTTTGTACGGCAGTATTTTGGTAAGCAATGTGAAATAGGAGGCAGTCCGAGCTGAGGAGATGAGTGCCAAGCCACAGTCTGTTCACCGTGCACTTGCCAAGCCACAGTCCATCCAGTGTGTGTGCACATCATTAATCACAATGCAGGACGAGGGTTAGATAATTTAGAGCAGTACCTGTGGAGGGACACACCTGACACAACTGCCTGACAAACCTGCACTGGTTCGGAATTGTGATTCTGCACCACACCCTTGACCAAAGCCCTCCAATTAATGTGAACGCTGCCAAATACTTATCAGAGCATTACCCGAGTCCGCGAATTTGTGACTTTGCCAAAATTAAACGATAACCTCCGAGAGTATATATTTTTTAATCACAGTACGTAAATACTGTCACGTGTAACTGAGACTGAACACCACAACATTTTTTTTTCAGACATATCCAAGCCAGCTTAGATGTGGCACACTCATTTAATTTGGTGCCCATATGAGTTCAGTGTAAGCCATGCATCACGGTGACTCAGTGACTCTTTGCTTTAAGCAAAGGGAAAACTGTTTACGGTGACCGCACCTAATGGACACATGCACAGTCGCCACTCGGACGTGACATTTAACCGTGGGCCCATCTGTCGTGCACACAGAGGCCTCCTCACTGCTCACGTGGGAACTAGTGACGTGGGAGAGGTCAGTGCACATGAAACGCAAGCAGTTTTTCTTGTTTTTGAAAACTGGACTGTTAAATGTCGCTCGTGGCCCGTTGTCGAGAGTTGGTTTAAACACTGCCTCTTGGGTGCTAATGTTGTGTATATTAGCTGAGTGTTTCGGATGACAGTGCGGGAGAGGATTATTTTTAGAGGCAGCATTATCTTAAGAAACTACATTGAATGGTGTACTCCGCGGTCCGTGTGATTGACTTCAGAATGAGAATATGTACAAAAAGATACGTGCATATGTTTTAATAGTTAAACTTGACCAAACCGCGTAGTATTAGATTGCTTAAGAGTGTACATACAGAGCTGCGTGGCAGGCTGAGCATAGTCTAACTACCTTTGCCTGACTGGTCTTGTCATACTACATTCCTGGCCTATATATGTGGGTGGCGACATGACTTAAACCTATATTCTTAGTTCTTTCGGTAAAGTCACGTTGAAGGGAAACAATAAAAGAATAAAATATATATAAAACAATAAAAATTCTCACGACATTTCGACCATAACACAAACGGTCGTCATCAGGTGATGACGACCGTTTCGACCATAACACAAACGGTCGTCATCAGGTGATGACGACCGTTTGTGTTATGGTCGAAACGTCGTGAGAATTTTTTTATTGTTTTATATATATTTTATTATTTTATTGTTTCCCTTCAACGTGACTTTACCGAAAGAACTAAGAATATGAATTACCGCAGTCATGAAAGCTTTAAATCAAAATTTATGGCTTAAACCTGTTCGAGAGGTTCACGGTTTGGATTGTCTGCATGTTTTGGGCAACCCTGTTCATATTTTTGGCCGGTTTTATTTAGGATAAGTCCCTAACAGCAACACACTATAATATCAAATCTTTTGATTTAAAGCTTTCGTGACTGCAGGGATTCATATTCTTGGTTCTTTCGGTAAAGTCACGTAGAAGGGAAACAATAAAATACAATAAAATATTTATAAAAAGAAAATTCTCACGACGTTTCAACTGCAACACAAGCAATCATCATCAGGTGTGAAAACCACAGCACGAAAATTTGAAAAAAGTTTCTTGCTGTGGTTTTCACACCTGATGATGATTGCTTGTGTTGCAGTCGAAACGTGATAATTTTATTTTTATACATATTTTTATTGTTTCCCTTCTACGTGACTTTACCGAAAGAACCAAGAATATCAAATCTTTGTTAACATTGGATAATCTTTCCGGGAGTTATCATGCCCTCCCATTACAGACAGATGGACAAAGCTAATGGATGAATGCTTTCATCCTTGGTTGGAAAGGACAGTATTACAAACACAAGTGTGGCATAGTGCTGGCCACATCACCACTTCTAACCACAATGCCTTTGCGTGTGTGTCTAGAGTATGGAGGCGTAAGTACAAATGAAAATTCCATCGGAGTCTGGGATGACAAGAATGTACGACGAGTGTTCATCCAAAAGGTGTGCGCCATAACCAGATTCCGGAATTCCTTAGACCCTCAACCGAAGATAAACATGCCCTTGCAACCTCCAGTGTGACTGTTGTCTGATAGCAGTGGCCTTCAAAGGATTTTTAAAAAAATCAAAATCATGGAATTAGATTTTAAGGCCTATGACCAAACAACCCAGAATGCATCCGATCTCGTCAGATCTCGGAAGCTAAAGGGCAATCTCCATGCATGGCAGGCAGGTTATTTAGTTTCATGGTCTGTAGCAGAGGGCAGTGCACCAAAGTAAATTGTTGTACTGCATTCTTGTGCTCCCATGTCTGTTCCCCACCCACACAAGTGTGGTGATGAATGATCAAATATAACCCCCCTTGACCCATATGGTGAGGATAACGGTATCCCCACTAACCACTGCTCCCAATGCTCCAACCCCAGAGATCCAATGTGTGGCATTAACACAGAGCTATGGGAATGCCTTGCAGGAAAGTAAAATGCCATGCTCTGCTTACATCCATGTTTTCTAGGTTGTTTGGTTGCCTATGTAGTACACAACAAATGTGAATTAATAAGCTGCACAACATACTCTTTGGTTTTTTCGGTAAAGTCACGTAGGTAAAATAAATTAAAACAACTAAATTAAATCACAACGTTTCGGAGGCAACACAAGCTTCCGTCTTCAGGTGGAACAGACAGCAAAATTAGCTGTATCAAATTAGCTCTATCAAGTGATACAGCTATCAAATTAGCTGTATCAAGTGATACAGCTAATTTTGCTGTCTGTTGCACCTGAAGACGGAAGCTTGTGTTGCCTCCGAAACGTCGTGATTTAATTTAGTTTTCATTTATTTTATTTTACCTACGTGACTTTACCGAAAAAACCAAACAGTATGAATCCTTGCAGTCACGAAAGCTTCAAATCTAGAAGCTGCACAACGTTTAAAGGGCATAAGCTATAGTTTTATTTTCAGTTTATGCTCCAACCGTGCAATGATCACAACGCAACTAGATGTTCATGATAAAAGTATAACTTTGATAGTTGTGAGGTAGGCTCCCTGATTATAACACAGTATAGTATTGGGGATTGTCTTAAAATGTGTACTCAGAAGCAGGCTTTTATATTTGTCAGAGTTACACTCCGTGGGATGTTGTTTGGTGCACTGATGATGTGGGATCGTACATTTTGAAGTGTTCACTACAGGACTTTAAGCAATGTAGAACTGCTCCATGAGTTAATCCGATCAACCTCCAGGGTGTATTTTGCGTCACAAAATCATGACCGTCTGTATGCATGACATATTCTTAGCGCTTCTAGAAAGTCCTTTTAATGCTAGTCACTGTCATCTGTATTAGATATGCTTAGCCCTTCTAAAATATGAACATTTACATCAGTCATTATAGTGTATATATGTGGTATAGTGCTGTATATTGGACTGAATATAAGACATATCTGTGCCCCACAGGTCTACATCATCCTTTTTGTGCAGCTGCTCGTCACTTTCGGCTTCGTGGCGGTGTGCACTTTCGTGTAAGTTGGTGGTGGCGGGGAGACGTTCCCAGAGGAGAGGGTGATTTTGGGGCATAAATAATCTATGTATGTTGAACTTCTTTCTCACTGTAAGTAGCAACCGTGCTAATCGGAGGTGCTTTTTCAAGTTACTCTAACTACAACTTTTCTGGATTTAAGAAACCTATTTGTCCCATCTGCCACACGATAATTCGAGTCGCTGGCAGCTGCGCATTGTAAGTCTTGGGGACCGTATTGAGAAAGGTCTGGTGGGCCAATACAAAGTTGGCCGGGTGGCTCCAGAGGTCAGAGCACTAAGCTGCCACTGCTGAGAGCCTGGGTCCAATTCCACACAACCACCTGTGATTAAACTGGGCTCCCAAGTGTAGTAGGTTTATTGCCCTAGCTTGGTCACGAATAACTGCACATACGAAAACACATAAAATTTGGTTATGCACTTAAAGAATAAAACAAAAAATTAGTTTGACTGTCACGTGATAAAACGTTATTCTTGGTGGCAGGGAAGGTGGAAAAGTGCTACACCTTAAGTGTAGATTAGAAGCCACTTGGGATCTTAGAGAAAGCTCTGATATCCGCATCCGTGGGTCATTCTTCAATCACGAAGGGTTGCACCACTCTGCGAGAGTTCCGATTGAATACTTTGTCGCATGACATGGCGCCAATAGCACAATCAGGATAACAGTGAAGGAAATGTTCTTTAAACATGTGTATCTTTGGGGCAAGCCTTTGTTATTTCTGATATGATTTTGCGACTATACTCCAGTTATGAAGAGTTATTTTATAAACAGTAAAATATATAGCAGTCTCTTTACACTAACTTTTATTTTAATCCTCCGGGCCCCAAACACCAGGAAAATTATTATGAATCTTGCAATGAGGAGGATTTTAGAAGTGAATTTTTAATATTGTTAATGTGCTCCTCAACAGCGTCCCCGTGAAGACATTTGTGCAGAAAAACCCAGCAATGTACTGGGCCTCTTAGTGAGTATGATTCATCATTTCCTGCTTATAATTGTTTAAACAATGTACCCAAACATGAAGCCATAAATTGTGCCACTGTTTACATACATCTGACAGAGCCCCTTCCTTTTGTGAATGCAGTGGCGTCTTCTTCGCTACATATCTCGGTTTGGTTTGCTGCACCAAGGCAAGGTGAGACGTCTTACAGTAGATATTTAAATCTTCTAAAACAGCAGTCGGCCAAAATACCTTCTCGAAGGTCTCTATAGAGGCTCACTCTAATGGAGGCTCTTCCGCCAGCAGTGGTGTGAGCAAGCACTTGCCGGTCAGAACTGCACCTTTATCTATTATAACAATTGGATGAGTTGTGCCCATACCCAAGACCCAGGCCAATGTTAAGAAAATATCTTGTACTTGACTAGCGCTCCACATGTGTAGAGAAATTACATAAACACAGACCATTCTCAAACAAAATATATTTTTGTCATAGGCTTATTGGTGTTCCAAACTGATATTATCCATCAGAATGTGTTTTAGCAAGACAACTCTGGACTGGTTTCGACCTTCTGGTTCTCATCAGCAGAATCAGGCTTATTAAAAAAATGCTGCTGGGTTTCCAGATGTTCTGGCAAGGACACGCCATCTAAATTATGGGGCCTTGTTCTTTTAAAAAAAATGTTTTTTTATTTACCAGGTAAGGCCCACTGAGCTATCAGTGCCTTTTCAGAGGTGCCCTGGCCACACATGATAGCTCATCGAAGTGGTTTGTATCATATGTGGGAATGTATAGTAGCCAAATAATTTAAACGCATGTTTCTAATGTAGAGAGGATCTGGAGAACAATCCACGTGACCACAGAGAGAACATGTAAATCAAAATATACAGGTATCAGGGTTGTGATCGAACCCATGCCCTCCTGTGTACCAGGTGACGGAGGTAACTTCTCGCTACCGAGGCCAATTGCAACAAAGACATTTTACAAACAGTTCCAGAGTTTTATTCTATCACTGGTTACCATATAGTAACTTTGCGGTGGAAGCTTAGTGTCCACTGTCACGGACATAATCATAATTTTAAAATAAATTATTAGAAACATTTTCATTATATTTGGGGGATATTTTTGACTAAAATCACATCAAACCAACAGCAAAATATTTGGTTTCGCTTTTAGTCATCTATGCATGACTGGGTTAAGTTAAGAAAATTAATCAAATAATACATTATTACTCAAAAATGCTTTCCAGAACTCATGTTTCCATTCCGTTCACGTTTACATGATAAACAGTAACCAGAGGCTTCGGTGCAATTCGGGTCCAGTATATTAATTCTAACGCTATAAATATAATTTTATGTACTTGCATATTTATTTCAGAATGCATCTTCTTGCACTGATTTGTCTGCAGTGCTCATTGCTATGACGTCTTTGTTGTTTAGGAGGCTTTTCCCACTCAACTTCATCTTGCTGGCCGTCCTCGTAAGCATTTGCACGTAGATTTTTTTTTATTTTTTACTTTCACACGGATGGACACATTGCATGGATGTTTACATAAACGTGTCAACAAAGGATGACTTGAGAATATGTATGTCACCATTGTTTTCCTACAGACGCTGGCAATGTCCTACCTCACTGGGATGCTGGCAAGGTATATATATTATTTTTTATTTAATATGTTTCCAGGTAAGGCTCACTGAGCTATCAGCTCTTTTTCAGAAGCAACCTGGCCACAAATGATAGCTCAACGAAGTGGCTTATCACGTAAACATTTATCGCAGGCAAATACAGTACTCTAAATTCATGTTTATAAATGTGGATGGGAAAAACCAGAGGGCCTGGAGAAAAATCCACGTGACCATGGGGCATCAGGGTTGGGCTCGAACCCACGACCTCCTGCATTCCAGGCGAGGGAGTTAACATTCTCGCCACCGCGGCACCGAGTTAACAGTTCGGGCTCTTGAACCACTCACGATAATGAAAATGTATGCTCCAAAAATGAGGTATAAATATGAAGCGGGTCAGCTGACACATTTTGGAAAATGTTGACAATGGGTGTTGGTAGCAATGGTCGTGCCGACAGTATGAAACAATTGTTATAATTACATGCATTTTTAAAAAAATATTGTTTGATAAATTATAGTCATGCTTAGGTTGGTGATTTCTGATAATGGCAATGATATTGATGTACACAGCAGAGTAATAAGCAGTGTTGAAATTCACTCACAGAAGGTCTTACGAGAACTTAACTTCACCAAATGTAGGAATAGGTTTCACCCTTTTAACTGGCACAAAAACTGACACCTTTATTCAAGGCATCATGTTTGCAATAACCACAACACAAGCAGTCAAAATGCAAACAAAAAAGACAACTCTGATAATAATAATATTGGCACTGTCCTTGAATGTGGTTGGTCCACACCCGAGACGGCTTTTCTTAGAGCCTAGTCTCCATTGGTGTTGGACCAGAAGACGCCAAAAGGCGTACAACTCAAAAACAGCGCACTATCAGAGTATTGAGGGCTCGGGGTGAGCATTAACATTATGAGACCTCCTTTGCCAGAAACAAGTGTCAAATGTCTCACCATTTACCACTGCTTTAGGAGTCCGTCTTTGATCTAGCCCTATTGTTACTGACTACAGACCACGTATCTGTGTCCATTGCCCTTTGCTCACAGCTTCTACAACACCAACTCAGTGCTCATGTGCATTGGCGTCACAGCGGCAGTGTGTGGCGCTGTCACACTCTTCTGCTTCCAGACTAAGGTAACGGGGAAAAAAAAATCCCACAACAGTCGCAACGCAATATCTCCTCCACTAATGTGTATGTACATGTGCAGCCCTTTAGCAATCTATTGCTGGATCAAGAAGGCCTCCCCATACTGTGTCGGTTATGCAGGTTGTTCGACCATACAGTTAATTCAAGGTGTGGTGGGGAGGTGGTGAGGGGTAGTGTAGCGGTTAGCATGCTGTGCTGCGAACCTGGCGACCCAAGTTCGATTATTTATCTGAAACGGTCCTGGGCCTCCCCTAGGTCGACTTAGCCTCAAATGAGTACCTGGTGTGGTGTGTAAATATTCGCCACTCGGAAGATAAAGGTGTTCGGGAGTGGTGCTGGCCACCAACTCCCTCGTGTACCGTGCTAGGCTTCATGGACGCTCACATCACTTGCCCCAACAGTCTATACGAGTGATCTTTGTCTTGGTGGGGAGGTGGACCAGGACTAGTTTAGATATAATTTGCCAATGTGGTTTATTTGGACAGCACAATGACAGCTGTGATGTGTTTGCATATACACATGTAAGTGCAGTCATGCATACGTAGGGAGCAGTAGTGTGTAGTGGTTAGCACGCTACACTCCAAACCCGACTCAGTCTTTGTAGATGCTAGCTAACAGCACTTGTCCAAAAAAGTATGTTAAGGCTATATGGGGGATCTTTGACTTGTTTGTATTTGTATATTGAATGGATTTATTCAATATACACATTGTGAGAATTGTGTGTGTGTTCCAGGTTGACTTCACCTCGTGTCCTGGTGTGATGTTTGCCCTCTCCATGGTGCTGCTGCTCACCGGCCTCATAGCCGCATTTACCGTCCCCTTCGGATACGCAAGTTTCACAAAACAGAGAAAAACCACGACACACACTTCAAATTTAGTAGGCCACTAGGTCATAGTCAGCCCACTGCTGAATCAAAACGTCCGCAAGCCACTGCAATCATGTGATGTATCATCCATTCAGCACCTTCAGGAGCTAATTTTATTGTTCCATCTTCACAGTGGACGACGTCCTAGATTAATATGAATGGTGTATGTTTTTTTGTCTCTTAACTGTTATTGTTAGTTTTAATGTTAGGTTAGTAACACTTAGTCTGTGCTCTCCAGTTGCCTGGGTGAAAAGTGGGCTAGGTTTTGCCCAACCCTGGCCAGCTGGCTCAACAACTTGATAAATGGAATTAAAACTTTTCTTTACAATGCTTCCATGATGCCATTACTACTCATCCTGTTTAAATGGTTTAAACTGATACGATTCTGTCATCATTTTGTAAGCTATATCAGGCCTTGAGTAAAGGCGTTCTATAAATAGAAATTAGACTTAGATGATAAGTATACCCTATTGTGCGAACACTATGCAGCTTTACTCTGAAATGTAGCTCATGATGTTTTTGCTTTCACTGTCTGGTTTCAGATCCCATGGATCCAGACGGTTTATGCGGGTTTGGGAGCTGTGATCTTCACAGTGGTAAGTAATGCTGCCCCTCGCACTGACAAGTGTTTGATAGCTGTACAGAATTCACAAAAAGCCTGCACAGCAATGGGATTCCAGTCATACATTAACATTTTAATATAATAAATTATTCTGTGTATTTTTAGTTCTGAAATGTATTGTACTGTCATTACTTGGTGATCCAATTCACCCTTGCAAAAGAAACATTATATCATTGGGTTCTCACGTGGTAAAATTAAGTCTTATTATGCCTTTGTTTCTCCAATCAAAACAAATACATATTTGAATGCTGCTTTGAATAACTTTAGTGAAGGCGTGTTACCTTGTGATATATGTTGGTACGGTCTTCATGAAATCCCAGTGTGGCTGCTCCGTTTTTAAAAATCTTTTTAAATACTTCTTAAAATAGTTTTTAATTTTGGCATTCGTTTGAGAGCTTGGATGACTAGCAATTATCAATGAGTCAAATGCTTTGTATAGTCTATAAAGGCTAGGCACAGTGGTATTTGAAATCCATTAATCTATTCTAGAATCTTATTGAGAGTACGAATGTGGTCTATGTCAGAGAACATCTTTACAAAACACTGCTTACACAGTGGTTTGTCTCTAAATAATCCACTATTCTGTATCCAATGATCTTTGTGGACATTTTCTATACGGGCGTTTAGAGCCCTAACGAGAACTCCAAGCTAATGTATAGGGTACCCATGTAGTACACCTTGGCCATGGTGAAAGCTGGCGGCCATTATGACTCTCTCGCTGCAGTTTTTGGCAGTGGACACACAGCTGCTGCTTGGCAACCGGCGTAACTCCATCAGCCCCGAGGAGCACATCAACGGAGCCCTCCGCCTCTACATGGACATTGTCTACATTTTCACGTTCCTGCTGCAGCTCATTGGCTCACGAAACTAATCTGTCCTTGCGCATGTCTGCAGGGTTCCCTTAGAAACTCCAGTGTGCGAGTGGACCTGAGTGTGTGTGGCGTGTGTGTGTGTGTGCGCGTCCGCGTGAACAAATGGGACCCCGCACATGAACATTTGCGCGCGGTCCAGTATGTGAGGTCATATCTGTGTGGCTGTATGTGCTCTGTTTGTATTCTGTGGTGTCTGTCTGCACACATGCATGCAAATTAATTTTACGTACCTTGGTGTTCTGTTTGTGTGCTAGCTGACTTGCTTTGTTGTGCACCCTCGGCGTGCCATGTAAATACCGATGTATCAAAAGTGTCGAGGACAGAGCTGCAGTAACAGTTGGGCAAAGGAAATATTTTGCGAAATCTGCACTTATCGTAAACATTCTCATAACATTCAGGCAGGTGATGGAGAAGACTAAAGGTTGCAGTTTTATATTGTAAATTGTGTCATTAAGTAAATAAAGAAATTATTCAGTACTGTATTTCATTTGGCATGTCTGCTATTTAAGCTCGGCACTCATTCATGTATAACTGTAATACATATTTAAAAAAATCTATGTTTAACACGTAGGCTTTCGCGACCAATATTATTCATAATAAAGGTTTTTGGATTAGATCACGTTATTTATAAATGTGTCGTACCCCCCCCCCCGCCTCAAATGACTGCACCTGAATGAGTTACATGACGTCACCCTGCTGCTCTATTTAAGACCGGGAGCAAGTGAGGGCTTTACCATTCTGGCGAATTGCCTGATGATGCTGGATGTAATTACCAGTGAAAAGTCGTACTCAAACTGTAAATGTTGTGGATTCACTCTTCAACACACCGGCGGGCTAAAGTATTGAACTATTTGTCTTTTGTCAACGTGACACTTTTTTGCTGTTGGCCGTGTCGGGTGGTGGAGGGTTACGACACAAATAATGCGATCTAACCCAAAAACCTTTATTATGGACAAATCTACGTATTGAACGTTACCACGTCCAGCTGATGAAGAGCATCCAAAACCTTGGCACCATCTTCTACTCAGAATTTATCTCGCATCTCAACATGGAGGGTTTCCTACCTCCACCTGTGCAAGATTGCTGGCATCTGTTGGCATCTAAAATCTGCTGTCCCATTTACTGGGACCCGGTACAGCTTAATCACTTGTGTTGATTTCTGTGGCTCTCCACTAACCCTGCTAGTCAGAGGCCTTCCAAAATCCCTTGCCGCCACACTTCAATTGAATCCATGGTGCAGCAGCGATACTCCATATCCACACCGACAAGTAAGCCCACATGAACCCAATTCTCAGGTCGCTTAACTGGCTCGCAATCCAGCACCGGATCATTTACAAGAAGCCATCGACGTCTTCAAAAAGCCACCATGGATTTTCCCCTGCCTACCTCTCATCTCACTGTACTCCCTTCTACATGGCGTGTATTCATTGGAAGTTCACCCCCTCTGCTGCACTCTGGAATTCCCACTCCACATATACAAGCCCATGCTCAAGGCCTTCCGTTGGATTTAAATAGCATGTACTGTAAATGCAATATAATTTAGATTAATGTAGCATCTAAAAGGAAAAGTATCAAGATGTTGTACCGAACAGTGGGGGGCATGGGCATTCTGGGGGAAGGATGCATGTTTACTTAGAAAGAATCAGAGGCATGGGATGGGTGGAAGTAAGGGCATCAAAAATATGGTCCGATATACGGAATTTCGCTTGACGGACAATTTTTCAATAACGAATTCATTGTGTTGAGGGAGGTCTGTCCAGTACTATACTGGCCAAACAGTAACACGTTCTATTTAATATACACCGTTCTATTTATAATGAAATATACATTGGATGTCCAATATAAAATGGAAAAAATATAAACGTTTATCAATCCTCTGCTGTATGAGACTCCACTCTCCTCGGGCGTGGTCGGGGTTGACACTTCATCACAATTGTCATTGCGGATTAGTGATAGGGGTGAAAGCTCAGAACAATTTGTCACACTGCCCTCTCCTGGTGGACATAAGAAATAACTGCTAAAAATATACTATACAATTACTGTACGAGAATCCCTTGACATACGGAACGAATAAGTCACTGAAAGGTCCGTTCAGCAAAATTCCGTATATTGAACTATATTTTCCCATTGATTTGTATTATATTTGATTTAAAGCTTTCGTGACTGCAGGGATTCATATTCTTGGTTATTTCGGTAAAGTCACGTAGAAGGGAAACAATAAAATAATAAAAATATAAAACAATACAATTCTCACGACGTATAGACTGCAACACAAGCAATCATCATCAGGTGTGAAAAACCACAGCAAGAAAATTTGAAAAAAGTGGCGGGTTTTTTTAACGTTAGCACCACGGAGAGCGATTTGACAGTTAATCAGATGGACGAGTCCATCTATGTTCGGAAAAGAGGAGGGGGGAGACGAAAAATAATGGATGCGGTTTGAAAGCCACCTTAAGCGTGATCAATCAATTAAGACCCGAAATGGTTTATCAAATCCTTCCAATGATTGCTAAGCCAGAATCCATCTTCCCGGTTGAAATTGTCTCTGTTTGTATATGTGGATAGCCTCATGAACGCATCTCTCATGGTAGCCAGATGGCTTACAAATAACCTCTGTCTTGGAGAAGTTAATGTCATGTGAGCCTACTGAAATATAACAGTGATCTGCCATGGCCGAGATGTTGGTCCTACCGTGTTTAAGGTCTGCTTTGTGTTCACGGATGCGGTCCGAGACATGTTGTTTGGTTTCTCCAATGTAACTACTACCAGAGAGGCAACTTAGTTTGTAGACGCCAGGGTACTGTATGTCCGGAATCACATCTTTTACAGACGGAACCAGATCACGGATTTTATGTAATGTGTTGAATCGGACCTGGATCTTGTGTTTATTCAAGATTTTGTAGATCTTTTTTGTGATCCCCGCAATGTAGGGTAAAGTGATGGTTTTGATAGGCTCCTCAAGAGGGTCCTTCTTCATGGTTGGAGTGATAGCTTTAAGAATTGTGTAGGCGGACTAACCATTCGCCTTAAGAGCTTGGTGTACGTGCCACTTTGTATCAGTGTCTAGTGAGAGTGACTGTGAGTGATCAATGTCTAGTGAGAGTGACCGAGTGGTCAGTGTCTAGTGAGAGTGACTGTGAGTGATCAATGTCTAGTGGGAGTGATTGTGAGTGGTCAGTGTCTAGTGAGAGTGATTGTGAGTGGTCAGTGTCTAGTGAGAGTGACTGTGAGTGGTCAGTGTCTAGTGAGAGTGACTGTGAGTGGTCAGTGTCTAGTGGGAGTGATTGTGAGTGGTCAGTGTCTAGTGAGAGTGACTGTGAGTGGTCAGTGTCTAGTGGGAGTGACTGTGAGTGGTCAGTGTCTAGTGAGAGTGACTGTGAGTGGTCAGTGTCTAGGGAGAGTGACTGTGAGTGGTCAGTGTCTAGTGAGAGTGACTGTGAGTGATCAATGTCTAGTGGGAGTGATTGTGAGTGGTCAGTGTCTAGTGAGAGTGATTGTGAGTGGTCAGTGTCTAGTGAGAGTGACTGTGAGTGGTCAGTGTCTAGTGGGAGTGACTGTGAGTGGTCAGTGTCTAGTGAGAGTGACTGTGAGTGGTCAGTGTCTAGTGGGAGTGACTGTGAGTGGTCAGTGTCTAGTGAGAGTGACTGTGAGTGGTCAGTGTCTAGTGGGAGTGATTGTGAGTGGTCAGTGTCTAGTGAGAGTGACTGTGAGTGGTCAGTGTCTAGTGGGAGTGACTGTGAGTGGTCAGTGTCTAGTGAGAGTGACTGTGAGTGGTCAGTGTCTAGGGAGAGTGACTGTGAGTGGTCAGTGTCTAGTGAGAGTGACTGTGAGTGATCAATGTCTAGTGGGAGTGATTGTGAGTGGTCAGTGTCTAGTGGGAGTGATTGTGAGTGGTCAGTGTCTCGTGAGTGTGACTGTGAGTGATCAGTGTCTCGTGAGAGTGACTGTGAGTGGTCAGTGTCTAGTGAGAGTGACTGTGAGTGATCAATGTCTAGTGAGAGTGACTGAGTGGTCAGTGTCTAGTGAGAGTGACTGTGAGTGGTCAGTGTCTAGTGGGAGTGAGTGTGAGTGGTCAGTGTCTAGTGGGAGTGACTGAGTGGTCAGTGTCTAGTGGGAGTGACAGTGAGTGGTCAGTGTCTAGTGGGAGTGACTGTGAGTGGTCAGTGTCTAGTGAGAGTGACTGAGTGGTCAGTGTCTAGTGGGAGTGACTGTGAGTGGTCAGTGTCTAGTGAGAGTGACTGTGAGTGGTCAGTGTCTAGTGGGAGTGACTGTGAGTGGTCAGTGTCTAGTGGGAGTGACTGTGAGTGGTCAGTGTCTAGTGGGAGTGACTGAGTGGTCAGTGTCTAGTGAGAGTGACTGTGAGTGGTCAGTGTCTAGTGGGAGTGACTGTGAGTGGTCAGTGTCTAGTGGGAGTGACTGTGAGTGGTCAGTGTCTAGTGGGAGTGACTGTGAGTGATCAGTGTCTAGTGGGAGTGACTGTGAGTGGTCAGTGTCTAGTGGGAGTGACTGAGTGGTCAGTGTCTAGTGGGAGTGACTGTGAGTGGTCAGTATCTAGTGAAAGTGACTGTGAGTGGTCAGTGTCTAGTGAGAGTGACTGTGAGTGGTCAGTGTCTAGTGGGAGTGACTGTGAGTGGTCAGTATCTAGTGGGAGTGACTGTGAGTGGTCAGTATCTAGTGAAAGTGACTGAGTGGTCAGTGTCTAGTGGGAGTGACTGTGAGTGGTCAGTGTCTAGTGGGAGTGACTGTGAGTGGTCAGTGTCTAGTGGGAGTGACTGTGAGTGATCAGTGTCTAGTGGGAGTGACTGTGAGTGGTCAGTGTCTAGTGGGAGTGACTGAGTGGTCAGTGTCTAGTGGCAGTGACTGTGAGTGGTCAGTATCTAGTGAAAGTGACTGTGAGTGGTCAGTGTCTAGTGAGAGTGACTGTGAGTGGTCAGTGTCTAGTGGGAGTGAGTGGTCAGTGTCTAGTGGGAGTGACTGTGAGTGGTCAGTATCTAGTGAAAGTGACTGTGAGTGGTCAGTGTCTAGTGGGAGTGACTGTGAGTGGTCAGTATCTAGTGGGAGTGACTGTGAGTGGTCTAACAGCGCTCCTGCCCCCTGCACAGCACGAGACGGTTCAAGTCCAGCGGTGAGTGCGCCTGGTGAGTCCCCGAGTGGCGAGTTGTTTTAGATACCTGGGCGAGTTGCAAGGACGTAGCCATGCAGTCAACATTGGGGGGGAATCTTCCAGGGGGTCGAAAACGTTTTTTGTTTTGGCCATGTTTTTGTTTATTGTAGTACGGAGTTAGACTGATGGCCTTAATCTAAGTTTTCTTGTGGTTGTTGTTGTTTGACTTGCATCCCACTGGGATTTTTGTGCACACAGCGTTGGTGTATGGTGCTTTTTCAGGAATATTTAGATGTTTTATTCCTGGATTTTCTGTTTGCACAGTCACACATAGTCACTTTAAGATGTTTTATTGTTCGTGTTTTTGTTTGTTGCGGTTGCACCCGATTGAAGAGCCGAATGGCTCACAGGGCTATACCAAATAAATGAAACTATGAAATGAAACTAAACTATGAGTTATACAACTTCGTTACGCATGCTCGGAGCAATAGTTGATACGTCGTTTACAAGGAGTCAAGTTGGTGCACTTTCCCCTACAGTCTTAAGGCTACACGGGGGATCTGTGTATGTATGTGTGTGATGTATGTGATGTGTGTATGTGTGTGATGTATGTGTGTGTGATGTATGTGTGTGTGATGTGTGTGTGTGATGTGTGTGTGTGATGTATGTGTGTGTGATGTATGTGTGTGATGTATGTGTGTGTGATGTATGTGTGTGATGTATGTGTGTGTGATGTGTGTGTGTGTGATGTGTGTGTGTGATGTATGTATGTGTGTGATGTATGTGATGTGTGTATGTATGTGTGTGATGTATGTGTGTGTGTGATGTGTGTGTGTGATGTGTGTGATGTGTGTGTGTGATGTGTGTGTGTGATGTATGTGTGTGATGTGTGTGTGTGTGATGTATGTGTGTGTGATGTATGTGTGTGATGTGTGTGTGATGTATGTATGTGTGATGTATGTATGTGTGATGTATGTATGTGTGATGTATGTATGTGTGATGTGTGTGTGTGATGTATGTGTGTGTGATGTGTGTGTGATGTATGTGTGTGTGATGTATGTGTGTGATGTATGTGTGTGTGTGATGTATGTGTGTGATGTATGTGTGTGATGTATGTGTGTGTGATGTGTGTGTGTGATGTGTGTGTGTGATGTATGTGTGTGTGTGATGTATGTGTGTGATGTATGTGTGTGATGTGTGTGTGTGATGTATGTGTGATGTGATGTATGTGTGTGTGATGTGTGTGTGTGTGATGTATGCGTGTGTGATGTGTGTGTGATATGTGTGTGATGTGTGTGATGTATGTGTGTGTGATGTATGTGTGTGTGATGTGTGTGTGTGATGTGTGTGTGTGATGTATGTGTGTGTAATGTATGTGTGTGATGTGTGTGATGTATGTGATGTGTGTGATGTGTGTGTGATGTATGTGTGATGTGTGTGATGTATGTGTGTGTGGTCTGTGTGATGTGTGTGTGTGATGTGTGTGTGTGTGATGTGTGTGTGATGTATGTGTGTGTGATGTATGTTTGTGTGATGTATGTGCGTGTGATGTATGATGTGTGTGATGTATGTGTGTGTGATGTATGTGTGTGTGATGTATGTGTGCTTTTTGGTGTGAATATAAATGTGTCGTTAAACCCGCCACCACCCGACGCAGCCAATTAGTAAATCTTGATTTAAGATTTCGTGACTTGCAGGAATTCATATTCTTTGGGTCTTTCTGTAAAGTCACGTAGATAGGTTCAAATAAAATAACAAAACACTACGACGTTTCGATGGCGACACAAGCGGTCGTCATCAGGAAAAAAAGTGGGGGGGGCTCCTGGACAAATTGCAACATGAAAAAAATAAAAAAATATATCTCTTCCGTACCTCCTATGGAGTGCATCTCGCTGCAGGCGCCAGAACACAATATAATCACTCGGTAAGGATGTGATTGAAGAATTCACCACCGCCATACCATCTCAGCACGTGTCATGTTCTCTATGTGCAGTAGCGCCTTTAACCAGCAGATGGCGCTCCACTCATTGCAATCACGGTGTGTGGCCCACAAACGTTGTGTTGGTCGCAATTTAGCTGTCCCACATGCAATGTTGAACTTCTTTCGCACCGTACGTAGCCGACCATGCAAATCGGAGGTGCGGGGGAAGGACAACAAAAAGCAATTCGAAACAAACGACTTTTCAATCCGGACGATTTTAAAGTGCATAGGCTCCAGTGAGTGAAGAGCGTTCCAGACGGCCGCAGGAGTTCATCTGAAAGCGCGTGTTCGATGGCCGGCCAGAAGCCGCCTGCTGCGAGGACGACCGAAGTTTATGCTTCTTGACCAGATCAGCCAAGGTTCTCGTGGTGGGTCATTGGTTGGCCAAGCACGTTGTGTGCAAGCTGTAAAGTATTACGCAATCTGAACTCCCCCCACCCCACCCCCCACACCGGCCACCTCACAAGTCAATGAATCCGAACCAACCTAGCATGGTGAAGTATGGTCAAGCTAAGCCCCATGGGGAGGGAGGAGGCCTTGGACGAGAGAGCGGATGGAGAGAGAGAGCCGAAACATTCCGTGTTAAGTCCATCACGGGGCGAGGCAGTTTAAAACGAGGGGGGGCGAATTTCCTGCTCACTCAGCCCCCCTCCCGACCTCCACCATCTCTTGTCCACCCAATGTGTACGCCACAGTACATCGACGGGTCGCGTGTGGTGGGGTGAAAGTGTTGGCTATGATTCCACCTCTGCCGTGGAAGAGTAGGCCACACAATATAGCCTCTAGAACTCCAGAAGGGAACTCTCGTCGGCCCTTCTGCCGGCATAGCAGGAGCGTGGGCAAGCTGCTGCATAGCTGCGCCTTTACCTATTATGTATTATATATGAGCACCGTAATATTCGGATTATAAGACGTGAACCCCCCCCCCCACCCACCCAGCCCTGGAGATGCGTCTTATAACTCGCTCGGTGGGTTGTTGTTTTTATTTATTGACACCGGACACGAATTTGGAGCGAGTCTTACTTTGCGGAGCGTCTTATAATTCCGGGAGCAATCGGCGAGTTGTTCGTGCGCGTTCATCATCGCATCGAGTTGTGCCGCTGCCGCCACTGTGCTCGATGTGCTTTGGCAACCATCAACGAATTCCGGCGTTTACTTTGGAACGCACTCGACGTGATGTCTCTCCCTCCAGGTTCTGCGAAATCCCCAGTTCGACGAGAGAAGAGAAAGACGATCGAGATGGCGAACGAGGCCGATCCATGTGCGTGCGAGCTGGGAGACGTGATGCCCTACATTGGGCATGGCAGGGAGGTGCGTGCGGGACACGTGGACTCGTACCTGAGTGCGGCTCTGCCCGGTGGACACGGGGATCAGTCCTCGGATCGGGGTCTCATCATCATCCAGGACATCTATGGGTGGAGGCTGCCCAACACTCGCTTCATCGCGGACTGGCTGGCCGGAGAAGGATACACGTGTGTCATTACATTCCCACGGACCAGAGAGGAAAACTACCCCTAAAGTCTGCGAACATTTAACGGAGGAGTGGCACAGCTGCACGGAGTCTCTCAGTCTCTCTCTCTCTCATGAAGCCCTCTCTCTCGTCGTGGCTAGGAGAGCTCGGCTTTGGCATTTAGCATCTGAACATGAGAATACGAAACTACTGGACAGTACAGTACTTGAATTATATTTCAGGGAAGTTCCAGCTGAAAATGTATGCCCATTTACAATAAAAAAAAATATAAACCACCGTTAATAATTAATGCACTACGGGGTGGCAAGCCAAGTTACGAGAATCGTCCCGGAGAACGTCTCCCGAGGAGATAGAGCGATGCAATCAGCTCTTGTGCAGTCAGGCGCAATGTGAATTATCACGTGGCAGGATCGTGAGACACGGCACCGGCTTGAGGAGGCCTTCACCCGGCCGTGGATTGATCATGGTTCATACACAAATTATTAAATCGGTGTGTAATGCATGTTGGACGTTGATTACATAATATTTAAATACTTATGTTGAGCGATTTTTTTTTGTATGGCTATTGGACATTGCAGGCAGAACCTTACCAGGAATATCATTTAAATACAATGCAGTTGTTCATACAGAATTGGACATGACTAAGTTATGTTTACTTTAGTTAGTCCTAAACGATGGAACTGTTTTTGTCTCTTCATATGGAGAAATACAGCTTTTTAGTTATGGCATGTTCACTTGGCAGCAGACATTTCCCCCACCCCTGAACATTTTTTTATTATCTTATACTGTATGTTGTATGTAAATGCTTTCAAGTCAGTAGAGGCTGCTAACGTCACCAATGTAAAAAATGTTAACTTAATGTTAATTGAACAGTGAGCATTCATCAAATCGGTGGGTGGTTGAATTACTCTCGTTAGGACATGTTCACTTGGCAGTAGACATTTCCCCCACCTCTGAACAAGTTAGGCTCAGCAGCTGGAACAGGTTTTTTTTACCAAATGTATAGCTGCCAATACATGGGCCAAGAACTACGAGTCGTAAGATCGTTGCCCTCTGGCGCGTGGCACGTGGCCTGCTAGGTGCATCGTCCCAGACTTTTTCCTGGGGAAGGAGCCTTGGGGCCCCAGCCATGACTGGAGCACCTTTCAGGAGTGGCGAAAGGACAAGCAGCCCACCAACATCGCCAAGTAAGAGGACATTTCGTTATTATTGTTAAATGGGTTTCTGCTGTGTTTGGGCCTTTGTTGCTTTTCAAATTGCCGCCGCATCAAATGTCGCACGTGTCAGACACTTTACAAGCGTGGGTAATCACTAGCGTAATAATGAAGTGACTTTTTCTTACCGGAGCATAGTATGTCAACCAACTAGGACTGTACCTCAAATATGCAGTTCATAATTTCTCCCCCGCTCTTATGGGGGAGGAAATGTTAACACAATATCAATCAGGCTTAGTGCGGCTTGGAAGCGTATTATTAAATAATACATATTACAATTCCTTATAGGGGAAACACATACTAATTAACGGATTACTAACGTAGCATATAATCACAATAACACACATTACAACTAATTACTAATCTACAACTCATTACTAATAACTACCAATCGATTATATAATTACAATACCCACCCCTTCCACCTCAAATCACTGCACCTGAATGAGTTAAATGATGACGTCACCCTGCTGCTGCTCTATTTAAGACCGGGAGCAAGTGGAGAGGGCTTTACCATTCTGGCGAATTGCCCGATGATGCTGGATGTAATTACCAGCGAAACGTCGTACTCAAACTGTAAATGTTGTGGATTCACTCTTCAACACACCGGTGGGCTAAAGTAGTGAACTATTTGTCCTTTGTAAACGTGACACTTGTTTTACTGTTTGGCCGTGTCGGGTGGTGGAGGGTTACGACACATTTATAAATAACGCGAACTAACCCAAAAACCTTTATCATGAACACTATCATCATGTTGGATTAACTGACTTTTCATCCGTGCTGAGATGGGAATGGTGCATTGTTTATCACCATTCCTTCCCCCCCAATTGTCTGATGGGTGTACCGAGGTTGCAATTCCTCCCTCCAATCTCTACCCCCCCCACCCCCCATCTCTGCCCATGTCTCTAGCGCAGCCCTTACCCCCTAGCGCAGCTACATTTGGAGGCTTGCCCCTCTTTTCTCTCCACCTGAAGAAGACCCGCTTGTGTAGCGATCGAAACGTCGTGGGTTTTTTTGCTTTTAATTTTTGTTTTCTACCTACGTGACTTTACTGAAAGAACCAAGAATATGGTGCATTCAGTTTAGTATGTGTCAAACCATTCACAATTTCCATAAACCATATATTTGAGTCAAAATAATGTATTACTTTCAAATTAATACCTCATGAACTATGCAAATCTGAAATGTGAACTCTGCAGTTGCCTAAAGTGTCTGCGCTTTGGTAAACTTGATCAACACTTTCGGTAGTTGTGTAATAAAACGTCCCTACGTTGAACACCGTCTGCTTTACATATATAGTATATATTTAGCTCCCGTTAAATGCAAGGTTAAATGCTTGTTCATACCTATATCTAAAGCAGAGGGTGCTAAATTCACAAATGTAAAAAAAAGTTACTTGATGTTAATTTAATAATTACCATTCATCATATCGGTGGGTGGTTGAATCGTTACACCCTTCCTATTATGTACTTTGAAGGCTTTGCGCGACAAACGTATGTCTAACCGTCTACATGTGGGAATGTCTTATTATGCACCAGTGTGAATTCCTCCATAGTGTTTTCACACCCACGCACCAATGACACCTTTAAGTGTCTGTAGCTGCTGCCCTGTACCAAACACATGTAAGTTGTGTGTGTACTGTACGTACTAATACTAGGGAGATCGATGCCGCGATGGATTACCTGAAGACGGAGTGTGGAGTGCAGCGGATTGGGGTCTTGGGTTTCTGCTGGGGAGGCCTGGCAGTCCACCACCTGCTGCTCACAAACTCCGAGCTGCGAGCTGGTGTGGCTTGCTACGGTAAAAATCTCCAAAATGCAGAAGCCGAATCGGCCAATAATACTACTCACGTTGATTGTATTCACAATAATAATTTACAGCCCTCTCCGGCAATTAAATTGTTATCCCAGCGGATGGATTTGAGGATGTCATCTTGATGGCAGGTGCAATCTATTTTCTGGCTACACCTGCATGCTTCAGGTATCATTCGAGAGGAGGAGCACCGGTATGCACTCAAGAATCCCGTTTTGTACATCTTCGGAGAAATGGACACGTTCATTCCACTGGACATGGTAAAGCACACATCTCAAGTGTTCAACCCTGCAGCTTAGAATGTGCGACGACACCTGGTGCAATTACATTCCCTCTGCTTTTTGTGTTGTGTTTTTTTTTTCAACATCTGAACGTTCTGGAGATTTAACGTTAGGCATCGTACAACTGAAACTGCGTGTGTCCCCGTCGTGCCGCGCCCTTAGGTGCACTCGCTGGAGAAACGCCTTGCGGCCGAGTGCCAGGTGGACGTGCACGTGAAGGTGTTTCCGGGACAGACGCACGGCTTCGTGCACCGCAAGCACGAGGACATCAGCCCGGCCGACGAGCAGCACATTAAGGAGGCACGTGCCGATCTACTCGCCTGGCTCAACAAATACGTGTGATGGCACTCTTGCCGAGCCAGCGGTGGCGAGTTGCCAAATGAGCCTCCCCGTGCTCTGTATAAGGAAATGGGGGTCACTTTATACAATTAATTAACAGCACTGCTAACGTTTAGATTTCACTAAAAAGTGTCCTTCCTTTCACATCGGCGTGGCCTTGTAGTTCCAGAAATACATTTTATTACCTTAGCAAACAAGAAAATGCCCTATATCTTAAATGGCCAGCCTTTAATGCCTGCAATAGCTACAGGGAGATTCCTTGTTGAATCTGCACGAGTAAAATTTTAACTCGTAAGCAATGTGTAAAAAATTAAGACAGAAAATAATGATTGTACTGAATGCACTTCGTAGTAAGGCAAGCATATTATATAATCGATAATATTTTGAGCCAACCAGTCTGGTGTATCCAACAGAAATACACGGATAGTTATGGGTTCATTTTATAGCAGAACTAGCTGTACTACCCGGCTTCGCCCGGGACTTGAATTCACCACGCCCGGCCGCCTTTGTCTCTCCAGTGGCGATGTTCACACACCACACCAGTTAGTCGTTTGAGGCTGAGTTGACCTAGGGGAGGCCCAGGACCGGTTGAAATAATCGTCACCGGTGGTGACCGTGAGCGGAAATCGAACTCGGTTTACCGTGTTTGGAGCGCAGTGGCGATGTTCACACACCACATCAGTTACTCGTTTGAGGCTGAGTTGACCTAGGGGAGGCCCAGAACCGGTTGAAATAATCGTCACCGGTGGTGACCGTGAGCGGGAATCGAACTCGGGTTACCGTGTTTGGAGCGCAGCGCGCTAACCACTACACTACCGCTCTCCCCACACACAGACACAAACACACAGACAGCGCGCTAACCACTACACTACCGCTCCCCCCACACACAAACACACAGACAGCGCGCTAACCACTACACTACTGCTCCCCCCAACACGCGCGTCCATAGGTACACATACATGCGCTTGCTGCAGACACACACAACTGTCAGGGTGCGTACGGCAGTAAACGACTGAAATCATAAAGCGATGCTGCGCAAAGAACGCCTTAGACCTGCAACACATTTGTATTTCACTTTACTCGCGGAGGGTTGGTGGGGGGGATGACATCAGCAGGCACACTGTGTAACGTTTCCGCATGCGGGTGACATCACAGCTGTGACGTCACAGCTCACTTGCCGTGCAAAATATATGCATTATTGCGCCCCCCCCCCCAAAAAAAATACAAAAGTCTATTTTTATAATTTTTGCATGGTGTACAGTCTGGAAACTACTACATGGCAAATTTCAAGTTTGTTGCATGTCGGGAAGTATGCTAAACATTTCGAACAGACACACATTCACAAATTTCCCTTTCATATATATAAGATAAACATTCATTTCACATGCTGCACTAATTAGTTAATTTGCATTGTTTTGCAACACGATACGTATATGCTATTCAATGAAAGTATAAAGGGGGATCAGAAGTTATTGTAGGTGTTGATATTCAGTGTAAAGAAAACCTGGCTTTAATAAAAAAAAAACGCGTTGAGAATTCCTGATTTAGAGTGCTCGCGAAAGCTTTATTTTATGGCAAAATACAGTGTAAGGCAAGAGGCAGAGACTTGCAGAATACTTTTAAGGCTCGTGACTAAAGTCCCACCTTGTAAAAAATGGATCATCCCCACAGCATATTGAGAATACACGGTTCACACTATCGTGTGTGGGGAGTATATTGTGGAGTAATCCATGTTATACAGTGTATATGGGTTAATTATTATTGTGCTGCCCAAAGATTCACCTTTGAAGGGTATTTGCTGCATCGAAACTACCACTACTTCCATGGCTGCGAGAGTGCAAATCGAAGGCAGTTGATAACGTGGCTTTCACAGTGCAACGCCAATTACATTTTCAAGCGGACATCCGTGAAAAAGAGTGACATAGCTAATCAGATTCCTCCAGTCGAAATAAAGTCTGATATTTTCCCAAACTGCAGAAGATGTAATGGACTCCTTTGAAGAGGTTTAATTTCGCCATGGTTAGGGTTGCCACGTGTCTTCCCGTGTAAATTAAACGGCCGGTTTTTCTAAGTTGCATAATAATACACTGCTCAAGACAATGCATTTGCATGTAGTTTTCCCTCCCTTCGAGAATTATGATCTATTCTTCCCACACGTCCCACATTTTTTCTGCATCTCAAGAGGTGGAAATCCCAGCCACGATGCAGGCACACACGTTTAATTTTGCCACAAACCAGCCTGTTGCCGTGAAAGGTATCGTGATATATTTGTTTTTATATACAATGGCAAACAGCAAAGGCGACCAACTCATCGTTTACTCACAACATTCATATTAATCATGTTTATCATAATGCACATGTCAACATGAAAACATTGCCTAACATTGTTGAATTTATATATTTTAACGCGATCAACTCCATGCTTCCATTTCTGTAAAAGCATCTGCATGAACACTGTTAAAAGATAAAACGTCTGAAACTATGTAACCGAAGTAAAATATTTCTCCTCCAAAGGCAACTGAAGGAATAATTCACAATAATGTTGTTATACAGCATAGCTAACAGCTCAGTGCAAAAAAACATACCACATGGTAGGATTCTGTCATGACACAGACATGCAATTACTTTGCAGTCCTGCTGACAACATTCGTTCATGTTTGTATATATATAAATGACCATTAATAAACAGATCCGCTGGTTGTGTTCAACTATTTTTCTGCCTCAATTGTGTCTTAACTGAATAACTCACTGCCGATTTGACCAAAATTTGGCAGTGTGACCAGCATGGTTCCAGAACAAAAAAACATTAGCAGGCTTACAACTGAGAAGATGCGATATTGTGTTTTCAGAAAATACACACTTGTTCATGTGTGTGATACTTAATTGCTTTGAACAGCTTGCATATTAATACACAGTACAAACCCGGATATGCCAAGGATTTGGCTTGTATTTTCCGTTGTACAAACAAGAGAGTAAAATATGCCTAATTTTATTTTCTTTTAACACATTTTCCAGGGACTTTCCTCGATACAAGTTTAATTGGAAAATGACTTAATTATGTTAATTATTACACTTCTTTGCAAGATAGTTAGAATTGCAACCCACACGAACGATGTGCATTTACCCCATCATTTTAGAGCGTCAAATTACTTGTTTCAATGACCGTATTAATCGATTTGTATTCATTTTAGAGATGATTGCATATAACAGTAGAAATATAGTGGAGGCCAGCCATAAAGTGGCCAGAAATAACAAATCGTAACACTCAATTGCACACACACCATGCACATTAAAGAGTACATCCATTAGTGCACACACAAATTGCCTTGCTGGACTGGTGTCCTGACCTTAAGATTAAAATAGAAAAGCCGTATCAGAATAAATAATTAAATCAATGTACAAGATACCTAATGCCTTGAACAAAGCAGTATTTGACAAATGCACGCAACACTTACATATATAAAATTAGTGTAAATATATAGATAACTGAACACTAAAGGTAAATTAAATATATTTATACATTTTCGAATAAAAGAATCCATATAAACAATTTATAATGCATGGCCTAGTTATGCAAATTCTATTAATGTCTTGAACTTGCCAAACAATAGATTCTAACATGCAAATCACTCCAGTCCATTTTACATTTTTCTCCAAATATATACCCCGAGGGGCATTTTAGGGTTTAACTCCTAACTACCCCTGCAAGAAAATGGAAGCTAGATAATACCTCAAGCATGTGTATGTACATATCACATGATGGCAGCACCAGCGAGAGAACTAACCAACTACTCTTTGCGAATATGGGGTGCTAGGGTATAAGGGGTCTATGACCAAACCACTTTTATACTCTGATGTGTCAGAGCATTTACATTTAGTGACTTTATATACATGCATAAAGTGCAAGGAGCCTTTTATATATGTAGGCATATACGGTAACCATTTGCTTACAACTGTGAAAATGGAAGCCAACCTGTTATTGTTTTGACAGCTTTGGTCTCTTTGTAACTTGCAGAACAGTATGTGAAGATGACACCATAAGGTTCACTGCTGGTGGGTGCCTTCATTGGGTACCCTGGCAGAAACACATCGACAAGGTCACACAAGATTCTATGTCACGTAACACAAGAAAACAAACATTTGCCAATACACTGCCGGATGAAGGCCTCGCCACATAGAGTTGGTCATGGGTGTTGTTTAACCATACTTCACCATGCTGGTCAGTGGAATTTAGTGATGGCGGTGCCTAGGACCAGTTCAGATATCACTCGCCACCTCACAAGCAATGGCTGGGAATCACAGTCAGGTCGCTGGGTTCATCGTGCAATGTGCTTACCACCCCAATATAAGTTAACCACTTTTATATCTGTTGTTGTTTTAGGCAAACAAAAGCCTTTCAAATATTCTCCCCTCATATTTGCCATGTTACGACGATGATTTAAGAGACACTGGCCAGCAACAACTGGCTGACATTGATATCAAGAGTGAAACCCAAAAATGTGACTGTGACCAATTAAAGGTTGAGAAGCAACACATGGTTGTTGCCAAATTCGTAGTGGCCTAGATTGAACCCTCGTCCCAACGAACTGCTTTGCACAGAAACATTATCAACGAAACTTATATGATTCTGTTTTTTTTTACCAATAGATGATGCTACGTAAAATATCAGTGCTGTTTATAAAGCTGAAGTTATTGGCAAAACTTTACTGCATGCAACTGTATTGCAGTATTCATAAGTTGAACACCCTATGTTCAACAAAGGAACTTGGTTGTTTCCGTTTTGCACCACGGTTACACATCACTGGTCGCTATGCAAAAGTTACACTCTGCACATCAGATCAGACACTTGTAATGTACTTTCTCTTTGATAGCTGCTGTACGTGCACGTGCAACCACAGATGGCTATGGCGACATTCTTGGCTGCATTAGCTTATTCGCTCGTACTTACTCTTTGGGCAAGAAGTCGGCTGCATGCTCGAAGGGAGTGGCGAGCGGGGTGGTGGGAGTGCTGGGGCTGGAGAGCATGGAGCTGTAGATGTTGAAGGCGACAAGTAGTGTGCAGAGCAGAATGGGCCCGATGATGGCGCCCTCAAGGCCGCCGTAGTACACGCCACCAGCGACCGCCAGCCCCGTCAGGTATGGGTGGCCTCCACTAGGAGCACACGGGTAAACTCTGGATTATCCATGGGCAGATCATTCAAGTTGTGGATTAACTGTGTTCGTTGACGCCTTTTTACACAAGTACCGGTTTAATTATCTGCTCCTTTCGGGTCGACGGTCAGTGATTAAGTATCCACGTGACTGCAAACACGTTGCAACGTAGACCAATTACTTTCTGAAACAATGAAAACAAGACGACATTCTACATTTAAACGCATAGTATTTCACGACCAATATGATTTTGGGTCGGATCGCATCAGTAAAATGTGTGTAGTAAACCCTCCTGCATCGACATGACCAACTCATAAAGTGGGCTATGTACGGTGCGAAGTAAGTTCAACATACATATAAACATGCCAATTTATTATTGCTTCAGCACAGCGCTGTGTTGGAGAAGAATCTCACAACATTTAATTATTTGGTACGAAATTTCGTTGGTGGTTACAACCAACATCACCATGCAGTTGCCAGAACTGTCAAAATGTCCTTCAGTTCTGTGCCTTAAACAGGGGGTGTGATGTCATAAATTTGTGCCCACAAGGAAGCAGAAGTTCACTTCCTGCCCAATTGTAAAATGTATCATCTACAATCACCTTAATCAACCTGGCACATGCCCACGCTCCTGCTCTAACTCTGCCAATGGCACCTTACCCCGACATCTCGGAGTAGATGGCGGTGTCCACGCAAGAGGAGGGCAGAAGGTGGAAAATGAAGAGCAGCAAGGCTAGGCCACGCTCACCCTGCACCAGCCACAACTCCAGCACGGCGGGCAACGCTGCCCAGTACGTGCCCAGGAAGGGCACCGCACCCAAGGTAGCAGCCAGCGCTACAGAGTGCACGGCCACAGCACGCACACAACAAAGACAATAATCCCCCGTATAGCCTGAACAGACTGTTGAAGCAACTGCTGTTAGGGAGCACCTCTGAACGCTGGCACAGCACACCAGGTGGATGGCCAGCATCACGCCCAGCCGCCTTTGTCTCCCCAGTGGCGATGTTTACACACCGCACCAGGTACTAATTTGAGGCTGAATCGACCTCGGGGAGGCCCTGGACCGGTTCAGATAATCGTCACTGGTGCGAATCGAACTTGCGCTACCGGGTTCGTAGCGCAGTGCGCTAACCGCTTCACCACCGCTCCCCACAACGCACACAACCACTGGCAGCACACACTCAAATATAATTCCACAGACACAGTGCACGACCCTGACGTCGCCGCACTCCTGCAGGATAATAACTGAGCATCGTATGGGAGCTGTGATCAAAACACAGCCAGTTTCTTGTCTTTGCAAATTATTAATAGATATCACAGGTAATTAAATACGAATTTCGCTTGCTCCTAATGCAGTTGGGGTTTAAGTGTAGTGTAATTATAAAACATTTTATTTGCAGGAAGTTGCATCGTTCAAACATGGCGTACTTAGCACTTGATAGATCATATTTATTTGCCAAGTTAACTTTGATCCTGTTTTAGTTATTTTAAGGGTTCATTTACACTTAGTTTTCTTGTTGTGCAATTACTTGTTATTCTTGTATTTGTAATGCAAGTCTACCTTGAAAGAAGAGACACTCAAGCTCATGCTCTCATCCGGTTTAAAAATAAATCAGACCTGATTACCAGTGGGTAGTGCTGGCCATTTGGCCAAAGAGATACTAGACTGGTAAGGGATGGAGTTCTAATCAAGTGATTTGTTAGTATAAGTTTTCCAGTTCTTCCATGTCTTACCTGCTGGGATGTATACAACATTAATTCCAAACAAGGTGTGTGTCAGCCAGGTGTAGAGTCCGTAAAAAGATGCCATCTTCACAGACGCTCCAAACACCCCGCTGGCGAAAAGCAACAGCATCGTAAAAATTAGCATCCTGCATGCACAGCCACATATTTGTATGTTTTAAATAAGTTATCAGGAAATGCAAATATTCACATAACCTATTGTTCATTTCACTGCAGTTATTCATACATAAATTAAATCCACAATGATAGCTCCTTGGAACATTTCTCCTGATGTGATATTTAAGGCCCATTTTATATGACCAGCTCAGGAATGGTCCAGGGTCATATCTATCCCTATGCTTGCTGACCAAAGAGGGTCCGTGGACTATGCCACCCCCATTTCTTCCCCCCTGCCCTCACCCTCATGAGAATAGTCTAATTTAAGCTGATTATTTGTATTTCTTAATTTTGTATTGTTTTGCGTTTTTTTAAACTACACAAACAGATAACCAGCATAAATTCTGGATGTCGCAGTGTATGGGTTTTGTTTGTTGTGGGGTTGGGCCAGCTCTTAAGAGAGCAGTTCGTGGTGGGAAAGGAGCTCTGTTGTCCAATTCTGGGATTAAATGGGAACTGTCTTGCCCGAGTGGGTTGATACGTAAACACGGACTCTTCAGATTGGCTTCGTGCTGTAATGAAGCTGGCATGTTTCCACTGGTCATGAAAACAAGGCCTAAGATGCAGGCAAGTTCCATATGATGGAGTGCTTGATCTCACTCAATGGCAGTTCAGGCAGCAGTGAGAGTTCAATTGAGAACGCTGCAGTACCCAATGGCATCTTCCACAATGTGGCCCGTGAACTGGCTGGAGGAGCCACTCTGTGAGAGGGGGGTGAGGGAGAGGATCCACTTGACAGGCTTGTAGTACTGGTCGCTGGAGCTCAGCAGGTAGAAGAGTGTGGTGAGGAATATAACCTGCCAGGTGGCACAAACAATTTGCAAGAACGATCACAGAGTGTAACGGTCACAGTACGCACATAACCATCGGTGGCACACTCAAATATCGTTCCACGGACACAGTCCGCGACCCTGACGTCGCCGTACTCCTGCAGAGCAACAACTGAGCATCGTAGGATGAGCTGTGATCAAACAGTCACTTTCTTGCCTTTGCAAATGATTCATAGACATCACAGGTAACTAAATATGAATCTGGTCTGCTCTTAACCAAGGCGGGTTTAAGTATAGGACCTTGGATAGGTGGCACAAACAATTCGCAAGGACGATCAACACAAAGTTAATGTTTACAAAGGACGCAACACCCACATTTGACATTTAATTGTGCTGGGAAGCTTGACCTTATTTAATTCAAATTCAGGATCAACGGCAAGGCCTTCTTAAAATGTTTATTTGTGCGACTGTTGCAATAACACCATGTGAGTGAGCTCAATGCTTATTGGCAAAGCTACCAGAGACAGCACGAAGTTGAGGATGGCGGTGCCTCCGTAAAAGAGTAGCGCGAGGAGTGTGGAGGCAGAGTTGACCAGCAAGTTCACGTTGTGGCTCATGACGACCCACAAGGACTCCAGGATCTGACAGAAAACACAACGAAGGTAGCCAGCAGAGGGCAATTAGAATGCCAAAATACACTTAGCCACGAGGCCAATGACAGGAATATATTCACAGCTGCATGAAAATAGAAAAATCAAATGAATAAAAATACCCCCAATATTTATCTTATGCAGTGAAAGTTAAAAAAGAGACTGGTTTTCAAGTGACAAAGCTATGATGATGATCAAAAAGTCCTTATGCAAAAAAAACATTTGCTAAATCTAGATCTGAAGTTTTCGTGACTGCAGGGATCCATACTCTTTGGTTCTTTCGGTAAAGTCACGTGGGTATAAAATAAAATAAATTAAATCACGACGTTTCGGGCGCAACACAAGCGTCCGTCATCAGGTGGGACAACCACAGCAAGAAACAATTGCCACCAGACACCACCGGTGGGACTGATGGACGGGGCATGTATGTGGGCAATGTGCGTCGACTCATCGAGTAGCGTCCAGCTTACCGACAGGAAGGTCTCGATGTTCTCGTGTACAAAGGAGGCCGCCGCCTGCCAGTCCTGCATGTCGCCGATGACCCAGCCTGACCGCACCGAGACCTGCTTTGGGGCACGCCCTCTCTGGATCGCGTTCAAAGTTGCATTCTGCAGCACAGATGCATTACGGAACGAGCAGCATGAGCCAAAGCGTCTGGCTGCGCCTTGAACCCCCGTCATAAGATCCCGTGTGATTAATCCTCAAAGGGAGCGATGTCTGCACACTTATGACTCGTGCTCCATGTATCGCAATCTGTAAATAACAAAATATTAAACCCAGGTCCAACTGATCGTTGTATAGCCGTTTACCTGAATAAGCACATGCATTCTTAAATAGTGCGTCCTTGACATACCGGGCTAAATTTAGGCCGATAACAACTTGTATCGTTATTTATATTGTTTTTTTTTACTTTATAACAAAAAAACCCCATTAAAATCAAGGTACAGAATGTAAAAAAAAAAAATCACAACTGACAACCACCGAAACGTGCAAGCCAATTCTGAAATGTACCATCCAATGCAACGGTAGCTGCTGAGGAGTCACAGTACTAAACCGACGCGCCTGGTTCGTGCCGTTACTGTGGAGCGTGGAGATGCAGAAATACTGTTACATTTTAAGGCACTGGGAGTGCAATTCTATTTTTTTCTAACTTTATAGAGATTTCATGAGTCCTCCAAAAAAAAACCCGTTGCATGCAAGAGACACTGGATCTGCACACGTTATTACCTGCATACACGAAACAATATGCCAGGTTAAACAAAACGCACGGTCCTTAAAGCCGGGTATTGTCGGTCAAGCTGAACTCAGGTAGCAGGTGGTATCAATGTTGGTGTGGCTGGAAAGGGCCCTCACATTGACAAACCAGGAGTGGTAGAGGCGGTCCCAGAGCTCGAGCACCTGGTTCTCAATATGTGTCGTGTTGCTCACTTTACCACCCAGCATCTTTTGCAACTGCACACGTGTCGACACGACCAGATGAGAAATCACAGCCAATAGCGTCACTGTACGTATGTGTTTAACTTCTTTCGCACCGCACAGAGCCAACCATGCTAATCAGAGGTGTGGGGGAAGGACAACAAACTAAACACAAAAAGCAGTTCTAAAGAAATTAGTTGTCAAGTTATATTTAAAAGTGCATAGCTCCAGTAGCTTCCTAATATCGGAAGGAAGAGCATTCCAGATGGCCACGGAAGCGCATCGGAAAGTGCGCGATGCAGTGACCGTCTTTGTTCAATGGATCGCCAAAAGTCGCTGCGAGGATTACCGGAGGTTGCGTTATGATTTCTGCTCCTTGACGAGATCAGCAAGGTATTGGTTCATTTTTGGAAAGCACTTTGTGTGTAATGAGTGCGACTTTATAATGTAAGGCTGTGGACACCACTTTTGGCGGAAGGGCCTCTACTAGAGGGAGCTCTTGGGGGTATTTTTATTACTCCTCCCTGGTGGCCAGTAGCCTTCGAATAGGTAAGAGTTCCAACACTTACACCTTACCCCAGTACACGCGGCCTGCCAATTGAATAACTCCGGTGGAGCCATCTATAAAGGTAGGTGGACAGAACCGGGGGGATTTAAGAAACTTGCCCATTGTCTCAACTGCTGCACTAGCATAGGTGAACGAACGACCTTTGGATTGCAAGTCCAATTTGCCCACCAGTACACCACGGCAGCATACCTTGTGCTGGTTAATGGGAACGTTTATATATATATAACAAAAACAACCCATCCAAACACAGTGCTGAAGTCAAAGGTGCCTACCACCGTCGGACACAATCAAGGCCAATACCTTGCTGGTAATCCACTCTCGGCCATACTGGTAGACATTATTGGCAGCTGAATCAACAGCCTTCTGCATTCCTACTGCCTCCGGGAGCCAACTATAGGACACATACAAAAAACAAGTACAAGTGAGCCCATATATGCATGACAACTGACAAAAGCATCCGCCTGGCGTGCAGGCATGGTATTAGCAGCTGGCATGCTTACGCGTCAAATTCCTGTCGTCACACGTCTATTTCAAGCGAGCTCTGAATTTTCGGTGCGCGCAGGGCATCCGGGGCGCGTGGGCACGCGTCCGCCTAAGTGAGATTGCCGTCGCGAAAGCTCACTTGGCCCACTCGGGGTTGCTGACGAGCGTCTCGTTGACGAAGCTGTGCGTCACGGTGATGACGTGCACACTCTCCTGGTGCACCTTGACCGTGAGAAAGACTCCCAGCAGCAGCGCGCCCAGCACCAGCACCAGCACAATAAGCACGCTGATCAGGGTGTCCACTGAGCTTTCCAGCCACTCTTGCAGCTGTGGATCGTCACCAGCCAGTCGCACAGATGCACCCCATTCACGACCACAATTCCACCATCGGAACAACTTCATTTCATGTAGTTTACGAATAATCCACAGCATTCCAATTTGGAATGACATGAGGTACGTGCATTATAAATGCAACAAACCGGTTATTGAGCTATCTGATGTGTGTTCGGGTCGTACCGGGTGTTGTTCGGCATGACGTTTGATGTTTCTCTCCACATAATGGGAGCTTCTTCAGCTCAATTCAGTTCCTGGAGAAGCTCCCAAGACGTGGAGCAAAATGTCAGACATCATGCTAGACATGTGGTATGATCCAAAAACACATCCGAGAGCCATACAGCACAGCACAAAAAAAAACTTAAGGAGGTTTTCTTTGGCCACTGTTTATTTTATTACTTTCTGAAATTAAAATTAGAATTTCACGTTTTGCTTGCTCAGATTTCCAGTAAACTCTCCTGATTAAGTACATGTTTATATACTTGTTTTATAATCCATCATTAATAAGTAAATGTGCGAGCAAAAATACCTACGTATATTTTCATACAATTTTGTAAACTCCAGAACTTCTGTAGTTATGACCTAACATTAACAAATGGTTTCAACACCAGCTTTTTATGAGTTGTGGACATACAAAAGCTGGCCCAAAACTTAACCGATTGCCACAATTTTAAAAAAGTGCTATCATAACTGCTGATATCGCCTTGCAAAGCTAGAGGGCACATTTTCTAAATTAAGTTCTCTGCAATCGATTCTGCCCAATGTCACCCAGTCCACTTTCAAATAAACACGATGACATAGCTCTCTATGCGCAAGCGATCATGAAAGGTGACCACAGAGAGACAAGGTGAAGGGCATTAGGGGAAAATATGGCTGTGGTGTCAAGCGGCGAGACACATTAAATTACCTTGTCATTCCCGTAGTGCCAGAGCTATGCCCGAACGCAGTCAGTGATAGGAAGGAGGGAGGAAAACACATGGAAAGTTACGAAAGGCATGCACTAGGTCACTTCTCTTATGGAATTGCTATCGTTCATCATTCAAGGATATCCACTGTATTTCAACATAAACAAAACGCACACCTCTAAACATGCACCCTCGATCAGTGCTTCTCAACTTGAGCCTTCACAATTTCCCATGATACAGCTTTTCATAATTACCGAATCATCGGGAGCATGTCGTGTGCAGTGGCTTAATTTAAAATAAATGGTGATGGAGAAGACTATTGGACAGTAAGAAGAAACAAGGAAAGTTGACAAGAGACCAGTGAAAAAGCTAGACTGTACACCTTCATAGAAGTACAGGAACTAAACTTTTTTGTGATCAGGAAAACCTGTAGAAACTGTTGATGTTTAGTAAAGTGGAAGGAAAGAGGAACAGAGATTAACGAAGATTAACATGGACACAGGATACTGAATTTAACCAGGAGGTCGGTATGCCAATGTTATAGCAAAGCCAAAATTATCAGTGGAGTAGCTTCATTGTTGAGATCGCAAATACTCAGTAACAACAAGCATAACGACAATAAAAAGCCAATAGAAAAAAATAGGTGATCAGTGAAGTTGTGAAACACTGCTCTCGTGCATCTCTCTCGAGCACCGTGGGTGGAAGGGCTGCGCTTGCGCAGCGCTGGAGGCTGGTACCTTACGGTCGATGTCAAGTATTACACGACACAGGGCCCGCACGGGTCTGGGGAGCAGGGCCTCCTGCCTCTCCCGCAGGTGGCACGACAGGAACTGCCACCACCGCGACACATGCGACACCACGAAGTTCCAAACTCCAAACGACACCACCACCTTCTTGAGCACCCACACTGTGAAACACACAACACAGAGGGCACCCCAAAGAGCTCACGAATATCCAGGTTAATCTGCAACATGCGTGTGTTGAGTTTTCTAGTACTATAATTATATTGACTGATGGATGAGGGCCTCGCCATGCTACGCGGGACATGGCTGTTATTCGACCATACTTGTCCAAGCTGGTCAGTCATGGTTGAAGCTGGGATGCAGAGATGTGTGAGCCCAAGATGTACAGTACAACTGCACTGCCCTCTGCTGTCTATGACACAATATATACGATAGCATCTTCAGTAAATCCTATGTATACACTTTTGAACACTATTATGGTATACAATCTAGCTTTTTCATCATGGCTGACATTAGTAGCGAGTGATATTCAAATCGGTCCAGGCACCCACTTCACCAACCTGCATTGACCAGTGTGGCGAAGTAGTCAATTTCCATGACCGACACAGCATGGGGAGGCATTCATCCAGCAGTGGACTGACAAAGGGCTGTGAATAAATTAAATACAGTAAAACCTTGGATTGCGAGCATAATTCGTTCCGGAAACGTGTTTGTAATCCAAAGCACTCGTATATCAGTTGTGATCACGTGACGCTCGGCAGACAAAGCGTCTACGTGCTACTCGTATTGCAAGACCCTCGCTCGTTTATCAAATTAATATTTATTGAAAATTTTGCTCGTCTTGCAAAACACTCGCAGACCAAGTTACTCGCATTCCAAGGTTTTACTGTATAGCAAACCTACCGATTTCGGGTTACGATTGAGAAAACAAAAGAGTACCCACGTAAGACAGGGATGGGAAGAAGTTGCAGTAACCAGAGGTTGAGCCATGCCTGCACGCCCACTATGGACCACAGGAGGGCCACAAAATACACATCGCTCTTGCCACTCTTCTTCTTCGTAGCCCAATTCATCGGGCACTTTTTCTTTCCCGATGCAAGTGGAGCTTGGTCAGGTGGGGGAGAGGCTTGGTTTGTGGTGGGCGGAGTCTGGGAAGAGGATTGTGGGATGTTGGTAGATTGAGGCTGCTCATTGGTTGGTATGGGTGGGACTTGTTCAGCGACAGATGAGGTCTCAGTTGGTGGAGGTGGGTCTTGAGGTGCGGAAGGCAGGGTTTCACTCAAAGATGCGGGAGGTTGGTCTGCAGCGGTTGAAGGTTGGTGTACTCCATCCACAGAATCCGTTGTACCAGAAACTGTGCAAAACAAGAGTTAAAATGCAAAATCACAACTTGATACACATTATACTGAAAATGAATCCCTTTCCATTAAATTTAGGCTCAATTAGGCATGCCTGAATAATGTTCTTCTTCAAGTGAAATGTTAAGTTAAATATCACTCAGGCATAAACAATTAGAAGATTGTATGCACTATATGAGCACAGTGGCAGGAAATACCGTACACCATTACCCTGAAGAGTGGGCTCAGTTGTTTCCACAGGTTTCTTATGGTGGCCTCCCAAGCCAACCAACGCCATGGCTGAGGTGGCCATCCCCTTCACTCGGTCAAGCAGTGATACTCCTGTGCACATTTTGAAACCAAAAGAATATATTAGCTATGAGTTTTCAAAAGCATGAAATGCTTATTTTCGGGGAGCACCATGAAACATAATGATTTGGTCAGTTATGGGGGTTACAACTCAATATATTCTTTATCCGAAGATTTTCTTTTTAGAAATGGTTGTTAATTAATTTTACTGAAGAAAACTTGAGATGAAGGAAAACCAACCCCTCGATACAAACAAACGAGGTACTTTGAATTGAAACCACTTGCTCATTACAATGAGCTAGATCAAACCAAACATAAGCACTCTATGCACTCATTTTATTAAACACTCCTGTCAACCAAAACCATCTGAAAAAATTTTTTGTTGTTATGAATCAGTTTACTCTATTACATCATACAGAGAGTTGAACACAATGTTAATCAACGTATGCAGATTAAAGCTATTGAACATTATTCGAGGTTCGGGTCCATTTTAGCTGCATTTGTACAATTGAAAATGCATAATTATGGATAATCTTAAATTATAATTCCTTATACAAGCCAATGCCAAGGAGCTTGTCGTGGTGGCAAGAGTGATGCGTAATCATGAATAGTTTAGCTTTTTTTGGCTCCTTGCCCAGATGTATTGAAAGCACTGCAAAATATACACGGCAAAAACCTGCATTAATGAATAAGGATATACAGTGAGGGAAAAAAAGTATTTGATCTCCTGCTGATTTTGTACGTTTGCCCACTGACAAAGAAATTATCAGTCTATATTTTAATGGTAGGTTTATTTGAACAGTGAGAGACAACAACAAAAAATCCAGAAAAACGCATGTCAAAAATATTATAAATTGATTTGCATTTTAATGACGGAAATAAATATTTGACCCCCTCTCAATCAGAACGATTTCTGGCTCCCAGGTGTCTTATATACAGGTAACGAGCTGAGATTAGGAGCACACTCTTAAAGGGAGTGCTCCTAATCTCAGCTTGTTACCTGTAGAAAAGACACCTGTCCACAGAAGCAATCAATCATTCAGATTCCAAACTCTCCACCATGGCCAAGACCAAAGAGCTCTCCAAGGATGTCAGGGACAAGATTGTAGACCTACATAAGGCTGGAATTGGCTACAAGACCATTGCCAAGCAGCTTGGTGAGAAGGTGACAACAGTTGGTGCGATTATTCGCAAATGGAAGAAACACAAAAGAACTGTCAATCTCCCTCGGCCTGGGGCTCCATGCAAGATCTCATCTCGTGGAGTTGCAATGAGCATGAGAACGGTGAGGAATTAGCCCAGAACTACACGGGAGGATCTTGTCAATGATCTCAAGGCAGCTGGGACCATAGTCACCAAGAAAACAATTGGTAACACACTACGCCGTGAAGGACTGAAATCCTGCAGCGCCTGCAAGGTCCCCCTGCTCAAGAAAACACAAATACATGCCCGTCTGAAGTTTGCCAATGAACATCTGAATGATTCAGAGGACAACTGGGTGAAAGTGTTGTGGTCAGATAAGACCAAAATGGAGCTCTTTGGCATCAACTCAACTCGCCGTGTTTGGAGGAGGAGGAATGCTGCCTATGACCCCAAGAACACCAACCCCACCGTCAAACATGGAAGTGGAAACATTATGCTTTGGGGGTGTTTTTCTGCTAAGGGGACAGGACAACTTCACCGCATCAAAGGGACGATGGACGGGGCCATGTACCGTCAAATCTTGAGTGAGAACCTCCTTCCCTCAGCCAGGTCATTGAAAATGGGTCGTGGATGGGTATTTCAGCATGACAATGACCCAAAACACGCGGCCAAGGCAACAAAGGAGTGGCGGCTCAAGAAGAAGCACATTAAGGTCCTGGAGTGGCCTAGCCAGTCTCCAGACCTTAATCCCATAGAAAATCTGTGGAGGGAGCTGAAGGTTCGAGTTGCTAAACGTCAGCCTCGAAACCTTAATGACTTGGAGAAGATATGCAAAGAGGAGTGGGACAAAATCCCTCCTGAGATGTGTGCAAACCTGGTAGCCAACTACAAGAAACGTCTGACCTCTGTGATTGCCAACAAGGGTTTTGCCACCAAGTACTAAGTCATGTTTTGCAGAGGGGTCAAATATTTATTTCCCTCAGTAAAATGCAAATCAATTCATAACATTTTTGACATGCGTTTTTCTGGATTTTTGTTGTTATTCTGTCTCTCACTGTTCAAATAAACCTACCATTAAAATTATAGACGGATCATTTCTTTGTCAGTGGGCAAACGTACAAAATCAGCAGGGGATCAAATACTTTTTTCCCTCACTGTATATAAACAAAACCAGAGGGATGTGATGCAATACCTAGACTGTGCTATTATCTTTGGCAAGCTTCAGCATCAGGGTCACAAGACCCTGATGCAATATTTCACCACGAAAATGCAACAGGTTTTTAGATGAAGCTTAAGTCCTCATCGAGCTGTGTTGTTTGCCACTGCATTCTTCTCCTTCTCTCGTATAGCATTTGAACAGCAACTGCCAAAACATTATAACTGTACATCGAGTTTTGTAATCTACTCGATGGCAACAGGAGTTGTTTGACGTCCAAGCGTTCATACCGCTTGTGTAAGCACACAATGGGGCAGTGCTCGGTTGTGTGATAAACAGATTGCACTTCACCACTTTCACTATAGGGCTACCCTCTCATTTTAAATCACTTGTGAAGGTAATAGCCGCACCTGCCGCGCGTCGTTCGAACGCAATGAAGCGCAGGCCATAGTCTTATGTGCAGGCGGAAGACAGGGAATTCCTGTGTTGGGTCTTTGATTACTTTCTTTTTTTGGACATCGCAGGCGATCCAGCATTTGCCGCATTGCAATCAATACAGTGCTGCATTGTACTAAAACCAATGGCCTAATGAAATCGCGAGGTCCAACAAAAAACTACTGCAGCTATTCCCGGAGAAAATAAATGTGATATACCGTACAATAATGAAGGACTCCATGTTGTACCTTGAGTTGATATTAACAACATTGCAATACCTAAATAAGGCTTATGTTATGGCGTAAGGGTTATGTAAAAGGCCGACCAACAACGGTTGTTGGTGATATGACTCGCGCGTGATAATAATTTGCAGCTCTTTGTCAACCCACTATTGTATAAACGCCTTCCCAAGCCACGTCGGTCACTGGGATTGTTTAACCATACGTCACCACAACTCACACAATAATTAAAATAATCATGTGGTTTTGCAACAATATCCATGCATAAATCCCTAACTAATTTCAAATCCCTCACCGACTCTTGATAGAGATAACTACATTCCAGTTGTCAGCACTGGCCCATTCAATGCCCAACACTGAAAACAAACGTGCATGCGTAAAATGAGCAGTGCTTGCACATTTGGGAACAATAATCTTGTTTGGCAAGTCACAGTAACATTGAGGAACAGACCAGATCAAATTTTGGAGAGAAGAAAAAAACAATTCTAAATGCCAATGTTTATGAGGACAAAATTACTTGTACTCAGATAAATCACATGCCACACATTCCAAATTGCTGCAATGCAGAGGAGTAATCATAAAAAGTCTGCTGTAAATGCCACATACGTACTGAATTATACAATAGGTCTACTGGTAGGGAGGTTAAATTATGCTGAGAAGGTATTTCGTGCTAATTTAAGTCTCATCATTAGCATCAGGTCCCAATAACAGCCTGCCTAAGACTTTGGGCAATTTTAAAAGAACATAGCCTTTATCAACTTGAGTGCTCATGTATAACCCATGCAGCTCATATACCACATACACTACATATTGTGCACTGTCTTATGCAATCGTGGTGAAATAGTAAGTCCCTGTGGTCAGTTTTATGGATGAAATATTCTCTAGAAGTGTCCCCTCAGTCTATAATCTAAATAAATTTAAACTAAGAAACGCTTAACTAAAAAGTATGTATGCACGCATTTGGCTGTCCTTCACAGCACCTTGTGTATACTTACCCCGATGCTGTAGATAATTAACTTGACAGCTGACAGTCTCTCTAGGTGTGGGTCTTGCAGAACAGGAAGAGGTAGCCACAGCCATAAATCCTATCCGATCAACTTTACAGCCTATAGACCTTTAGAAAAAAACTTGGGATTCATGTCTCCTGACAATAGCGGGCTGAATTTTATTTTTGTCAAATCGGTCACCTGTGCCATCGTGATGACCCTTTTGCAAGTCCTGTACCCAGCCGGCCACCACCAGGCCAATGAGGAGCAGCAGAACCAGGGAGCGCCAAGAACCAGTCAGGGACACTGCAAACAGCCCAAATTAAAATGAGCATCACGGGAATGAGCCCCGACAAGATCGGCAATGCACACAAAAGTGGAAGAAAACAGGAGGGAAAGATGAAGAACCGTAGTAGAAATAAGTTTGGCCCCATCGGGAATAATCAACTGACAGAAGGGACAGGTGAGGATGTCGATAGTATCATAGAAAGAGGCACAGAAGGCATTTCCAGATAATTATCACACTGAATAAAAAATATTTTGGTAGTAAGCATATTTGTGCTTGAAATTATTTTAGATGGATATTTGAGAAAAGTGTAATTTACAGTCAATCCACTGCTGGATAAATATATCCTCGTGCTGTGTCATCAACAACAGCACTGAGCTGGCACCACTGAGGATTCACACCTCCGATTAGCATGGTTGGCTTCATATGGTGCAAAATAAGTTCAGCATACATACATACTCGGTTAGAATCTAGGAAGCCTGTGAGTAAACCAAGTTTTCAAGTGCAGTGAATTATGATCTAAGCCCTGCCACGAGTGACTTCAGAAGTAGTTGTGATGTTTCCATGTACCGTTCTCTACAATTGGGTGATACGTTGCTTAGCAAGTTATGAATGAATTGTATCATGACCTTACTCCAATGGCACAATTGGGATAAAATGTGTGAAACGCAGGTTTGAAGGGCAAGAGTGCCCCTGGACTGAGTTGTAATGGTTGTGTGTAGTGCTAGCAGCATAAATGAGTATCAAACATGACCTTCCCTTCAACGATCGTCAGCTTATTCAAACTCATCTATTACGCAACAAAAGTGTTGTGTAGTTAAATTTTCGGCCAAAACGTCATGGACAATGAGCGAAAAAGCTCTGTGTTAAACAATAGCAAGAGGGGAAACCAGATTCCTTGCTGTACCAAGATGCAGCAGGAGCACGACCCACACCAGGCCAGAGAGCGTTCCCAGGGCCTGCTGCGTCTGAGGACTCCACCACAGCAGCACCACCAGCAGGTACCCGCACACCACCGTCCAGACCTGCACAGCCACACCTGCATGGTGAGTTCACTTATTCAAGGTTTTAGCTTATGTCCATTTAATCCTTGGGGAAATATTGATAGTGGTGACAGAAACAGTAGTTATGACATGGCTGGGAAAAATATTAAGGGAGATGACTCTGGGGAAAAGTAGTGAAGTTGAAAGGTAATGATAAGAAATCCGTGTAGGTAACTGGTAAATGTGATGACAAAAATATTGTGGAATTTGGAGTTAATTGTGGTTATGAGGTCCTGCTAAACATGATTGATCATTCTTGATTTTAAGCTTTCGTGACTGCAGGAATCCATACTCTTTGGTTCTTTCGGTAAAGTCACGTAGGTAGAAAATAAAATAAATCACGACGTTTCGATCGCAACACAAGCGGTCGTCTTCCGCTGGTTCAGCAGTTCCACTGCTGGATTATATTTTTTCCCCCTGAGGACGAAGAATATGATCGATCATCTTTGAAAAGCCATGACGATGCTGCTGACATTGCATGAATTAAATTAAGTAAAAATTATACCGTAACGCAGTAATGATAAGCAATTAATAATAAGCCAATATACTCCAATACTGTAAAAGTGCACTGGCATAACAAATGGAAATGAATGATCGTGAAAAACACTAACTTACTCAATAATTTCTTGAATGTTGTTGCTGTTATTCGCAGTACGTAGTGTAGACATCAATAATGGTGAACATGTGGCCTCATGTACGTATAATAACCGTGTGCGGCACGGTAATTTGTAACAGGCGCTCAGTTTTCCAAGGTACCCCAAAATGACCTGTTTCACTATATTGTCCGTCTCTATATATCTCCAAGTCTGCCCCTATACGTTACTCTGTTTCTATTTATCTCTGCGTCTCGAATCTGTCTCAAGTCTGTTTCGATGTGTCTGTCCAAGTATCTCTCAGTCGTTCCGTGTCTGTCCTTGTCCTGCCTCTGTTTAGGTCTTAATATCTCTCAGCTCCTTTGTATGCCCGTCTCTGGTTACGTCTCCCTATTATTTAGTGTCGGCTCCGTCTCTCTGAGAAATTATGAAGATGACTATGGGGAATAAAGTTGAAAGTTAAGATAACAATTTCGATGCAAAAAAAATCCGTGTAGGTAACTGGTAAATGTGATTACTGGACATCTGTGAAAAAGAGCTTCATAGCTCATCAGATTTTTTTTTTCCAGGATAAATAAAGATTGTGATTCCACCTCACTCCCCGACATCTCCAAATAACCGTGTCTCTATCACTCACTCACCGTGCCGTTCTGCCTTCCACCAATCAGTATGTATATCAGAGAATGTATATCAGTATGTCTCATGTTTTGTCTCAGTATACATCATGTATATCTCACTACCTCTTAGTGTACCTCACTACATCTCAGTACAGTATATACATCATGTATATTTCACTACATCTCACGTATATCTCACTACACCTCGGTATAACTCACCACATCTCACGCATATCTCTATAAATGTCAGTACACATCTCAGTGTAATCTCGGCGTGGCACGCACCCAGGGCGACGCGAATCTCGCCACGGCCGCGTCCCCGAGGCCGCACGCCGCCTCGACCGCCCCGACCAGCCAGGCGCGCGGCCCGGCCCCGCTCCCCGCGACCCCCACCAGCAGCGCCACGGCGACGCCCGCGAGCAGGGCCGCCGTGCCGCGCCCTGCTCGCGGCGACGACGATGAGGAGGAGGCCGGGGCAGCGGGGTCCGGCATCAACGTGAGCGCGGCTCGGCGGAGGCGCTGGGCGACGTGACCCGCGGCGCGAGCCACCAGGGTCGGGGGCAGCGCGAGGGCGGCGAGGACGAGGGGACGCCGCGGACCCCCCACGCCGCCGCCGCCGCCGCCGTCGACCCCCGCCGGAGCCTCGCGGAGCCCCGCCAGCCAGGAGCGCACCCCGCCGGCCAGAGCGCGCTTGCACGGGTGCAGGAAGGCGCCGCAGAGCGCGGCCCACAGCAACGGGCGGAGGAACGCCTCGAGCACCAGGCACACCGAGGCGGCCGCGGCGCCCGCAAGCCCCACGAACACGAAGGCGCCCGCGTTGCGGAACGCCTGACGAGCGCCGCGGTCCAGGCGCTGAGGCGGCTGCTGCGGAGACGGCGTGGACGCGTCGCCCGGGGGTGGGTGGCCGAGGCGTGGTTCATGCTGCTGCTGCTGCTGGTGGTGTTTGCTGTCCATGGTGGAGGAACCGATCGCAGTGAAGCGCCGCGTTGCCCGGAGCGTCCCCCGACCACAACGACGACGATGGCAGCCGCAGCAGCAGCATCAATAACAACGGGGAGATGCGACGTAGTGCAGGGGGCGGGGCCAGTGTCGCGATGGGAGGGGCGTGGCCGAGATGTCAACTCCCTCGCCTGGTGGGACGCGACGTCGTGCAGGGGGCGGGGCCAGTGTAGCGATGGGAGGGGCGTGGCCGAGATGTCAACTCCCTCGCCTGCTGGACACGAGGTTCGATCCCGACCCCGTTCCTGTTAAACCCTTATTTTGTGCTCAACATTATTACAGACTATACATCTCAACGTTCATCCTACAAAGTCCCATCACTAGGGAGAAACACCAAAATATAGACAATCACCACTAGTACACTCACCACTACGCACCTGTCAACCCCTACCAGTGCCTAGTTTATACTGGTAGGAACGAAGTTGTAAACTGAGTGTACCAGCCTGCAATAGATTAATGTGTCCGTCCGTCCGTCCCCTTTCAATACTTTAACGAAGTGAAATCTCGTGCTGTTGGGTGTAAAATCAGCAATAGACAGCGCAGAGACTTGATATGTCTTATTGCACCCAACATTTGGAAGTCACATTATCTCATTTGCGAACTTCTACCAGCCCACCCTGCAGGGACCTGTTTACAGATTAATTCAGACCTTATTGGTCATACAGTCCCATTATAAATCTCAACGTTCATCCTACAAAGTCCCATCACCAGGGAGAAACACAAAAATAAAGATACAAATTATGTTACGAAACTAAAACTGTTTTATGTATACATTTGTGATAATTGGTGTCGATGATGCTACTTATCATGCTACTGTCTGTGCTCTTGCGTGCTGATGCTACTTGCTTGATATGTGGATGCACACACTCATGTTGTAAATGTACAACAATAAACACCGAAAATCATTAAGGGTTAAACAATACACTTGTTTTATTTGGCCGTATGAATTTTTTTTGGCCGTATTGAAACGACTGTATGCCGTATGGGCCCGAAAACTCAATTTTCCTGTTCGAGAATCCGGGTAAACTTTATTCGATTTACAGGTATGCGACCCTGACGATGCCTGCTGTATATTTTTAGTTTGCATGTCTCTCCCTCTCTCTCCCCGTGGTCGCATGGATTTTTCTCAGGGTCCCCCGGGGTTTCCCCCCCCCCACTCCACGTTTACAATCAACATGACGCGTTTAGAGTATTTAGCTGCTATGAATTTTCACATGATAACAAGCCATCTCGTTGAGCTATGGGACCGTCCATAAATGACGTCACGCAATTTCGGACGATTTTTGACCCCCCCCCCACCCCCCCAGTCACACGGCGTCACAAAAAGTCAGACCCCCCCCCCTCAAATATGACGTCACAAAGCTCTGCCCCCCCCCCAAAAAAACATGCTTCAAATCGCTTTAAACTATTGTCATTGTAGTGCGTATTTAATGTGGCGCTGCACTCTGATGTTGTAGGAGCAAACATTTATGAAAAAGTATATTTAATTAAGTAGAACGTGTTGTTTATATTTAAAGTTGCGCATTTTGATGTGACGTCACATTTCTCACCCCCCCCCCGTCGTCACACATCGTCACAAATGTCTGACCCTCCCCCGCCCCCCTATGTGCGTGACGTCATTTATGGACGGCCCCTAACATGTGTGGTCAGGTCGCTCATGAAAAAAACAGCGATATAGCTTAGCTGGTTAAATAAAAAAATAAAAGTCGTTAAAAATAAAGACTAGCCCGGACGGCAAGGTTTCACAGTTGTAAAACAAATCATCTGATGATAGATAACAGCACTGTGCAGTTTTGGCAGTGATGCACTTGAAGCACAAATAACAAAAACAACACAACCACGAGGCTAAGGTGATAGTGCAGCCCTCAGCTAATTTTCGCGATATCGCCTGGCCTCTTATTATGGGGCTTGAAGGACTGTCGACCAAAATGTCATGTTAAATTCTAAAACGTGTTAAGGTTCAGAAGTCGCCTTCTTCACCTGAAGAAGGCTACTTGTGTTGTGGCCGAAACGTCGTGAGAATTTTATTGTTTTTTTTTTTTATTCTCATTCTACGTGACTTTACCGAAAGAACCAAAGAAGATGAATCCTTGCAGTCACGAAAGCTTTAAATCGAAAAATGTTCACATATATTTTTTCAGATGATAAAGGACCCTTGTAAGAGAGGCACTAAGATGGCAGATTTGCCAAATATCGAGGGAGCAATGATCCTGGAGCTGTACATGAAGTCAGGTTCAATCATTCAAACTCAGAGAGACCTCAAGATAATCTACAATGTTTGGTAAATGTCCTTCCAGGAACACAATGCTGCCGTATGCCAAATAATGTTGTGAAACCGCCAATACAAAAGCCACTCGTCCTCTAGGACGACCCAGAAGCGTCGATATTGCAAAACTGTTCGAGGCTGTTCATCAGCGTAGTCCAAACCGATCGATAAAAGCCAGTGAACCTAAAGTGAATATCTCTTCGGACCATGCTGAAGAATGAGTTTGCACGTTTCCCTACAATAACTTAGCGAAGATGATAATCGAAGGATGGAATTTTATAACACATTTATTCGGATGTTTGAATGCGTCAATGCATACATGAAAATAGTGGTCACTTGAAAGGCAATGTTTTCAAGACCTAGGTTACATAATAAGCTAAGGTACTCTCATAAAGCTGTGATTTTGTATGATGTACAAAAATATTCTAATTGTCTGTGGAAATTCTCCTTCTACATTCAATGTGTCAGGTATTTATTGCCCACCCTGTGTTATTGACGAATGTGAGTGAGGGTTTGTTTTATTCTTTGTGCTTTTGCACCACTGCCAACGCAGTTATCACGCAAGTAATTTGCTCCTAGATGGTCAGCAAATTCAACATTCGTCAACGCTGTGGCCTTAAAATAAAAATAAATGCAACGTTTTCCGCATTTGCCCTTCTTCATACCCATTAGCTATCTGTAGCCACGCTCTCTAGCCACATAACCCCAGCAAACAGAGATAATATGTAAGTCGACGTTTTGGTTCACGGCCCTTCTTCGTGGCGCTGTATGGGATGCCGAAGGGGCTGTTTCCATTGCAGAGGGCGTGGCTATTTAAAGACCGGGCGTGGCCAGAGGGGTTAGGGCGTGGCTACAATGTCAGGGGGCGTGGTCGAATCGTGATGGGCGGGGCCCCGCGTTGCCATGGGGAAGAGGAGTCGCCGCCTACGCACGTGGCCGCTCGCTCGTTGCCGCATTGGTGGTGGTGAGGTCACCGCGCACGCCGCGGGGGTGCAGCAGTCAGGGAGCGGTGGTACAGCGGTTAGCGCGCTGCGACACGAACTCCGGCCGCCACAGTTCGATTCCCGCTCCCGGCAAACACCAGTGACGATTAGCTGAACCGGTCCTGGGAACTCCGCCAAGTCGACTCAGCCTCAAATGACTACCTGGTGCGGTGTGTAATCAGCCCTACGTGCGGAGATAAGGCGGTAGGGCGTGGTGCCGGCCACCCACCCCCTCCGTGTGCTGTGGCGGCCTTCATGTAGGTGCTGCTCGCTAACAGCACTTTTGTTCCAAGTCTCTTAAGGCTACAAACACAGGCGATATTGCGTTTGTGTGGCAGTGAGTTTCAGCACGTGGCGCGAGGCGTGTATCTTAAGATGTTCAACCTGGTGGAGCTCCTGTAAAGTGTTGCTCAATATGTGAAACATATTCTTGGTTATATTCTTAGCTCTTTCGGTAAAGTCACGTTGATCATAACACAAACCGTCGTTGTGTTATGGTCGAAACGTAGTGAGATTTTTTCTTGTTTTATATATATTTTATTGTTTCCCTTCAACGTGACTTTACCGAAAGAGCTAAGAATATGAATGACTGCAGTCACGAAAGCTTTAAATCAAAAAATATTCTTGGTTCTTTCGGTAAAGTCACGTAGAAGGGAAACAAAATAATAAAAATATAAAACAATACAATTCTCACGACGTTTCGACTGCAACACAAGCAATCATCATCAGGTGTGAAAACCACTGCAAGAACATTTGAAAAAAGTTGGCGTTTTTTTTACATTAGCCCCACGGAGAGCGATTTGGCAGTTATTCAGATGGACGAGTCCATCTATGTTCGGAAAAGAGGAGGGGGGAGACGAAAATAATGGATGCGGTCTGAAAGCCACCTTAAGCGTGATCAATCAATTAAGACCCGAAATGGTTTATCAAATCCTTCCAATGATTGCTAAGCCAGAATCCATCTTCTCGGTTGAAATTGTCTCTGTGTTTGTATATGTGGATAGCCTCATGAACGAATCTCTCATGGTAGCCAGATGGCTTGCAAAGAACCTGTCTTGGAGAAGTCAATGTCATGTGTGCCTACTGAATAATAACAGTGATCTGCCACGGCCGAGGTTGTTGGTCCTACCGTATTTTAGGTCTGCTTTGTGTTCACGAATGCGGTAGGACCAACACCTCGGCCGTGGCAGATCACTGTTAGAACCAAGAATATCTATAAACAGCTTATAATTTAAGACCTCCAAATAGCAATCAATGGTTACGATACACCTTCCTATGCCGTGTCCTCGGCTGTCCAACGGAAGTTTTAAAACTAAAAAAACTTGAAAAGTCACAGAAAAAAAGCACATTGCACTTTCGCTTTTTTTTCCCAAAGTAAAAATATCACTGCATTGACGATTAGAAAGAACCCTCTTGGATTTATTTTTACATGGGGGTTCTTTTTTAAAGTTACACGAGCTCTAAAACGGCAGTAATTTCGGATAGCACATGACTCGAGTCAGCTGCGTTATAAACTGCTGCAGTGTGTACAATACGAGCCGGTGCCAGGCCGTCCTATGGACGAGGTGATTTGTTAACTCCACTTGTTAGCAAAGCACGTAGTGTTTACTACTATTTGAAGTCGCATTTACATGTACGTGACCCTCCACGGAACGTTTAACTCCACCGGCGCAATACTGCGCTTTTCCCCACCAGGTGTCGCAGCTTTCGTTGCGATTATTGCGGTGAGATTTCTGTCCTGAGGTTTTGGAACAATTTACAACTGATACCAATCAGATCGTGTGCAGGAGATAGATTGTAGTACTGCAAGCTCCTGAGAGTTGGTGGGTTGGTGGTAGCGGGGGGGGGGGTGTCCTTCATCCACCAGCGGATAGAACGTGGCTGATGATGAACTTACGTGTGTGATGAAAGATGAATACCAATGTGCGGTGAAAACACACTCGGACAAAAATGCGACAAGGATCTGCAAATCAATTCATTTGTATTTGTTACTTATTTTTTCCTCACAAAAAAGTACCAAACATGAAGCCAATCACTGTACAATAGTTTCTTGTCAAAGATATGTTGTGTTAGTACCGAACCGGAGCCTCGAATAAGATGAAAAATCACTAAGGGCCAGTATTTCAAACTTGTACATACCATACCGCAGCAATACCCAAATCAAACCATTATGGCAATCAATGCAGTAAAAACAAATCGATAGCCAATCTGGGGGGGGAAAAACGTCACAATCGCATCAAAACTGCGTTCCGCACGTTATACCTTCCCTGTTTGGGAAAAATACAAAAACTGAATTAGTAAGTGCAAACTATATACCAAACGTTTTGATATTTAACAACGCATGAGACTTCTGAAATCTACAGAGAGAACATTGTTGGCTATAAACGAATAGCAAATCCGTAGGGAAAATGTACGTGTCCTCATGCGGTTATGGAAAGGAATCCAAATGTTACGAGTGACGAATTGCTTAAACACAAACGCTTTTTGCGGTGCGTATTTTGTTGTACAGCATACCATCTGTCTTATTTATATAATAGAACCATCAAATTAAAAAGGTAATATTACAAGTGCTTAAAGCGACGTGTGTGTGACTTTTGAAAACGTCAGAAAATGACCCACGCACCAAGTTAATTTTGAGTCGACGTGGCTTTACGAGACCACAAATTAAAGTGAAACACAATAAGGTCCGATACCAACTCATTATTAATAAGTCCCATCGTGTAACTTTTAATCTACCACACGTGTGCACCAACTAAGTACACAACACTGCCGAAGCATCTAAAGAATGTATACGTATATGTTGTACCGCATCAGATCAGAATGAGACAATCACACTACAGTACAGGGAGAATGATCCTTTGTGCTGTCAATGTTACGAACCTGTATGCCTTATAAACTTATACCTCAGTCTCAAGACATTTACTCTGATGACATATTACCATTTAGTAGCCATTGGTAACAACATTAAGCAATGTCTTCCAGTTGATATATAGCCGTAAGCACTATTTAACAGTGCATATCCCGGTATTCACATCCAGTAAAACGTCGAATCCAAAGCAACATACCTTACATATGCACAAATGTTACACAAAGGATGAAGATAAGTTTGCAATTGTGCTTTCCAAGTACACAGTACCACAGTGACTACAGCACATGCTCCAAATTTATTATACGGGTGTGTCATTTGTTCTTGATATGCTCCACCAATAAAGCCAGTGGTCTAGTACTTAGTACCAGAGAAACTCACGAGTCCATAAGAAAAGATCAAGGGACGGGGTCCGTGATCTCCAAAATTATTTAAACGTACAATCACTTTTGAACACATCAGCACGGCATCGTAGAAAACGATTTGCCATAAAATAAGCCCGTATCAGGTAAACCTCATTCACATGGCTCCATTTCATCCAGGTGAGACCGTTCCAGCATTAGGTGGACTTAAGCGAGCTCACATTTGCAAAAGCATTCACCATCACCCACATCGGTTTCACGAATCTGCAGTACTTGTTTGACGCACGTGATGTAAACGTGTTTTGTATGCACCACAAAAAAAGACAAGCTATTATTATAAAGCCCACATGCTGGTGACGGTTTTAAACGGAGCCTGGTCATTAATTTCTTTCTGCTCTCAATAGAATAGCTCCAGTGAATTCCACTATGACTAGACCACTGGCTAGAGTAATAATTGGATGGAACAGAGTGGAGGTAAGCTGTTAAAACAAACTTGCCTTAATACATAATAAATTAGAAAACAACCCATGTCTCAACGTCATTCAATCTGTTCAAATAAAGCAGCCAAGAGAAACGGATTGTGCGGCAGACAGTGGCGCAGCTATCGAGTGTGCAGGCGGGGGGGGGGGCCCTTCAGTTTAATGAAATGAAATTGGACGGGGGCCCCATTTCATCCCTTGCACCAGGGCCCATGGCGACCACACTACGCCACTGGCAGTAGACACGCATGTTAAAGATCGCTATGTGGAGTCGATGATGCACACGTATTCCTGCCTGCTCATAAAAACGACCCCCGAGTTAAGACTCTACCGCAAAGCTGACAATCGCACGTGCATTAACGGCACCGAAACCTTTCCGCACGTGTGTACATGACAAATGCATCTAGCTTACAAAGGTACTGTTGTGTCCATGCCACTATATAGAGATCTGTAAGCAGCTCTAATTTCCTGGATCATTATTCCTACTGTTATCTATACTGTTAATCTAGCACAATCCCATTAAAGGCCGATTCAATTACAAGAAACGTAGCTCATTGGTTTGCAGGTACTGTCATGACATGGCGTGAATGGTACACACCGAAGTCATAGCTGTACAAGCACACCTTTTCTGCGGCTAGTACTGAAGCCGTCCCTTCATCATCGTATGAAGTTAATCTATACAGAAATCCAGCAAAAATCCACTCCCTTTCGCATTAAAAACTTCAATACCGTAACAACCAACTTGCCTTTCATGAGGAGCCTTCATTTCCAATCAGCCAAAGGAATAATCACTTTGTTTGGATTACAAAAGAAACTGTATTTTAGTTTATGTTACCAAATATATACAAAAAGCATCCATCGGTATTTTTTACAAAAAAATAAAGCAAACTGAAAACAATGTTAAAAAATGCCACGTCCTTATTTGGCAACTCATTTATGTTACAGATATGAATGGGAAGCTTATTCCAGATATAGTACAGTGCACCTGCGACGCACGGGCCCAGTCTCGTTATTGCAGTAGTCTAGCTATATGCTCATGCCGAGATGGCTGAATTAGCATTGCTTGCAGAAAGACATTCATGATGTGGCTTGTTCCATGACGCTAAACACACTGCATTCAAGCCAGCTTTTAGAAAAATAATTGGCAATCAAAAAAACATTAGACTTCTTTTTTTTTGGCAACATTTTTCCCCTCGACTCAAATCGGGCTATATTGCGTTCAGTCATGAAGTCAATCAAAATCAGCCACTTCACATTTGTTCTACGCTCGCTCGTACGTGGCTGACGCAGCAGCCCTGTGCACAGCACACAGCGGTGGCACACACCTTGAGGCATTCATTAAGGCCTGGACATGTCTGTCTAAAAAGCAAGAAATAGTACCACGCATAGGCCATTGCAATATATTGGCACAAATAAAATTAGAAACAAATTTTTAAAGGCCTTTTCAATTTAATTTAGCCGAGACCACATTATTCTACTTGGTCACTTTTTTCTGCCCACACAAGATTTTTTTTTCCAAGGGACACGTTGGAAGGCAAAGGGCTCACAGCTCATGGTTATGCAGACATAGAGAAAACTATGGGTATGAGTGACAATTTCGAGGTCGTACTCTGCTACTGTGGTGTTATCGATATCGTTATGATGGATCGGTGGGGGTTTAGTTGAAGTAGCCCTAAAACTTGTACCATTGGTGTACCAGCACAAACATCTTCTTATGCAGCCACGACTGGGCCTCAAACAACCATGTCCTGTAAGTGAGGCAAAGCCCCCTAGTGCTGCCTCTGCTTCAGACAATCCCTGGGTTCGTCACGACAACTCTACTGATAAGAATCACACATCCTCAAAATATCCGCACCACCTCTGAAAGTGAGCTCTATTATTACTAAAATATATAAAGTGCACAAGTGCAAGGTTTTTTTTAGGGTTTTCCTTTTTAGCATTTTTAAAACGACATTAATATACCTTACAACCCACCTCTTCAAACTTATAATACTTATAAGAAAGAGAACTTAATATTTTTTTCCAGCCAGGGCCAGCAGATCTAATGTCGTGTAATTGAGTAGGACAAGCAAAACGGCTCAACGTATCCCTTTACAAAAAGACCAGTCCGTTCATATTCAAGATCTCAACAAACCACCTCAATAAACTGGCATGACCAAGATTACACTTAAGCAAAATAAAAATAAAATCCATTGGTCGCCAAAATTAATAGCACAAGGCTGGACAGCCTCACAATTCCCTTTTAATATTAGTGTGAATGTGAAAAAAGAATCAAAGAGAAAAAAAAAACTACAATATTTTTTTTTAACCTTTGTAATAAAAAGACCTGAAGTTAGACCACAGCCTTCTTTGGCTGGCGCCCATGTTTGTAGTTCAGCTCCTGTCATCTGGCGACTCTTGGACCGCCACCTCCCTGTGCTTTGTCACTTGCACCTTATCCACAGTCACGCTGAGTTCCACTGCCTTTGGGGATGCGCCATCCCCAGCGGCACCTGTCCGCCCACAGTTGGCCTCCTGCAACAACTCCCCCGGAAGGGAGCTTTCCTCTGCCCCCTTGGCCATTGTAGAGGTGAGGCTGTGCTCCAGCTCATCCTTGGAGGGCGGCAGCGATGGGGTGGAAATCCTGATCGTCCCTTCCGTGCCCTCCTCGCTTATGTCGGTGTCTTCAGCGATGAGGAGCTGCTCATCGTAGACGCGTAAGATCGCCTCGCAGACGAACTTGTATTGACACTGGCCGCGCGTGTGGCATGGCGATAAAACAAAACAAGATAAGACACGGATGGAAATTACTCTACACAAGGAGGTTCACACTGCATCAACAATAAAAAAAACAGCTTATTAATAAGTAGACAGCAAATAATATCGAGAGACATGCTTTAAACCCAAATAGAATACATTTTTGTATGTATAAATTTTTTTTTAATAATGTATTTGTCAATCCACTTGTGTATGATGGCCACTCCATGCAATGTCGGTCATGGGTTAACCATACTTTACCATTATGGTCAGTGCAGGCTAGTGAAGGGGGAGCCTAGGACCCGGTCAGATATCACTCATTACTTGTATTAACTGTGGCCAGGAATCGAACTTAGGTTTTCAAGTTCATGGAGCAGTGCACCACAGCTGCATGCATTGAAATGCATTTACATTCAATGACATTTCAAGACACTGTGCACGAGAGAAATCCACCAGCTTAGGATAAATATGAATGCAAGGTGGATAAAACGGTATGTGACATAGATTAAGAGGTGGCTATATTGTTGTAAGGATGGCACAGAAGACTTTAGATGAGAAAGTTGTAAGCCAAGGACTGTATATATCAGTCGCTTAAATGTAATCGAAGTGTATATACAAGACAAGTTAGGTCAAAATAGAGAAAAAGAGAATGAGAAAAGAACAAGATGTAAAAGTTTCCAAAAACCATTATACGAGGTAGGTTCTGAGTAAGGACTTGTCTCGCGAGACACAGTAAGTGATGCAGACAACACAAGCAGAGATAATTCCAGCCATCATGGACAGCAGGGGAAAAGACACTATACATTAGGGAAAGCAAAAAACTAAACAGGCTACAAACAAGTTTAACAATATTTACAATCATGTAATTTATAATGTGCACGATATTGCACAGATATTATCTTGACGAGGTGCGCAGCCAAGCTCAGTGTCACTCGAAATCCAGACGAAAGAGGTGGGGGGCCTTTAAGTAGCTTTTAAAAGTAGATGTAGATTGAATGCTGTGAAAGTGCAGTGGGATGATGACGTTCCAGATGGCGGGCGTTGCCACGGAGAAACAACGCCAGACATTGATGGTTCTGGTGATTGGTAAAGATAGGTTATGAGTCGTGCTCACGTTTAAAGTATTTAGTTGTGATACATTTCCACATGATAAGCCACTTTTATGAGCTATAATTTATGGCCAGGTCGCTCCTGAAAAAGAGCTATATAGATCAGCGGGCCTTATCTGGTCAAATAAAAATAATTTTTAATTTTCATAATTTAGTTTATTTATATGGTGTGTGAACCCACTGGGGTTGCATTGTGCATTTTTACCGGCGTCTGAATCATCATGGCCCGCTGGTCCCGCATTGTACGCACGATGTCCAGTGGATACACGGACTCGTTACATTCCATCAGGCACAGAGCCGTCTCCATGGTGATGAGAACCCCCGTCCGTCCAATTCCTGCACTGCAAAACCCAAAATGAGACGTTTACAACAAACCTCCCGACAGCCTCTCCCACCACCAGAGGTGAATCCACATATCATTGTTTTGAAGCCCGGCTCAATTTCGCTAGTGATTGGACCACTTTCGGCAGGTGGAACCGTCATGTGCCTGTAGTTTTATTATATCCCTGCACATGATAATGACAGTGCACCTTGTGCCTAGGAGGAATAAATGCACCAGACATATCAACATAACAGTGGAAGTAAAAGTGCACCAAATGTCGGTGTCATGTTCACTACACAAAACATCCGCTTGGAAAGTTCATCGTACAGTGGATCACTCCCTGTGTTGGAGAATATCCCACAAAAGAGGGAGCAGCATTGTCTCGCACACCATGCTAGAAGCGCGATGTCCGTCACACGGCAGTCAAACCAATGTATTCAAATTCTCAGGGCCCCGGAATAACAAAAATGCAATCACCACATTAATGTTGGATATTTCTAAAATTAACTTAGCAGCCGTCCCACAATAACGATGCCGAGTGGTTCTGGTCCATCGCCGTGGAGATCGGTGGTGCGTCGCCGTGGTTACCTGCAGTGCACGACGACGGGCTGGGCGTGGTCTCGGCGAGTGCGCACGTCGCGCACGAAGCCCAGGAAGTGCGACGAATCGTCAGGGACGCCGTGGTCCGGCCACGCCACGTACTGGAGCTGCGTTACCCCTCGCTCCTCATTGTTCTGTGGGAGTCCAGGGACTTTGAGTTACCAGCGTAGAATGATGTTATCGGTTCACCGATTGAAATTTATTCATTTATGTCCCTCGATGTGCGTATGGAATTGTGAGCATGGAAAGCGATGAGGATTTATACAAATTACACACAAACGGTATTCTAGTATTAAATATAGGCTAATGGAGTGAATAAAAGCATTAAAATTAAACAGGGAAAAAAGTTATAACCTCGAAAAAATTGTTATCATTCTGATTGTTTACCCAGGAGAGCCTCAAAGAGTCTCACAATTGTTTTTCAAGAGGGTCCTGCCAAGTTTTACAGTAGGGGGTGATGATTGACATTTATATCCCTATTATAAATGGCAATCAAGTTGTAAAATGTTATCCAAGTTTGACCATGACGGCAACACACAATGGCCTACTTTGGACATCATGGATCTTTAACGTCCACTGTGAAGCAGATGGCGCGGTATTTTATGGTTAATACACACCACAGTAATAACCATGGCGACCACTGATATTTGAATTATGAACCTCTGATATAAATGGTAAACACACGGGCCGCTAGACAACAAAAAATAATATATTTTAGATTCAAATGGAAATCCTGATTGATTGAATTACTGATAAAGTGAATCATTACATGAATAATTTTAGGACGCGGTTGTAATGGAGGCCAGGCATGGCGGCGCTTAACACGGCTAACAGTGACGTTTCCAAAGCCATGTTGCTTTTGGGAGCTAATGGGTTTTATTGTTTTTTTTCCTAAAACAATACAAGCAGCATTAATACTCGCCAATGCAAATGCCAGACTGCAGTAAGAGTACCCAGTGAACACTGGAGAAAGCCTTTAATTAGGAAGTTGTTTCCTCCATCACATCGATCTTAATAACATCTCAAAAAGGCATGGACAGAGAGACAGACAGATCTCGGGACGACTACAAAAGCACGGGAGCAAGTGCCCCACCATTACCTCGACGTTGCGCAGCGTCAACTTGCGTTCGATGGACGCCTCCGACTCTTCCTCGGAGTCGCATAGAACAAAGAACCCGCCGTAGGTCTCACTGCCCGGTAAGTCGGGCCAGTATTGGTGGCACTTGGGCTGGGGGCAGAGGGTGAGCTTATGCAGTAATTTGTAACCGGGAAAAGAGCATCAACTCACAACAATTCAGAAGCAAATTTAATAAAAATCAGATATTTAGACTGAAATCCATTCTCTCAGCGGTGCGAGTTTCAATGTTGTGAACTACGAGCCAACCGGCCACCCAGGGGGAGCAATATCAGTGTGGTTGTGTTCACGTGAGTGTACATGCGCCTCACTCACCCGTCCCCTCTCTGTGAGTGTGGTGAGCATGATGACCAGGCTGCATCCCTGCTCCCAAACCATCTGCCAAAAATGGGCACACGTGCTTGGCAGGGGGCCCTGGCAGGCGATGTAGCGATTGATGGTGCTCGAGGAAGTTATCTCCATCTGTGACAGCAACGCAAACCCGACACTTGTAAGGAAAACCTGTCACACTCGCCATACGGAAAAATGAGTGCGAGACATTTTTCATGGGCTATGTAGGTGCGGCCCAGCACAGATCGTGAGTTATTCATGTAAATCTGGCACTTGATTCGGCAAAGACTGTAAAGAACCTGTCCCAAATTAAAATAGCTTCCTATAAGAGTTTTTTTTTACTGTAAGAAAATAATATTAGTTCTCTCCCCAACGGCAGGTCACTCGCTCAAGCTCTGTCCATCCCATCCAATGCCACTCCCCTCTTTTCAACTCACAGCACCACACTCCGAACTTGGGTTCTTGAGCCATAACTAGGGAAGCATGGTGGAGGGTGCATCCTCTCAATTTCCTCAATCGTGTATTTTATGCGACACCGTCAACGGATGCAGTTTAACGTCACACCAAGAGAAGCAACATACTTTTAGCGATCTAACAATGTTAGAAACAAACAATAAACAACACGAACCTACAACGAAAATATATGGAGCATATTAAAGAATATAAATGGCTGGCTGATGAAGCTTGGAAGGATGGTTGTAGCCCTGTAAAGCTGGATTGAATATAACAAGCTCATTTACTCAATGGCAGTACAAACCCTGTATAGATTTACATTTGTATGAATAAGCAAAGAGTTGCTCCTAGTTCGATGAAAGCGAGCTGCAGTAGTAAAAATGACAACTGCGCCCAGTAATGGCACATTGACTTGACACACTCACATTGATATAGTTGGCATTGATGTAGTCCTCGTTCCCAGACAGTACCACTCGCGTAGCGTCATCTGGCACGTGATAAACGTAACAGAGAGTTTACAATTATATATACAAAGTGTGCTAGAAAAAAGATATCCATTAACTTGCATTTCACTTTTTTTGTAAGCACGTGTACAGCGCCAATAAATAACTCTGGCAGGTGTGTGTGTGTGCGCGCTGTTTTGTGCGACTCACAGGGTAAGACGTCGCGATAGCGGTTCCGGCTGCTGTTACAAGACATCTTGGCCATGCCGAGGCTCATCCCTGGTTTCTTGCGATACAGTTGCTGTGGGAAAAGGAGCGTGATAGCTTTACAAGCTCGCTCCAATGCAAAAGGCACTAAACATTAAGCGAGTAATGGCTCAACCGCCCTGGCAATATGAATCGTTACAATTCGGGGTAAGGATTTGAATAAAAAATAGATTATTTTGTATTGCTTATAGTGGCTCTTTTGTAAAGTTTCATACGATATGTTTCGTTTGCTCTATTATCTGAAAGATGCATCAACGTTTATGAATGACTTAATTTGCAATTAAGAAAAAAATACATCTTTTGAATAATCTTTTAGGTTTATGAATGATTACATGCCTATGTAATATCAATGATAGGCTCAATTTAATCAGAATTTGTGGACACTGATGACCAATTTAAATGATATATCTGTAGAATATTATGCATTCCATCCCAGTGTTTCATTGTTGTGAAATATAACTTGTGGAAGAGCCTTTCAATGCTTTCAGTCATGAATACCAGCAGTCAGAATTTAGCTCCAGTGTTAAAAATATATCCATTGTGGACACACATCACTTAGACACAACATGCTTTTGACTAGTAAGAGCATCTTTATAAGATGAGGCTTACTCATCAGTGATGCCAGACCCCTCCAGTACTACAGAGCCTGTGAAGTAAACACATGTGCCCCAATCCTCGCCAGCTTCAATGCCAGAGGCAGGTGCAATCAAACTGCTCGAAATCCAATTTGAATTTCTTTGCTCATATTTTGTTGCAGGAATGTCCTATTGTAATGGTTAGTGACAACCAAATGGGTCATTGTGAAGCTGCCTTTTATTCAGTGATGATTATACAAATGGTCATCAATAAGTAAACAGAGAAACTATCTCTGTATCCAACTTTGTGACTGCCGTTACAAGGTCCGATTTTGCCAAATTTGAATATTGGCCAAAAATTACTCGATTGGTAGAGACGGTAATCATCGCAGGCCAGGTGCAGAGTTAACTTGTGCCCACAGGGACAGCTATCACTGGGGGTCCCCCCCTTTCATTATTGATATAAGAATGACGTGAAGAACGTCCCTACAGGATACGATATATTTAACAAACATCTTAAGTTTAACTGTAATTATCGCTCTGTAACCTGCAACATGCTATATATTCTTAGTTCTTTCGGTAAAGTCACATTGAAGGGAAACAACAAAATAATAATAAAACATATATTTTATTATTTTGTTGTTTCCCTTCAACGTGACTTTACCGAAAGAACTAAGAATATGAATTACTGCAGTCACGAAAGCTTTAAATCGAAACATGCTATATGTTTACATGGCTATGCGAGATGTTAACTACCTCGTCTGATATACAGGTCGTGGGTTCGATCTCAACCCTGATGATGCATGTATATTTGGAGCTTGCACGTTCTCCGAGTTGTCATGTAGATTTTTCTCCGGATCCTCCGGTTTTTCCCTCCACAATTATAAACATGTGTTTAGAGTATTTGGCTGCGACAAAATTTCCACATCAGCAACCTCATTGGGCTATCATTTGTGGCCAGGTCGCTCCTGAAAAAGAGCTATATAGATCAGTGGGCCTTACCTCTTAAATAAAAAAAATGTTTTAGTTTAGTTTATGTATGTTCAATGTCATTCACACCGTACGTAGCAAACCGTGCTAATTGGAGGTGTGGGGGGAAGGACAACAAACTGAATACCAAAAGTTCTAAAGAAATTAGTTAAATATAAAAATACGTGACAAGAGTCCTATGGCAAGTGGTAAAATTTCGTTGAAATAGGCCACGGAGGCAGGGCGTTTCCTTGCTCACCTCAAACTGCAGCAGGGCCTGGCCCGTGTCGAGGGCTTCGCGCAGCTGCTGCATGGAGGTGCGCACGACATGCCGCTCGCCAGGGGAGCTGCACTCCCTCGTCTTCTCGGGGATGTACTGGAAATCCGGCTCGCTGTCAGCGCGCTCCAACTCCTCGTACACAGCTGCAGGGGTGGGCAGAGACATTGGTGTGAGGGATGGGGGGGGGGGGGTCACAAGATGCACGGGGACGCAGGCGACCAAAGACGAGATTGGATATCACAACGAATGTGGTCTGGTGAAGCATGGAAAAAAAAAATAATAACAGTTGCGTCTCGGAGATTGATTTTCAGCGAAGCCCTCCTGCTCTGGAATTTTTGTGCGATCCCTGTCTTTTGAATATTTTGTGTGGCAGCCTGGGGAAAATTCACACTTAAAACTCAAACGAAGCACAAACAGGTTATCAGTTTACTTGGTGTACGGCCAATGAAAGATACTGCGTTGCCCTGCTGGTCGGTGTTTGATGCATGCTCCACATCTGAATGATCCACCAACCCACACTCCCATGTTGCTGAATTTCAAGTGTGTGTGTCACCAGACCTGTCACAAACCAGGCCAATGCACGCACATTTTTCATTGGAATATCAACGGCATTGGGAAAACAATATTTCCCGTGTGCGTATGTAAAATTACACATGTGACCTGCCATAATAGAATGTGTGCTTTAGAGATAGACGCATCGAAATGATAAGAAATATTGGATCAACGCAGTGCTCCAAATGAAGTTTCATTATAATAAACGCCTGTATTCATACAGGAAAGCCTCTCTTAGTGAAGGTTTTGTATTTAGTTATTCTTCCAATACCAATTAGGAGTGTTTGGGATGTGATAAAAAAAACCAGAGTATATGGAGAAAATACACACTGATAAATTCAATAATCTATTGCCATATTATGACTGCCTCGCAGTCCACAAACATGCTCAACCCAGCCCGGCTCACGATAACCGACTAGATTGAACGTATGCAGGGTGATCTGGGTATAGGCAGTTTGGCACCGATAGGCTCACAGTGATGACATCACCTTTATTTTATTTAAGACCGAAACAGGAAGACTTCTTCACAATTCTGGCAAATCATCTGATGAAGCTGGTTGTAATCACCAGAGAAACATCATACTCGAATTGTAAATGTTGTGGGTTTACTCTCCAACACCGGTGTGCCGAAGTAGTAAGTAATTGGCACGTTTTGTTTACGTGACAAACCTTACTTATTGGCTGTGTCGGGTGGTGGTGGTGGAGGGTTAACGACACATTGATATTTACGGATCTAACCAAAAAAAACCTTTTATGGAGTTTGGCACCGACAGGTAAAGGTGCAGCCCTGAAAAGTCTTACTCTTAACAACTGCTTGCTGAAAGGTCTCTGTTAGAGGAAACTATAGAGAGCCTCTCTAAAGGGTAATTATCCTACTATTCCACACTGACCAGGTGTCTTTCAAGAAGTGGGAGTACACACACTTTACCCCAGAGCTCATGACATATCACTCAACTGTGGTGTACCAAATTATAATGCTGGGTGGAGAGAGGTGGGGGGGGGTTAAAAAAGAAAGCTTGCTCAGTGTTTTAACAGCTGCACCGGAAGATAGAATACAACCGGCAACATCCAGGGCGCTTATTACACCATGTCTGCATCCCAGTTTTGCAGTGAGAGGTTGTATTATAAGGGTGCGGCAGGCCAGCAAGAATTCTTGAGCAGCACGCACCAGAGGGGCGGATAAGCAGCACCAGCTCTCCCGAGTGCGACTCCGTGCTGGCACGGATGAACTGCACCACCTGGTCATGCGTGTGCTCCGAGACGTCTCGCCCGTTAATCAGGATCACCTGATCCCCCTCGTTCAACCGGGGCACGCAGAGATCCGCCTGGGGCCACAACGGGGGGAAGCCCAATGTGGGGGGGCAGGCGGCACGTCCGTGATACAGCACACCATCCGCTCTGTCAGCCAATAATTATGCACTCACATTTATCGTACTGACATACAGGAAGTTAGTCATTGAGGTTAAGCTGATGCGTTTTCAAATTTGACCCTTGATGCTTAGAATTTTCCAATGGGCATGAATGAAATCGTTGCATCTTCTTTGGTTCTTTCGGTAAAGTCACGTGACTTTACCGAAAGAACCAAAGAAGATGAATCCTTGTAGTCACGAAAGCTTTAACTCGAAAATGAAATCGTTGCAGTGATTGAAAAAAATAAAAAGAGCCTCTTCTTTATAGTATACTTTGCGCAGCACTTGTTTCATGCAATACAATTTACATTAAAGAGGTTACAGGTCACACTTGCAAATGTGGGTTTATCAGCAAATCTGGTTTATGAAAAAAATAATGATCTTCGTAGGATGGGCCGGTACTGACTCGTCTTAAGTACCCCCCCAAAAAAAGAAGTAACGAAGTCTGAAGTAAAATTTTCATCTATGAATGTAATTAGTGTACACTGCAACCGTCTCGTTCCAGACAACAAGAGACTGCTCCCTCCTTACCGGCGTTCCTGGAGCCACGCGAGACACAGTCACGAGCATTTTTTGATCGACTCCACCCTAAAAGAAAAGGGCATTCGGGGGGAGTGAGTTGAGGGGGGGTGGGGGGATGAAAGATGTAGGGAACGTTTAGAGAAGACACCACAGGAAAAATTAAGTAACCACTGCAGAATCGGCCGAGTTTGTTTTATATGCGGGTTGACGAAAGGGCTACCTTGACGTTGAAGCCGAACCGGCCCTGATCGTCTGGCTTCATCCGCACCAACACTAGGGGTTCATGAGGTAACAGACCATTGGCCTGCAACAGCACTGTGAATTTCTCTTCCAACTGCAAAGACAATAATAATAATAACAGACGCAGTGTCTTCACGAGCGGCATTGCAAAATTCGAATTGAACAAATGCTGTCACGGCATTATTATTATTATTATTTTTGTGCGGGTGCAAGATACGTTAACCCCGAGCGTTGACATCGGGGAGCAGAACGTACCACGGGTGGCTCGTCCAAAACCTCTGGGGGCAAGATTGCGTCACTCTCACTGTCTGAAGGCCGCGAGTCCAGCTCATCGGCCTCCTGCGAGCCGCTGCCCCCCGGACACGCCTCCTTCCGCCGTCGCCGTTGCTGCGGCTGCTTGGGGGGCAGTGCCGGAGCCTGGCCCTCGCCCGACGCCGATCCCCTGAACATTACATAAATAAGCACGTAGAATAAAATGTTGGCCACGGCTTTGGCACTTGAATTAGTTTTATTCCATCATTCTTTGTGCAACTGAAGGAGGCGACTAAAAATTACTGCCGTAAGGAAATGCGCACGAGACTGAATTTACCGCGCTTCTGTTAACCACACATTATCGCTGGCGCATGGGTGGTAATTTTTTTTTATGTGTGGGTGTGGGCCAATGGACAATCTTGTGAAACCATCCACACTTGTCTCCCATCCCTCTCCTCTCACTCTCACCCTCCCAACCTCCCTAATATACCTCACTTTCCTCTGTTAGTTCATGCCTTTCTTGGCCAACATTCTTAAGTTTGTAACGTTTCATTAACCTGAAAGATTACTCAACTTCAAAATTGTACAAATTTGAAAGTTTACTGTAGCGTCAAGTGCAGCGGTTCAATATCCATGTCTTGACAAACTTACGCTGCCGATTTCACGTCATCTGATGATCTGAAAGATAAATAAAAAAGACGCAGTGTAAATCTAAACAACCATAACAAATTGGGTATATATTGCACCTCCATTCAGCACGGTTAGCGAAGCAAAATGTTCTACACACATATAAAGAAGCACTCTAAGGCACCTTTCGACGAGCCTCTACATCATACATCTATATATAACATCTATATATATAAAAGGGAATTTGTGAATATGTATCAGTTTAACATGTAGGCTTTCGCGACCAATATTATTCATAATAAAGGTTTTTGGGTTAGATGGCGTTTATTTATTAATGTGTCGTAACCCTCCACCACCCGACACGGCCAATCAGCAAAAAAAGTGTCACTAAAGTAGTGAATTGTCTTTTGTCAACGTGACACTTTTTTTGCTGATTGGCCGTGTCGAGTGGTGGAGGGTTACGACACATTTATAAATAAACTCGATCTAACCCAAAAACCTTTATTATGAATTGTGAATATGTATGTTCAAAATGTTTAGCGTACTTCCCAACATACAACAAACTTGAAATTTGCCATGTAGGTATTTTCCAGACTGTACACCATGCAAAAATTATAAAAATAGACTTTTGTATTTTGGGGGGGGGGGGGGGGCGCAATAATGCATATATTTTGCACGGCAAGTGAGCTGTGACGTCACATCTGTCATGTCACCCGCGCGTGCGGAAGCGTAACACAGTGTGCCTGCTCATGTCACCCCCCCCAACCCTCCGCGGCGCGGGTACAGTGCCATACAAATGTGTTGCAGGTCTAAGGCGTTCTTCGCGCAGCATTGCTTTATTATTTCAGTCGTTTACTGCCGTACGCACCCTGACAGTTTGTGTGTGTCTGCAGCAAGCGCGTGTATGTGTACCTATGGATGCGCGCGCGTGTGTGTGGGGGGAGTGGTAGTGTAGTGGTTAGCGTGCTGTCTGTGTGTGTGTGGGGGAGCGGTAGTGTAGTGGTTAGCGCGCTGTCTGTGTGTCTGTGTGTGTGTGGGGGGAGTGGTAGTGTAGTGGTTAGCGCGCTGTCTGTGTGTCTGTGTCTGTGTGGGGGGAGTGGTAGTGTAGTGGTTAGCGTGCTGTGTGTGTGTGTGTGTGGGGGGAGCAGTAGTGTAGTGGTTAGCGCGCTGTGCTACAAACACGGCGACCTGAGTTCGATTCCCGCTCACGGCCACCACCGGTGACGATTATTTGAACCGGTCCTGGGCCTCCCCTAGGTCAACTCAGTCTCAAACGAGTAACTGGTGTAGTGTGTGAACATCGTCACTGGGGGGGACAAAGGCGGCTGGGCGTGGTGAATCCAAGTCCTGGGCGAAGCCGGGTAGTAAAGCTAGTCTATATATATAAAAGGGAAATTTGTGAATGTGTGTCTGTTCGAAATGTTTAGCATACTTCCCGACATGCAACAAACTTGAAATTTGGCATGTGGGTAGCTTCCAGACTGTACACAATGCAAAAAGTATAAAAACTGACTTTTGTATTTTCGGGGGGAGGGGGGGGGCGCAATAATGGATATATTTTGCACGGCAAGTGAGCGGTGACGTCACATCTGTGATGTCACCCGCATGCGGCAGCGTTACACAGTGTGTCTGCTGACGTCACGCATCCCCTCCCCGAAACCCTCCGCGTAGGCCGTGTATTAATACAAGACAAGAATCCAAGTCCCGGGCGAAGACGGGTAGTAAAGCTAGTAAATATATATGTTAGTATACAACCATTTAATGCGCATTCTCTTCTCTAAGCCCTGCTTGTTTTGAAAATTCAATACAAGACAACTTTGTTTTGAGGCCTGACTTGGCACTAAATAAGGGCATAATCGAAGATGTAATGGAAAATGGGTTCATAACATTAAAACTAATTCGATCAAATCTCAATCATGGGCACTATAGCCATACGGATGCGTTTGTGGGACTACAATAAATCCCGACGATATCCTCCTTCTAAAGCGCAACTTGGGGAGGCAGCAATGCATTGTGGCAGCAAAAGCAGTTGCGTCCCAACGGGTCACGAAGGCCATGGCATCGAAGGCGAACAAAGAAAATAATTATGGCGCTTTGTCGCCAACGGGGAGCCGTCCGATGGGAACGCGACTCACACCAGGGACTTGAGGTCGAGCGAGAGACTGTGCAGGGGCGTGGTGGTGGAGGAGCCGGTCCTGCGGTGGTTGTTGAGCGACGCCGCCTCCTCCTGCGAGCTGGGGGTCGCGAGCCCGGCCAGGTTCCCCACGGACGACGGGCGCCGCTTCTCGCAGCCCTCCCGCAAATCGGAGCTGGAGATGCACAACGCAAGAGTGGCGGCAAGTTACATAAACGGGTGGGTTGGAACATCGGTTTAAAATTAATGGGCGTTAAGTTACGATACATTACACCGGGGGTGGGGGAAACATTTTCCTTATCGAGGGATGCAAGGACTGTCAAAAACACCTTTGGTAGGCCAAATTCACACGCATTATGGAATAATGCGAAAATTAAATAGTGCTCGCGTTTATCGAGCGCACTAAAATTCTAGACAGTGTTGCCAGCTCGAAAATATTCCCCTCTACTCACCGATTAGTGCAGTAAAGATACTTACAGATATGAATTAATATTGTTTGGGGAGCTGTTTCGAAGCGATATGCCTCATGTGGCCGTGGGCCGTACGAATTAAAGTCGCAGGCTGCAAATGATCAACAGCGTGTTTGTTCTCCAACCCTACATTACACACTCTACATTTGCCATTGAAAACATTGCTTTAAATATGCATTAAAATGTGCATACGAGAATCGCTTATCTTTTACTTCTGCAAATACTAGGCCAATTATAAATAAATGCTATATTTAGAATAAACACTGAGACACATACAACCAGAAAAAATACCTATTGAGAATACTAATGACAACAATGTTAGCGTATTATTTATTTAAGCTAATAAAAGCTAATGTAATGGTAAATTGTATATAGCGTTGTTCATGCAAACTGCATCAAACAATTGTTGACGAACCATAGACCAAGCTGGAAGCCTGACAGGTGGTGAGCCGGCACCAACAATTGCTCTGCAGTTCTCAATACGTTAAGATCTTTTCAGCCATGAGCCCAGCAGCATAACTTACAGATTGCCGTGCGCTGTGCGTATTCATGTGCTATACTAAACTGTTTGAACCTAACATTTTTTTTATTTTACCAGGTAAGACCCACTGAGCTATATTGCTCTTTTTCAAAAGCAACCTGGCCATAAATGATAGCTCAATGAAATGGCTTATTACGTGGAAATGTATAGCAGCCAAATACTCAAAACGCACGTTGAGTCTAAATGTGAAGGGGAAAAACCAGAGGAACCGGAGAAAAATCCACGCGACCCACAGAAAGAACATGCAAACTCCAAATATACAGGTGTCAGGGTCGGGATCAAACCCACGACCTCCTGTGTATATAGGCGAGGTAGTTAACATCTCGCCACCGTGGCACCCCACGTACATGTCTGGCGTGCCCGGGGGAGTGCGTGATGGCAGACTCTGTGTTTCCAGCCTCTCGGCAGAGCCGGCCGTCGCTGCGTTGGAGCCCCACTCTTTTCCCGAGATCGTTCGCCGTGGAAACCGCTGGCTGGGAGATCTGATGCACTCAAAAGGATGGCAAGAGTTAAAGTCAAATAGCCATACCAACTGGACACCACCCCTAGACAAGAATTGTCATTTAAATGGGCAAAGTAAAAAAAACACTTGAGGTTTTCCTTGCCCATAGTATTTGTCTAAATCAGTGGGCAAACCATTTTTTTTAAATAAACACTGTTAATCCACTCCTGGGTCAAGGCTCTCTCCATGCTGTGTTGACCATACTTCACCATTCTGCCCAGTGTGGGTTAGTGAAAGGGAGGCCCAGGACTGGTTCATATATCATGGGTTATGCAAAAAAGATTAATGTAAAATCAACACAATTCTGTGTAATGTAGAGCAGCAGCCATTCGGTGGTGCAGTGGATTACAGCAGCTTCCAGTAGAGAGAAATACAGTGCATCAAAGCCAAGGATGTTTCGGTCACACAGCAACTCCATTGCATTACTGTTTTTTTTTTTATAAAATAAGAACGTCAGATCTAACGTATGCATGTATATGTACTATATATAAGGTATAAATTATTTATATATCTTGGTTGCTCCTGATACTCCTACGCTTCTTAAAACATAATGGCACACTCACTCAAAGTATGAGAGGCCTTACCTGGCAAAATTCCTGTTACGGTTCGACCTTTCCTTCCCGTATTGTACTGTTTGCATTTCCGTTCGCCCGCTGCAGGTTCAAACAACTCATGAGCAAGTACATATTGATACAATGTATGTAATGTATTTTTTTTTAGTACAAAGTGTGTCCTCAAAATAATGTGGGTGCACAGTGTCCCGCATATAAAGGGTTTTGGGGGGGGGGGGGAGGAACATCTAAAAAAATTTGAGTAACATTGAAATTCGTAATTATGAAATTCAGAACGTTTTACAAATGCTGAATTATTGTTAGCTGTAGCACTGGACAGACTGTTCTTGCAATTTCATGTGGTTTCAGTGGTTTGTTTTACCTTTCTTTAATACCGTTATTTATAGTATTACAATATAAAGAGCCATATAAATAACATTGTGGAGCTGAAAATGAGCAACGATTGGTTTTCATAGAAATACCACGGCTTTTTTTTATATAAGAGAAAAGACAATATACCGGGGTGCCCCACCACCGAATTAGCCTGGTATTTCAAGGACCTGCCACGACACACCTTCAATGGCACACGTCTATCAAATTATAAATCCGCGCGTACACCTGCCACGCAAAATTAAACTGCATATCGTGAACTTTTTCCGTGCAGCAATTGCGTGCAGGACAACTCAGCCTGGCGACGGCGCACGTCACCTGTATCGAAACTTGGAGCCGAGCGAGAAGTACTGCGCCAAGAAGCCGAGATGTGGCGGCGAGGCCGGTCTCGCCATGCGGAAGAACGTGTGGTGCTCCACGCAGGCCTTCCACAGCGTCTTGCAGGCGCGGTAGTTGCCCAGGTTGAAGCCGATAATGTTCTCCCGCGTCTCATTCTGCTTGGGATTAGGTGGAACGAAGGCATAGACGTGATGCAATTCGAAAACGCGGTAACTCGACGTTCCATTCTAGATTTGAAGCTTTCGTGACTGCAAGGATCCATACTCTTTGGTTCTATTCGGTAAAGTCACGTAGGTAAAAAAAAAAAAATCACGTTTCGGCCACAACACAAGTGGCCTTCATCAGGTGAAGGGACCAACCTGTGTCTGGCAAAAACTAATCACAGGGACTAACCTGTGTCCCTTTACCTGATGAAGGCCACTTGTGTTGTGGCCGAAACGTCGTGATTTTTGTTTATTTTTTTACCTACGTGACTCGACGTTCCAGTTAACAAAAAAATAATGATAGCAGTTGCTAAGCAAAGACCCGAAAACCTAAAACGGGGGAAATTTGTTATTAATAATTCTGCTTCAGGCTCTCTGGTTTCAGGTAACACATGGAAGCGGTTTCATTAAATGGTATTGCGAAGGTAGTGGACATAATTGGGCCCTTTATTAGACGGAGAGCAACAAATCTAAGAATCATGTGACAGCTTAGCACTGGTGCATCAAGCACTGTACACGAACATGCTAATACACCAATTTAACCATATGCACATGTCTCCTGAAAGTGGAACTTCTAAGGTCGAGGTAGTTTGTCAAGATAACCAGGTCATGAGTCACCAGTGAGTTACAAGCATCAACGTAACAATATCAACATGTTTTTTTTTTATTTTTGGTAATACAGGGGCCTCGAATGGCTATAAGGCTCATGTGAACCCAATAAATGCAACAAATATGAATCTAAAAATATTGATCCTGACATACGTGATTCTACACAGGTATCATGAGCTCTTTTAATCACTCATAATATATTAATCATTGCATCTTATGCTGCCTTGCTTTATACATAGCGGACTATTCAGTGAGAATACTGGCAGAAACTAATCACAGCTATAATTTAAAAACAAAAATATGCCAAGTTTTAAAAGCCAACTTACACATTTCTTCACTAAAAAACATAGCTGTTTAAACTCCAATAGAGGCAAATGTTTATTCAGAGGGCACTGCGTAAGAGGGCACAGAGCAAAACAAACTTGCCTGTTCTTTCCGTAGCTGCACAAAGAAATGCTTCAGTTTGAAAAAGATCTTCACAATCTTTATCCTAAGGGCAGAAATACAGAATGCACACAGTGAATAAAGTCCTAGCTTCATGCGAGCTTGACTTGAACAGCAGCACGATTCACTGTTCTTGCTTGTTGTAGTAAATGCAGTAAATGCACTGTGTTTGGAGCGGTTGAGTGGTGTTCAACATGTTGCGTTACATCCCCAGTGACCAGAGTATTTAGTTCTATGCGGGGTGCATCGTTGCCATCGATAGGTGAAGTTTCAATGGGATTCTTTTCAGCGGGGAGCTGGGATGAAATTGCCACCGCGTGTCAACACTGCCGAGAAAAAGCAGCTGGCATGATGAAGCCACTCCGGCTAGGCATCGTATTGTGTGCAGTGCTCCCCGTGATAGGTGCATGCTAAGATGTCACAACAGTGCAATCCAATGGATGTCCAAACGTCTTGCATCGAGGGGCAGATTGACTAAAATGCACAGTGCCGTGGGTCACAAAACTTGCACAATGTAGAAGAGACAGATTCAGAAGAAATACAAGAGAGATGTAATCATAAAAGATATTAGAGGTATGACAGATATGTAATAAGAGATAGAATAGAAGAGATAAACAGGTTAAAGAGATAATGCTGTAGAACTCAAACACCAGGGCCTAATCACCGACGCCTTTCTCAACACTCCATGTCGTATCACTACAGTCTACACGCGGACCAAGATGGTTCAAGTAAAAAATGTCACAATAATCTATTTTCAATGCCGTTCTTAATGTTAAACCTGAATGACACTGCGGGGTCAGAAAAAAAAACAAATAAGTGGGCCAGGATTTTGCCGGCAAGCCGTAGTTTAGACAGCCCTGCTCTAACTAGATGAACAGCAGGACCGTGTCATGAGAGTGTGATTACCAGGGGAAGTTGCTGATTCGAACTCCATTGTTGTATACATTGACCCCTCCTGCAGTCACCCCAACCATGATCTCAACATTGCTCTGGTCCTGTTACATTGCATAACACACAGCGCCTCTGTCACCAAACGTTATCTTGTCAATACAAAACAAGTTAGGAAAAAAATCATGCACACGCATGGATTATGGAATGCTTCCCAACATGCGTTTGTTCGAGGAAGTTTGTAATTAGCAGTATGAAAGGTGACGGGTAGCTGTCAGGAAAAAAAATCACTTTCATACTTACAAATATCTAGTATTTGCTCCTGTCTGTGTATCCAAGTTTTAGGCAACCCTTTGAACAATTTCGCTGGTTTGCAGGAGGTTATGTTCCTAACAAGCACACAACTTTCTGCTACAGTTTGGTGCCCATTTGATCATTTTTACGAGAGTTATAGTGGCCTCCCATCCCCGCTAAAGACTGACAGAGCCGGAAAGCGTTAAAGTGTTGTATTAATTTGTTTACAAAACAGGCTGAACTTTGACCTTTAAATCTGATTAGAAGAAAATGCAAACTTACCCGGGCATAGTGCAACTCAACCCCGTAGAATTCCACATTCTTGGCAACATTCAAGTAATTAAACTCTGCATCAGCGGGTGTCATCCCTCTGCATGAACAAAATAAATAAATACTTATAAACTCAGTTGATGCAGTTACATAATAAACATTTCTCCATTAAAACCTTGCAGCTTGAAAACTGACAAATCTGTACACGTTCCACAGAGAAAACGAAAATCAACATGAGCCAAGGTTTAAATTTTGACTTAACTTTCGTGACTGCAGGAATTCATATTCTTTGGTTCTTTCAGTAATAAAAATCTAACAAAAAAAGTTTAATAACCATTGCTACAGTCTACATTATAGACTGCCAGTATGCTCAATCAGTTTAATAACCATTGCTACAGTCTACATGATAGACTGGCAATACGCTCGCCAGCTTAAAAAACAGGCTAAGTCTACATTATAGACTGCAATTACACTCACCGAGGTTAAGAACCAGGCTACAGTCTACATTATAGACTGCCAGTACACTCACCCAGATTAATAACCATTGCTACAGTCTACAATATAGACTTCCAGTATACTCACCAAACTTAATAACCAGGCTACAGTCTACATTAGTGCTTTTTTTAAAATTAACTTCATTTATTATTTTTCTATCGACGTGACTTTACCAAAAGAACCAAAGAATATGAGCCATGGTTATAAACGGTTTTAGTATGATTCTTGCCTTGTGGAACTCAGTACAGTATAACAAAGTAAGTAAGTAATCAATCTTGCCAATAGTGGCAAGATTACTTACTAAACTTGCCTTGTGGAACTCGGTACAGTATAACAAATAGCAATACTCATAATGTATGTAAAACACTCTAAACAACAATCTTCCATGACAAGCAAGTCTATATTTCTTTTGTGTGAACATATTTTAGTGCATAAGAGGTTTTTTTTGGGTTAGATCACATAAATGTGTCGTTAAAACCCACCACCACCCGACACAGCCACCGAGTAAGGGTTGTCACGTAAACAGAACATGTCAATTTGTCACTCGTAATTTTAGTATATTTTAGTACACTAGTATATTTTAGTACATCTCCTTATTCACAAACACACACTGAGAATGTTTGGTTAATTAAAAACAGGAACACACCCAAGGTATTTTTCTATTTTAGCCTTTATAATTTCAAGAGGTACGTGGTTTATTTTGACAAAGTTATATTTGGATCGTAGACATCACTGTGACTGTGCAAGTGAAGGAGGTGTCGGGGTGCTATTTTCTGCCGGCTGGGGAAGTAGTGTGCGTTCTCACATTAGGCACGTGGCACGCACGCAAACACACAACCACGAAGAGACGCGACCCGTGCATGCGAGGCACCCACCACGCCAATGGTACAGCGGGGGCAGGAGCGTGTTTGCGAACAAGCTCTCACGTTGGAAGTTTCTAGGAAGTGCTGCCGACTTTAAGGGGTGCTATTTACGCGTCGACAATTTCAGGTTTCTTGCGTAAAATGAACATACAAGTTGGATTGCATGAAAGCATTGCAGTACAAGCGCATATCAAGATGCTGTAGACTCTACTCTACATAGAGTCAGCATATGAGGATGTGCTCTACTTCACCGAGGTACGTTGGCTCAGCAGGGGAAACGTCTTGAAGAGGTTTTTTAAGTTGAGAGCAGAAGTGACAGCCTTCATGGAGAAGGATGGGATGGCTGTTCCTGTGCTAAGTGATCCCAAATGGCTCATGGACTTAGCTTTTCTTGTTGACATCACACAGGACCTGAATGTACTGAACAAGAAGTTACAAGGCCAGGGGCAGCTTGTCAGTGCTGCCTATGACAAAGTCAGAGCATTCTCCACAAAACTTGTGTTATGGAAAGCCCAGCTCTCTCAGACAAACCTCTGCCATTTCCCAGTATGCAAGGCACTCATGGACGCGGGCACACCATTCAGTGGTGAGAAGTATGCTGATGCCATTGTAAAGCTACAGGAGGAATTTGATCACAGGTTTGCAGACTTCAAGACACACAGAGCCACTTTTCAAATTTTTGCTGACCCCTTCTCCTTCGATGTGCAAGATGCCCCTCCTGTGCTTCAAATGGAGCTAATTGACCTGCAGTGCAATTCTGAACTCAAAGCCAAGTTCAGGGAGGTGAGTGCAAAAGCAGACAAGCTTGGACAATTTTTGAGAGAATTGCCCCCCACCTTCCCTGAGCTTTCCAGGATGTTCAAGCGGATCATGTGCCTTTTTGGGAGCACATATCTGTGTGAAAAGCTCTTCTGCACCATGAACTTTAATAAGTCAAAGTACAGGTCCAAACTTACTGATGAGCATCTTCAAGCCATACTGAGGGTCTCAATTGCTTCCTCCCTCAAGCCAAATGTGGCTCAGCTGTGTAAGAAGAGGAAGCGCTGCCATGTCTCTGGCAGCAAGGAGTAGGTAAGAGAAGCCTATGTTCTGAAGAACCGTTCATGTTCTGAACTGTTATTAATAAAGATTGAGAAGATTGGATCAGTTGTACTTTATTTTGGAATACTTGATGCGGCCCAGCCTCACCCAGACTCTACCTCCAGCGGCCCCCCGGTAAGTTGAGTTTGAGACCCCTGCTGTAGAGGCAACCGTACAAACATAAGCCTTACACACGCAAACAAAACGCGTTAAAAGATAAAACACAAACTCGATGAGTGACCACCAAGTACAACAGGTTCAAACTTGATTTGGCGCTTTCGTGACTGCAGGAATTACTCTTTGGCTCTTTCGATAAAGTTACGTAAAAAGAGAAAATAATAAATTAAATATTTCAATTTCTTATTTTCTCTTTCTACGTGACTTTACCGAAAGAACCAAAGAGCACAACAGGTTGTCATGGGGCTGCAGGACACATGATGGGCAGCAGAGTAAATTGTAGGTACGTTCATTGCTGTACCGTACATATAAGCTCCTAGTTCTGTGCTTCCGCCTGCACCGACACGCACTGACCGGCGCAGCCAAGTATGGGCAATTTAATCAATCCCCTCAACACATGATTGTGGGGGGGAAGCAATCATCCAGCATTTGATTGACAAAATGACGTACAGAAGTAGATGAGTTAAGCACATCGAGCAGTAAGGCGTCACATGGCGCATAAGACGTCTCAAACAACACGACCCTCAAAGCTAATGCTGAATGAACTGCCACGTGAATTAATGGTTTCAAGCAGCAACCACGAGAAAAAGGAGCGCGGTGATGGCTTAAATGGAGGTGGAATGGCAGAGATGGCAAAGTTTGGGGGCATGTTCTTAGGGAAGTAATTAGTCAAAGGAGAGATTTCAAGTCTGGACTTTTTGGAGTTAAACGTCATAGTTTGGGTTGTGTTAGGTCACTTTGACATTCTCCATGACAATTTGCCTGACAGGCTTTTAAAGCTAACATCCAGCAGTGATATTTGCAGCCAAAAAAAACCAGCATTCACTCCTTGTGCTCTGCACCGATACCAGCGAGTAGGAAGTATGGCTTTCGGATTTGTCATGATGTTGAAGTTGACACAAATCATCATGTCACCATAAAACAAACCACACCCCACCCACAGCCATTTTAAGGTGGTACTAACCCATGGGTGGGGGCGTGTTGGAGCAGCGGTTAGCAATGCAACACACTGTGAACCAGGCGACCTGAATTCAATTCCCATCCATGGCTAACCTACATGGCGTTGTTGTATCTGAACCCGTCCTGGGCTCTCCACTTCACCGACCAGTGATAACACAGTGTGGTGAAGTATGGTCAAACAAACCCCATGACTGCCATGGTGTAGGGAGGCCTTCAACCATGAGTGGATTAACAAAGGGCTCAAACAATTATATTGTTTTGTATTTATCAATTGTACGTATATGTAAGAGAACATGCTTTCGCTGCGAGTGATCACATGGTCCTCAGTCAAGCAAATGCCAAATACACTGCAAATAATAGTCAGAAGTTGTTGACAAAACCTGGCTAAGTCAGCTTGGCCTATGTAATGAACAGATAAATAATTATTAGTTCGAATGTAATATTTTTTAAGAGGAAAGAATGAACAATTTTACGAAAGAATACATTGAAGGTCAGCAATATTTATTATTTTATTTAAAGTAATCATATTGTGTGCCAAATAAGTATTACTTAAGAGTGAAGGAAATTTGTAATTGTGTGCATTTATGTTACGTGTGGAGCGTGCCCCTATGGGTGTTTTTGGGACAACCTGCACTTTCACAAATTATAGGGCAGATGCTGAAACCTTTAACATAATAATACATATTTTTACTCACGTGCCATTTTAACTTGAATTACATGCGCTGTTCATTGTGAAGTAGCTTTCCTCTAAACTTGACCTTGGCATTTTTAGCACACTACCCAACGGCATTTAATTTTGGATAAAACATTTCATTTGGCATCAGGGCTGCATTGACCTGAAGTGGGATTTCAACAACTGCTCAAGGACTCATTTACAGTATGTAAACTCTGAGCACATATCACGGTAAGACGCCTCTGAATCTGAAATCACCCTCGAAAGCATTTAGCAAATACAGTAATATCTGGTGAGCAAGCCGGATGCTGGATTATTATGAATGACTCCTAAATATAAATAACCTAGTACAAGAATATAGGAAGTTTTACGTTTTAAATGGCCACTTACAATGTAAGAGTAATGCACGAAGAAGTGTGCTCAATACAAACACAATTTTAACTGAAATATGTAATCACTGTGCCCTATTTTCAAGTGTTCGCCCACAATAACATTACAGTACAGTACTCTTAATTTATAGCCATTATACACGATGACTCAGAACACTCTATAAAATTGCTGCCTTGCCTATGCTACGGGTGGGTGAAATGCACCCAATGTGTCATCAAATTCATGGACCTTAGCATCATTTGGCTTAGCAAATAGAGGCATCCGTCGCATAACGTGCGGCATGCGTTCCTGAAAAACAGCGTTTAAGTCGAATCGGGCTTATGAAGCCTACTTTCCCATCTACATACATATTCTAAGGAGGGGTACATGTTACCGAAGGAAAAATAAAGTATCATTTCATTACTTTAGCCTTGGATTTGCAAAATACGTATACATTCAGTACTTAATAATATTATTAACATTACAAAAATTACTTAAAAACTAGTTTAAGAACAAATTAAAATAATTAAATTTCAAAGATTACTACTTACAATGATTACTTAATAAGGAGTAACTTCAGGGCTTCTTGAACGCTTCCATGGGCTGCTTGCAGCAGCATGCATAATGCAGAAAAAGGGAGATCTGAGATGGCTAAGCCCAGCCTGTGACACTGGGCGCTACCATGACATGGTGACGCTATTAGAACTTTGAATTTTTATCATTGAAAATTCGTTTTTATTTTGCAAAATTTGAATTTTTACAATCAAATTTCTTTTTTCTTGAGTGCACAACTGTGAAACGCGTAGCGTAAAAATTAATCGTGTAACTGCGAATTCGTGCTTTGGGGAGGTGCGTTATGCAAGGGAAGCCTGTATATGATTTACAGGAAACAAATGTATAACAGGTGGTTCTCAGACTGGATATATCATTGGATTTTCTCTTTAACGTTGAGACAACTGTGGGTTTTTCGAGTGCGAGTATGGGCAGGCTAAAGGGGCCCACGTGACAGATGAGACTTATTCCACGTTCCTACTACTACTTAAAAGCGAGCCATATAACTTCGGCCTGAATTCCCATGGCAGCCTTATTGGGCGAAGCCAACACCAACTGTGCCGTGTTATTTTTTAAAAAATGGGCTGCCATGGGAACTGGTCATGACACCATAGGGTCAACGCAGAAGAGAGACACACGGACAATGGCTTTCTTCGCTCAGTTCGTCAGTACCATACGTTTGTATAAAAACATGGCAGAGAATTACAAAAAAGGATCGATTGTCTGGGATGGAGTATCATTGTTTACAATTCACGATCGCTTTCCTCTGATTGCAGAAGGGTAGGCGAGTATTAAAGGGCAAAATGAGAAGTGCCGACGAGCCCTTGGAGCTGCACAGATTTCGAAGCATTGAGGCAAGAAAAAAAGCTGTGCCGGGTTGTTCTTGGCAAAGCCCAGCACGGCTTGGATGCGCCTTCTGTCGGTTGCGAAAACGTAGCATGGAAGGTCACTCACACGTGCTGCTTGTGCAGTTTGGCAACCTCCTTCTCGAAGTCGAGGCCCTGGCGTGGCAAGAAGCGCAGGTCAGAGAGGTATCCTGGAAGGTGCTCCGTTTCACTGTAATCGCCCAGTTCCGCTGCATCCCCAAGGAGCAGATAAAGGATGGACAGAGTTGAGAATAATAAAGTGTGAAAACACATAAGGCAGGCAACAGTAGGCATTACACTACTCACCTCCAACACAACCCACCAACCACCCCCCCTACCCCCCAAAGAGGCAAATGACCTGTGATGATACGAGGTCACAATTGACAAAATAAAGTCAACAGTTCAGTTGCTTTGATCTCATTTTATACTACAACGTTTCTTGTTTATTCCTTCTCATTTGTACAGTTATATTAATACCATTAGTTTTAATGCAACATTAACAAATAATTAACATTAACAAATAATATAATTAACATCAATATTAAATAATAAATTATTCCATGTAGGATTACAAAAACTTGGCAGGAAACTCCTACAAAAAGTCTTGCGACTCAGTGAGGTTTTCTGGGGTAAGCATATCACTGTATGCTTTGTGAGCGTGCACATTGTATGCTTTGTGAGCGTGCAAATGCATTTAAATCGAGGAACCAATGCATTACATGCCCAGTATTGAGATGAATAAAATTACCCAAATATGATTTCCGGGGTGTTTGAATATTTTCCCATAAAAGGTAAGCTTCCATGCAACAGTGAACGAATTAACAAAATAGAAAGATTTACAAGACTCAAGTGGGCTGGGCTGGAGTTATCAATACTCGTGTAACTTGAGTTGAGAGCACAGGCTGGAAAGGGTGAGGTGGGGAGGGGCTGCATTGAGAGGACATAACACAACCGTCATCTAGCAGAGCACTTGCCATTATGCTTTGAGCTGTGACAACACGCGTTCATGTAAAAAGAGACGTTAATTCCTCAAATCGGCTCTCAACTGGTAAAATGAAGGCTCCAGAATTAATCCAAGTAAAGCAAGGCATTTACAGAATCTCTTTGCAATTATCTAAGCAGCCTTACATGCAATGCTTGCCAGTGGCTGCAATGTTAGTATTAGTACTTATTGCATACGAGAATATGGACGAGGCCATTTAATGTGTAAATGACCCACTGCTTCAAGCTGTTGGTCTGGAGATATATTGGTTCGAGAAATGTTAAAGACCATAACCAATTAGGGGTCCCCAGTATCAGCCATTTTCTCTAACCCCCACCCAGCAACAGCTTCAGCAAGAAGTACTTACACTGAACGATGTAGGAGGCCAGCAGAGCTGCTGTATTATGGGGGCAGGGCAACCTGCAGACAACCAGAAGGCAGAGAAAAATCGCAGTGTTAAAAAATATATATTGTAACACCAACTGATCGACCTGCTAAAATATGCAGCACACCACAGCTGTCTACAGCATACTCAGACATGGTATGGTCTGGGTAGCTGGGAATTAAACCAACTTGCTGAAATACAGCTTATTCTCTTTTTTATGAGGCAATGCAGTTCAAGTCACCATTACTGAGTGCGTGCAAATTAGAGAAAAAAGCCCATCCAATGAACGCGAGTACATATGCAATGCCCCCAACTTTCCAAAATGTCAGTAATTACAACATAATGGTGGAGTGCTGGTTTGCTCAATCGTGGGGAAGCAAGAGAAATGTCTCTCAGCCTCAGTATTATGTTTCCACTGTACCTTGCTTCTAAGATGTCATTTCGCAGCTGCAGGAAGTAATGGTACCTGTTCAATGTAAAGTGCAAAAGATGAGTCAATGCGATAATGCGCTCACCCGCTGCCGTTATAATCAGCACTCCCGCAAACATCAAGCACGCAGTGATAAGGCAATCTCAGTGGGAGAGCTGTAATGGCCCTGCGTTTGTTGGGCTTTCAACACACGGTGGCCAGAGCTCACAGACCACGAGAACAAAGCGGGTCGTCGTGAGAAACCCTTTCATTCGGCAAAGAATGTCATATTCAGTGTCTCTATAAAAGGCAGCAGAAAAATGCGTAGCCTATCGTCCGGATTTTGAGCAACGGTAAGCACATAATGATAGGAAATCCTTAATGACCAAGTGCTTCCTGAACTTTCAACGCCGCCTGTCAGCGGGTTCTGACGAGCAGAACAAAGAGTGGATTCTGCGATGGGTGAAAGTGAGTTGCGAACGCATTCCGCGTGGCGATGGCGAGGGAGCGTTGTTATGCCGCACGCACGAGAGAGTTTTCTCTGCACGGCAATTGGAGATCGCGCTCAGATTATCGCAGCGTTTACTGCACGCAAAGTTCAAACTCAGAAGAAAAAAAAGTAACCATGAAGTGATAAATAACAAAACAAATCCCTCATTGTTGAAGTTGTACGACTGCTCGTAAAAAAAGTTAATAAATAACAGACTAGCGCTTCGGACTGCTGAAAAATATCTGGTGCACATGGACCATGACACAAATTCAATTTGAATATCAGGTTGCCTTCAGACCATATGTACGGTAAAAGACCTCTTCCACCCAGAGATTTGTATTGTGAATTTGGGCTCATTATAAACGATGACGGAGGGAGCAGTGGTGAAGTCGTTAGTGCACTGCATTACAAACTCGGTGACACGCGTTTATTGTCCGACCATCAGTGGTGAGTGATAATGAACCAGTCCTGGGCTACTCCCCTTCATCAACCTGCATTGACTTGTGTGGTGAAGTATGTCCAAACAATCCCTTGTAACCGATACATCGTGGGGAGTCCTTAAATGATGGGGATGATGATGATGAATTCATTTTTTTGCAATTAATGGTTTTATGACAGAGGTGGAAACATCTGCACTGAAGGAATGTACCCAGGTTATGTCAATGTCAGCATAGAAAGCAGGTATGCACAGCCACCATGATTACGTTCAAGTGACCTGCTCAGTAAGCATAGCAGGTATTTACGGGTGGAAACAAAATAGCATGGTACATTAGCATTCACATCTACTTCATTGCACTGCCTCAATGCAAGTTTCATAAAGTAACCAGGCACATACTAAAATAAAAATATGTAATGGTGAAGACTAAAAACAACTCGTTACTCTTTCAAAGAAGAGTGAAAATCGCGACTCTGCAACAAAGCTAACGTTTTGAAATGTGAGAATTTCAGAGTAAAACAAATAAATGAAAATGACCATTAATTGTAGATTTGTTAACAGCTTCAAATTACCCTAAAGGCAGCTTTTGTATGACCATTAATTGTAGATTTGTTAACAGCTTCAAATTACCCTAAAGGCAGCTTTTGTAAACCATATACAATTAAACAATATAAAGGTGGTCAGCCAAGCCGCCAGAGTGATTGATCTGCATGTGAAGGTTTAAATCAAACGTGACACTGGGTGGGTTTTTTGCGTGCCGTTGGCGACAGGAACACCACATTCGGCTACTGGTGGATTTAATGAAAAACCGCGCATGCCAAAGGGAGAACAAAAAATAAACAATAGAAACATTAACCTGTGGGTTATAGGTCTCTGTTGTGAATGCGGCCTTGGACTTCTCTACAGCGAAGCCTCGAGTCAATGAAACGGGTTTGGCGACTTCGCAAGTACAGTGCATTCTTGCAAGTGCTGTGCAACACTTGCAATCATGTCAAATCCCATTTAGCAAGCTAATGCTTCAACACGGCATTATTTTAACGGTGTAAGTACATGCAAAGTGCAATTATTTTTCTCTGAAACAATTGAAAATGTTGATTTGTTCCTAATGCACACTTTGGCTTTATAACAGGCACATGGAGTAATGCTAGAACTATCGCGAACATATGATTATGCTTTAATAAAGCCATTCAGATATGTTCATGCGATAACAACGGTATAGCCATTGGTGGTGGCGATATAATGTGCATGCACAGGCCCTTGTCAGTCCACTGCTGGGTGAGGGCTTCCCCATGGCACGCAGATTGTAGAGGTTAATAAACCTGAATTTCGATTTAAAGCTTTCGTGACTGCACGGATTCATCTTCTTGGTTCTTTCGGTAAAGTCACGTAGAATGAGAATAAAACAATAAAACAAAACAAGACAATAAAATTCTCACGACGTTTCGGCCACAACACAAGTAGCCTTCTTCAGGTCTGGAGAGACAGGTCTGTATGGAAGACAGAGCTCGAACGGACGCCGTCATGTATGGACAGCGTTTATTAAGCTGTGTGGGCGGAGTTAAAACATGAGTCTGTACGTTAGCGAAAGAACCAAGAAGATTAATAAACCTGATTTCTCCACGCTGGTCAGTGCGGGTTGGTGAAGGCAGGGAGCATACACGTTACTGTACAATGGATTTTCCCGCAACTCCCATAAGCGTGATTGGCTACCTATGGTTCGAATGACGTTCAACATACATACATTTTGCTGCACTGTTCTTTTCTGCTCACCATGTAGCCCCAGGACATACAATAATCTGTGGTCACGCAACCAAGCCCCAATCTCCTACTTTAGCATCTGAAAGACTGTGCAAATTGCCTTCCAAGGCAAACCCCACCCCTGACAAAACCCCACATGCCATGGAATATAAGTTAAACAGACTTGCAAGACCAAGGAGTTTGCTCTCAGCAGCACCGGACACGTGAAGCTCATCAGATATCAAGCAGGGGCTCGCATTGAAGGGTTGTGTATCTGATAACTACAGTACGGCACAACGTCGCGAATCCGCCCTGGTCAGTTAACAGCACACACTCTTATTCATATTCAATCACACTCTGTGTAGTATTCGTGCATGGTCCAACTGTTATTTGCTCTTTAGGTAAAAAAAAATCCAAACCTTTTCATACACGGTGATATTTTCTTAATCCCACGTACATTTTATTACTTCCAAAGAACAGTTACTTTTTGCCCGCATGTTGATAGCAGTTTGTGCTTTGGTTTTGTCCGGTAACATAATTGTGCGCAGTGTAACTATAATTTTCTACTTGATGTTCACATTGCCGAACTTTTCACATATATGCCCCATACCTCACACTGTACTTTAATGGGCAATTCATTTTCTCACAATTCTTCAACAATATCCCAGGATTGTCAGCCAAATTACTCGATCATACCTGGTGTATTCCTCCTGCAGTTTGCTCGGATCGGTCACAAAAAATTTCACACGGAAGTTGAAGATGTAAGGAGAACTTCCTGAAAACACAAAGAGAAAAGCTCTTTAAATAGGTTCAGAGTTGCCTTTCCCATAATGTGTCTACAGTTAACTCTCAATTATCCAGGGTAAATGTGGGTTTGTAGGGGTAGCCCAGCGGTCGCGTGTTCACCTCTTGATGCCGAGGTTCCTGGTTCGAGCCCAGCGGCCGCCCTGGTTAATGCTGAGGGTTTATTAACCGTACCTGTGTTTAACCGTAACATTACTACGCGCCAACTCCTTTACAATGGACGTTAAGGATCCCCTGACGTCATTCGAAATGAGTACTCCATTGTGTGTGGGCGTCATGGTTCAAAGCTGCCAAATTCGACAATTTACTTGCAAATTTCTCAATTGGGATTACACATAGCAATCATCAACGCCCCTCTACTGTCAGATTTAACGAACTTAATTTAATACCCAATTGCAGGCCAGGTGTTGAGTCACACATATGCCTACAGTAACAGATGTGACTGGGGGTGACCTTTTCAATGTTTGAGATTATTTGAGGAATCGGGCACTTGATATAAAAAAACGAATCTCTCATGAATAAAAAATGGTGATAAAGAAAACTTAGTATATTAGGTTATAAAAACGTTATTATTTTTTACTTATGTAGAATGGGGGTGAAGTATCGTCTGTTTTTTTCAACTAATTGTTTACCTGCATGTTTGTGGTCATGTGGGCACTGAGACTCAAACCCTTGATGATTGAGGAACAGGTAATAATAGAACCAGCGTTCGTGTAAACATGATATTTTTTCTTACATGCATGGTTATTTTTTTTACTTTGCTTGATAACAGTATTCATGAAGATGCAATTGCTGATACTTACTCTTTATCTGTTTCCTCAGAGGCTTGGTCGGGTCCAGCCACCTCTGAAACCGGACAAATAACAATAACTTGTTTTACATAAATACAACAATTGATGCAGCAGCAGGAATGAAATCTGCTCTGCTGGTGCATGCAAGCAATTCACAAATATGACATTTTCACAGTGAATATATTTGATGCCAAAGATAATTTATACAAGTCAAACTTCACTTGTATCTCAATTTCTGTGGCGATATTGCATCAGTCGACTATAAAGACGAACACCCACATGTCAAACGGTGACTTGCATTGCACGAGGCTTCCTAAAACGGACCTCAAGCAGTGACGGCCAGTCAAGTACTGCATGATAACTCATTGCAGCAGTGAGGGAGGTGGTTTGTGTACAGTACTCATACATTTATTTGTTTTTTGTTTGTTTGAGATTACTCCAAAGTGGACCACACCACTGAAATAGATCACGTCACAGTGTCAGCATGCATCACGTCTGCCAAGTATGCTTTTGCTGGGATATCCTGTGCAGGGCAGACATGCCATTAGTGGCAGTTTTGTAAGAATGTGAGGACTCAAAATACATTGCAGTTTCCTGTGCCAGCATTCTCATGGTCGTATATCCAGGTGGTCTTGGGAAGAATGACTTGAAATTCACAAAAATAAAAACAAAGCCCCGTGAAGTAGCTGGCTCATTGATCAAAACACTGAACTGGCACTGCTGAGAGCCTGGGTTTGAATCTGGGTTTCCAGCCACCAATTGTTAAGCTAGGTTCTCAAGCTTCGTGAACACGATTATCAATGACTATAAAAAAACGCCATAACATTACAGTTGTTTTTCCATGCCTGTGGAATAAAATCCAGCTTTGAGAATTGAAAAATATGTTGACTACCGTGTGACGAACATTATCTCAATTGCAGAGTGATGGAAAAGTTCCTCCCTTCCTAGTGTGGAGATTAAAAAACGTCCACTTGAAGGGTTATAAGAGGCAGTTCTACAAAATCTTCTGCATGCTGTTCTCTAACACATGGGGTATATGCACTGTGCTGCGAGAGCTCCGAATAGATTATTCATCTAATGACACGACTCGAAAAGCAAAAATTGAACAAACGTAGGCCAAAGCCTTACAAAACATTGAACAAAAATCAACCGGGGCACAGCTGGCAAAGGGTTTGCGAGCATCGCTCTCACGAGCATACGATGCTGCTGCGCTACTTGCCGGTGTCTCGGTGGAGTCATCTGCAAACTGCAGGCCAAAGTAGTCCGTCTCGGCCAGGTCAAGGTGCGCAAACACGGCGTCCAGCAGCGCCTTGCCCGCCTCACTCTTCTGCGCGGAATACACGACAAAGATCTCCTCTGAAGCATTTAACACACCGTTGCAGCAAGTGCTGTGAGCAAGCAACTATGCTGATCACGTCAAGGAGCATAATCCATTACGCAAACTCCGGTTGTCCTCCCAGCAGCTTGTGGCGAACCAGACGGTTACTGCATCGCTTGCTTTCAGATGCGCTTCTGCGGCCGTCTGGAATGCTCTTCCTTCCGATATTAGGAAGCCACTGGAGCTATGCACTTTTAAATCTAGATTGAAAACGAATTTCATTATAACTGCTTTTTGTTTTGTTTGTTGTATGTATTTTGAACCTCTTTCGCACTGTACGTCGCCAAACATGCTAATCGGAGGTGCGGGATTGGCTACGTACTGTGTGAAAGAAGTTCAACATACATACAACCAACTAAAAACAAAAAGCCGTTATAACGAAATTAGTTTTCAATCTAGATGTAAAAGTGTATGTAGATTAAGGTTGGCACGGAACATGAATGGGTGGTGTAGCTAGTAACACGCTCGGCAACAGGACTGGTTAAGATATCACTCGACATTGATGATCGTTGTAGCAGAGGACTGAACTCGGGTCGCAAGGTTCATACCACAATGTCTTAACCACTAAACCACCTCGCTCCACAGGATACAGCAACAAAAATCCACCATGTAGCCTAAACAGACTTTGGGGCAACAGCTGAAAGTGAGCACCCATTAAGGACAGCACAGTGCACAACGTGGTGGTGTAGCCACTTTGGTGGTGCCAGCACTGATGTTTACACACGACATCAAGTAATGGTGAGTCAACCTAGGAGAAGCCCCAGACTGCTTCTGTCATTACTCACCACTGATGTTAGTCGCAGAAAGAATGCACTGCCAAGTTGTGCTGCTATCAGAGTACAATGTAGTTTAGGCAAGATAAACAATAATTAGCTAATATTTATATTGACCCTTTAAAAGTGGGCTTTCGCTGGTCACATTAATATAAAGAAATCTGACTTATAGATGGTGATGGAATGGCAATCAAAGAAGTAAAGGTGCCCGAGAGGATGACTGATGTAGAGATTACGCGATGAGATTAGTGACTAGCAAGAGCTAGATGGACTGTGGCATCGGAAAAGTGTTGGATGGCGACGTCAGGAGGTACTTTAGCCAGCGGTGGATAGACCACTGCTGATGTTGATCGCAATGAATATTATCCAGGAAATGTTCTGTCAGTCTCAAGGAATAAATAATCGGAATGTTGGTTTATTTTTGAGTTCAGGTTTGTGCCAAGGTGTTGGAACTAAAGGCCCAGGGACTGCACAACTGTGGGTGTTTTATGGGGAGAGAAAATGAGCGGTGACTCAGCTTGCCTTAATATCCATCGCATTACACAGGGGACATATAAGTAATATAAAAAAAACCCACTGGCATAGTGTCAAGTACGTCTAAGTACATCCTGACCATTTGCCATGACGAGTTAAATTAATTTAGATGTGGAACTTTACGTAAAAGCCAAAGAATCGTACAAAAGATCTATGATGACTTAGTTAAAAGGCAAGTTAATCCAACTATTCTACTACTTTATATGCTTCCCAGGGTACTTAAAAGGCAGAAAAAAGTCCAAACGAAGGGAATCGGCAAAATGCACTTTTCTCACACTTGGATCATTGTGACCCGCTCTAGGTTCTTACACATTCTCCCAGATCCTGGAACACATAGAATACAACCATTTACTTCAGGCATGCAGATTATCCATGGGGCAAGTAAATATTTTGACGATTCCCTAAGCTGCTATGGTGCTCAACTTGACCTCCATGCAAAAACAACTCTGATGCAGCCAAGCAAAAAAAAGGTTTGTTTAATAATGGCAAGGTAAATGGCTTACGAAGTGAAGACCACAATTTCATCGGTGAAATATAATACGAGCCCACAGTATGGTTCAATATTTCTTGGCACGACATGTGAACCGTCTAGGAAACTAAACAATCTTGCGGCATAGCAAACCTCCTGTCTCTACATCACTGTTTTAGATTATTGTTTATCGGCAATTGAAGATAATCGTTTATGGAAACTGTCAGTCCCAGAAATCATGGTGATCGATAATTTAATAGTTTAAATTGAATAACTATTGAACCGATTGGCACGCAAGAGTGTCCAAACCGCAAGCGCTTTAGAATTTGATTCATCACGTGCCAACCTATTTCATATAATATCTATCTACATAAATACAAACTTGCCTTGGTGTGCTGTGCGTTCGTCTTACAGAGTTCTCATTGGCTGGAAGCCAAGCGCCGTAAACCGCACCTTCTCATTGGCTCTCTCTCCCCCTTACTTCATGTCATGCTCGTGACATCAGGGGGGAGGGACAGGCCCAGTGTGCAGGGTTAGGGGGGGGGACCAGCTCGTAAGTGACGGTGCGCCCAGGTGGGGGCATGCCCGGGAGGCGAGGGGGCCATGCCTATGCGTGCCCAGCGCATCGGGCAGCAAGGGGGGGGGAGGGGGGGTGTGGGTGCCCAGGACAAGGGGCCAAGCACCTCGAGGGGTGCGCTAGGGGAGGGGGCTGTGAGTGAGGCCAAGGAAAGGTTGCATGAGGTTGGGGGGGGCAGCTGGGGGGGGGTTGTGCGGAAGCGGGGGCGCCGAGGGCTTTGTCACCATGAGGGAGGGCACCCACGCGTAGGAAGATGGGGATGTTGGGAGGCGTCGGCTCAGCGATTGGTACTTCCTCGAGTATATATACATACAAACAGGCAGCCCTTTGTCAGACCACTTGTGGACAAAAGTCTCACCATGCAGTGTCGGTCATGGGGCCTGTTTGGCCATACTTCACCATGTTGGCAAAGGTTGGTGTTGGTTTTGATCGTATTTGTTGCATGCCATTCATTACCCATAACAATAAAAAAGAGAAGTGAACAGCTCTGTTGATATTCATATTGTTGGTTCTTTCGGTAAAGTAACGTAGAAGGGAAACAATACAATAATAAAAATATAAAACCATAAAATTCTCACGACGTTTCGACTGCAACACAAGCAATCATTATCAGGTGTGAAAACCACAGCAAGAAAATTTTAAAAAAGTGGCGGTTTTTAAAAAAAAATCTTGCTATGGTTTTCACACCTGATGATGATTGCTTGTGTTGCAGTTGAAACGTCGTGAGAATGTTATTGTTTTATATATATTTTATTATTTTATTGTTTCCCTTCTACGTGACTTTACCGAAGGAACCAATAATATGAATCCCTGCAGCCACGAAAGCTTTAAATAAAAATTTAGCTCTGTTGATGTTCACCGGTTGAATCGCAAGACGTTACTGGGATGAAATATTCCCAACTTGAGCTGTGCCACTACAAAAGTCCACCCTCCTGGTGCTAGAATATGACTAAAAATCCTCTAAACATAGCAGCCACAAGCACACAGAGTGATGGCACTGTAATAATAACCACTGTACATTGTGTTCTCCGAATTCTGCAATAGCTTTTCTTGAGAAGCGCTCGGACACAATGGAGTTCACGGCTACCGTTAACTCTCCACAAGATATTTACACACTTGCTGTGGATGTATTCATACTAAATTCAAATCAATTGCAGAACAGTTCAGTGCTGTCGTTAATTATAATGCATCAACTTCAACATAAACCTCTGTGAACATCAGATAGGTGCAGTAGCGACTAAATGAAGTGATATATTTTCATACTGTAAACTCAAACAGACTATAGCAAGTATTTTTAGGCTTTAGAAGTGTAGAAAGAAAAAGAGTTACAGCCCTTATAGCTGCTGGATGAAGACCCTCCCCCATTCCATTTCATAATGTAGATTGTTTGACAATATTTCAACTAAAGCTGGTCGGTTTGCGAAGGTTAAGGGGACACCTTCGGACTGATTCAGATATTGCTCACCACTGATAATTATAGCCGTGGTTGAAAATCAAACTAAAGATTCACAGTGCAATGCGCTCACCACTCACCCTTAAGAACTGTTCACGAACATATATAGGAACCATATTTAAGAACGTCATATGTGTTTGGCACAAAGCACAAAATAAAGCATGCGTGATGAAACAATGATACAAAGGAGGTGAACGTGATGACGATTAATGACCAATTAGGCACAAACGCGCTGCCATCTGTGAACTTCCATAGCAGATGTTAACACATTGTATGTTGCAAATACAATTGCATTACCGAGCTGTGATGTCACAATGTCGAATGATAGACTTCGTGTGACAAGAGAAGATAAATAACGCTGAGTTTTTGCTTCGCCAAAGTGTCTCCCGCACAGATTTTCGTGCCTGCATTCGGAGATTTTGTAAAGCGTCCAGCCATTTTCATGGTAAGTAGGGTGGACAGGGCCCATGAATGCGCTGATTAGAAAACCAAATGAGCGATTTCTTTTCTACTTATTACCAAGGACGCACGACAAACAGTGCCAAACACAGCAGCGGCCTTCAGCCACTACTTGGGCAAAGCATGTTTTGTGTATGTTATATATAGGGTCAACCTCATGTGACAGCATAAATTTAACATTTTGCTGGTCACACACATAAAATAAACTGAGTTTACAAGGCAGTTATTTCATGGCTTAACTCAATGCTACACTCTAAGCACTCGCAGGGTTTTCCGAGTTAATTTCTACCCTCTCAAGTTGGGAAAGAGTCATACGTCTGATCACAGTAAGTGAATATATTCTAGGAGTGTATATTAAATATGACTATACATGCTCTTATATTCTTGGTTCTTTCGGTAAAGTCACGTTGAAGGGAAACAATAAAATAATAAAAAATATATAAAACAATAAAATTCTCACGACGTTTCGACTGCAACACAAGCAGTCATCATCAGGTGTGAAAACCAAAGGCAAGAACATTTGAAAGAAGTGAAAGAAGTGGCGGTTCTTTCAAATGTTCTTGCCGTTGGTTTTCACACCTGATGATGACTGCTTGTGTTGCAGTCGAAACGTCGTGAGAATTTTATTGTTTTATATATATTTTATTGTTTCCCTTCAACGTGACTTTACTGAAAGAACGAAGAATATGAATCACTGCAGTCACAAAAGCTTTAATTCAAAATTAATACATGCTCTTCTAAAGCAGATCCGTTTAGTTACTACCGCATAGGTTTTTGGAGCCGTGCTTTATAGCTATCCAATGTGTTATTTTGGATTGTACCGTATGTTGTTCGAGAAGGAGCTCCAAATACATGGAGCAAAACGTCGCAGCATCAGTACGAACAACAATCAGTACAAGCCGAAAATACATTGCAGTGCAATAAACCTGCTTAGTGTGACAATATATGTAAAGCGCTAAGATAGTACTTGAGGTTGTCTTGATCCACAACCAGTTTTAATTATCTCAGCTACATTTTGAAGACCTAAAACGAGTGCAAAGCATTTCCTCTTTGTGTAGCTTCAGAGCATGTAACAATTTTTCTGCATGTAGTCGCCACTTTCAGAGCCTTTGAATGCAGTAACAAGGCCCAACTGTGCATAGCTACGAGCAGAGACAGGCTACGAGCACTTTCTCAATGAAGAGGACAGGACAATTTTACATCGTATCCTAACAGTGCGGCTTTGGCTACAAAGATACTCCTCGTCCCCGTGACGCGCACTCCTCATTTCGGCAGACGGTGGCACAGAGGCAGTGAACAGCCATTAGTTATACAAGGACTGACGGCTTGTTAAATGGCAGGGGTCTGTTGATGCACTTACGCAGCTGTTTCGGTTATAACAGAAAGGCTGCTCCACACCCTGTCGGCCTTGTAAACCCGTTGCGCCCAAACCTCCCCTCCACCCCCACTCCGCAACCCCCCAAAATAAATCCTCTTGAGACAGGAAATAAATTGACTTCAAAAGCAGCATGCAACCAAGATATTTTCGTTCATTGCTTTGGAAACCAATAGATTACGTCCATTTATAGTCCTAAATATAAGTATTTTAAAATTTAGAATGCGAGTGCAGAAAGATAGCCTGAGTGCAAAGCATTTGTTCAGAGCATGAATCGTATGTATATCTTTTTTTAACCACGATAATTTTAACAGTGCATCCGATGGCAACAAATGCAGCACATTTGTCAAGATGAACGTTCTAATCCACAAGCTGCTCTACGCGAGACAATTGTAAGACATTAGAGCACCCCCACCACTTCACAGTTTCAAGCAGGCTCAAGACGTTGTGTGTAGCCCTGTAAGGCTGCGTCGATTAACATCGACTCTCATACGCTTACTATATATGCATCGAATCACACGTGCAAGAATAGATGTTTTTTACATGTGTATGCTGAATGTAGGTGGGTTCATGTGGGAGGTCACTACATTGACCACACTTGAAAGAAAATTGATTCTTGAAATGAATCGCAACCCTGAATTGCGACAATTTGTCAAATCACCTTCGGGTGGCGGGGGAGTGAGGCGAATCGTCACATCTCGGATGTAGGTGCAAGACACTGTGTGAAGTTCCTTGTGCCACAAAACCTCTGTGTGACCAAGTCATCAGGCCACTGTGACTCAACAATTAACGAGCAAGACTTGCACTCTCATTTGCAAAACGGAAGCTCGATAGATGACGTCAAACACTGTGAAAAGAAGTTTGTTTAAGTTTACATGGTATGCTACCTTTTGTACCACACTGCAGGAGGCTTCCTTTCTGCTTGCTTTTTTGCACAACTTCTTGTTGCACTGAATGTTTGCACTCTACTCGCTTACAATCTGCTTTTCATCCTTGTACTGTATTTATCCCAGGTTACTTTACAAAATAGACATTTGGCTAAGATTTATTTGTAAGGCAAAGAGGTAGTTTCTACCCAAATTGGGCACACCACCAATTGGTTAAATCTCCACAATTTCGTGCCGATTTAAATATTCTTCACCAACGGCTTCCATTGAGATAAAATTATCTTCTTGGGTATGACATTTCCCTTGGGTTTCTGGCCAGGAAGTCACATTTAGCTTCGAGAGTCGGTCAACATGTTGTTGGAACACTCGAAGACCTCATCTGATCGGTTTCTGGCACATAAAAGGGCCTTTTTCGATATTTAGTTATATTGATCATATCTGGATTCAAAGGAATAACGTCCATTTTGCCTAGATGATTCTACTACATGTGTTTAAGGTAAGATGAAAACACATAACAGGTGGGCTGTCAGAAGGCTACTGTCTCCCACCCATTTACAAAAAAAACTAAAGGTCATACAACCGAACAAAAGGCATTAAGCAACTTTCACAAAGGGCCTAAAAACAATAAAGGCTTACACAAAACAGGCATTGTGGCTTTAAAGGAGGGAGTAATATAGTAAAAAAACGGTGGCTCACGTTGGCGCGGAGCGTGATGGCGGTGTTGTCCAGGAGGTTGATGTGACACAGGGCCTCGGTGCGGTGCCGGTCCCGCGCCAGCTCCGAGGTGCGCACATTGTACGTCCCTCCCGTGGGCAGGCGGAACCGCGAGGACATGGCACGCACGCTGGCGCTCTCGCACTCCTCACGCACGCACACACACGCCCCCCTGGGGGGGTAGCAAGAGAAAATGTGGGGGGGCAGGGGTGGGGGGTGATGAGACATGTCGCACAGCAGCAGAGGACTCGGCAAACACTGGAGACCTCCATGGGACAATCGGCCTTCTGTGTGTGGACACTTCCTCTGCTGGACAATGGTGGCACCCTGCCCCTTCATTATTTAGAAATCTGCCAGTTTTGGTGTGGTAAATTGCAAGTCTTGGGTTTTCCTCCAAATATTTCACAAAGTCCACGGAAGGTGTTGGCTCTTTTAAAGCACCAAATTATATATTTTTCATCATACCAAGCGGTTTATTCTGGAGATCAATGTATGCAATAAATTCATGATTATAGCTATTGGACGCTATACGGTATTTTTAAAAAAACATTCCTTCAATGGGCACTTGTCAACACCTTATATAAAAATACACAAGGCCACTTACAATTAAAGCAACAGATTGCTAAATATGCAGCACGCAAGCACCACTTCCTAAGATATTGACCTTGTTGCATTATTTTTGGCGAAAGGGGCCTATAGATGATAAATATTTGTAACTGTTCATTTGATAATAACTTTCAGCTTTGCCACAACACCTATGTTGTGTAGCAAGTCGGTGAGTAGTTGATGTGTGTTTGATGACATTAATTGCATACATCTTTCGCATCAATTCATTTGAGGACATTGATTAAAATGGATTCTTACACTCACAATACACACATTAAATAATATGAGAGAAAATTCGTCAATTTTTTTGTATAAAATGGGTTCACATAACCACTGGAGCCAATTGAGGCATTAGATTCAACACAAATGTAAAAAAAAATCGATTCTATTATCCCAATGCTGACAATTTGTCAAACTTTGAAGGGAGCGGAATCACTGCACACATAAATACTATTGCATCTCGATGGAGCAGAGGCACTGTGATCCTGAGACACTGGTTCAAATCACAGTGACGGGCAACAACAGGAGCAAGTTATACCAGAAACAGCCCTAGGTCCTCCCTGTCACCAACCCGTACTGACCAGCATAGTCAAGTAAGTGGATTGTCAATGGGCTGAAAATTATGTTATTATTATGCAATACTGAGGAGGGCAGCCCATGCAAGCCTGTCCATAACACATTTTCTAGACCGTGTAAAGTTAATCATTGCTTGCATGCTGGGGGACCGCTGCCACTTTTGAAGGCGTTAGCATCTGTCAAAGAATGCCAGGAAGTCCAGCTGCCTGCATCACTACGCCCACCCAACTGGGAAACAAGCGCACAGCAAACATAGGATTACATTTCCAACCAGTGCTCACTCGGCACACATGGCAACAACAACAGATGCACTCTCTAGCCTATGTATTACTGATCCACACAACTTGACAGCAGCCATCACCAAATAATCTGGACATACTAACATCACAGGCCATTCCAATACCCAGCCTTGTTTTGATGACATATACCAACCACTACCTGAGACTAAAAATCACGTTAAATGTGCCTGTTCTAATCAGATCCTAGAAGCAAAGCAGGTTTAAGCCTAGCTAGTACAGAACTGGGGTTGGAGAATGTCTGCAAATACTGTAGCAGGCATTGTAGGATTGGACTACGGGGTGGCCAGGAGATACAGTGAGGGGAAAAAAGTATTTGATCCCCTGCTGATTTTGTACGTTTAACCACTGACAAAGAAATGAGCAGTCTATAATTGTAATGGAGGTTTATACTGGTAGGAACGAAGTTGTAAACTGGGTGTACCAGCCTGCAATAGATTAATGTGTCCGTCCGTCCCCTTTCAATACTTTAACGAAGTGAAATCTCGTGCTGTTGGGTGTAAAATCAGCAATAGACAGCGCAGAGACTTGTCCTACCAGCCCACCCTGCAGGGGCCTGTTTTGAACAGTGAGAGACAGAATAACAACAAGAAAATCCAGAAAAACGCATTTCACAAATTTTATAAATTGATTTGCATTTTAATGAGGGAAATAAGTATTTGACCCCCTCTCAATCAGAAAGATTTATGGCTCCCAGGTGTCTTTTATACAGGTAACGAGCTGAGATTATGAGCACACTCTTAAAGGGAGTGCTCCTAATTTCAGCTTGTTACCTGTATAAAAGACACCTGTCCACAGAAGCAATCAATCAATCAGATTCCCAACTCTCCACCATGGCCAAGACCAAAGAGCTCTCCAAGGATGTCAGGGACAAGATTGTAGACCTACACAAGGCTGGAATGGGCTACAAGACCATTGCCAAGCAGCTTGGTGAGAAGGTGACAACAGTTGGTTCGATTATTCGCAAATGGAAGAAACACAAAAGAACTGTTAATCTCTCTCGGCCTGGGGCTCCATGCAAGATCTCACCTCGTGGAGTTGCAATGATCATGAGAACGGTGAGGAATCAGCCCAGAACTACACGGGAGGATCTTGTCAATAATCTCAAGGCAGCTGGGACCATAGTCACCAAGAAAACAATTGGTAACACACTACGCCGTGAAGGACTGAAATCCTGCAGCACCCGCACGGTCCCCCTGCTCAAGAAAGCACATATACATGCCCGTCTGAAGTTTGCCAATGAACATCTGAATGATTCAGAGGACAACTGGGTGAAAGTGTTGTGGTCAGATGAGACCAAAATGGAGCTCTTTGGCATCAACTCAACTCGCCGTGTTTGGAGGAGGAGGAACGCTGCCTATGACCCCAAGAACACCATCCCCACCGTCAAACATGGAGGTGGAAACATTATGCTTTGGGGGTGTTTTTCTGCTAAGGGGACAGGACAACTTCACCGCATCAAAGGGACGATGGACGGGGCCATGTACCGTCAAATCTTGGGTGAGAACCTCCTTCCCTCAGCCAGGGCATTGAAAATGGGTCGTGGATGGGTATTCCAGCATGACAATGACCCAAAACACACGGCCAAGGAAACAAAGGAGTGGCTCATAAAGAAGCACATTAAGGTCCTGGAGTGGCCTAGCCAGTCTCCAGACCTTAATCCCATAGAAAATCTGAGGAGGGAGCTGAAGGTTCGAGTTGCCAAACGTCAGCCTCGAAACCTTAATGACTTGGAGAAGATCTGCAAAGAGGAGTGGGACAAAATCCCTCCTGAGATGTGTGCAAACCTGGTGGCCAACTACAAGAAACGTCTGACCTCTGTGATTGCCAACAAGGGTTTTGCCACCAAGTACTAAGTCATGTTTTGCAGAGGGGTCAAATACTTATTTCCCTCATTAAAATGCTAATCAATTTATAACATTTTTGACATGCGTTTTTCTGGATTTTCTTGTTGTTATTCTGTCTCTCACTGTTCAAATAAAACTACCATTAAAATTATAGACTGATCATTTCTTTGTCAGTGGGCAAACATACAAAATCAGCAGGGGATCAAATACTTTTTCCCACACTGTAGCAGTACAGCAATTGATTGATTCCACCTGTGCAGAGATTTCAGTGTTATGTCCTCGCATACATGGATTTTCTCCAGGTGTTCTTCATTTCCTTTTACAAATAATTAAATAAATTTCCCTAATACATACAGTAGAACTTCTGTTATCTGGAAATATCATTATCTGTTATTATTAACCGTGCCATGATTAGCCACCATTATCCACATTTTTATTTTATGCTGCACTGTGGAATAGCTTTCTATTATCCACAAAATGCTTGCAAATACGTGAAGTTAATTGTCAAAACCTAATAAACATGATTATTCTTTTAAACAGTGTGCGAAACACTCATCTCATCTTGAATACATTTTCCATGATGACTAACCACACAGGATGAGAAATAAAACCACAATGGTCTGGGCAATTATTCTAAGTTAACTTTTCTTTTGAATTGCTTTACAAATATTGTACTCGTGAAAACCGTAAGCTATAATCAAATATAATGAAGCTGGATTATGGATCTCATTCTGCGCAGTTATTCGCACACAGGACTGTGAACCCAGTAACCTAACATTCGTGACAAGTGATATCCAAACAAAAATTTGTCTCCCCCCCACCACTCGCCAACACCAACATCCATTTACCAGTGCGATGAAGTATGGTCAACCAAGCCCCATCACTCAGGCACCTCTTGCTCTCATATTTGCACTGTTTTTTTCCGCGTGTTTAATTTACGATTTAATGCAGTTATTGCTCGTGCAAAAATCTATTTTATTTTCGTTTATCGTTAGAGTGTCTCCATGGCTGCTTCAAAATAAGAGGTATTCTATCCTTTGTTCATAACATATACTGCAGATGTGTAAGATGGTAATGTTGATTAACATAGACGACATGCACAGCCCCATGGTAAATCCCCCTACAGGATGAGGGCCTATCCACAACATGTAGGTGGTAGTAGAGGATTTTGACCACACTTCATCACGTTGGTTAGTGCATGTTGGGTGAAGGCGGAGAAACAGATGTGGAAATACGAAAACAGGAAAACGTTGGGATTTTTCTACACTGCACTCTGCTGCCCACAGCGTATCCACAAAGCCTGTCACGCTTGTTAGGCATTGGTGGTCGCCTACCCAAACCCATTACAGGCTCCATCCGCTTAGCTTTCAAAAACTATCAATGTTGGGTGCATTTCGGGCAATGTGGTAATCGGCAATATGTAAATGTTAATTATATTATCCGTCAATTTCAACGTATTGAAAATGGTGGAAATGAGGCAACAATAAAGTGTACGTATGTTACGGCAAAAACATCCATCAGTGCAAGGTTCAGATTATACACAAGCGTGATATCATCCTATTTCTTCCAGATGGTCCCAAATGTCAATTGCAGGTGTCTTTTTAATGCCGCACATTGCTGATCAATGATAGTCATGTTATGCAGGCTGTGACTATCATTGTCATGAAAGGCAGACATAGAAGACACGCATATATCCAAGCAATATCATACATTTGTATATATGGACATCATAGCAAAGCGTGTTACTGTAGTATATTCTAGATGGTTTAAAAATACTGTGTTGAAAATGTTATTGGTTCTTCCGTTGAAGTTAACCAGCCTGGGCTATTTCACACAGATGCCAAACC